CCGATTATTACTCGGGAAGCTTTGCAATTCAGTTTGCACGGATGCTATATGTGAGGTGTTTGGAGGATAGGGGCTTGACTTCCGAAGATCAGAGTAGAGTTGAGAGGTACAAGCTGGAGGCACGACAGTTTGCGTCGGGGTTTTGGAGGTATTTTGACGTGGATGGTAGGTCAGCTCTCCACTATCTAGATATCTGCAATCCGAGTTATATATTCTTGGAACACAGTACTGACTTAGCGACTTTTAGGAAGTGCCATCCCATTTGGGCGGAGCCTGACGTACCGCTTCGCATTCGCGGCATTCTGGTCGGCAGTCGCCATCGCCGGGGTACAACTTGACGCGCCACTCGACAACATCGGCGTGGTCAAAGGCCTCCTCCTCCGCCACCTCCGCTGGTGGAGTCAGCAGCCTGGCATTTTCAACACTGATGGTACAATGAATATCGGCTATACCTATCCAAACATGTTCCTTAGCGAGAACTACAATTCACCGCAGTCTGTATACTGGTGTTTAAAATCATTCACCATCCTTTGTCTACCTGAGAGCCACTCTTTCTGGACAGCAAAAGAATTACCGCTTCCACTTGCTGCCAGCCTTTTGCCTGCCCAGCCGCTCCTCGATGAAGTCAAACTCCTCTGGCCGCCCCGACAAATTCTATGCAGCGGACGCAGCCATCACTTTCTGCTCTCATCGGGCCAAGGAACCACAAGGGACCACCGCGCCAGAGAGGCAAAATATGGCAAGATGGCGTATTCGTCCTTCTTCGGATTCAGCGTTCCCAGTGGCAGACTGCTAGAGCAGATGGCTCCGGACAGCACGCTGACTGTCAGTCTCGATGACGGCGAGGCATGGATTATGCGTGAAAATCCGTTCAATGTACGGGATCGGCGGATCTCGATCCTTACTTCAGAAGCGGATGCTGAGATGGGAACGGCAGCGAGAACCGTGCCGGCTCTTGTTAGTACCTGGAGACCCAAGAAGGCAATTGACTTTGAAGTCCAAACCACCCTAATTCCTGCATTGGAACTGTGGTCAGGATGGCACTTCCGTATACACAAGGTGAAGTGGTCACCGGCAGCCATCATACCTGGGACCATCAGGTTAGTTGACGCAGGCTTTGCGGCTTCTGGTGCGGCAAGCACAGGCCTGTTGTGTCCAGAGATAGATTTGAAGAGGCTGTTGGATCAGGATTGTGCAGTGGTGGAAGCATGGGGGAAAGACGAAGAGAGGTGCTTGATCTTTTCGGATGGAAGCGTCAGTGGTGTTGTCAATCTACAGAGGGATTTGATGCTTGCGCCCCGTTCAGGAGGTGGCAGGCTTGCGACCGAGAGTCAGGCATTACTGCTGCGACCAGATGCTAATACTAATTTAATCATGCAAAGAACCTTGATACCTACGGTTCGGCACACACTGGTCGCCGGGGCCGAGAGCAAATCTCCGGCGGAAATGTGGTTAGCGACGGGAATATTCGCAGTTTCGAAGACATCGGGAATTGATGTGACGGAGGCTAAGAAATTGTGGTTAAAAAGACCAAGAATCCAGGTGACAGCAAAGCCAGAGGAAGAAGATGAGATTCGAGTTATCCTCTACTGAGATTGGGTGTTTCTTGTTTTGTTATGAAAAGAAATGCTTGACGCTCGACCAATACCTAAAGAAGGGCCGCTATAAAAGTCTCTTCCTGTATCGAACAATCTATAAAGTGCTTGGATATACTCCTTTAGTGACGCAGCCAACAGCAATCGATAGTTGATAAATACACGTACTCGGTTGTCCATCTATTTTTAGGCTAAAGGAGGCTGGTTCCCTTTGATGGCTCCCTATAAACCACCCATTAGTTAGTTGCTCGGATAAAGTAATTACCTCTTTCGGGCGAAGATTTTTGAAAGGGAGCATTGTTAGATTGCCTGATTCCCTATGCATCAGAGTCAATCCCACACCGTGTTTATTGTGTCCAGTTCAAAGCCTCCCAAGATCCGACTCTGGCTTCATAGTTCGTGCACGTGCATTGCATTCTTCTACTCCCGACGTTTTCTACGCAACTCTGCGGCGCTAAGGCCTGCTAAGGCATGCCAAGAAGCTACCAGCTGCTTAGAAGTCAAGAGCTCGGCAATTGGAGCGGTGAACTTGGAGTGCAATACCCCATACCCCGACATTGTTTTTGACTATCTCCACCCTTGAAGGCGGGGAAATCAAATGTGACCTTACCAATGTCAGGGACTGGAGCAAGTGCTGCGGATCGCGGCCTAATCGTCTCGGGAGATCTCTCATCTTTCGTTTGTGAAATACAGAATGAAAGGATCATTTACCTCGACCTCCGGACGAAGTTGAACACTTGATTGAGGTACAAGTGCAATGGTTGATCTATATAAAGATGTAGCTACTTGTAGTCACAGCAGCACATCACCCTGTTACGCAGCGGAGTGCCTGCCTAACAGGCAGCATATAGACGATAAACTTGATCAAATTATGATAATCATGACAATAACTATGATAATAATAATCAAAAGATTAAAAGAAAAAGATGCGTAGATCCATCTGAAGTTATATTAATCTATTCTGCGTAAAGCGGTCTTGGCGAGGCGGCAATACAGATCTGTCAGCAGGTCGGTGCAACGGCATGTTTAACTTCCCCTCCCCATCCCAGTCTTCCGGTAATCATATGTAGTCATGTTAAAGCAGCGGTAGGGGATGAGAAAAAGCCGTCTTCCTCATCGTAACACACGGTATACCATCGCATCGCGATTTCAATTCGAGAACTGCACCATTCCTACCAGCTATCATGCCGCAGACAGATAGGCGCGGGGTAGATATCGTAGTTGAATCACTGTCCGGGGAGCTTCTCCGTGCATCCTGGCAATGTGTTTCCAAGTGTTGTTGTATGGTCGAGGTCGGCAAGCGCGACATTCTAAGAAAAAGATCGTCCGAAACCGATCATTCATTGGGGTGCACATGGCACAGATAATCAAGGAAGACCCCGGTCTTACTCATCGGCAAGGGACTTGCAGACAGCAGCCCATAGCCACATGCATCTTCGAACTATGTGGACTGTATGGAGTATCGATGTTTCGTACAATTCAAGGACCAGCGTGACGCTTACAGACTTTCAATGCCTATAGGGTGTGATGGCTTTATGGGAAGAGGTCGCATGACAAGACAGACTTCAACAGACTTCTCGCGACCTCCGAATAACAGACCCCGACACTGAAACTATAGAAGGCAATTGATCGTCAATCAATATGCTTCTATTCCAATCATGGACATTCCGGAGGTGATATTCCTCCAGTTGGCTAAATGTATTTGAAGTAGAATGCGTCCAGTGACTGGTGTCTTGGTATATAAAGGACTACGGATGCCTTCAGTAGTTGGGTAACCTCAACAAGAAAGAGTATATCGAAACAAGTTGACTCAGACATCAACATGAGACTTCTTCAAAGACCTAGCTCCGGAGCGGTCCTCGGGAGCCTCACCCTCCTCTCTCAGACGGTCCTAGCCCTTAAACCCCGACCCATGGAAAACCTGGGCCGCGGCGTCGTTTCGGGGAAGGGACACTTGTTGGCTGGCAGAAATTTTGGTGATTTAGCCTTACCATGGTGAACGCAAAAATCTTCAGAGGAGAGTTGAAGTGAGAGATAGCCAGATTGGAGTTAACAGGATGTAGGGAGGAAAAGCTGCACGGAAGTGATCCTTGGGATTTTTATATTCCAAGCGTCTGTCTCTTCACCCCCGTTGTACTGTGAAGCGAAATGTAAGAAGATCGGCCAAGTTTTCGGCCCAATAACTAATGCAGCATGGTAATGAGACTACATTTATTATCGGCGCAGCTTCTCGACCCTTTGCGGCGGCCAATTGAAAACCGTTCTTTCTCGTCGTGGATCGACTGATGAAGCGTTCCCAGGAACACAATCATGATATGGACTGTGTGGGGGACTTCTTTCCGGATTATACTCGGACCCATGGTTGATGTCTCCGCTTTTCGTAGCACGGCGTATCGATGCAGTCGAGGCCCATAAAGGGAACCTGAGAGTATTTGCCCAATGGAGGCAGTATTTGATGTTCCGGGGGACCGAGCCGGCCCTGGACATAGAGATCCGAAGGCGATGAGGGCATTACGTGTTAGAGTCTATTGGATGGACGGCGGGATGGAGCCTGCATTTTGAAGGGAAGAGCGGGTGATGGGATATCTAACATCTCATACAAATTGAAAGACTGGTTGATCAGCTGAAAGTTCGAAGACAAAGCCGAAAGTTACTAAAGCACCGCGGAAATACATCATTTCCCAGCTCCGCTCCCAGGAGCACAAGTCGGCAGCAGTGCGGTTATTTTCGGTGCATGTAAAAGAACGGAGAGGTAGAATGAGATCGAATGGGCCCGTCGACCTGAGCATTGGGGTGAGCAATCAGGCTGCTCAGGGAGTAAATCAGGGTCGCTCGGGAAGCAGCTTAGGGCGGCGGGGTGACTAACTCAGCCTGTGCTCCGGAAGCCAATCACTTTCCGAGGCGGCATTTGTACCGTCACCATTATTACACTTAAAAATTGTATATATTGGGTCCGGGGTCATCTCCGCTGAACGCCAATAGACTAGTTTTTTTGGCCTAAATTCAGGAGTTCTCATGGTTGTCCATGTCCAGAGCAGGTATACGGGAAGTATATCCTCAGCCGCTCACGATCAGAGCTGACTGGAAATGGTAAAGCCGGTTAGGCCAGTATTGGTTGCACGAGTTGAAGCAACACTTATAAAGAGAGTAGGTGAAACGATAGTTGCGGATACAGTTATCGGATGCAGAGTGCAAATAGAGCATTAGGAGTCATGGAGAGCTCTTTCGATTTCACAATTGCGGCAAACTCAGTCCATACTGCTATTCAATCTGTCTATACTCTCGAGAGTACTACTGCAACAAACACTATCTTCATCAGTCAAAGAATACCCCCATTCAAAGCTCCCCAAAACGGAAAACTTACAATATAATCAAAAAAGCTTACTTGCATGCGTATTGCCTTCTTCATGCATCACCATCACTCCCATACCACTTACAATAAACCCGAGGGAAAGCGGACCCCGCATACAGAACGCTATTATAGCATATAGGCGAAGCATCACTCTCCGCGAAATCACTAGTACAGGGGACTTCACCCACCCCCTCACAACTCAATGTCCCCACAGTATCTTTATCTCCCGTGTATGCGCAAGGCATATTACTGGCCTTGCCATTTAAATCTTGGAAATTGATATCGGGAGGATAATAGTACCGTGTGGTATCCCCGCTCGCCGACATCGATCCATCGGAGTCGTCGCACCAGTCGGGAATGGTGCCAATGGTGCCCGGAATGTACACATTCCAGGTAAACGCGTATCCCTCGGTGACGATACCGATGTATATTTCTCCCGTTGGCTTTCCCGTTCCCGTCGCGGAGACGCCGCTGGATGTTGTGGAGGATGTGCTCGCGGTGGTGGATGTGTGGGATGCGGTGGAGATAGTGGACACGGAGCCTAAGCAGTACTTGCTGCTTCCTCCATCTTCGGCCCAATGGGCGGATGTACAGTAGACGACGTCTCCATCAGAGAGTGTGCTCGTGATTGGGCCGACGTTGACGTTCGTGTATAGTGGTGGCAGGGTGGTCCAGGCACAGGGCTGATAATTCGTCATTCCGGAGGTCGAACTCATGGTCTGGTATGATCCAGTGTGTCCTTCGCAGTAGCAGCTATCCTCGTCGGTTTCGGAATCGTATTGATTGAGGCATGTCAGGGCAGAGGTAGTAGTAACAGACGTGCTGGTTTTGGTGGTCTTCGAACTAGTCTTTGTAGTTGAGGGCGCGGTACTACTTGTCGTTCTGGTAACGGCACCGCTACTGGTAGTGCTGGTTTTGGTGGTCTTCGAACTAGTCTTTGTAGTTGAAGGTGCGGTACTACTTGTCGTTCTGGTAACGGCACCGCTACTGGTAGTGCTGGTGGTTTTGGTTAGCGTTGTGGGAGTGGTACTCGCCCATTCTGACGAGAATTCTGCCAGGATTGAAGCATCTTCAGACATGATAGAAGAAGCCAGGGCGTTCACTGCTGCAGTGTCGATTGTGGTATCAGGGTAAATCCATCCAATTCCGTCGGTGAACGTTGGGCAAGCTGAGCTTGCGGTCCCAGTACCGCATGCCGCAGAGGTGATGGTGGTAGTTGATGTCGTGCCAGTCGCAGAACATCCCTCCACGGTACTACACGAAGTCGTGAAGCAGGTAGTCGTCGTAGTGGACCGGCCACTCAGGACGGTAGGGCTACATGTAACACCGCAGTCAGTCACAGTCCGAGTTTTGGTACATGTGGAAGTCGATGAAGTCGATGAAGTTGTCGAGGCTGTCGAAGAGTGTGTTGAGCTAGGTTCCGTTGTAGGATTGTCATCTTTGTTCGGATCATCATCGGGATTGCTGTTGGGCTTGTCATTCGGGTCAACATCCGACCCATCGTCGGTCGAGCTTGTATGGTCAGATCCACAAAGCCAAGCAAGAATCGCTGGGCATTTCAATTTGGGGCTCGAAATTGACGGCCGAATGGGATCAGGGATGATGATGCCACCGCCAGTGCCGATGTGGTCGTCATTCGTAGACGGAGGCCATGACTGGAGCACGATACCACCGGTTCCCACGTAGATCGGGCCTGTTGTGGTTTGGGTGCTCGACACGATGTACTGAGTCGTGATAATCGTGGGTGTAGTCAAAGTCTTAAATTCTGACAGGGTAACGAAACCATAGAGTCCAGTAGTGGATGCGTCGGACAGGGTGGTCCAAGACTGGCTTGAAGTGGTGCTTGAAGTAGTCGTGAGTGGAACGGTGGTTCCACCGATGATGACGTCCCCACCACCTGTCTCTAGGGAAACAGTCTGTGTGCCAACGGTGATCCAACCACCGGGTGTAAGAGTGGTGGAGCCAACTTGGAAGCCGCCGGGGTCCGCGGTGACGGTCAGGGTCCCAATTGTCAAGATCTCATCGGTATGAGATGACTTGGGAGTAGTATGTGAAGTGGTAGGCTTAGTTGAAGAGGTGATAAGCTTGGTCGAACTAGTGGTAGGCTTAGTTGAAGAGGCGATAAGCTTGGTCGAACTAGTGGTAGGCTTAGTTGAAGGGCTAATCGGCTTGGTAGATGTAGTGCTGGTCTTGGTCGAGGTTGTAGTCGGTTTTGTCGTTGGATCAGTCAACGTGGGCTTTGTACTTGGTCTGGTGCTGGTCGTATGAGTGCTCGTACTAGTAGTAGTAGTAGGAGTGCTCTGTGTTTTTGTCTTGGATGTGGAAGTATGCTTGGTCGCCGAGGGCGGGATCGTCATCGAGCCCGGACGAGTAGTTGTGGTCGTTGATGGAGAGTCAATATGAGTAGAGCTCCCGTCGATGATCAAGCCACCGCTGGGCCCTAACGACAAGGTATGCGTACCGACCGTCACTTCCCCTCCAGGAGTCAGGGTTTGACTACCCACTGCAAAGCCAGTTGGGTTAGGAGTCACGGCTACCGAACCCACATCAATAACTCCGAGGGTTGTCACGGTATCCTTAATGCACTCTGTTTTCGTGGTTCCCGCCGCCGTGGCACGGGTAGGATAGCATATAGAAGTCAGGGTATGGCCAGAAGTCGTGCCTGTGAAAGTCACGGCTTCCACTGCAGTATCCGACGGCTTGATGGTAAAAGCGGTTGCATGATCCGAGATTGTCAGAATCGTGGTGAGCGTTGCAGTGGCCTGTCGGTCGAAAGAACTGACCAGAATGGCTTGCCATTTCGAGGGACTCAGGGTAATATTGAAGCCCTCCATATTGGCGATATTGTCGCTAGCGCCATTAGATCGTGCATAAATTTGTGAAGTGCCACCAACAGAGCGAACTCTCCGATTGAAGGCAGCACGAGGAAATGCAAAGGTAGGCCATACGGCCGCCAAAAGAAGAAGGACCAGATGATGCAGCATGGTCCCCATCTAGTCAGGATTCTGAAATGTCTGAGAGAGTGTGTGAAAGCAATAAATGAGAATAACTTAGACTTTATATCGAAGAGGCTCAGATTTTCCGGCCAGGTTTCAATTATATCTCGTAGTTATCTAAACAGCGCAGACGTATGCTATCAAGTTACATAGTAGCTACATCGCTCCCAGATCGGCATCTGCGGGCAGACATCGCCCCAAAAGCAACGTCATGCTGAAGGTCTAGCCCCACCATAAGCAGGTTCTACAAAGGAGGATATCTTTTACTGATACAATGTAGAGATAACTCGAAGAGACATCAATTTTACGTTGAAGCACTACGGTATACCTCGTACTTCGTATTGTTTCCGATGTCCGAGTACCAAGACTTGGCCCCTGCATTGCCCCCACAAAGCGCACCCTTGATCTCACCAGTGGGGGCATTGATCCTCCGCGATTGATTGGGTTGAGCCCCTGGTTTCGGGGATTAGCCTTGATCAGTCCGGCTTACGGTGGGTCCGGAGCACAGAAAAGCCGTCAAGTATGGTATGTGTACGCACGTCTATACTTTATGTACTTTATGGCCCTTGGAAAGACTATTAGACCCCAAGCTTCTTGGCCATGAAATAACCCCTGTACCTAAGAGATTCAGATACGTATGCGCCGGGGGGCCTGACAAGGATGCCGTCATGAATAGTACGCTATACTGCGGCAGAAGGATGAGACTAATTCCGCCTCATCTGACATTTGTCCAAACCCCGCTGGATATTCTGTTTCTACTTCAGTTTGGCCCCTTGAGATGTGTTTCACCTCAAGAATTGGGACAAGGATCGAGTCTTACCGCGGGGGTGATATTTGTGTATAGATCAGAATCCTTTTCGAGAAAATGACGACGCCGACGTCGAAGGTCACCTCTTGAATGCATCTGAGTAAGATTCGCAAGGGGCCGAAGGCGATATCAGGTCAGGCTTCTACAATGAAGGTCGAGAGGCGAATGCTGCATGCGATCTGACCTGGTATTGAGTAGATGTTGGTGGGGGCTGTTCCCGATTATCTTTTATAGATCCTGGTACCCTTTGATTTCAGATTCAAGTCGGTAACTCAACGACGTATTTCATATTCTTGCTTTTCAAAGTCATTTCTCTGTTTGCTGGCCAATTTACACTGACTCAGTATGCTTCTGTCCTCAGGATGGCCAGCCTTGCTATGGGTGGCCACGGTACTGCTGGGCTTGTTAGCCCCAGTGACCGTAGCCGATGATATCAAGACATCAGAAACGTTCAAAGTTCTTACTAGCTCTGACAATATGGGAGGAAGCTGCGACTCCAAGACAACTCAGGTCGATGCTATGGTTCCTGAAATTCAGGCCTTGATCACGGCGGCGACCGACGCCATCGACACCCTCTTAAATCCGTCAACGTCATCATTACTGAGTTCCTCGAAGAGGAAGGATAGAATGCGTCTTCTTCTGCTGGCGAAGCAGTTTTTCGGTACATCTTTCAGCACCAAAACTCTCAAGGTGGACTCAAGCACCAAAGGAACGTTGACAACTGTCAAGGGTAAGTCAGTCATGGGACTTCGATGAGAAACAACGCTGACAGACACGATCAAATTAGGGAGATTCGATCAAATCACGGCTCAAATTAATGCCAAAGACAAGACATGGCGATTTGGCTGTGACGACTCGTGGCTTCGGTACACTACAAAGCTGCAGTCGGAGTATGCTAACTATGCAGTTGGCACTCCGATTGAGGAAATCCGTAAGTATAGCCCCCTCGTTGAACCCTGTCCAGTCATCTCACCCTTCTTTCATATAGCTGGACTTGGAAGCGGAGGAGCCTACACTTGGGCATTCTTTGACATCGGAGGTCCAACGCTGAGACCTGAAAAGAGTGATAATGATTATACCACTCAAATGACTTGGTACATGTCCCAAGCCAGAGGATGGTTTGACACAGGTCCATGCAGTGGTATTAAAAAGGGTACCCCAAACACGGTTTACCCGGATGCTCAGACTCTCAAAGACCAGCAGATCATTTACTTCTGCCCTCGTGTCTGGGATGACATCGGCACGCGACTCAAGGACGATGCTAGGAACTATAAGACTGCCACCATTGCTACCGATGGGACGCAGTATCTTGATAGTTACATGACCCCTGGAGCTACTCTGCTTCACGAGATGACCCATCAGGTATTTAGTTCAGGTATGCCCCTGTTTACCTATGCTTTACAGTCGCATTCTGGTGCTGATCACAGTCTACCGCAGACGATGGACCACCAACGGGTCTTGGGTATTTCTTTGAGAATGTTGCCAAAGGGAAGGATAATCCCAGTCAAGCAACCATGAACGCAGATAGTTATCCCTACTTTGCGGTGGCGGCATATCTTTCTCAGGTGCGATGGCATACTGGCATTGCGACGAAGGAATGAGAGAGGGGGAAAAGGATATTCATACTTTGAATAGGAGGAATTCCGTTAGTCAGATTGTAAACAACTCTATTCTACTATTATCGCGTGCAATTTGTCTACGTCGGACTATAGGGGGGAGAAGACCATAACCCTTTGTTCGTAGTCCAAGAGTCGGCGGAATCTCATTTTCAGGCATCCGTTCCCATATATAATCTACGCATATCCTAAATACCCTTTGTTAAAACGATTTCCCGCACCGAAATAATCGAGATCGATTTAGATGAAATGACTAATGAGATTACTAGAGCTAGAATGTAGATTTAATCACTAATTTAACACCAAATCCTCTTATAGTCTAACTTCTTTACCTAATCCTATTAATTATTACGATCGTAACTGAGATAGACGGGTTAGACAATTCCTAGACGGTTTCTTAGTTGATCTCTACGTTAATCTCCAAGCATGAAATGTACTTAGGGCGGAAGAAAGCGGTAAATGGTCTTTGAAGAAATTCAGAGTTATGGCCTTCTCCTCCCTATAGTCCGCCGTAATTTTGTCGTCATGAACGTCTTGGTTGAAGAATGAGATCTGGACGTAATCTACAAGATCACACATCGCCGCCGCTTTTTGGCTTCATCTTTCCCCAAGCCCAAATAGGCCTCACTCACCCAGACTCCGGTTAGAAACTGACACTGGATATTGGTCGCGCCGGTGCTTTCCCAAAAAACCTGGAGATCTTCTTCCCAGGTCAAGTCATCCTCTGCCTTTCCGAGTGCTTGAATGACAGCCGCTCGGTGCTCTGCATTGGCAGTCTTCATCCCCTTTCTCAAAGATGTATCGGCAAATAAAATTGCCCGATCCTGAAGGCTCTTCCACTCGATGCAGCAGAACAGAATTTTCTCTCCTTTGGATGACTCGATAGTCGTAGTTGAGAACGACCTGACGGGGACGTGTGCCAACCCCGCACACGACGCTCCAGGCCAGTGGGGCTCAAGGAATGGGTACAGCATCATAGGACGCTTGGGACACAAAAAGGTGATGAATTCCAGGCACTTAGGACCGGAGTCTGCGCCCGGATAGATGAGTTTGATGTCATTGGGTAGTCTAAGACTAGACTCTCTCAAAATGGGGAGTTGCAGGAGGGGTGAGAGTAGGCGGTTCAGAGTCGAGGTCTCAGACGAACACTCGGCCTGGATGCGTTGGAACTTTTCATCCGGGCATTGTGCTGAGGTTGTTAGAGCCGTGTAGACTTGTACATAAGTTGCAGACTCACGGTAAAGATAAATCACTTTCTGAGGGTTCTCCTGGTCCACACAGCAGTAGCTGTACTCTGCAATCTTCTGGTTATAATCGCGGGTCGGAGTACCTGGTATATCCAGGCCTACGTCGCGCAGCCGCGCCAGGCTCTTGAACCAGACATCATGGGAGGGATGCGATACTTTCTCCAACTCTGTTGCAGACTCTCGTAGATTGAGCGTAATAGTGCAAGCCATGGTCATTGAAATGGGAATGAGAGATGCTCATGCTCATCTTGCAAATAGGAAGGTACTTGTTTCAATTCCAGTGGCCTTCCTACGTCAGCATAAATGGCCCCAACAAAGATCAGCGGTCAGCATCCAGCCTTGCCACCAGACTATGAGTGAAACCGGTGTCAGGCACCCATATCACCGTAACCAAAGAAGGTGAAGTATCAAAGAGGAAGAGTTCAATGAAGAGTGGGAGTATTTGATTATTTGGACTTGGCGATCGGGCCGGCAAAAAGATATCGGACACCGAGAAAGCAACTTCACACTGTCATACATGAAATCATGGTAAGCACCAGATGAGATCACGCTCTCATTCGAAAGTGTTTCTAGGTGTTTCTTCAGTGGCGACCCCATCTCGTCGGCGAGACAACGATTCTAGCCACCCCTGCCGCCTAATGTTGAATACTGGCCCTTCTGGCTCGCTAGACCAGGAACATACCCGAAAAACTATTTTAGACGAAACAATGGGCAATATCAGCTGACTAGTGAATCTGAATTCGGTGGAAATGTGGATCTACGTATTTCGAGCATGTATTTCACTACCCGCACCCTCTTAGTCGAAGATAGCGTAAACATCTAATGATTTATCGGGGATCGACTGATTGTCACTCACTTTGCGAATTCTTCCATATATTTCAATCTTCCTTCTATCTATATACAATACACGAGCATCATGTTGGATGGCAATTTTAATTCAGCTTCAAGGCTTTGGAGATCCGCGGGAAGATTTCCAGAGCATTTCCGTATTTGATCGAGACCATCTCCTCGTCCGTAAAATTGCCATTCGTCTGGATACCTTTCAGGCCTGGCACAGCCTGGGTGAGTGGCACGTAGGGATCTGTTCTCGTCAGTACACCGGGTGTCTTTATAATCTGAGAATATACATCGCAGGAAAAGGGAACCTACAGTCAATTCCAGTCACGAGCTTTCCCGCCCCAATAAAACTCTTCAGAGCCGTAAGCTGGATGGCAGTTGTCGCGCTAGCAAGATCGAAATAATATCCAGCGAGTTGAGCCATCGTTTCGACGAAAGGAATCCCGCCCGCGTAGTCAAGTGTCGCGACGCCGGCGATACGACTGGCCAAATAGGGCATTGCGCCGCCACCGTGGGAGAAAATCATCTTGAGATCTGGGTATTTGGCACGCTGGCCAGTCAATAGTAGATTCTCCATGGCCCGCACGGTATCGAAGGGATACTCTGTCATCGGAAAGGGGTGACCCAGAGCGACAGATGAACAACTTGGTGCAGCCGGATGCACGAAGACGCTGGCATTGTGGGCACTGAGTGCTGAGAAAACGGGGTCCAAAGCAGAATCACCCAAGTACGTGCCATTCGTATTGGTGTACAAGCCCACACCCACAAATTTGAGGGTGTCGATGCAGAACTGAAGGAGAAGGAGATTAGATGATCGGGTAGGCATCATAGGGTATATCATATCAGTAACGTACCCGAACTTCCTCTACTGCCTCTTTGACGTGAGGAAGAGGGAGAAGACAAAGTGCTCCGAGCCGAGTCGGGTAAGTCTGGGTGTATTTGTGAAGCAAGAGATTGATGCTACGGGCCAAAGTCTTGGCCTTCTTAGCATCGTTGATAAAGGAAACACCTGGCGCAGTGATACTGATGGTCGAGTAATTGACTCCAAGAGTGTCCATAGTGCTGATGTGCGAGCTCAACGTCCAATCAGGAACCGGCGCACCATCATTGTACAAAGTACCGTTCTTGACGGGGAAGCCTGCTGAGATCATCGCATCTGTCCAAATCGTTGGAATAGCATGAGAATGAACGTCAATGCGATAGTTGGTCCCAAGAGAAGTAGTTGCATGGCAGCTGACAAGGCATGCCGGGATAATTCCCAATAATAGAGTTCGGAAGAGGGAGGGCATTTTGATTATTGAAAAAGATTATAAGAAAGCATGCAAGACAGAAGTGCGATATGTATGAGGGAGTCAAAATCCTGACAGGTAAGTAAAAACCCGGAGCCAAGATGGAAGAAGCGAAAGATAACATTAAATAAGAAAAGCTAATATAGGCGTAAAAATTGCCGAGTGGGAATTATGAGCTACGAGAAATCGAAGGAGAGGGGAAAAGAAGCTAGGATGAGACTAAGGGAGACCGAGGCTAGAAAGTCCAATGCAGGCTCAAGCCATCGCGTCTGAATACAGCTAGTATGAGCAACGAACGCCAAATCAATACAGCCAGTTGGGAATGCAACTGCCAATTTGGGTCTACTTATATTCAGCCGTCTTGGCAGAGACAATTTATTACTTCGGACGGATAAATACAACTCCTGTAGCTACTAGTATCGTGACAAAAACGCTAGAACGCCCTTATTTTCTTACACTTTGTCGTTGATAGTAACACGGCACCCAGCTCAGCTAGTCCAACAGACCTGTTAGAGACCTGGATAGGAATCGTTGGAGATCAGGATCGGGAAGCCGGTTTGACAGCACCGAATGGAGACCTCCCAGCCCAATCCGCTGTACTAACGGCAGGTGGAAGAATAAGCGGATGCTCATGTTTCTTGAAGAACACCAATGCTAGAGAATTCTAAATGCTTCAATAGTGATCAAGTTATACATCATAAAGTATTAAAATACATGTCATGCCCTCCTAATTTCCTGCCACGACGGCCAATCCCTCGTAAATCTTCCTTTTCACAGCAAGGAAGCTGCTGGCATTACGGCCAAGAGCCGCCTGGTTAGCTGATGCCTGCGCCGCGGCTTCAATCTCAATTCTACCAGTGGCCGACTTTCGCACAGCGACGGATTTGTCGATAAGAAGGGTACCTTCTCCACGAAATTCTGCCGTGTGCCCAGCGGCTTGCATGAGCTTGCGAAGGTCAGCAAGACGAAGGTCGCCGACGTGAAGTGGGCGGGTCATAGACCGGGTAACAGCAGCCATGCTGGCCGGCAATGTATCGAGAAGAGGGAATGCTTCATGCTTCTCTGCTGTCTTGGCAGCACCATTGAAGGTCGGGGCCACTGCAGACGAAGCTGCGTCATCTTTGGCTAGCTTCATCTTCTTGCCAGCTGCGTCGACGTCGGCATCTTCTTCCTCTATGGGAAGCTCGGGTGCCCGAAGTTGCGCGGTCAGCGCCACAACACCCAAGCTGCGAACATGCTGCCAGTTGAGACGTTTGACGAGACTGTTGCTCAGCTTGACCGTCCAGGCATTGGTATCGACACTTGCGTCAATGACCTCTCCATTTGCGGGAGTGAAAATGATAGCTGCAGCATCCGCACTTGTAGTCGAGACATCACCACCAACCTTGACAGTGAGTAGCTTCTTGCATTCGTCTGCCAATGCTGAAGTTTGATCCTTCATTCCGCCAACAAGGATCAACTTTTGTGGCTGGATAAGCGGGATCAGCATCTCCAAACTGCGCTTGTCGTGCAAGCCCATGAAATCCACAAAGGCAATGCGGGCGTTGATCGTGATAGTCTCTTTGTTATACACAGCCTTAGCGGGACCCTCGAAGGATTGCATGTCTGCCTCGTCTTCCGAGGATGCAGCCGCATCAGCACCGTCGCCCTCCGAGGGGAGGCTGAGGTCATCGGCGATGCCCGAGTCAACTTTCTGGCCGTTGGTCGACAAGTGCTGGCGCTTGCGACCTCCAGCGCTGTCGGATAGCCTGCGTCCACCAGTCCCAGCTGCCTCGTCCCAACGTCTCTTCTGACCGAGCTTTGTCTGCGCGTCAGATCGCCGTTGTTGCATATCGATTTCTTCACGCTCCTCTGCGCGAAGATACTCCTCCGGTCGAATAAACTCTCCATATTCGTCTCCTCTCTTCCGCGGCGCCACGTACGGGAACATGCGTTCGCGCCCCTTCTTGCCTCGCACGTCGTAGTCGTAGACATTCTTACGCCGAAGAAGGACGTTGATGCCCAAATCTTCATCAGTAAGAGCCAATTTATTCCGATTCGAGTGTGCGAGCGTTGTTGAAAAGTTGAGAACTCGGCCCTGCTGTTCGCCATCGGAGTCTTCTGAAGAGGTTGAGCTAGACCGGTCGTCCAGGGCATCTGCCGCAGTCTCCAGATCCTCCTGTCCTCGTGCCTGTGAAGTATCTTGGAGTTGTCGTTTTGTAGCCAGATACTGCTGGTAGAGTAGTTGGTCCCTCGCATCCAGAGGGGCTCGCTGGACGTCGGTCCAGGTCAACTCTCGTCCGCCGCTGTGGACTTGCTCGAGTAGTTCTCCATCGGGTCCTTTTTCCAACGCGACTCCGTCTCTTCGTTCCTCGTACCATTGCCATATCATACTTCCAAGAGACGCGGTGCTAGCAAGTTCCTCCATGGAATCGGACTTCGTTTTTCGGAAGGATTCGGTCAACAACAGTAGATTGTTGGGACCTTCAGCGACTTGTCGGAGGGAATCCTTTGAGAATCCCCATGCCAAAGAGGTATCGGAAGCAAGGATTACTTTGGGTCCCTGATCAGCCAGCAGCTTTTCGAGGCGTTTCTTACGCTCGACGGTCTTTAAGTGCTTGAAAGCAAAGGGGCCGACGCCTTTCCCGCTTCCCTTGTCCTGTCCCTGGCCGCCAGTCTTTTGGCCGTCGGCACCTTCAGCTGCCTCGAATTCTCGAACGATATTCTCGTCCATCCACTCGAGCATACTTCGGGCGAGTCGCATCGTAGTGTTAACTTTCCGGCCAGCTAGGTAGAGACCTGCACCCTGGAGCACATCACCCTTCTCGCCAGTCGATGCTTCGCGCCATGCGTGCTCGAGGGCATACGCCAGTTCCAGGACACGCGAGCTCGTGTCCGTCGGGATGAGGACGGTACCTCCCTTAGCCAGACTGCTTCGAATCATGTCCAGCAAAAGGTCGTCTCTCTTTTTTCGGCCGCCCGAAACCGCAAACTTATCACCCCCTTGGGAACTACAGATCAGAGCCGTTGGCTTTCGCAACTGCTCAATAACCTCAGTTCCACTCGCTCCTGAACCACCGAACCATGCAGCACCTGCCACGACGCTCTCTCGAGCCTGGTTCCAGTCCATTGCATACACGATGGATTCCATCCCGTGCTGAATATGCCATATCGTTCCTCCAACAGTGTGTCCAGCATTGTAGGCAGTAAGGGTGAGTCCGTCCAAGGGAGGCGAAAACGGAGACGGGAGCGGTTGGTGAGGCTGCGAGTATTTGAGAGGTGTTATGAGGGAGAAATATCGGGCGATTTCCTCCGTTGTTGGTGCTTGAAGGAGAATCCGACCAGAGCTGCCAGCAGTTCCGGTGCTGTCCTCACCATCTCCGGCGGAGCCTACTGCGAACGCTGCCGACGCGCCAGGTTCTGAGATTGAGGCTTTCGGGAGAAATGTCGATGCAAGTGGCGACGAGACATAGAGGTCTTGCAAGCATGTGCGGCCGAAAGCAATGACCGGGCTCGTCGCGTAGATCGGAATCTGAGTGAATAGAGGGAACGTTCGACAGCAGTGGACGAAAGCACCAATATGCGCTGGAGTCGCATGGGTCAGGAGAATCAATGAGAGAGTCGGTATATGCCTATTGGAGACATTCGGTCAGCTTCAATTGTTCAAACAGTGAGAGAGGCGCGGATCCAAGCTCACTTCTCAAGCTCTGCCAGGTCACGAGTATCAAAGGTTTCGTCCCAACCGACGTCCACCAGAATTTTGATGCCTCCATCCAGCTCTAGAATAGATTGTGATGCTCTCGAGGATGATGACTGTGCCCCAAGTAGGGGAGTGAATGTGAACATTGTGATTCCTGGTCGTTGAGAGACGGGAGCATGCACCCAGGTGTTTTCGCGATGTCGAACGCGCAATCGAGTCAAGTGTTGGATTTTTCGTTCAAGAGGCTGAGCGATCCATTATCTCATAACGGCCAGTGGAAACGCCTCCCCTCTATCGAAGCGCAGAAAGAAGAGACTGGGTAGAGCTGAGCAGTGAGCGGGTCCTCTGTGACTGCCAAAGCTGCCTTTGTCGGCCCCGACAGAAGTGTTTGTGCTGTTTGTGGGCAACGATCAGGTGATCTGGGGGAACTATGAGGAAAGACGGAATCATGCATGATGATAAAATGATTGGCACTCAGAATTCAATGAAACGACAAATCTATGAAAATTTAGACATATCTTGCAAAAGGACAATAAGCAGAATAGCTAGCTACGCGCAAAATTCAAAATCGCTCCACCCAGATATTCTGCTTGACCCTGGTCTTTGGAAACTACCACAATATATATCTCTCAATTCTCGGTTCCTGAACACCTCTCCTAAGTTTGACCCAATCGGTGATTTGTTGTTAGATCTTGCAATCACCTGGCGAATTTCTCAAATTCTTCCATCACTTATTGCACGATATTCAAAGCTTCACACCTCGAGGAACCTGATGTACTAGTCATTAGTGGCGCTTTTTGGCCGGCCATTTCTACTCCTCACTCACCTCTTGTGGCTTCTTCATCTTCAAAAATGGTCTGTTGGCTGTAGGGACCTTGGACATATTCGTCTTGACATCCCTTCCGACATCTACGGGCATTACAGCCCCGGCCCATGATCGAATTCGACGAAAGGCTTCGACTTTCGGGTAGTATTTCTGGCGCGCTTCGGGATCATCGACGATATCATTGCACATGCGGAAATACTTGGAAGCTTCATCCATCTCGTTAGATGGAAGCTGTAACTTCAATGGATCTTGGCTGACAGCCCCAGCAAGGGCAGCAAATTTTTTTGCTGCTCGACTCGAGCCTGGAGCCAACTCCTGAACTGGACCTTTATTTGCAGCTTTCCCACAGCCGCGTTGCTTTGCCTGAGCTCTGTGTGGAAATATTACTTGAGCAGGGTACTGTTAGTGTCTGGTGTATTGTCGGGCATAGTGTGTATGCTCTCTAGAAAGAGAATGGATGAACTCACATTGTTCGTTTTTAATGAACCGTTTTGCTGTTGAAAGCAGACAAGTCAGTATAGTTCCGAACCAATATTTCGAAGTGAATGAAGGAAACACAGCATGTGAAGCTTCATGGGTGATAGGTATCTGCAAAGTTCGACTGCCTCGTCCACGAGGTCCTATGCACAAATCCCTAGGCAATGAATGCATCCAATGATGGCCAATAATATAGCTCTCGGGCAGACATACGTCCTCCAGAGAAGTGCTGGTGATGCATCTGAATATCTTCAGAGCGTGCGGGCAGAGATACAAAGAAATGGTCCAGGAATGGACGAAGACAACAAACAAAACACATGTGTACTCACCCTTTCGCATACGCTCCTCTATATCTCCACCTGCTCTTTGAGCCTGGAAAGTTGCCGCGCTCTGTCCACTCAAGGCAGATGGATTCTCTATCGTTTCAATATCCCGAGCCCCCTCAGCGTGCTGTACCTGCCGATCAGCGTTCCCCCCAGCCGTGCTCTCGGCTGCTTCTGCTCCCTCGTTGAAAAGCCGCTCTGCCGAAGTCTCGACCTTCAGCGTAGCAGTCGGGTCGACAGTAGAATATTGGCGGTCTGGAGGGTCAAACGTCCCGAAGCGATGGTTCCTCACCCGTTCAACAAACCGCGAATACTCCCCCATGTCGGGTCCGATCTCACCCGGCCGCCAGGCAAGCGACGGGCGTTCGAACTGCTTCATGTCTAGCACCTTGGGCCTATTTTTGAGTATGAGCTCACCCTTACGTGCATTTGCCTTGATCCGTTCAATGAGCGGGTCGTTTGGAGGCAACACACCTGTTCCGCCGAAGCGTATTAGGGGCGGTACTGGATTCTCGACATGGGCGATGTAGCGTGCATTTTCTCCTTTCCGTATAGCGTCTCGTAGTTGCCATCGAGACAATGGATCATCCAATGCCTCTCTGAGACGAGCGCATGCGTACATGTAAAGCTCATGGCCTGTCAATGTGCCCCAGCCTGCAGACGAACCTGGTTCAAAGTCCCACTTGACACACCCAAGGCCAATGGTGTAGTCGTTAGCCCTCGGATGGCTGCCTGGTGCTATGCCCGGGATGTGAGTTTTGCCAGGGTATGTCCTGATCAAATCTTTCTCAAGATCCTCGCCAAGGGGCCGTTTATCAAGTTTGGTTCTCCATCGAGGAAATGGTGCGCCTTCTCCATAGAAGATTCTGGGTTGACCCGATGGAGCATCCGCTGCAAGAGGAAATTCCAAGGCGGTTTCCGATAAACCAACCCTGGGAAGAGGCTTGCTGGGACTCGGCTGTGGTGGTGGCTTCGGGGAAGATAGCTTATTTTCTGCAGGCGGATTTTGTCGTTTATTTTGCTTCTTCCCCTTCGGAGCTTGAGCAACAGCTGTCCTTCCTATTCTGCTCGTCGTGCCGCTCGTCGTACTTGGGTTGCTGATCGGGGCTGCCTTCTTCGGCATAGAACCTGTCTGAGATCGTGTTCGAGGAGCCATGGTGCTAGTCTAGTATAAGCTAACAGTCAACGAATTTTCACTTACATGAGGAAAATTGAATGGGAGGGTCACCTGTGTACCAAGCAATATGATCTTGTCTTTGCGACGTGACTCAAACAAGGAACTGATGGTATTCAAGAACGAGAAGCGGTTGTGATGGATAATAAAAGAACTGCAAGATCTGGGGCTCTAGTCTGAAGGTGATCATGGTCTTTTAATTTCTGGGAACTCGCACAAACAAAGGCATGTCTTGTGTATGTGACTCGAATAGTTTCTTTGTTTCCAAACGTGCCGACGCAACAGCAAGATCGTCGGCCAGCCGCAGTGATACTCAGTCCCTCGGGTCTCAGCAAAGAGTCATTCTTTGTCTGAATGTATGAGAGAACTTTCAAGTAGATGTTGCCCTACGTATAGGTGCTCCACAGGTCACACTCCTAGGTTGGGCTGATGACATGGGAAAGCTCAAGTGGAACAAAGGTATCTTGTTTCTCAACCAAATGATTGATGGTAGAAGTGGGATTCCCAACAAAGAAAAAGATCGTATTCACTCGAGAATGTCAGAAGCTTTGGCTTTGACTCGTATAATCACTCGATACGTGTAGCACTGCAGCACTCATACAATATGGTCAACATGTTCGGGAAACCTTCATCTACTGTGCTGGAGCAGATGAAAGATCCCTATCGTATTTATCTCACTCGAGGGAAAGCCTCTACGGGCACACTGACGAATATCTCATGCTCTGAGAAGATCTACAGATTATACTGGTAGCTTATAATGGGCGATTTATTGCTCCATAATTCTGGATTGTAAGATTGGAGAAGACGAAACAAGATCAATGGAGTGAATGCAACTCATTGGGTAATGATAATGGAATACAGGCTGTGTGAAGCCGGTTTTCGTGAAGCTCAAGCTGAAAACCTTCGAGCCGGATACTACAATAGCAAAGCGAAGGAATCTGCCTAGTAGATCCGGAGAATTTTCACCTGAGACATATTTTATTTGCAGTCAATACAGAAGGAGATCAGGGGAACATTCGAAGCTATGGTTCCGTTAAATTTGAAAGAAACGCCCGTCCATCCAAACAGTCAGATCCGCGAATTTAGAATGTGGCTGCTCTACAATGCCAGGTCCACAAGGCTGTGCTGGCCAGCTACCAGAGACAGAAGCGAGTAAGACCTATTGAGTGAAACAACCTGGAACCGTGTCGGATGGCGCACACAAAGAATGGGTTCCAAGTCATCTTGGAAGGATCCGGTACCCCGAGAAACAAAGAAATGGATATTCAGCAGTTGGGTGCTGACTCGGATGCCATGTTTTGGAGTCTTGCTTTGTCCTTTGCCCCTCGGTTTGACTGCAACCATTCGAAAGTTCAAAGAAAGGTCCACACCACTGAACTTGACCCCTGGAACATCCCAGGGGCGCGGAACCCATGTATTTCTACATGCTGTACAATGCTAAAGCCGAATTAGGCGGCGCCTTAATTGCTCATCCCAATCTTCAAAAATGGAGCAAATTAGATGATTAATTCTCTGCAGGTGATCTATCCACAAGAACATGGATTTTCCGCCCTTCCTATTCCAGAGTATTTCACACATCACAAAATCATAAGTCCGAACAGCCTCTCACAAGCAATTATTTTCTGTCAAATGGCCCCAGGCTGTGGCGAGCCATGTATAGCCAAGTTTACTGCCAATACCTGGGCTCGTCAAAGACGTGGTAGCGGTGACCGCGAACACCCTCGCCGCGGAAGAGCGCAGGGAAGCGTCGGCCAACGGGGACCAACTCCTCCGGAACACGGACTTCCTCCTCGGGCTCGGGCTCGCCGATAACGAACTTGCCGACCTGTATCATGAATTAGTCATGTCATGTGTTTGGGTAACTTGGTGTTGTCGGGAGAGTAGCATACCTGAATCTCAGTATCGGTGATGGTGTCGCGGCTGATACGGGCGTAACCAGTACGCTTCAACTTCTTGAAGAGAATGTACTCGCACCAACGGTCCCAATCGGTGGGATCGATATCCTTCATGCCGCTCAACTCGCTGACATAGGTGTTGTAGTTACCCTCGAGAGGCTTGGTGACGAGATAACTCAACAGGATCAAGGGGCGAGGGGACGAGCCCATCAGCTTAGACAGATATTCAGTCTGAAGACGGCGGTCCTCGGGGTCCTCCTCCTGACCGGAGTGGAATACGACAACGTCAATCATCTCACCGTACATATCGAGAGTAGCGTGGATGGCAGGAGCCAGCTCACCAACGGGCGAGGGGAGAAGGTGATGGGTGGAGTTGACGATAGGGAACTTGGACAGCAAGGCAGAGCCCCAGGTGTGCTTGTTGGGGCCAGGACCAAAGTCAGCATAGTAGCCGAGGTCCTCTGCGATGTACTGAGTGACATCCTTGTTACCCATGATGATGCGTTGGTTGTCGGACTCGAGGAAGCCGATCACGTCCAGTTCCAGTTCGCCCAGAACATCGCGCATACGGCGCTCGGCGGCCCACATGTTATTGTCCAGACCGAAATGGACGGTCCAGATACCGGCGGTAACAACCTTGTCCTCCTTGTGGTGGGGGACGTAGTCATTGGTCGGGAAGCGCAGGTAAGCCACGGAAACGGAGAGCAGCTGCAGTGCCGCCAGCACGTAGATGTAATACGAGCGCTGACGCTTGCTGTTGGGGCTAATGGGCTTCTTGCGGGAAGAGCGAGTAGAGTTGGTAGTAGCAGCGGAGAACACACCGGCACCGATGGCGAGCATAGTCGTCATCATGAGCCAGTCAGTGTGCTCTCGCACGAGAGGACCACCAGGAACGAAGGCATAGGCAACAACCCAGACGTGGAAGAGCAGGAGGAAGACGTAAAGGAGGAAGCCAACTCCGAAGGTGCTAGCAGCGCCGTGGCGAACGCAGGAGGCAATGAGAACGGGGGCAACGGCCATGATATAGAATGCAAAGGCCAGAGCACCGTAAAACCCAGTCCAGTGGTGGTAGTAAGTGAGAAGAGTTGCACCAATGGATCCAAGTCCAAAGGCCGTCCAGGTACCTGCGATCGCAGGGTTGAAAATACCATAGACCAGACCAGCGCCCATAACGAAGATAGTGACGGCACCGTGCGGCACGGCAATGGGACCACGAACGGGATATCCTTCCCAGACCCAGGAGATCATGGTGCTGGAGTCAGTCAGAAGAGAGACAATGGCAAAGAGAAGACCGCCAAAGCCAAGACCGGCCAAAAGGGCAGAACCCTTCTTGCCGCCAGCGGGCAGATAGTCACCACCGCTGGTGGTCGTGGGGCGCTGGGAGCGCAGGACAGAGAAGATCGCAAGGAAAAGACCAATCTTGTTCCAACCACCATTCTCGGCATGCATGGTGGGCCAGAGAGGGTTGTTGGTGGAGCAAGCGAACTTGGCAATAACGGACATAATCAGACCGATGCCCCAGGCCATGATCCGAGTCTCCAAGCGGGGCGTGTTGGCACGCTCGGCAAAGAAGGTAGCAGTCCATGCGGCACAGGTGACTGCGAGAGCAAAAGTAGTCACGAACAGACGGTGAGCAGGATTCTGGAACCTGTAGGCCAGAAGACCGGACAGCGAGATCAGATGGAGGAGCCGCAGGTTCTTAACTGCAAGCTGTCGCAGGGAAGGGATGGCAAAGAAGAACGGCGACACGACAGCCACAATCGCAACCTCGTAGCCTGAGATACCCATGTGCCAAAGTGGGAAGTCTACTACAGTTAGCACGTTCGGCAGTCAAGAGGTGAGAAAAGTACTCACACCACACGAGCACGGGAAGACCGGTCACAATGGTCCAGAAGACAAACTATAGAGCCTAGTTAGCGGATGAAGCAGATATAAGGTTGCGACTTCCAAGGTCATACCCCATTGTAGACATCAGCAGCAGCGTCAACGATCTCAGTCCAGAAAAAGCCCTCGCCAAAAGTGTTGCCCACGGGCTTGCCCTTCCTATACTACATGTTAGCCTCCGTGTGGGGCCGAAAAAAATGGACTTATAATGGGATGTACGCACTCTTTCTCAAGAACAGAATCCGCAGTCGTTTTCAACTGTCTAAATGGATAATTGCCAATTTAGGAAATGTCTTTTCTTCATAACCAAACGTGACATGCGGCACTATACATTTGTCGTGGGTGTCATTTCGGAAGCCACGGTACATACCCTCTGCTGATACCCTTGATATCCCGAATCACAATTTCGAATCCTTCAAAGTCGAGCACGGTGATGGCGTCGAAGCCGACATCGAACAGAATCAGGGACCACTCGAAGAAAGCGTAGCGGGTGTATGCTAAGGGGAACATGTGTCTTAGTAAATTAATCTGGGCGATATTGGAGTGGGTCAAGTCAAATCTTACCTCCAGCCACCTTGTGAACCTTGTGTTGAATGAAGTAGTAGATCAATGGCACCAAGGTTCCGAAGAAGAGGCCAGCCATGATCTTACGATACTTGACGGCACGACGGTTGTTGGGGCTCAGCGCAAGGCAGCCCAGCGTCCACGGCAAGGTTGCAACGAGGTACGAGATCATGAAGATATCGTGCCAGTCATGATCGTCAGTGGAGGTGACATAGGTCCATCCACCGCAGGTCAAGGTGCGGAAGACACCCACGCCAGCGACGATCTTAGGGAGAGACGAGTTCGGACGCGCGGTAAGCACGTACCACAAGAAGACGAGGGCGAAGCGAGGACCGGAAGTGATGGCGATGAAAACTTGGAAGAACGAGCGTTCGGGATAACGATCACCAATCGTCGCGGAGACGGAGGGAAACCATTCGTCGGGATAGCCGTAGTGTTCATTCTGAACAATCTTGTGGTAATGCAAAGCGCAACCGACAATCAACGCGCTGAAGAACGCGGCATACGCGAACAAAGTGTGAGTCCATGAAATCCATTTTCCGTTGATCTGCATTGTTCATTCAAAAGTCAGTGTCTATCCGAGGAGCTTATCGCGTGTGTCAAGCCACGTACGGAAACCACGGCATCACCGTCTTTAAATCTGGGTGCCATGGCGGCGCAGAGAGAGGTCGAAGCTCTGCACCGATATATAGGGAAGCCGAGAAAGAAAAAAGGCTGAAACGAATGTGAAGAATCGAAAGATTAGAGAATGACGATTTGTAGAGAGCAAGGGCCCCTGAGGAAAGGAAAACATTCGGATGCACCGGTGCTCCAGAGTGTCCTTGACGGACTGGCTGCCTGGCTAACCCGAAAGGGTTTAGCGTGGTTCTGGTGGTCGGTGCTTTGGTCAATGCGGGATGCCGATAACTTTTTTTTCTTCCTTGAAGATCACCACATCAACCATGTCCGCCGCCACAGATAAGGCTCGATTCTTTCTCGAGCAGTCAGTGCCCGAGCTCAAGGAGTATGAGCGCAAGAAGCTTTTCACAAAGGTCGGTACCTCGCTGGTAGTCCGCCTAAAATTGGGCCTGCGCGCTAATGTTGCCTTTTCTCAATTTATAGGATGAAATCACCTCGATCATCAAGAAGCGGTCCGACTTTGAGCACAAGCTCAATGCGCGTGGCGCTGCTCCCGTCGATTTTGTGCGATATGTCGAATACGAGATGAACTTGGAGACCCTGCGAAAAAAGCGAGTAAAGAGACTGGGAATTCGGTCAGCTGGACACAGCGGCCAACGACGCATTTACTTTATTCTTGATCGCGCCACTCGCAAATTCCACGGCGACCTTAACCTCTGGATTCAATACATTGAATATGCGCGGAAACAAAAAGCCAACAAGAAACTTTCCATCATCTTCACGGACGCCCTTCGGTTCCATCCGACCAGCGCAGAGTTATGGGTCTATGCCGCCAAGTACGTTCTCGATGACCATGCGGATATGTCCCAGGCGCGAAGCTACATGCAGCGCGGCCTCCGATTCTGCAAGAGCTCAAGGAACCTATGGCTTCAATATGCCAAGTTGGAATTGATCTACATCGCCAAGCTGATCGCTCGTCAACGGATATTGGGATTGGATGAGGAGCGGCCGACAAAAGTTGAGGTGGCCGGGGAAGGGCTGGACGGTGACATGATTGCGCTTCCGGACATTACCGACGAAGATATCAACCCAACACGCAACGATGGTGAAGTCGACCAGCAAGCGTTGCAAAACCTGAACTCCACCCCGGCTCTGACCGGTGCGATTCCCATTGCCATTTTTGATGCTGCGATGAGGAACTTCCACAATGACGACCGATTCGGCGCCGATTTCTACGACATGGTTTTGGAGTTCCAGGATGCGCCCTGTCTCCAGAAGATCCTGGGGCACGTGGTGGACACGATGCGGGCGCACAAGCCTACCAGCCCTCGTACGCAGATCTGTTACATCAGGTTCCCCACTGCAGGCATTCATGTCACATCTGCGGAGTTCCCTCGAGCCCTTGGTACCTCTCTGGTCCGTCTTCGGGAGTCGGCTTTGACCCATGATCTGGCCCAAGAGGTGGTGAGCTGGCTGCAACCCATTGCAGACACGGAGGACCTAGACCCTTCGCTGAAGAAGGTCATCCTGGCCACTTTACGCACCGCGGAGCGCGCAGCCTCCAAGGAGTAAACAAAAAACTTATTTGTGTTCCTCTTTAGCGTACTCGGATATTCTTTTGCACATTCTATGGCGTTGTTGGGTTGGACACGAAGCAGAAAAAAGGGAAGATAGTTTATTATGTGGTATATGCGCTAGTCATAATGTTAGCTCCTTTATGGAAGAGGAAGAACAGCCAGTCCCATCCTCAATCATCGTATTTATTGCCCCGCCGATTGCTCTTTTTGCTGCTGTGGAACTTTTTCGACTTGAGTCGGGCCTCATTTTGGGTGCGCTGTCTGTAAGCCATTAATTAGGAAGGTGTGTACCACTACCATGGGGTGGATATGGGCGATGCTGCTAATTTTAAGCAAAAGGAAGAGAGAAAAAAAAAGAGGAGCGGTGGGCCTACAATTTGCTCACGCGATCTTTCTGTTCCTGGGACGTTTCGCCCGGGATAACCTCTTTAGCCGAGCTCACCAGGAGCCGATTAAGCTTTTCATAGCACAATTCCACGTTGGTGGCCTGCTGCCGGGATTCGTCCGATTGGATTACCAATGCCTGCGAACGGTCGGTAGCGTAGCGAGAAGAGCGTAATTGAGGATGTAAAAGAGGCGGCACCAAAGGGAAGAGCGTGGCCAGCGGTACTTTTAAAGTAGCTTTAGAATTGACCCTGTAGGTTTGGCTCGCCGCGGTTAGCTCCGAAGCCCTGCAAGAAAGTTGTACGAGTTGGAGAGAGTAGGGGGAACCGTTCGCACGGATCGGATTTGCACCGACTTGTTCACGTTCTGACCGCCGGGCCCGCTTGAACGACTGAATGAGACCTGGCCGACATGGCGGGGAATGGCCTTGAGGCCCGACTCGAAGGCCGTCAGCCACCGCCTCGCTAGCTCGAGGCCGTGAGGGTCGTGAGGGTCAGATGACCCCGTGGAAGCAAACTTTGCACTCCGGCCGGACGAAAAGGGCGCGGTGAATGGTAGGAATGGAGAAGATGGCGTTCTGCTCCACGAGCGAAACGCGCACCACCGTGCTCGCGGCATTTGGTGCTTGCGCCCAACGCCGAAAAGGGGAGAGAGAGGACCAGAATAATGTGAGATGATATGCCAAAACTTGAAGGATTAGAAAGATGAACGTCTCAGGTGGAGCTTGCCCTGACTAATTCGAAATTTCCAGGGTGCGCACGGAAAGGAAGTTCTCCGACGTTTGGTCTCTTTCTTGTCCTGACCAGTCTGGAAGCGCAGCCCCTCAGCGTGGCAGGTTCGGGGAGTGGGTTCCCACTAGTAATAAGGTGGACGTAAGAGCGATGAGGCACCTGCTCCGGGATCAAGCACTGACGGGCTCCCCTTTCATCTTCGGAGCGTGGTTCCAGTAGCTGGGTAGAAAAGGTCGGGGAGCATTGGCATGGAGGCTGGAGCTGCGATGGACCTGCCATACCGTGGTCGTGTCATTGGCGGAAAGTGGTCAAAGTCACAGGTTTTTGGGGAGTGGAGTTCCCAAGGCCAAACTGGTTGTTCACATTTCACTGGCCTGTTTGGACCTGGCCGATCTTCTCTGGGAGAGTTGGAGAAGGAAGCGACCTGCAAGTCGGACGTACTCCTGACCTCGAACATGATGCAAGCGCCCAAACCGTACAGTCCTGTACAGTTATAATACTACTACTACAGTATTACTACTATTACTATTATTACTACTGTACCCCACGGGAGTCTATACCACGACTGACTCGGTGATATTGTCCGTTCCCTCCTTCATCTCTTTCTCAATTTCTCTTTTCTCTCCACTGCGTAAACCCTCCGAACCATCTCTCTATCTCCTTCCTTTCCGTGTCGGCCCCGTCTGCCATAATTAGGGACCCTTACCGCCCTTCGGGACCCATTTGGTTAATACTCTTTTTTTCTCATCGCCCCACTTAAGCTCGCGCATTGCAAAATTCACAATCTGACCCTCTCGGCCCGTGACTTTCACGTCGAACCTTCGATCTTCGATCCTCAACTTTCTTACACTTAATCCCTTCCCCCCACTCTGTTCTCTTCCCTTTCCCCCTCCCCCCTTCCCCCCCCTTTCTACTCCTTGTAGATGAAACGCCCACCTCCCCATCGCTCTACATGACGCCCAGTCCTCCTGATGAAGCGCTTCACTTCCGCGGAAAGACACTGACTCCGGAAAGCCCGCGCCCACTGCATATCCCGGAGCCGGCCAATATTCCCGTCTTGGAAAATCAAATGGACCCCGTCTTCAATGACACTTCGACATATCAACGCTCAGAATATCCCCAGGAACCCGTTCAGACACACGATCGAGATGGATGGTCGAGGATTGCGCAGGATGGCCAGGATCTCGGCTTGGGACAGCGCAGGGACCCAGGTAGCTTGCAGGGTGTGCAACCGATGGAACAACCCATGCTGAATGATATGCCTGCTTTGGCAGCGCAATTTTATCCTTCCCATACCGCAGGCACCGAGCAGCAGGTGGGCAATATGAACATGAATATGCACATGAACCCAAACCTCGCTTTTGCAGATTCCAGTCACTCCCATGCGCCTCCGGTTGTTCCGGGTCCTCAGGGATATGACCCGGCTAGCGACATAGACAATGCCGGTCATTTGGCTTCGTCGTGGAAGCCCGATCACATAGATGAGGGAAAGCAGAATATGGGGTTGGGTGCTGCGGGGGTCAACTTTCAGACTCTGCTGGACAACCTTTCTCAACCCTCCGCTACTACTGCCAACGCGAATCCTACGGGGCCTGCTGCCTCTTCTCTAGCGGAGGGCTCGTCCTTTCACCAAGCCCCCAAGGACGAGTCTCTTCACCCCGGTATACCATCCGCACTGGATGCTCAATGTGTGGACCTCCCCGCCCGCCCTTCCTTCCAAGACCCCTCCCTCCCCCCCAATTACGCCCCGAGCGATGAGAATGCCCATCACCAAATCTCTACCGCCCCAAACACTGCTCCCTCCTCCGCCTATGCAGCAGCCCATTCCAGTAACAATGCCCATCGAATCGATCCCCCATCCATTCCCCCGGTCGCTCCCGGTACCGAGTCTGGTACCGGAGACCTCCCACCGCCGCCCATGGCGAGTTTCCAACAGCAGGGGCCTTCCTCGGCCGCAGAGTCGCAAGGCTCCCAGGAGGGTTCTACCGCGTACAAAAGAGGCCGCCTTGATAAGCTGCTAAACCGTGGGGGCAAACCTCTAAGTGATGATGATCAGCCCTGGGGCCCCGAAGTGCAAAAGAAGTATGACGAGTTCCTACACGACGAGCGCATCTATGTGACTGAAGGTCTCTGGGACCGGTTCCCTGTTGGTTCTAGGTTGTTTGTCGGTCAGTATCCATTTCCCCATGCTTCACCCCCTCCTCTCCTCTTGCATGGCCATGATTCCTGACGTTATCTATACTTTTACTTCCAGGCAATCTTCCTACCGAGCGAGTCACAAAACGAGACATGTTCCATATCTTCCACAACTACGGCAAACTAGCCCAAATTTCAATCAAGCAAGCTTATGGCTTTATCCAGTTTTTGGAAGCCAGTGCGTGTCATGCAGCACTACAGACTGAGCAGGGTGCCTTGATAAGAGGTAGAAAGATTCGTGAGTGCCACCGTCTTATCTGATCGCCGAAAACATTTCCCTAATTGTCCGCAGACCTCGAGATCTCGAAGCCACAAAGATCAACTGCCCGACCGGGTCCTGCAGAGCCATCTCGTGCACCCCCGCCTCGTCGTTCCAGGTCGCCCGAGTTCAGCCGGACTGCTCCTGCACGCAGCGCTGCTCGTGCGCCGGGCGACCGTTATGATCGGCCACACGAGTCCAATCGGCTTCCGTTTAGTGATTTTCGCGATGAGCCTTCTCACCGCCGTCGTGATGATTATCGCCCTCCCAGGTCTCCTTCGCCTCGCCCTTTCCGAGCTCGGGATGGCTATCGTTCACGGGACAGGACGCCGGAGCGATCTGATCGTCGTGAGCGCAGACGGTCTCGCTCACCCCGCTCTCCTCGCTCTCCCTATGCCCGCGATCGGCGATATCGAAGCCCCAGCCCGCGGCCTCGAGGTAATTACGAGGGGGAAGTGGACCTCCCCGTGCCCCGTCGAGCACCACGAGATGTGCCAGAGGTGCAGATTCTTGTGCTGGAAGAGATCGATCGGTAAGTTCCCACCTATTGTATGGTCTATGTTTTTATAGCTAATCTCTCGAAAAGCAACTTCATTCTCCATGTGGAGAATGCCTTTCGCAACCGTGGTCTTCGGGTAGATGTGTTGGTGCTTGGCCCTCGCATCCCTCTAGGCGCGGCCGTCCACCGCCAATATGTCGAGGGTGTTCTGGCAGTTGTAAGGCTGTCTCGCCCTAATCAATTCTCCCGCAAAGTTCCACTTCAAATGTTCGATCGAAGCGCGGGGCCGGATAATGTCCGCTTCACTGGTACTACACCCCATCTCGCCGCCCTCGTGATTCAAGCTCATGCTGATCTCGTTTTTAGATTACCCCGAACTCGACCCCAACATCGCTGCGGAGGTCATGTTCCATCAAGCCCAGGCTATGCAACGCGGACCAGTACCCTCTTTCGCGCCCAACCCTGCATTCGGCCTCGCTCCGATACAGCCCCTGCCAATGCCTCACCCACCTATGCCGACTCTCTCGAATCCGCCCAACATCGCCAACCTCATCAGTACTTTAGATGGGCCTGCCCTCCAATCTCTCCTCTCCGCTCTTCAGCAGCGCCCCGGCCCCTCATCCCAGCCCGTCTCGGCCACACAGTCGCCCTTCGCCTCTCCCAATCCTCCGCCGCCAGCGGACCTGGCCAGTCTCTTGAGCAGTGCGACCCGAGCTCCTCCAATGCCATCTCTTCATCCTCAACAACCTCTTCCCCACCCGCCATATAATCTCCAACATCCAAATGCCCCCATGGTCACTGACCCCAATCTGCTCTCGCTCTTGGCGAAAGGCCTTGGGGCCCAGCAACCACAAGGGCAGGCCCCAGTTGGTTCTAATGTGCAAAACCTGATGAACCATCTGGCCAAATGGAAGCAATGAATTAATGATCCTTTCACATTTTCCTCATTTACGTTATACATTTCGGAGCTTGGCGTTTCCACCGCCTTCGGCTTTCTTGGGAAAGGGGCAGCTACCATTTTTGTTTTTCTCCTTTCGAGATCTTGCTTCCTGTCTTCATGTTCTTCATGTTTCATTTTCATGGCTGGAATTTCTTTCCTAATATCCCAGCGACTTTTGCAAAAATTGGCGTTTCATTGGGCCCCCCCTTGGGCAACAAATTTCTAGATACTAGGGTGATTTGCGGTGTCTAGGTCGGAGTTGTCTTGTGTATTTTCTTATTGGTGTTTGACCGTCCGTCTTTCCATCTCCATCATGTACTAAGCTTTCCAGTTTCTTGCTAACAGCTTTGGAATATCTGTTCGCTGGGCAAGGTGGATATAATATGACCCGTCTGGTTGTGGGACACGGTGCTTGATGATCATTTGTGACTCTCTATTGCTCTTGTGTGATCCTGTAGTGAATAGACCGGCCACTCGTCATGTCTCATGCCAAATCTAGAATTGAGTCAACTGGTCACAACTTTTCTAAGCATTTCTGTCGAAGTGGAGAACAGAGAGTTTTACGTTCCTGTACATTCGAATTGATATACTGCTTCAATTTTTGGGTAGCAGAAAATGGAGTGCTCATGGAAATACGTCAAGAGTGGATATGGTACATAATGTACAGAAAAGAAAAGCCCGTCTGCCCTTCACCTGTAGCCTCAAATCATCTAGCTAGACTTCCAACCTTGAGACTTCAATTCCTTCACCTTCTCCGCGTCTTCCTTCTTGATCCGCTCGATTGTCTTGTCCCGGTTATATTCCATCACTCGCTTTTCCTTGAAGTATTTGACCTAGACAATTCAAATTAGAGTCAGCATAAAATTTTCTGGAACCAAAAACTAGTATCGATATTTATGAATCCGATGCGGATTCATTTCCTCCTAAACAAGGACAGTCCGGCAAAGGCGTTTCGCACGTACCCAAGTCGCCGAACAAGCAGCCTCGAACTCCGCAACCTCCTTGGCGCATTTCCGACGCGCCTCCTTATCGTCTTTGATTCCGTCGAGAATATCATTCCGATCCAAGCAGGCAAAGAAAGCATCTCTGCCCTCCCAGCAGCGCGCGCGACTCGTGCGATCCGGTGCGATGCGGCCGCCGTCAGAGGCTTTGTTGGAGTCGCCGGATGACCAAGGGAGCCAGCCCATTTTGTGAATATGTGTGGTGTATACTGGGAGACTGAATGTTCGGTTGTAGGGTAGCTGGGCTCGCGAATGAGTGTGTGGTGACTTGGAATAGCTGTGATAGATGTGGTTTCACAGCATTGCGGAGGAATGGGCGGCGTTGGTCGTTGCTCCCGCGGGCTCGGCGGTGCCAAGACTTGTTGATCGGTGATCAGCAGTGCTCGACGTTGCCCGTTTCCCTTTTTTTAATTCCCACTTTCTCGCGACAACTCGATATCACTACCCTCGAGTCACTTCGAAGCGCTTTATACGCACGTCAAATCTCAGAATTCACGCTTTGTTTCTGCCGTTCAGCAACCTGTGACTTCGCAACTGGCCACCGTTGCATGCGACCCCCGCCGCCGTCTCCTAAGCTCCTCGGCCCTTCTCCTCGCCTCGATCGCATCTCTCACATCCCCTACATCCTCTACACAAGGGCTTTTAAAGGGACCCCCCTGGCCTCATAGTTGATGCCCGGGCGCCGGCGCCTTCCAGCGGGGTCGCGATCCGACCTCCCGCCACTGAAAATCATCCGCAAGATCCTCTTGCTTCAGGTTGCCTATTATGTCTGCGCAACGGTCCTTATCCTCTTTACGACAGTCGTCTATGGAACACCCTTTTCGCTGAATCTTATATTTGGTTGGGACTATTTGAGGGGTGATACCACGGTTGGTTGGATGCTGGGATTGGTTTGGATGTTGAATTGTGTTATCAGGTGAGTCCCCTCGAATCTCCTACAAAGGACGCTCCTACCCTCATGTTCTCTGTGCTTCAAACCAACCGTATCGTCATCTCAACCTCTCCAGCGTGATCTTCCTCCTCCTTTTCGTCTCCCGATCCAAGTTGGTCCCCGATTTCGCCCTCACGATCCACTTCCTCCATCTTGTCGCCACTATCCTCTACACGCGCTCCGTCCCTTCAAACTTACTCTGGTGGGGACTCCAATTTGCAAGCGCAGGCATCATGACATTCCTCGGTATGTGGGCGTGCCAACACCGCGAGCTCAAGCCTATCAGCTTCGGTGGACTCGCGAGCCTGGGGGGTAGCTCCAGCCATGCCTCCTCATCACAACAACCCGCCAGTGATAGCCACCTCGAGTCTGGATTTGGTCGAGGTCGAGGACGAGAACGTAGCCTCCAGGCTGGAACGGGCGAGTACGAGATGGACGAGATGAAACCCAGCGAGCGTACTGTATGAGAGGCTTTATTATGATATGTTCCCTCTTTTGTGATTTCTTTTCTCTTGCAGCTGCTTTGGGCTATGATTTTCTTTGGGCTGTTTCCCCCATATCTGCGAGGACCTTTTTGCATGCCTTCTTCTCGTTTTCGTATACCCTGCCACGTTTGCATCTGTATAGATGGCGTTTGCCCTGATGATGAAGGGAATGAATACTCATTTTTCATTTGTCAAATATTGTTCGATTAATCTAGATTCGAGGCTCGGCCTCCCTCTACGACTTCATTTCTGGAAACGCTCATCCAGTCTCTATCTATTCACTTGTCGTGTTCGCGGGATCTCACAAACTGAACTGGTCGTGTATTTGATACGGTTCGATACAGGACAAGTTGGTCAACATCGAGTATAGAGAGAAGAAAAGGGAGTTTCGCTCGAGCAAGTGCTCTTTCAACGTCTTTCTTTCATTCTACGGTGTCGCCAGATTACTTGCTTATAGTAAGCGGCGTTGCCAGTCTTCATTAAATATACAGGAGCCTCAATTAAAAATCCTTCTACCCCGAAGCTGTCCTAGTTACAAACAAGCTGCCTACAGGTGATTGTCTCACATCAGCATAGCAGCTCCCATCAAAACAGTACTCAAGAAGATCGGACCTCCGATAGAAGGTGAAACGGTTACTCCGCCACTCACTGCAAAGGAACTGGTCGGTGAAGCCGTAGGCGTTACGCTGCTGCTGGAAGACGATTTTGCCGTGGCCGTGGCGTTTCCTCCATCCAGCAAGGCGCTGACCTGGGCCCATAATTTGCAAACGGAGAAGTCAATGTTGCCAGGCGTACTAGAGTTCCCGAACACCATTCCAGGGGTATTCGAGCCCGTTGATGTAATGCTGAATTGCGGCCATTGAATAGCCTTGGTCGACGGTTTTCCATTCTCTGCCATTGCAGTCCATAAGCCGATCATATCATTGCTCAGATCCCACTCAGCTGTCGAACCACTGCAAGTGTAGTTTTCTTCAGGGTAGCTGAAATTCAAATTGCCGAATACGAATGGAATTTCAGCAGTATGAGCGGCGCCAATAAAGGATAAATCGTCTGCGATTGGAACAAGTGTATCCAGCCACGCGCAGGTGGCATTGTGAGTGAACTCATAGGTCCATACTGGGTTACCGTTGCGAACGGTAGACGCCGCACCCTGATATGTCGGGCATTTGTATTCTGCGTCTGTGAGGATCTGTGCAATAGCCTCGAATACAGCGGATCCGGCTGTTAACCCGAGTTCCGCGACAGCAGATTCAAACAGAGATAATGGGTAGTATTTCTCGATTACTTGAGCTGCTGGGCCGAAGTCTCCTTGAAGGAAAGCCGTGTAATCCGCTGCCGTGAGGTTTGCAATGAGCTCGGCTGAGGGATACTTTGTGATGGTATCCATAGTACCCTCCTGTTGGTCTTATGATTTCGCCATGTTAGCCTGAGTCTATGATTTGACAGAATGAAGGTATCCTTACTGTATCCAAGGGCCGTCGGGACTTGTGCTCCACGATACAGAGGATTCTCTTTGACGACAGTGCCGTCCACGATGGGCCAGAATGCAGGTGTCTGGCTATTGGGAAGAGGAAGTTCACTCACTCCCCCGACTCCTGAGTTTATGTAGGAATCGGAAGAAACTGCCTTTTGAAGATCGGCAGAGGAAACGGATTGGAGACAGGATTTCTATAGCAAGGTCAGTCCAGTACCTATCTGTAACCAGAAGTTTGGTTCACTCACGTCGTTGAGTCCGCATTGAAGCACCTTCGCGAACGACGCACCGAGCTTTTGGGCAGTCGCGTTCTTTGTCAATTGTGGTAGAGCAACCGACTCAACGATGGCGCTCTTGAAGAGAGATGGCGCCTCAGCAAGAGTCGCAATAGTGTACAAGTTTGTGGCACCAGCTGATTGTCCGAAAGCAAGCACTTTTTCCTACATTGCCAATCCATAGTCAGTTCCGAACTTCGAAAAAGGTTGAAATCACATACAGGATCACCACCAAAGGCAGAGATGCTTTTTTGAACCCATTCAAATCCAAGAATCAGATCTTGAATTCCTTGGTTACCATAAATTCCAGCACTATTGAGCGCTAAGAAACCGAGGGGCCCAAGTCTATAGTTCAGTGTTACAACGACTGCGCCTGTGTCGGCCAGGTTGCAGCCGTCATACAAAGGGTATGCAATGCCGCCAGCTGTGTTGGATCCACCGTAAATCCAAACCTTGACAGGAAGTTTTGAGTCTTTAGTCGCGCTAGCTGGAGCCCAAATGTCCAAGTAAAGGCTAATAGATACAAATGCATCAACACATCAGTCGTTTGTCGGGATAAGGTTTTCAACTTACCAGTCTTCGGATTTCTCTCCAGATGGCACAGTTTCAGTGCCAAATTGAATACAAGTTGGAGCAGACACAGTCGAATTGAGTACTCCGTTTGAGTATTTCTGGTTGTAGGCCTTGGGAGGTTCGAATCGCAGGTCTCCGACTGGAGGCTCTGCAAATGGAACGCCCTTGTAGTAGACCGCACTTTTCCCGCCGCTACACTTTCCACCCTTGAGAGTGCCAGCATCAATGGTGACCGAAGGCGAAGCTAGCGCCGTGGCTACAACGGCCGACAGAGAAGTTGGAAAAAGCAACCTCATTCTTGCTGATATTCGAAGACTCTTGAATGTTAAGATGAAAGAAGGAGCATCTGCAGTGCTCTCACTGTAGCTTTTATAGAAATATCCGGGTGTTCCGGTCGCTCATCGCTTTATATTATCGTATTGATGTTGATACAAATATAAACTATATCCACCTTTTGGCCCCGGTCGCCCTGCCTCTTCTCCTTGTTTTGTTGAGAGCATGGCCCTCTTCTTATTGGCTGAACATATCAGTTACCCAAAAGAACCTAGCGTTCACAGCCTTGTCGGCTTCGGGACCTGATTCTAGAGTAGATCAGGTATAGATCGACATGTCAAGATGCATACCTCAGCCTCGTTTGAGCGAACAGCTAGCAGTTCTCCTACCCATCACCAAGGGGTCCACATGAAAATGAATTGCATCGAAGCCCAGGACCCAGTATGGTATGTAAGTTGTAATTTAGAATCCGCTTATTTGATCAGCTATGTCATTTCGAAGCGAGAGCTTCATCGACAACCCCAACTATCCACTCCCTCCCCCCTCCAGACTCGAGCTTTACACAAGCTTGAAGCATGCCTAGATTTGTTGGCTGTGTTATGAGCCGCGCCTGTAGGGCTCGAAGTCTTTTCAAGCATACTCAATTCGAAGCAATTACGATCCCGCACAAAGATACTAAGGTCATTCAGCTCAAGCCTCGGTATCAATTGACCAGCTACAGGCAGTGTTGCTCAAGTAGGCAATGGATAAATAGAGTTCAACACTCATCATCTGCGGAACGCAAAATATAAGCCGAAAATTAAATCATAAGTTCAATGGACAAATGTTTCGGGGGCGCCAAAAAAACCACTTCCCTGCTAAGAGCAAAACATATCATTGTTTGGAGGAGACATCGCTCTTTATGTGCTCGTCTAAACACAAATAGACGTTTGCTGTACACACTGAATTCCCAATTTGGGGTCACCAAACCACAGCCTTACTTGCACTCCAGCTAAGCTTTGCGACATCTCTAAATGAGCGTGCTGATTGGTTTCGCATATTAGATACCGAAAGCAAATTAGCGTGGATGGACTCCATCTTTCAGCCCTAAGTGGGCTGTAGCCAACCAGCTGCTTCAGAGATGCCCTTCTTGGTAAAGGAGTGCAGGTCTTGGATCTTCTCCTCTGACTGGTCATCATATTGCTTCGGTGCGCAGCATTTCGGGGCCGTGGGGTCTGTTTGGGCCACTGATTTCCTCAATTCAGCTCAAGGCGGCGCCCCCGACTCGCTTGGATCGTGAACGGATTTGTCGGTGAATGAGCACTCGAAGAAGCATTGTGCACAAGGATGTAGCTTGTTTCCCAGGAGAATTCGTCTGCAAATCGACTAAGCTCCACCGTGAGTTACTATTTTCGCTTACAAGGCCCCCGTGGCTCGTCGAGGTCGAGTCATCATCTTTGCGGTGACCTTGTCGACGGAACCATCAAGGTGATTTATGCATTGGATTGATACTTCAAATCACACAAGATAGAGAGAATTGTCAGGTGCTTCCCAGTAAAATTATTGGACTTGATGGAATTTGAAAACATAGATATCTGTCCAATATTCCGAAAGGTAGGAGAACTTAAATACCTATGATAAAAAGACTGCATCTGAAGATCGAATATTCAGAGCCATACTTCGGCAAGACAGCGTATGCCCGCTACAAGCCAGCATTCCAGAGACTCCAAACTACGGTGTCACTGAGTTGCCAAGAAGCCTCCCAATTTCCTCTGCAATGGCCAAAGTACGCTCTTCACTCAGTCGGCGACCGACGACCTGAACTGCCACCGGGGCTCCGTGATATGCCTCCGGGTCATACTCTGCTTGCACAGTGGCATCCAATTCACTCAACGGCTGGTAGCCATCATTCTTTGCGTCCAACTTCTTGTCGGCGAATGTGACTGGAACAACCACGCTGGTGAAGTCAAGCAGGTTAATAACCGATGCATATCCATAATACCGGAATTGGTTATGGCGGATGGCTGCCGTTGCTGTAATTGGGGCAATGATTGCGTCCAATTCCTTGCCTTGTCGCTCCTCGAGTTCACGCCATTTCTCGAGATACTCGCTTTGATAGTTCCATTTCTTTAGGTGGGTGTCCCACAGTTGATTCATGTCGATTGGCTCTTTGTCTGGGTTCAAGAGGTCTCTGATATTTGGGATCGATGGCTCCCCAGAAGCATTGATGTCCTTGAAAACATCCTATGTTGGACAGGTGAGTTACTATTTAAGGGTCAAGGTTCTGGTGGTTGGCTCTCACGGTGTTTCCATCTGCGGCATATATGTCATTGACAAGATCGTGTCCAAAGCTGTGCTTGTATGGCGTCCAGGGCACAACTGTGTGTCCGTTTGACTTCAGAGTTGAGACCACCGTCTCAATACCTCTCAGAATTGGAGGATGAGGAAAAACCTATGATGTAATTCTTAGTATGTGTTCCAAATCCCGCCGCTCGAGAAGACCTACAACACCATCGCAGGAATAGTAACCTAGATTCAGTCCATCTTGAATCTTCGATTTGATCGCCTCTTCTTCCGTAGACCTCCAAGGCAGAGGGACAACCTTCGAGTCGTACTTCCAAGGTTCCTGTTCCAACACGGAAGTAAGGAACAACCTGAGATCTGGTACTGTGAGCTGATTTGAACTTGTGAAATGAATGCCTACTAACCTGCTGCTGAATGGGCCATTGGTCCAACCACACTATGTACAGTCTCCTGGCCTTCCATACTATTTGCCATTTTTGCATACGGCATACGGCCATGACTCGGCCTGATACCGTATAAGAAGTTAAAGGCAGACGGGACGCGAATCGAGCCACCTTGGATCAAATTATATTAGTTTCACTCAATAATCATAGATCAATGTACACACCAATGTCCGTTCCTACTCCAATAACACCACCACGAATACCAACCATGGCACCTTCACCTCCGGAACTCCCACCGCACGACCAATTTTTGTTGCGAGGGTTGAGCGTTCTTCCGATGATATTGTTTACAGTCTCACAGACCATCAATGTCTGTGGTACACTGGTTTTGGTGTAGAAAACGGCGCCCGCCTTTCGTAGTAGAGTCACGAGGACCGACTCAGTGGTGTCATATTTGCCAAGCCAGGAGACATAGCCCATGGATGTTTCAAGACCCTATTCATAAACACTCTGAGCATTATGGTCGTCAAAATGAAACTAGGAGCTTTGTCACCTTCACACGTAGTTGATCCTTGAGTGAGATGGGCAGGCCATGAAGTGGACCCACGGGTTTCTTGTGTTCCTCAAAGTAGGCATCAAGCTCTTTGGCTTGAGCGATTGCCATTTCAGGGAAGAATTCCAGGCAGCAGTTCACCTAGTGAAGAGTTAGATATAAAACAAACTGACGACATCTTAAGCCAAGTATTTCTCACCAATTGATGGGCAAGTGCCGCTCTCTTGCAAAAGGCTATTGTCACGTCCACTGCCTTCAGGTCTCCGTGCGCAAGCTGCTGGACTAGATCGGTAGCACTTGATTCCGTGATACTGATTTCTTGATCAGAGAGTAAGCCTGACTTTGCTGGGAAATCAAAGAAACAATCCCCAGCGGGCAGCTCTTTGATCCTCCATTCCTCGGGAATCGATTCATTGATGCGAGTTCGTTTGTCGGCAGCTAATTCCTCCCATTTGGAAGTCATCTTTGTTGTCCAGCTAGAAGCGTCGTTTTAGATAGTTTTTGGTCGGTTGTTCAACTCAGACTTTTCGCGGTGGCGCTGTTGATATGACGAACCCTTCGAGTAAACCGGGCAGGCGGGGGAAGGGTCTTTTAATGCCCCAAATCAGCCCCGCTCCTGTATCTTTGATTTATCATCTCCAATTACCAAGATCCAGTCTCGGCTGTTGCTATTGACATGATAAAGTCGTGTTATCTTATCGTTTCTGTTATCAGTGCACTCCGAGAACGTATCAGGACAAGCCGCCAAGTTGGGGTCGTTGGAGCAATTGCCCCTCTCTCTCGGAGATCCGGATATGGCTATTTGCTCGTACATTGGGCGTTTTTAATGGCTACTGACCAAATCCCCGTTTTCGATTCTCCCATAATTCCTGCAGGGTCTTCATCAGACGTAAATTCCCCGCAATTTGTTCCGTTGGCCCGGGGTTGGAGATTATATCTCGATTCGCTTCACAATTTATATAATCAAAGCGCTACCCCGAAGGATTGCAAAGTATTAATGGCAACTAAGTAATTTATCAATTTCTAACGTTAAACGGGCTTTACAGTTGAACACTCCTGTCTGTATCAGACAGCAAAGAGTATATAATTTGCTGGGAGGACGGACCCCTGGCACCTCTCATAGAAAAACTCTTCCGTTGCTCTCCTCTACTACCAGGTCAAATTCAGGCTGGAACTCGGTATACAAGTTGTGCTGCAACCTGTTAGCATACGCCCATTGCAGTGAATGCGAATTGGTGAGACAAGACTTACGGGGTTCTGAGCAAAATCGGCAGTGTATTGGGCCACCTCGTCATTAATTAGACGCTTAGAAATGCCATTGGCAGCAGCAGCCTCGGCCAGAAGCTGGGAATGGCAAGCGTTATCCAGCATGGAATAGAGAATGGCGGCCTCGTCAACCGTTCGCCCGACAGTAAGAAGACTAATAACGCACAAGTTAGGATCCACCAGGCAAGCTAGCAACAAGTGAACTATCTCCAAATCCGACTTACCCGTGGTTCCGCAGAATGCATGCAATGTTATCCTTGCCGAGGGCCTCCGCAATCTGCTTACCCTCTTCATTGGAGAGAGCAACACCGCCGTGGTCATCATATACACCTAGACGGCCGTAAAAGTTGCATGCATCTGTCATTCATCAGCATCGTTTCAATGTTGCCACTTCTAACGAAAGGCAAACCTTGTGTCAGCATCTCAATTGGCTTGCCAAAGGCACTCCATGTTTTGCCATAAACGCCATGAGTATGCGCTGCGGCAATGACATCCGGACGAGCCTTGTGGATCTCAGAATGGATCATGAAGCCAGCCTCGTTGATAGGCAATTGAGCACCTCCCTCGGTAACGTAACCATCACTATCAACCAGGACCAAGTCAGAAGCCTTGATGGTCGAAAAGTGCTTAGCAAAGGGGTTCATCCAGAAGTGATCCTTCAGAACAGGGTCTAAATGATGCATTAGCAGCGGGCAAGATGTTGACATTGGGATGTTCAAAATATACCTCGCATAGAGATGTGTCCAGACACACCCTCGGCATATCCCATCTTGCCGAAGTACCGGAATGCAGCGGCCATATGCTCCTTCATCCATTTGCGCTTCTCCAGCGGGTCTGTGAAGGTAGGAATACCGCGTAGTTTCAAGGTGCCATTGCGATTACCACGAGCAACGGACTGGAATTGAGTGTCGTTGGCCGCTGACTTGATCTGCTCCTCGCCGGCCAGGAGAAAAGACCGCTGTGTCTCCTGGGTAGTTACTGTAGACGTCGACATGTCGTTGGTGTAATATCAGTGCACGGTCTTGATGGTTTGATACTTTGATAGTGGTCTGCAGAAGGGTCAGAATCACGATCAGAGGCTCAGAGAGACTGACGCACAAGCTCGCAACAAACCTTTTCATTAACTTTTATGATCTGTGAATCTGGGGAGAAACATCTCCGTTATTTAATCGAACGCTTATCTACGTGAGCCCCACCCGCGCCTCCAACCCCGCCCGAGTGTTATTGGAAGGCGGGCTGTAGCTCGGACTGCTTCCCGACAACCCTGACGCCGGAGAGCTTTGCGTTTGGTTTTGGTATGCAAAATCTACATTTCATTTCGTGGGTTAGCTCCGAGGATTGAACCTCATCGTAGGCAGAAATTCAAACGTGGCACAGCGCAGGTGCTTAGAAAAACGATGATTGCAGTCAAATGAGTAGCGAATGTATATACAAGATCAGAGAAAATCCAAAATAGGAAGTCAATACCCGGTCTACTGGTGAATTCCGGGTACAGGCACCCGGAATCTTCTCATTTGCCTATTCTGGTAGTATTAGGGGCCTGAGGCCACAATGCATTCACGTGACCTGTGTTATCGGAGGCATCTGGGATTATCGCGAAGACAGCGACAGCTGGTCTCTCGAAGAATCCTTTGCACGCCCACAATCGACTTGCTGCGTTAATCAAGGACTTCCGGAGATACTACCTACATATTCCACGACACTCGCAGCGGATGATAGACACCAATTACAAGCTCCGCTAAACGTCACTTGGTCCAAGCGTGTTCCCATTTCCAAGAACCCCAATCGATACTCGGGGATCTTCGAACAGAACATCGCCAAACTCTTGATTACTCCAGACACTTAACGTGTCAAGCCCCTCGAAATGGCGGAAGGGGAGCCATCGTACATTGACTACGAGGCCTTCCTCGACCCCGACTTCTCTCCGGCGAGCTTTGCCAATACTCTCGTCTTGAGCACCAACAATGCCACCGATACACCACTTGATCTCTCTACTCCACTCTCCCGAGTTCTCTTCGACCTCCAGGAAATTGACACCCACATCCACACCCTTACCACGAAGTCCGCACTGCCCCTATTATCACACACGCGAGGTCAGACCGAGGCTGCAGAACGTATCCTGAAGGAGGCAGGGACGCAAATCACCTCCGTGACTCAAGGGTACGAGCGATTGGAAAAGGAAGTGGTGCAGAAATGGAAGGCGGCAGATGAAGCGCGCATCGCTGCAGAGAACTCTTTGGCTACGGTCCGGCTGGCACGGGCCGTTGGACGTTGTCTGACGCTTGGTAGGCAGCTGGAGAGTCAGGTTGGGGAGATTACGGGCAGAGGCACGGGGCAGCCACCCACGAATGGGGCTGATGGGACTCCGCCCGTGAGAGAGGGGTTCCGAGCGCTAGAACGGGCGGCATATACAATCTTGAACTTGCGTCAGATGTTCTCAGCTGAGACGGAAGATGATGAGGGATATAGACTGGAGCGGGTCAAGGTGATGCGCACGTTGCGCAACGAGTTTGTGATCCCCGCCGAAAACATGGTCAAAGCAAGGGCGCAACAGACTATCAACCGATTCTCCTTAACAAGTCCAATGGCTCCATCCAACGGCCATGCGCCGGTTCCCTCGAGCTACAAGCAGGTCCGTGATGCACGGGCACGCTTGGGTCCTGCCGCCGCCACTCTTTATCTCCTCTCACCCATTCCAAAGGATGGCGCAACTGTATCAGAGTACAAGCCAGAATTGCTCCTCTCGACGTTGCAAGGCTACATGCACACGGCCATTATGACTTCGGCAAATAGTCTCGCCAAGGCACTCTCGCAGCTACCCACGATGGACCGAACTCTGAACGAAGTTGCTTCCCGATGCCAAGATGTCGCTGCATTGGAGTCGTTCCTCAGGAACCTTCGCGCACCAACGCACCCTCTTTTATCATCTGCCTCGGGCGATGGACCCGTTGAGGAGACCGAGACTGCAGGAAGTGCAAATAAGACCAACTTGCTTCAACCCCTACTCAACGCCCTCGACACCTCGTCACTACCTTCGTATTACTGGCGTTCGCTCGCATCTTCCCTCACGTCACGGGTTCAAGAAATCATCAGTCGAGGCGGTGTCTCCGCGCGCACATTGCGATCAAACCGTGATCGTCTCAAGACGGAAATTAAAGAGTGCGTTCTACGAGCTTCCCAAGTATCTGCTGCCAGTCTACTTGCGGAAAAGGGCCGCCATGGAACCGATAATGTAAGTGTGGGCAACTGGGAGCGCGAAGCCGCCGTGATGGTGAGCTCTGTGGTCGGGCCACTGGGCCGGTGAAACCAGCAAATTGAGCATACTACTCATATATTCCGATGATAATACCAGCATTGCATGTGACATAGCTGTCGAAGCATGATAAAGCATGATAATACAGATACCCTTACATATGCCAATCCACGATGAATGGAACAGGCACTTATTGATATAAATTACGCATATTATGCCGATCCATATGGGTCATGGATATAGTCTCAAGTCTCTATACTAACCACATCTCACTGTATTATCCAACCAAACCTACCCATCCTACGGTCCCAGATCTCACCCAAGCCTCATGCCCCATGGATCAACGCCCCAGCATCCAGGAACAAGGTATGAGCTACCTTCCCCAAAGCCCAGGTACCAGGCTCCCGAGACGACAACAACCCCGGAACGCCGACCTTTAGGGCACCAAACAAAGCAAAGCCCGAGTCACGCAGTCAAAGCTCATCGGTGGTGACACCAAGTCAAGCGACATGCAGCACCGCATAATAAGAACTTGAAGAACCCAACCACGGCCTAGATCAGAACATCCCTGCTCTTACCCTAGAGCCGCCAATGTCCCCTGTTCACCGGCAGGTACGGAGGACAAGATCTGCCAAAACCTCCGGATCTCGGACAATTATCATCCTGGGCGCCAGGAGGTATTTTCGGGACGAGGTCAGATGACTCCCGCACGGTTGGTGCGTTGTTGTGCTGTTGCGAAGGTGGCTGGTAGATGGCACTCGGGTTGCCTTGCCTGACCTTGCTTTGAGGCGTACAGGGCTAGGCTCCCGTGAAAGGATAGTGGGAGGAAGGGGGTGAAGCTAAGGTAAGATGGAGCTGCAGGGTGGTAGGCATGTGGTAAGCTTTCCTTTGTGTTGCGGGTTGGGCCCTGTTTCGGCCGTTCTGAAATCACATGTGGGAGGGTGGATGGCCGTATGTCTATGTGCAGGTACTTAGATGGATATGTTTTTTGGTTTAGTCAAGGAGTCAGGGTGATTTGGAGCCGGGGGTATCACTAACGAACAGAGTTTGATCTTATCATACGTATAAAATTAATCGTGAATCGATCTATCTGATCTACAGAAATATATCGTGATTGGGTTATCACCACATGTGCCCCGCGCGCCAGGAGTAATCAGTTCGGTCAGCGATGGCCCGAGTTGCCCTATCTTTCTTAACTACCACTATAAATATCCAACGCCTAACTCACCCACCGCATAGGTTGTCAGATACCTATAGGTAAGTATATCCCCTTACCAGTCCTCCCTAAACCAACCACGACAGAACAACGCAGTGCTGACAATCTAGAAATAGAATACTATTTGCTAATCCCACCGAATCTCATCATCACTGACCTCCAGCTGAACTACTTATCACCCTCGAATATTCTGTACGATGAAGTGACGAGCATACGTGGCCGGGGCCTCCAGGCACGCCTTCTTTCTGACGACGCCCGCTCCCCCTCAGGTACATGGATACTCCTGGCATAGCATGCAGGGCGCGTATGATTGGCCTCGTGGCACGAATACATTTGAAGAGAGGGTCGGACCTGTCATCTGTGCCTCTTCTGTGCGGCACGTGAGAAGGGGGTGGTTGGGGTCACTCCATAGCTTGACCGCTTCAAAGGCAAATGTAGCAGAGAAAGGCTGGGGGCGGGAACGCGAGATGCGAAACTTGCAATGTGGAATTAAAGAGTGAGTGACGAAGCAAAATTAGATAATACTAGATACCCAAGAATTAAAAAAAAAATCACAGCTCAGATAGATAGAATGTATTTGGGTTTGACGCCGATATGAATGTGGGGAAGAATCGTTTATTTTATCCAGTTCGGAGGGCCCATTCGTTGGGAACGTACCATATTAATTACCCTACAAGTCAGAATGAAGTGATTTGTACGGACCTCTCTGAATTCTCCAGGAGGGGATCCTTAGCGTCCAGATGAGTCAAACTGGATCTGACCAGTTAGCGTAGAGCATCGAGTCGACGACGTCAGAAGGAGGGGGGAAATGGAGAGGGGAATACGATTCCCTGGCCCCCGCCGATCCCAGCCTTTGATTCAGGCTGATCGAGGGACCCAGTTATCGATAAGCCCTGCAGGTACCTGGCGCTACTTGGAGTCATTGACTGGCTTATGGTTGCCTCACGGAGTTGCCCCCTGCGGTGGCGTGCAGATGGGCTATGTACGCAGTACTTTCATGCTGTAGTCAGTAGGTAATGGTGTTCTCTGCCACGGAGGGGTAGATACGGAGGAGTTGTACATGATAAACAGATACACGGTGAAGGCATGGTGGTAAGTATAGTAGGTAAGTGTACAGCAGTGCGGAGTACCGTCAGGTACCACGCCTGTGCAGCCCGTCGCCTTGCGTATACTTTTACAAAAACCCCCCAATCAACGGCTGTCACAAGGAGTACGCGGGGTCAGGATCTCCTTCGGTCCACCACTGTATTGGAGAGGCTCACACCTCAAATGGTGGTCTGGGTCGTCGTTCAACGGAGTCATGATTTGGCCCCCGCTCTTCGCACACCATATCATCATACCTAGAGTACACGAATATGAATGGATAGGGAATCAAGAATTAAAGAGGGGGCAACCAGGTCGATCAGCGGCCCGGAGATATCAGCCACCAAGTCAGGGCCCTGTCGTCTGTCCGTCCGTAGAACAATTCCGGCAGGCCAGGTACTGGGGGAAGGGATAGATGAAATAGTTGAAACATCCTAGCTGCCAACCAGCGGCACGCATGTCAACTGTTAGCTCAACATTGCGGGCAATCCCAGACGGGACGGATGTACATCACTTTGCAACAAGCCAAAGGAAAGATGAAGCACATCATACATGCTGCTAGTGGCGTCACGAAACTCGTGGCCCAAGAGTTGAATCCGACATGCCGGCGCGAAAGACATATCGTACGTACAGTACCTCGAAATTTCGTTCAGGGCAAAGGCAACGGGGTGCTGGGCAACCACCCCACAAATACAAAATCATCAAATTAGAAAAGTAACGAGTAAGGTTCAAACCAGGTAAAGTAGAAAAAGACCGCGTCCAATTTAAAGTCCCCGCGTACCGTGGAAGATAGAATACGGACGTCGTCATGCGAGCCTCTTCCCCTCTCTAGACGACTCCGCTCGCCGATCATCGATATCATGATCCCGCCGATAACTCGCTAGTCCTGCCGTTTGCAGAGTCGCAGACCCCAGTCGAGACTACTGGAGCGGGGAAAGAGACAGAGGGAGAGGGGGGAAAATCATTGATTAGGGTTTAGATGTTAGTGGTTGAGGCGAGAAGCTTAGACGCAGGCACGGAGATCCGCTCAACGGGCGAGTCGGTGGGCGCCGGGCCCTGAAGGTTTATAGGATGGGGTTGGGAGAGGGGTTTTAACGGGGAAAGAAGACAAAAGGACTAAAGTGATCGAGATCATTGACATGGTGTGGACAGATCGGGCTCGTTAACATGGTGGGAACTTTGGTACTGTTTGGAGTAGTAAGGAGGTCATATTACCCAGCGTCCTTCGTATGATAGTTTATGAAGCAAAGCAATGTACTTATAGGAGAGGCTGGATCTGGATTTCCCCTCTGCTACTAAGGGGTTAGAAAGTACCACACGAGGTGGGTATATGGCGATATCAGATAGCGACAGTAGATAGTTAGATCGCTAGATTGTAGGCATCTTTCTTATCGGCCACCGAGATTGATGAACGATCAGTCCAACGAGAATCAAGGTCTGTATCCTCCTGCATGTCCGTTCTGGATACTTCAAGTTCCCGTACTATCATGTACCGAATACACCGTATACCTCGAAGGCTGGCCGGGGTCCATGCCAGATCGTACCTCCCGCCGCATGCCGAACGGGCTCGAGCCAACCGGCGTGACTGGCGTACAGAGAAGCCAGCACTGACTCTTCGGTATTTCCGCACTGACAGCCTTGCACGCGACAGGTGCTGTCAGTGCTCTCGAGGGGGTGAAGTACCGTAGAGCGGAGATTTTTCCCTCTCTCTCTCTCTCTCTCTCTCTTCGTATCAGGGCTGACCATTCGGAATTAACCCCTACCGCGTAACCATTCCAAAAGTCTGTCCAGTTGTCCAGAAAGTCTGGAGAGTATGACGAAGGCAGTGGATCGGAGGATGCGTTGAGTCTTTTTTTCTCTCCTTCTAACTCTCTAGACCTGACTATCATCATCATCATCATCATTATCATCATCATCGTAATCTCCAGGGACCATTATCTGTCACAAGCTGACATGCGTACAGTATGTGCTGAGCCTCGTTTCAACCCCGATGATACCGTAATTAGAGATATGATACATCCACTCCCACGCCGCTCAATGCAAGGGGGTCGCATGGCAGGGAGAAAAAAAAAGAATAAGAAGAAACGAAAAGCCACGAACCGGTCACTCGCGGGAATACTGTAAGTAATGAGTGGGGAACCAGTCCAACGGTCTCGACCGATCTCTCCCCCAAACCCGCACCAGACTGCCCGACGGTCTTGGCGGGGCCCTGGAGTGGATTCGGGGCCAGCGTTCGTCGTTCGTCGTTCATCCAGGGTCTGCCGGGTGGTGAACGTCAAAGACTCGTGAGCTCTCCCAGTTCGTTGAAAAAAGCGACCTCTGGACACGGCGAAGTTCTGGTTCCCGGGAGCTCGGGCTTACCTTGGCCTGGCCCCCTCCCCCTCGGACCCGTGGGACTTGTCCAGAAACACGAAGGGGACCGTGGTGACTGGTGCAAACTGGTTGGGAGGCTGGAGCCCTATGAATCATCTATCGAGGCCATCCGGTGCCTGGTGCCTTTTACCTTTTGGCACGACGAGAGTCGAGATTGGTTCGGGACCGGTTCACTCGTCGCCGCTCTTAGCCTAGCGTTCCTGGGAGATCGAGATGGATGGGTACAACGGAGCATGCGAGATGGAGCACGGATGAATGAGGACGATATTTATGATGAGGGTTCTCGAACCGACGTGACCTAGAGAGAGGTACGGAGAAGGTCTGGAACGGTCATATGCTACGGTAGTTACAGTAGTTACAAGTCGTCGATCTGGTGAAACGATGATTTGCATCGGTAGGCCCGGAAGGTCCCTCCCCTAATCCATAATCCATAATCCAGTTTTGATTCTGTCTCGTCGCGTCTCCTTCCCCTGGGATCTTCCATCTGGGACGTAAGCGGAGGGTCTCGTTCTCATAGGTGGTGTGGTGGTCCTCTTGGTATATTGGTATCCTATGGTATCCTCATCCTTTTGTTCGTAGGAGTATTCGGTACTCGAAACCGTGAATACCTTTTTGCCCCTCGCTTCCCCCGATAAGCCTCCTTCTCGTCGTCACCACTGGTCGACTTGGGATCTTCTTTTTCTCCAGACCTGCCGGTCCTTTTACTCTTTTCTCTCCCTCGAACCCCGTTTGCCGTGCTGGACATTCTTTTTCCCCTTTTCCCCCTGTTCCCCTTTGCATACGATATCTCCCATAATCGTCTATACTATCCCCCCTCCCCCTCTCCTCTCTGCCTATTCGCCCGATATACTCCAATCTATACATCATCACCTTTGAATATATACACATCTCGTCCCGGAGGCGATCATAGTGACCCCGACTGGTCGGATTCCTGACTTTTTTCCCGAAATTTATCACCTACTATCTGGCTATCTCCCGATCTTTCTTACATATCAGATCGGCTCGACTCTCCTCCTCCTCCTCCCCCTCTCTCGTCTCGGCAGCCCGCCCAGGAACCAACCTGAAACATTCGCCCTCCGATTCTCCACCAACGCCCAGTTCAGCCTTTCCCAGCTCTTGCTGCCACCCCCCCCCAAAGGCCCTCAACTTTCCTCCGGCCGATCCCATTTCCTTCGGGCCTTCGTCAAGAGATGCTCGCGATCGGCTAACCATCCTTCCTTCTCTCTCCCTTCCCTCTCATATTTCCCCTGCACAACTCCTTGCGTCGTTTCGAACGAAATCCGGTTGTGCATTCCATCTCCGTCCCTCCATCCCTCCCCCCACTCTTCGCTTCTTCTTCGCCGCCCTCTTCCCCTCCTCGTCCCCTCCTCGTGAGATCGAGAGAGAGCTGTGGTCAAAGATCCCGAGTAAGCGCCACGGCCTCTACCAAAATCGTACGTGTCGAAACTCCTCCGTCTTCCCAAGTTCCTCTTCACACTTCACACACACTCCCTCATTTTCTACCTTCTTCTACCAAATTCATTTTTTTATCCCGTAGTGGCCCTGACTAAAAAGAGTTGTTTGCGCAAATGTTTACAGTGAGCCTTGCCCTCAGATTCCCGCATCTTCTATCTTTGCCCTCCTACTCCGGTGTAGCGCTGCGGCTCTTGCGATACGAAAGCAAAAAAACAAAATAGACTCCTCCCCGCTGGATTCCGGGGTCAATACTAGTGACGTGGATCGGGTCACCGGCTTTGCGACCGCGGGTATCGCCTCTTGAACCTTTCCTTGAACCTTTCCTTGTCTCCGAACCAACCTTGACATCACCCGCCTCCGCCCAGATTACGTCCCCTCATGGCCTCGTTCCTTCCCGTCAACACCTCGGCCGCGACCGATGACCACGCCATGGACGGTGCGACAACTCCCCGTGCGAATCCGAACGGCGTGCCGCCTCCCTCGGATCGATCCTCTCCCGCGGACCAACAGCCGGATACGGGTGTAAAGTCAAGTCGAAGCGATGACCCAGCGCGGGCACCAGTCTCGGGTCACTCTCGAACCGCCTCGAGCATTTCGGACGATGCGATGAATATCGACTCGGATGGAGAACGGGATGGATCCGATCAAGAGACCGAACCGGGCGGTGCGCCTCCATCAAAAAAGAAAAAGGGACAGCGGTTCTTCTGCACGGATTTTCCTCCTTGCAACCTCAGCTTCACACGCAGCGAGCATCTGGCTCGACATATTCGAAAGCATACGGGCGAACGGCCCTTTCAATGTCACTGTTCTCGACGGTTCTCGCGACTGGATAATTTACGGCAACATGCGCAAACGGTGCATGTCAATGAAGAGATCCCCGGAGATTCGTTGGCAGCGACGGGCACTCGGTTCCAACGCCAGGTGCGGACGGATCGAGTGCGCCCGACTGGCCGGGCGCGCGCTGGGACTGGACCGAGCCAGGGTGCCCACAGCCGTGGACATAGCAGGAATCTGTCAACCTCGAGTATCGCATCTACGACGTCCACCTTTAGCCAACCCCCAGAGCTTCGGCGACGACCCCCGCCACTGATTATGGCCAACGACCCCACCAGCCGGGCACGCTTGGGACTGGATCCGATGGGAGAGCCTCCGAGTACGCCGCCAGGCCAGATTCGTGGGATCCCTGGCCCCGCGGCTGGCGGGTCTCCTTATACTCCGTCTAATGTCTATGCTGGTGGCCCAACGGCCAGCCCCCAATATACCTCTCCCATGGCATCCGCACAACATAGCTTCTGGGAGGGCAAGACCGCCGCTCGCCGATTGTCCGTGCCAACTAGCAGCAATCCGTTCCTCGCACAGCATGGCGGTGCATATCCCCCACCATACGGCTCGCCCGCCGGCCCTCCCTACCCGAATGCCGCGGGTGTCTTTGCAAGCCCAACTAGTACAAACTATCCCGCATCTCGGGATGAGAGCACCCTCAGCGCCGCTGAGGCTGAAATACGGAGGCGAACATGGCATCCCTCGACATATCCCGTATTTGGCCGACCATCTACAAGCGGGTTGAGCCAATACCACACACCCGATACCGTTCAGGGACCACCCTTGATGGGAGGAAATAACTCTGCAGAGCAACCACCCCGGCTACCCGGAATTGAGAGTTTCGACAAAGTCGTGTCTCAGCACCGTCCCCTGACTCCGCCGACCCGCAAAGCGAGTCCCATGCAAATTGACAGTCAACACCGTCCTCCACCTCCGAACCATAGTTTTGGTTCTGGCTACAACTACGGCGCTCCATCGGTGCGCCCCGCGCCTCCAATATCGGGGCCCGGTCACCGTCGCGGCCACGTGTCGTGGGACATGTCCTTGCACCACAATCTCACTGGACTTGACATTCGAGACCGACGAGCGTCTCGGGATGCTAGCCAGTGGAGTCAGCAGACTATTGCCGAGCTCCACAATGTCTCTTCCCGCCCTTCGTCCTCGTATCAGCCAACATTCCCGCCCACGGTTGAGCGCAGCCCAGAAGAGCATCGGGGCCATACATCGAATTTGTCAACGAGCAGTCGCCCGGCGCATACATCACCCGAAGACTCCAGCAGCAGCGAGGGAGTTCACACTCCATCCACGGCGTCGGTCGAATACCACCCAGCTATCGTGCACAGCAGTGGATATATTGAATCGCACGACTCGTCATTACCATCCGAGCATCCTCAACCGGTAGGACCCTCTCCTTCCAATGCACGGCACGCGGCCCGGATACTAATGCCGTCATAGATCTGTGGGCGACAAGCCTCCCACGCCGGCGGCTACCCGGGACACGCCGACCAAGAGCCCCGATCCGATGTCTATTCAAACTCGTCTGCACGAGACAATGGTATGGGCCGGCTCGAGGCCTTGGTTGCCGTCGCAACGAGTGAGAACAAAGGTGCCGCCAGATTGTTCTTGTAAAATTGATATTCGACATGTGCGGGAGATTCCCGGGGCCTCGCCTATAATACCTATTTACCATTAACCTTTTCTCTCCAACCCGACCTTTCTTCTTTTCTCTTATCTTCTTCCCACCAGAATGGCCTCTTTTCCCGGCTTCGCGAATCTAAGCTTTTCGCTGGCACCCTACTCAACACTCATGTCGAACCTCAATACTCACCGATTGTGAGACAATCTTTTTTTTCCATTTACCATCCGGGAAAACGTGCGGGTCTCGCTCTTCGAGACCGCTCATCCTTGACGAAGTAACGACCTTGATGATTTTATACATGAAACTGGTTTCATCTCTCTTTTCTATCTGACCCGATCTGATCTGCTCTGTGTTCTCATTTCCCTGTTCGGGAGTCTCGTGTCTGTCTCAGAGTTGCCGATTTCTCTGCTGCATGTCCTGGCGTTCGAGCAGGAGCGTTTGGATGGAATCGTGTGTGCATACGATACCCGCCTCGAATCAATCGTTTTGGTGTCTTGTTCTCCATTCACCCCATCTCTCCCTCCTCTGTGTTCAACCTCCCTCCTCGTATCTCGAGTCTGGGCGTGATTTCGATCATCTCGAATATGCTTAGTCTCCCTCCCCCTTACTACACTCCATTCTCGCACTCTTTACCATGCCCGGTTTTCCTTTTCCGATGATGTTCATGCAATTTGTTTTGTGTGGTGGGCCTCATCTAGTTTCTGCTTTTGTCTTATTATATTTACCTTTTTGATCATGTGGTGGAATTCATCATGTCCATGTTTTATGTCGTCTACGGCCGTTGTTAGGATTGTTATGAACTTAGGCTTTGACCTCGATATGACTGCAATGCCAATTTTGAACAAACACAATTGGTTTGTTCCCCCGAATTAGTGGACTGAGAGGAGATCATTAGAAGCCAAGGCCGGTGGGTGCAATGTGTTTTCTATTTTCTGCGTGCTGTAGCATGGTATCTATGGCCTAAGCTCCCGGCATGCGGTCTACCCCGCAGAAACGAGCATCGCCCAGGTCCTCTGTCCACTCATTCATCATGAATACTGGCAGGGTGCATGAACTCTAGGAAATACCCCATTCTAAAGACTGCTACGTCCCACGATGAAGTATCTCCCCTTCGCAAAAATGAGACAACCGTGGCTCAGGCTCAGAAGCTTCTCCAATTCGAGAGCGGGACCCCATGCGGCAATGACTCGGTGGTGACGTCGTTCGGGTACATTGAAAGTGGACCCGCTTAGCACCGAGCTACTAACCTTGATGACCCCAGCTTTACTCAGATTGAAAGAGAAGAGAAAGGGGACTATAAGGATTTCAATCAACCTCATATTGAATAGTATATACGCTTTCCAACCCCTGTATACCGCGAACTATGTATATTATGAACTTCTACGAAATACGAGCTAACGCACGAACCGTCCTCAATGGGATACGCGCAATTAATATAACGGCAACAGCAAAAATGACAGACCAGTAACCCCAACGGCCTGGCCGCCCTCATGCAGGGCCCGAAGGTTGCCCACGGGAGGACAGACGTCATCGTCCTGTGACTGGGAAACTGCCCGCTTCTAAACCCGTCTGTAAGCTCTTCCAAACCATCTTCTCTTCACTCCTCAAAAACTCCCAGCCACACTTGCATTTAAATCCAGGATCACCATACTTGGATCTCGTGATACTTCGACTCCGATTGACAAAGCACCTCCCAACTCACATATCATCATCATGTCCAAGAGCAGAACGCCCCTTTACTTGGGTCTCGCCGTGGCCGGTGCGGGCGGATACTATCTGTATCGCGCGGGCGGAGATGTCAAGGGTGCTAAGCAGGAGATGAAGAGTATGTCTCTTTTTTGCTTTCTCTGTCCACAGGATACTTCATTGTATAATTAGAGACGACTGACTCTGTTTCTCTGCTAGTTGATGCCGACAAGGCGCGTGAGAAGCTTCCCCGCGGTAGCAGCGCGGAGAAGTTCGGTGAGAGCGTCGGCAAGGAGGCCGGTTCAAATATCGATGAAGCTGTATGCCTCGCCCTCCCCCCCCTTTTCTTTTTCACTTGTCTCGTTCTACACGATGTGTGGTGTTGCATTTGGCTTGGCCACTGGTGTCATACAACCAGCCACTGTGGCCACCGCCTCCCATCCCACATCGTCTGAATTCCATGCCTTGAATGTCCAACGTGGTACACTACAGGAACAGAACACCTCTTCTAACCCATTCATTTCTAGATTGATAATGCCCGCTCCAAGGCTAGATTGGACGAGCGCATTCCCGCTCTCATCGACAATGGCAAACAGCACTTGGAAGATGGCAAGAAGCATCTAGAAGACGGCAAGAAGCAACTCGATGGGTTCCGCAAGGAGGCCCGCGATCAGTTCAATGCCACCGTGGACAAGGTTGACCGTACGGTGGAGGACAAGGCGGCGGAAGCTAAGGGGACTGTTTCTTCGTGGTTCGGCGGTAAGAAGTAGATGATAATGGAACAAGGCTCTACTCGCAATCAAACAGCAGGGGCGTGAGAGAAATTGATGATCAATGGCAGACTACCTGGGACCCTATGCGCTATTTGGGTTTTCGAAGATAGGAAGTCAATTATGAGATATTGAATTTAATTGTTTGCAGATGCACCTTTTAAGTTTTTGTTTGAGATTTGTAATTGAAACTTGAGTTGTCGAACTTGTTGTGCTATTCCAAGTCTTGATTCCGAATTGGCAGCCGAGAATGGAGTATCGTCCGATTAATGGCAAATTGTACGGAGTAGTTAATATCGATTTTGAAGTAAATCTTGCTTGCACATTCGGGGTATTTCTTGCGTAGCTTGTGTCGGTCTCGACGCCGCATTCCCATGCCGGGGGATTATTACCACAGTGACGAGGATGCCAACCCCACAATCTACGGCCTTCGGGCCCATCCATTTTTTTTTTTATTAAATAGTTGCTCTAGAATCCTCAATTCTACGCTTCTACAACATTAGTACTTGTGCAAACAGATAACTCGTGTTCTCTGGTATTATTAGTGGTATCACTGGTGAAACTACTCCGACGCGTCATTAACCCCGAAACGGACTAACGTTCTCCACACGCGCCTGGACGCGTCGAGCCTTTTCGCGCCCTGTGTTCCTTTTCAAGTGCTAAAGTGCTAAGTGCTCCTCCTTAACACCGCATCCCTTCTCTCTTCCCACCTCTACACCATCCCACCTTCCACCTCTTACTACCCTTTTAACCTTCAATTACTCGGTATCTCTTACTCTGATTATATTTTCAGCCGAGTTTATCGATCGTAACTACTCCACGACCCCTGAGCCAGCTCCCGTCCGAAGGGAAAATTTGCAGCCGCGATGCCGCGCACTGCCAGACAGAGCGCCCTCCTCCAAAGCCAACCAGCAATTCAGAGCTTTGGCCGGGCAACCAAGGCTGGCATTACGCCGTCCCTGTCCGCCAAAAAGACTGCTTCCCTGCCCGTTTCCCCGTCGAAGAAGAGGAAGCTACAGGAGCTGGAGAATGTGGACGGTGCCGGTCGGCAATCGGTCGATGAGGAGGCCAACACGCCTTCCAAGACTTTGAAAATCAGCCAGTTGTCCGTTTCGTCACCGCGCAGTGGTCATTATGCGTCGCCAAAGCGGACCCCCAGTCGTCGCGCTCGTGTCTCGACCGCCGCCAATATCCCCGAAGTTCCCGACACCCCCTCGAAACAGCGCACAATCAACTTGGAAAAGGTCATCCCCGAGCCGAAAATTGCACCACGCGCACCTTGTGTGAATGATTTCTTGAATCTGCACTCTGCTTTCGTCCAGGCCCTCTCCATTCACTTCGCTCACAACGGCCTCATTTCCCCGGCCGATTTCCGCGAGTTCCTCCCAAGCGTAACCAGAATCTGGAAAAAGCGCAAGGTGCAGCCGAAAGATCTTCAACGCCTATTGTGGGTCTGGGATCGCAGCTTGAAGGCCAAGGATATATCGTATCGCCTGGCAAACTATGGATTGGGCAAGGTGTGCCTGGAAAGAACGGCCCTGGTGGATGAGCAGGCCCCTGCTTTGCAGGATGCATTCGAACAGGCCCTGGATCTACTTTGGGAGCAGACGGAACCTTCTCTCGAAATTGCCAAGGAGGAAGATCGTCCGGCACTATTCCTCGAGTCTCTTGGCCTCGCGCCTATTCATGAATCTCTTACCCCCTTCACTGCGTTTAAGAAAGGCCAGCAGCGACTGCAGGACTTGAGGTCTGGTGTGATCCGCATGAAGACCGAGAAACTACGCGCGGAGGGAGAGATTGGAGAGTCTAAGCCTCTGGCTCCTGCGATCAACCGTCGTCAAAGCCTCCTGGATCGCATTAAGAATAAGGAGCTGCGCCAGTCCAAGTTGCCTCCTCCGCCGACCAAGAAGGAGATGATACGTCGTTCGGCTGCTGATCGTGTTGAGGAAGTTGTAGGTGTTCTGGCTCTTCTGCGCCCAGCTACCTACGTGGGCACTGGTATCAAGGCCCTCTTCGCTAGCCAGCGCAAGCCTTTCAGGTTGGAGACTATCGTCGACCATGTTCGTGATTCTGTCCGGATTCCTATTCCTCGGGACGAAGTCGAGGCGTGCCTCGAGATTCTGGCTGATACCCGTGTGGCCGGTCACTGGGTGACTATGGTTACTGTGAAAGACATCCGCTCGGTGGTGCTAAAGTCTTGCAAGGACATTCAGGCGAATGAACTTGGAGCCAAGGTGGCTCAAGTGATGGCCGAGTGGGACAAGCCCGTCGCTTGTGTACCGGGGCCCATCTTGCAGATCTGAGGGATCCTTGGTGGATTGTATTTTGGATTTCTTCGTTGTATACCTCGCATTCGCGGAGCCGGTTTTGCTCGCGATCTTGCATTGAAGCGTTGTTCTGATACCCTGTACTTTGTGAACATCATGTCTGTTAGCATACATCTTACCATCATACCCATAACCTCAACAATAAATCTTAATGACAGTGATCAAAGAGCTTGTTTTCTCCTTCCTTACTTATCTAGCTTAGTACACTACTCCGTGCTATCCCCTAAAGGATGGTATTAACGACACGACAGAAAAGTTCATGGCACGACAAGGCCCCTTTCAATACCAAGTGCTACATTCGAAATACACAAGTTATCTACCAAGTCCTTTTGTATAATCACATCAATACTTCTCGCTAATAACGTTAGCGACTGTGAACGTGACCTCTATCTATTTATCCCTATAATCAACTAAATTAAAATTCCACTCCGACTACGTTGCCCTCTTTTACGGTCTTTTCAATGGTCTTTTCAATGGTCTTTTCAATGGTCTTTTCTAAAGATAGGGCTATACATCCATATGGACTCGGTAGGCAACTCGTGTATTTCGAATGTAGTATTCTGTACTGAAGGTGGCGCATTCCTCATTTGGACTAGCCTTGTCGTGCCATGAACTTTTCTGTCGTGTCGTTAATGCCATCCCCCCTAAAATGCATAGAGTCCCAATGTGACAGCCCACTTAACGCGCGACGCGTGCCACGTGACCGTATCCTACCAACACGCGTCTCGAGCTCACACCAATTGCCATCGAACCACCAAAGCTGGGTGATCGTCCAAACCGCTGCAATTGCTTGCAGAATCATCGGTAATATGTCATCTCGACCAGATCTGAAGGTACTTAATGCTACCACCCGTCTATCTCGATAGGTCCTTTGAAAAGAAACAACTAAACAATGCTCCTAACCTGACCAGGTCGACGACGAAGTCGGTTTCATCCGCTTCTACCGCTCCCTCCCCGACGCAGACAACAATGAGACAATCCGCGTCTTCGATCGAGGCGACTGGTACTCGTCTCACGGTACCGATGCCGAGTTTATCGCCCGCACGGTCTACAAAACCACCTCCGTCCTCCGCAACTTGGGCCGCAGCGAGACTAGCGGCCTACCCTCCGTCACAATGAGTGTGACCGTATTCCGCAATTTCCTCCGTGAGGCACTCTTCCGCCTTAACAAGCGCGTCGAGATCTGGGTATCTGGCGGCACGGGCAAGGGAAACTGGAAACTGGGCAAGCAAGCTAGTCCGGGTAACCTGCAAGACGTGGAAGACGAACTCGGCAGTGTGGGTGCCATGTCGATGGATTCGGCGCCTATCATCTTGGCTGTGAAGATTTCTGCACGTGCTGCGGAGGCTAGGAATATCGGTGTGTGTTTCGCGGATGCGAGCGTGCGCGAGCTCGGCGTGAGCGAGTTCCTCGATAATGATATCTACTCCAACTTCGAGTCTCTGGTTATTCAACTCGGTGTGAAGGAGTGTCTGGTCGTTATGGATTCTACCGGGAAGGATGCTGAACTTGCCAAGATTCGCGCTATTGCTGATAGCTGCGGTATTGCAATTTCCGAGCGGCCAGCGGCGGATTACGGCGTGCGCGATATCGAACAGGATCTCACGCGGTTGTTGCGTGATGAACGTTCCGCGGGTACCCTGCCCCAGACGGAACTGAAGCTTGCTATGGGGTCTGCGTCGGCGTTGATCAAATACCTTGGTGTCATGACCGATCCGACCAATTTCGGCCAGTACCAGCTTTATCAGCATGATTTATCGCAGTATATGAAGCTTGATGCGTCTGCGTTGCGTGCTTTGAACCTTATGCCTGGTCCGCGGGACGGATCGAAGAGCATGAGTCTGTTCGGTCTATTGAACCATTGCAAGACGCCCGTGGGAAGTCGATTGTTATCGCAGTGGTTGAAGCAGCCGTTGATGGATCTTGCCACTATTGAGCTGCGGCAACAACTGGTGGAGGCGTTTGTGGTCAACACGGAACTGCGTCAGACGATGCAAGAGGAGCATCTCCGTGCTATTCCCGACCTTTACCGTCTTGCTAAACGGTTCCAGCGGAAGCAGGCCAATCTGGAGGACGTTGTCCGAGTTTATCAGGTGGCCATTCGTCTACCTGGGTTCGTTCAGGCTCTTGAAGATGTCATGGACGAACAATACCAAGTACCACTAGACAAGGAGTATACGTCAAAGCTCCGCGGTTACTCGGACAGCTTGGCCAGGTTGGAGGAGATGGTGGAGACTACGGTTGACCTTGCTGCACTCGAGAACCATGAGTTCATCATTAAGCCGGAGTTTGACGAGGGGCTTCGTGTTATCCGCAAGAAGCTGGACAAGGTTCGATATGATATGGATATGGAGCACCGGCGAGTTGCCAAAGATCTGAACCAGGAAATGGAGAAGAAGCTCTTCATGGAGAATCATCGTGTACATGGCTGGTGCTTCCGTCTTACTCGCACGGAAGCCGGCTGTATTCGCAACAAGAAGGGGTACCAAGAGTGCTCGACGCAGAAGAACGGTGTCTACTTCACCACCTCCACCATGCAGTCTCTCCGTCGGGAGCATGATCAGCTCTCCTCCAATTACAACCGAACTCAGACCGGTCTTGTCAACGAAGTTGTCAACGTTGCTGCTTCCTATTGCCCTGTCCTGGAACAGCTTGCTGGCGTTCTAGCACACCTCGACGTGATTGTGAGCTTCGCACACGCAGCAGTCCATGCGCCTGCCGGATACGTCCGACCCAAGATGCACCCTCGAGGTACAGGTAACACCGTGCTCAAGGAAGCTCGTCACCCCTGCATGGAAATGCAAGACGATATTTCCTTCATCACCAACGATGTCTCTTTGATCCGTGATGAATCCTCTTTCCTTATCATTACCGGCCCCAACATGGGTGGTAAATCTACCTACATCCGCCAAATCGGTGTCATTGCGCTCATGGCTCAAACCGGCTGTTTCGTGCCCTGCACTGAAGCAGAGTTGACAATCTTTGACTGTATCCTTGCTCGAGTTGGTGCCAGTGATTCGCAGCTCAAGGGTGTGTCCACCTTCATGGCGGAGATGCTCGAGACGGCCAACATTCTCAAGTCTGCCACCTCGGAATCTTTGATTATCATCGACGAGCTCGGTCGTGGAACTAGTACCTACGATGGGTTTGGCCTGGCCTGGGCTATCTCGGAGCACATAGTTACTGAGATTCGTTGCTTCGGTCTCTTCGCGACCCATTTCCACGAGTTGACCGCGTTGGCGGACCGGTATCAAAAGGCCGTGAAGAACCTACATGTCGTGGCATTCATCGGCGACGGAACCGCAAACGACGCCGACGATGGTGCCGAAAAGAAGAAGCGCCAAGTTACTTTGTTGTACCGCGTGGAACCTGGTATTTGCGATCAATCTTTCGGTATTCACGTTGCCGAACTCGTCCGATTCCCCGAGAAGGTTGTCAACATGGCCCGCCAAAAGGCAGAGGAGCTGGAAGACTTTTCCTCTGCTGAAACTGCTGAGAAGCAGCAGCCTACTCCATCATTAGATAAGTACTCCCAAGAGGAGGTGGAAGAAGGCAATGCCCTTCTGAAGGAGATGTTGTTGAAGTGGAAGGCTGAGATTGAAGGTAAAGAACTTTCGTCTGAGCAAAAGCGTCAGATCATGCGCGATATTGTCAAGGGCGATGAGAAATTGCAGGCGAATAAGGTGTTCCAGGGTATCAAGGCTCTTTAGCGATATGAACCAATAATGGGGTTGAGGATTTGTCACGGAGTATGGTGTTAGAGATTGGGGGTTCCAAGGAAAATGCATTTGACGAGGACCTATTTTAAAATTATTTCGGGTATAATCGTCTTATTCATACTCAATCTGATCAATTGCTGTATAATGCTGAGAGTAAAATCGCTAGTTATGTTTAGAGTGCCAACGAACCGATGTAGATCCACGGACCGTCACGTGGGCCAACCCTGCTTGTCGAGACGCCAACGCGACTCGGAGTAACCAGAGCGGGCGCCTTGTCCAAAGCTTGTCTGTTGATCCTCATTCTCTCGTTCATGATCCCTCCAAGAAACTCATCCTGACCAGTAAATCACCGCCGGCTCCCCTATCAACCTGTATCCTCGACAAAAAACCCACTCGCTCAATATTCACCCCCTCCAACTATGCGCGCCAATTAAACCGCGGACCGCTTGAACCACCTTGATTCATGCACCCCTTTTCCATCCTCACCCTTGGGATCTTTGTTGCGGGCTACATCACCGCTCGGTGGGATCTTGTTACCCGCCTGTACGAATTGGCTATTTTTGCGTGGGACCACGGTGTTGTGGTAAGATTCATTGCTGGGGGTTTGGAGAAGACACACCCCTCTCTCCGTTACCGACTGGGGATCTCTGCGCGCGGGAATGTGGACTTGCTGCTGACGCTTGTTGGTGTTGCTTTTGAATATAGACGAGAACACTCAAAGGATTTCTATTTCTTTCTGTCTTTTTCTTCCTCCTGGTCCTGCCAATCAATCACCTGGCATCGAGAGAGGGGAACCTGGTAAGCTCACACCGAGGCGCTCAAGCATTGAATTGCGATGATATAGCTTTGCAATTCGGGGGGTCAGCCATTGCCACCAGACATGCTAATGTATATCTGCTTCTTGTTAGCATCCGCGCCACGTGAATCTCGGAGTCTCCGCGCGAGAACAGCTGCGCCGCCGAGGCTCGTTCTAAGGGTCCGGAGAAGGATGACAATATGCTCATGAGTGATGGGCTATTGCGGGTATTCTGGCCATATGATCTCCCGCGATCTTCATCGCCAGGAGTGATTGTTGGATGGCGCAACTCGGAGCTAGATCTCTTTGTGCTTACGGTGTTGGAAGATGTCGAGGTCAGTTATCTCGGTGGAAGGGTACATGATCATGCGCAACAGCGTACTAATTGCACTTCTACACGGAACAGCCACGCAACGTCGACAATGCGCTTCGCGCAGGTATTCTTTTTCGAAACAGCCCACATCCAATCGTTCGCATCTTTACCTTGTGCGGCCGATCACAGATGCACGTTCTCGGCTCGACGAATCTGCTGTCCCCTCCGACCTCGTTCAATCCCTCCCATCTATACGTGAACACACAATCCACCTCCAAGGTTCCTCAAATATACTGTCCCCCGGGCACGAATTTGTCGGTGCAAGTTATCATGTATGATCGCCCGCATCCGACTCGCATGGAGTACATGTCTTTGCATCCTATTTCGCTGGCACTGGGTGATAAGGTCGCGGCCTTGGAGAAATTTGGTCCAGTCTCTGATAAGGTCGAGTCCGAAGAGGAGAGGGAAAAAGCTAGGGGCCGGTTGCTGGTTGAGAAACTCAAGTTTCACACGGTGGTGAAGCATGCGCCCTCGCAGAAAGAACAGGCACTTCCGTTGATCATCAACCAAGTCAATTGCGCATATGAAATGGCTCAGCTGATGCATAAGAATACTCACCTCATCGGTATCCGTGCCAAGCGGAGTATGAGTGTTGGAGAACGCGTGGTCGAGTCTGCGACGACATTGTGGGGGTTCATCGTCCTCTGTCTAGCTCACGTTTTTTGGCAGTGGATATGGCCCGTCATCACTAGGGTCTTCGTTATAGGGCTTGTGTGTCATCGATCTGTCGCGGAGATTGTTTTGCAGGTCCTTGAATGGCGGGCGCGGCCGGATGCTGCTGCGCTGAAAGATATCTCTGCGACTGCCCAGCAAGTGGACATCCGATTGCAGCAATTCTGTTACTGGCCTATTCAGTATGTCAAACTTCGTCAACGAAAAGACAACTGGGAAAGTGTGACGACCAGCCACCCGGATTATATCCGGTTCTATAATAGCTTGTGGCTTGTCGCCAATGATGTGATCATTGGCATCGCTCTCGGATCCTATATCATCGACAACGCGAACTGGGTAGCATCGCAAATCAATACCGTCCTGACGGGCTGGACTGTGGAAGGCCTGCAACGCACCATCTCTTGGTTGATGGATTGGCCTGCTGGTTTGAAGTTGAACAACGAACTCGCGGCATTCCTTGGTGACTTGTTCTTGTGGGTTATTGAAAACTGGGCCGCGTGCATCGCGAATCTGCAACCATACCTTCCACATGTCATCTACATTGTGGGTTGCTCCAGTTTCGCCGGCGCCAGCATGCCCATCGCCTTATTCTCCGACCTTCTTTCTATACTCACCGTCCACATCTACTCCTTTTACATTGCCTCTGCTAGAATCTTCAACTGGCAGCTTACCATCATCATTTCACTTTTCCATCTTTTCCGTGGAAAGAAGCGCAATGTCTTGCGCAATCGGATAGATTCATGCGACTACGACCTCGACCAGCTTTTGCTTGGCACCATCTTGTTTACCGTCCTTTTCTTCCTTCTCCCTACAGTCATTGTCTTTTACCTCACCTTTGCCTCGGCTCGAATGTTGATCATCACGATGAAGGCTGGTTTCGATACATGTCTGGCCTTTTTGAATCACTTCCCGCTCTTTGCGTTGATGTTGCGTGTGAAAGACTCGAGGCGACTACCCGGTGGCATCCGATTCGAACTTCGGGATGCATTGACTAAGGGTTCCATTGAAGCAGAGTCTCCGGCTGTTTCTTACATTCACCTCGAGGTTTGTCTTCTCATCAACATCACTTTCAGAATCACACCGCTAATGCGAATTCTAGTCCATTCCCCTCCCGCTCCGCGCCATGTTCGACCAGTACTTCCAACTTGGCCACCGACTGCGCAAACATTATCTAGCACCCCGAGTCATCTTCTGTCTCATGACGGGCCGCTTCGTCCCGCCCATCCACCGCCGTAACCTGTACAGTATGCAATATAGCATGCTGCCGGCACGTCGTGCAGGCATGGCCGAAGTTTGGTCAATGTTGACGCAGCCCAAGAAGGGTGGAAGCGGAAGTGGCAGTTCTGGCTCCGTGGGGGGAATGGGGGCCTTGGGTAATCCGCTTCCTAAGGTTCCGCCTAATTTTGGACAGGGGGATGTTCGTCGACGGGGGCATCGGTGATTTCGAGTCTTCAAAATAATACCCTAGTATATAGATCGTGTTCGCTTTCGATTAATTAATCATTTTTGCCTTGAGGCATTTTGCATGTCGAAATCTTGCTCGAGACGAATTCCGCACGCATTTATATCCAGACTAATATGAGAGATCATCGACAACCCCAGATTTTGAACACGTACTTGTGATCATTGATGCTGTTTTCTGGGTGCTGGACAACATCATCACTATATAGGGTATATGGAAGTCGTCTCCAAACTAGTGATCTAGGAGTAGACTTGTTTGACGGAGTCTTGCAAAAGATGAAAAATGGCGTTATATTGATACATTGGTCCTTGATAGTATGATGAGAAGAGAGATCACGCTTGCCTATATATGCCGTTTGCGCCCAAGTTTAATAAACAATGTCTTCGCCACCAAAAACAGACGAGAAGTAATCACAGAAAATGCACAGAGTAGAGATCAGAAAATGTGTCGGGTATGAAACAGTCAAGTCTCATGATTTTTTCAGAAACTCGGCATCAGTCTCACTGCTGCTCTTCCGAGCATCATCGAGCATCGTGTCAATGCCTTTCTCTTTGAGAGATTTCTATATGGCGAGAAAAGATGGTCAGTCCGAGGTATCGATTTCAAGTAAGTCTTCAGACAAATAACGCACATGCAGACACGTTTTGTACTTCTGGAACAGCTCCTCGCAGTCATTTGATGAGGTGTTGCCTCGAAGATATTCTGTCTCGTTGTCAGCTACTTTTGCTGCTTGTAGAGCCTAGATGATCAAGACAAAAGACTAACTTTCACTGTACCACTTCAAAAAGCAGGTGTCATATTTCCTGTGTGATTCTATGTTAGTTCTCTGTATCTTTTGTAGCGACGTAACGTAGAAACCGGGAGAGGGACATGGAACTTACTCTTTAATATCGTTGCATTCGGGGGCGATCGAGGCGGCCATTATGGTAAGGTAAGATTGAAATAAGAGTAAAGATGAGAAACACGGTCTAAAAGCTTTAAAGGACTTGCTTTTAGACGAACTCTTTGTAAGTTGGATATGTTTGAAGTGTTGGAAGCTCCGCAGGAGAAGAAAGTCGCCCGCGGAGCCTCGGATTTTGGCCAATTAAAGACCCGCACCTGCCCACCTTCTTTCGGCAGGCGGTGGCCGCGCAACTCTTCGTGCTTCCACTTTTTTTTCTTCGCAGCTCCGACTCCATCTCATTTGACATCTACAACGGCTTTTTAGCTCTGCTTGTCATGAATTCTGCAGAGCTCGCCCCGTTTCACGACCAGGTGACGGCCGCATTGTTGCAGGTGAGCCGTACCGTCAATCAGCTGGTGTCGGAGGACCTGAACTTCCACCGTACTTCGAATGCAGACTTCACGGAATCGCTCGATGACCAAAGCGACCGGATTCTTTCCTTGACGACTGCCTTGCTCAAGGCTGCTACTGCTGGGACCGATGTTGCTGCGCCTATACTGGACACGGAAGATTCGGTCGAGGACAATTGGCGTGGTGTGGTGGATGTGATCGATTCGCTTCTAGAGAAAGCCGATGCTTGTTTGGACGAGTTTACGGGTGTGATCAAGAAGTTGAGCCCCTCACAAGAAGAGCAGGCACCGGTAGTTAGGAAAACATCTAGATTTCCAACCACCTTCGACTACGGCCCATCGAAATTCCCCAAGCCGCAGTTGCTATTCGATCACAAGCCCGATAATTCAGACCTGGGCCCATTCCGTCCTCTTCTCAAGAACAAACCTCATGCCACTGTTTCACTCGAAAAATCCTTGAAGCAACGACAAGTCGACGGGAAAACTGCCTACCCGCATCCTTACGAGACCGAGATCCGCAATGCGCAGTACCCAAAGTCTGTTTACGAGACGTGTCCTCCGATTGATTATCTGTCATTTGAAGGCACGACCGCTACCTTTGTTGATACTTTGGACGGTGTCAAGGAAATGCTTAGAGAGCTGAAGCAGGCAAATGAGATTGCGATTGATTTGGAACACCATGATGTACACTCATACCACGGTCTGGTGTCCTTGATGCAAATTAGCACACGGAACAAGGACTGGGTGGTTGATACTCTAAAGCCGTGGAGGGAGGAGCTTCAGATTCTCAACGAAGTTTTCGCGGACCCCAAGATTCTGAAGGTGCTGCACGGATCCACAATGGATATCATCTGGCTGCAACGTGATTTGGGATTGTATGTGGTTGGTATGTTCGACACCTTCCATGCCGCGTCTGCGCTAGGATACCCTAAGAGGAGCTTGAAGTACCTGCTCAAGAAGTTTGTCGACTTTGAAGCCGATAAGCGGTATCAGATGGCCGATTGGCGTGTTCGTCCACTTCCGTCTGGCATGTTCGATTACGCGCGATCCGACACCCACTATCTCCTCTTCATATATGATTGTTTGCGAAACGCACTCATTGAGGCGTCTACCCCTCAAGAAAGCCTCATCGACTATGTGCAAGACCGCTCAAAGAACGAGGCCTTACAGACATACGAACGCCCCGTCTACGATGCGGAGAAGGGCCAGGGTGCTGGGGGCTGGTACGATCTGCTTTCGAGAAACCCAGGCGGAGCGCTTTCAAAAGAGCAATTCGCGGTTTTCAAAGCCATCCACCAGTGGCGCGACGAAGTAGCCCGTGTCGAGGATGAAGGCTGGCAGTGCGTGTTCCCCAAGCATATGCTTTTCAAGCTTGCTCAAGCCATGCCCCTTGACATGGGGACTTTGTTGCGCACCCTTTCGCCCATGACCCCTCTTACCAAGAGCCGGGCTGCCGATCTGCTTGATACTATCAAGGAGGCTAAGGCCGCTGGGGCCACGGGTCCAGAATGGCGTGATATCGCACCCCCGCCCAAGGCCCTTCGAACGGCCATGGCTGTCGACATGGAGGATGTCGATTTTCCTATTGCTGAACGATTCCAGACATCTCAGTTCTGGGGCGACGTTCTGCAAGTCCAAGAGCCCTCTGCCCCTGCATCATACTCTGCTGTTGCATCGTTAGAAGCTCTCCGACTCTCTCTCCCTCTGCCGCCAATGCCTACTATCGTCTCCCAAGCTCGTGAAAAGCTTGGTGTCTCGGCCAATGCCCAACCCTCACCCGCTCCGAAGGCGGCTCCGACGCCTGCTCCGGTCCCCGAAGCGCCCAAGTACTTCACTGTGAAAGACCTCGGTGCTCCACGCAAGCGAAAGGTCGCTGCAGTTGCCACCCCTGACGTGGAACTGTCTATGCCCGATAGCTTGGCTGGACCAAGCGACGAACCGGAGTTGACGGAGAAGCAACACAAGAAACTACGCAAGGAGAAGAAGAAGGCTCAGAAGGCTGCTCAGTCTGCCTCTCAGTCCGAGGCTGACTCGACTCCCTTTGACTATACCACTGCGGATTCAATTCTCAACTTGGCTTCCGCAGCTGCACCGAGCGTTCAGCAGAGAAAGAAGCCATTCAACCCCTACGCCAAGGCCTTGGAGGCTCCTGCCGGCGCACGCAAGCAGCAGCGTAACGATGCTGGAAAGTCTATGACATTCCGCAAGTAGACTTCCTGGTGCTCTCTAGTCTCGACGTTTCAAAAAAGCATGTTTGGGGTTGGTGGTTTATTTGCTTCCTTGTGTTTGATTTTTAAGCATAGCGATACCCTTGCGTCAATGGGATGCCCTGAGGTTATTCTTGTGGTATAGATAACGGGTTTTCCATAGAAATGAACTATCTTCACATGGAAAAATCTGGCGGTAATGGTTTATCGTAATCTATGATTATCAAATTAGGCTATCCATCTTGAAAACTGCAAAGAAGCTCCATTGAATGCCCTGCCAAGTAATTACAGTATATAATCACGTGAAATATAGACTTTAACCAATCATATCACACCCCCTGATAGCAAGGTGGGTCTGACTCATCGTCGAGGGGCAGAAATTCCCCCGCTAAAGAATTGTAGATTGTCAACGCAAGCAGCCCGTCAAAGCACAAAGTACTAATTCAATCCCCTCATACCGGAGAGCTTGATACTGATTCGTTCTACTTAGCCCTTGAGTAGCTCATACCATGGCGGACGAACCAGGACAACCCCCAGCGCTGACCACGCTGAGCCTCGCCGAACAAGCGCCCGCCTCCAAGGCCGTCGGTCAGGTCATCACTCCATTCGATGTGTCTGGCGGTGTCGATGAGACTGGCAAGCTGCTGCCCGTCGACTATGACAAGCTCGTTCGCGAGTTCGGCGCCACTCCCCTCACTCCTGACCTGCTCGAGCGCTTCGAGAAGGTTACCGGCCACCGTCCGCACCGTTTCATGCGCCGCGGCGTTGTGTTCAGTCACCGCGAGTTGGGAAAGATCCTTGACCGCCATGAGAAGGGCCAACCTTTCTACCTCTACACTGGACGTGGACCCAGCAGTGACAGCATGCACGTAGGACACACTGTCCCATTCGAGTTTACCAAGTATGAAAGCCTTCATTGTTCCGTATCTCCTTAGCAAAAGCCATACTAATATGTTTTCTCCTACGCCAATTAGGTGGCTGCAAGATGTGTTCGACGTTCCCCTTGTGATTATGATGACCGACGACGAGAAGTATATGCATTCCCAGAAGATCGAGATCGAGGACGCCAAGCGCTTCACAAAGGCCAATGCGAAGGACATCATTGCTGTCGGATTCGACATGAAGAAGACCTTCATCTTCAGTGACTTTGACTTCGTTGGTGGCGCGTTCTATGAGAATATCTGCAGAATGGCTAAGCGCATTACGATCAACCAAGTGCGAGGCACCTTTGGCTTCACCGACAGCAACAACATCGGAGAGTTCCACTTCTGCGCTACCCAGTCCGCGACTGCATTCGCAACTAGCTTCCCTCAGATCTTCGGTACCGATCGCAAGAAGGTCTCTTCTATCCCCTGCCTGATTCCCTGCGCCATTGACCAGGATCCTTACTTCCGCCAATGCCGTGAACACGCCGAAAAGATGAAGTATAAGAAGCCTTCGCTCATCCACGCTATCTTCCTGCCCGCTCTCCAGGGCCCTGGCTCTAAGATGTCTGCCAGTATTGAAACGTCTGCTATCTTCATGAACGATACCCCCAATAAGATCAAGAACAAGATCAACAAGTATGCCTTCTCCGGTGGCCAGGAGACCACGGAGCTTCACCGCGAGCTGGGCGGTAACACAAAGGTCGATGTGCCCTTCCAGTACCTGACCTTCTTCCTGGAGGATGATGACGAGCTCGAGCGCATCCGCACCGCTTATGAGAAGGGTGAGATGCTCACCGGTGAATTGAAGCAGCTCTGTATTGCAGAGCTGCAGACCTACGTGAAGGCATTCCAAGACCGCCGGGCTCAGGTCACCGATGAGATAGTGGCCGAGTACATGCGCCCACGTCCCTTGGAGTGGAAGGGTAACCCCAACCCGGTGGTTGCTGAGAAGAAATAGAGTCCATCGATGGCTGAAATGTCTAAATTAAGATCTCAAAAATCAAAATCAACCTGCATACCTAAGCTGATTCCATGATTATTCATGTTAGTCATATTTTCCAATGTTTTTAGAAATTGCTTAAGATTTGAACGCAATTGCTGCATGCTCCGGACAGGAAACACATGACCGCCTCCATTATGTATTGTGGCGTGGCTGAGATCTTTCTAAGAGGTATTTACCGACTCAAGACGACAACACCACGTATGAATCCACGTACTCCATTACTGAGCCAGCACTCTTCGCCATCTACCAAGTCTGCCTTGGTGATCACTTGCTCCACACAAAATCCTTGACTTAAGGCATATCTCCTACTTGTGCCTGCATTCCCACCACTTTTCAATGGCGGAGTGACCCAAACTGCCTCGTTTGCGTCGGTCTCCTTGCCCACGATGCGCCGTCGAAAGTAGGGCGTGGTAATGCTCCCTTCCATAATTTCTCCGTCCGGGTTGACTACTAAAACCTCAGAGGTCTCTGCTGGAGAGGTGATTCCCGCGCGCACGCGAGCGGCTGCGTAGTCGTCTCGGGCGGTAGTTTTGTGTGTTGTGAAGCCAGATGGGGTTATAGACTGTGAATCGACATAAACCTTCCACGTGGTGGACTGTACACCGTCGTGGAGGGATGGTATTAATAGGTTCAAAGGGTCAATCGTAATAGTTGGATTGACCTCGACCGAGCCCTTGCCATTGCAATCCACAGCTATTCGCAACCGCCATGGCTTCTCTCTGTCGGGTATTGATTCATCGAGGAATCTCTCAAAACTGGCTAGGTCTAGTCGTAGAAATTCGAGCGCATTGTCCCATTTAAAATGACGCGCAGCGTTGGTCAAACGGTCTCGGTGGTAGGAGAGGAGGTAATAGGGTGAGTCAACTGGAGCAGGATAGCTCTGATCATTCGCATGGTGACAGGTCACCTTTGGAAGGTCGGGATCATATCGGAGGGAAGAGATTATCTGGAACGACGGCACAGCATCTGGCATGGGCGTCGAGGTCATTGTCGCGTGCGTCCAATTCTTCGTACACGGATATTCGTTCTATCCTGACGTTAGTTTTAAGCTGCGTCATCCACGGGAAACGGCGCGGCACACGGACTCAGTCCAGCGCTGCCTCTGGTGTCGGGAATCGAGATGCAATCCAATTGAACACAGATCGAACTCAGTCGACATCAACCACGCACTGTAACGAGCGACCACCTCGCTCTTCGTCGGGCCAACCGGGTTGTGCAAAGTAGTGATGTGGAGAAGCTACGCCGAATCGTTACTGTTGCATAGCGCGTGATTGGCCCGTGCACAGTGGCCGAACTCTCGACTTTTCCTCCAACCTTCCGTCATTCCTCCCTATCTCACACTTCCCGCCTTCTGGCCAAGAGACTGGTACGTTTCGCGTTCGCTGAGTTTGCTATTCATCGGCGCATTCCTCGTTTGTCTCCATCCGTGCTGACCGCGCCTAGAATCAGGACTTTCACAGCATTGGTCGCCGTGTCCGGTTCCCTCAACACAACCATGTCCAGCGAGTCGCCATTGTCTACGCCCACGCAGAACGTGGTGCTGGACACCTCGAAGCTGTCCGCCTCCACCTCATCCTCAGTTTGGGATCGCATCTCAAACTGGGTGTCGGAGAACAAGGCGGTTGTCTACACCATTGCCGGTGTCGCCGTTGTCGTGACTGGCGCTGGTGTCGTCTACTACTTGTCCGACTCTAACAAGTCGAGCGCTTCATCTACCCCCTCCATCCCTAAGAAGAGCAAGAACCAACGACGGAAAGAAAAGAAGAAGGCCGAGGAAGAGAAGAAGACCAAGGCCGCCTCTGTCCAGGAAGGTTCGTTACCTACCACTCGGTCATAACACGATAGTTGAACCGCGACTGACATCATGATAGAGCCTGCGGCCAAGAAGGCCGAGGAGCCTGCTGAAGAATTGCCGGAGGTCGATGAGGCCACCGTTGGCCAGCTTTCAGAGGAGGTACGAGATTTGTCACCTTAATTTAATGTCGGATTGCAGGATAGTCATTAACAAACTCCATGAAGACCCGCAAGGTATACGCCGCCAAGCTGAAGGCCGCCGGTAACAAGGCTTACGGCTCCAAGGATTACAACAGTGCCATTGACCTGTACGGAAAAGCCATCATCTGCAAGCCCGATCCCGTCTTCTACTCAAACCGCGCCGCCTGCTACAATGTTCTGTCCGAGTGGGAAAAGGTTGTGGAGGACACTAGCGCCGCGATCGCTATGGACAGCGAGTATGTGAAGGCTCTGAACCGGAGAGCCATTGCGTACGAGCACCTTGGCAAGTTCAGCGAGGCTCTCCTCGACTTTACTGCCAGCTGCATTATCGACGGTTTCTCCAACGATGTCAGCCGCAACTCCCTCGAGCGCCTGCTGAAGAAGGTTGCCGAGCAGAAGAGCAAGGCTATCCTCGATGCTCGCACCAAGAAGCTACCTAGCGCCACATTTGTCTCCAACTACCTGCAGAGCTTCCGTTCCCAGGCACTTCCTGAGGGCCTGGAAGAGTCCGTTGAGCTGAGTGAGGATTCTGGCAAGGCTCTGCTGCGCAAGGGTCTGATTGCTATGGACAAGAAGACCGGTGATGGCTATGAGGAGGCCGCTACTGCCTTCGATAAGGCGCTCGAGGTTGGCGATCTCGGTGAATTCGAGGCTTTGGCTCTCAACATGAAGGCCACTTTCACATATCTCGGCGGTAACGCCAGCGGTGCGTTGGAGGGTCTGAACAAGAGTGTCGAGCTCCAGCCTTCCCTCGTCCAGAGTTACATCAAGCGCGCTAGCTTGCACCTTGAGCTTGGTAAGCTTCTTCCAAGCGAAATTAATACTTGGTTTATTTACTGACTGTTCACCAGGCAACAAGGATGCTGCTGCGGATGACTTCGAGCTCGCCATCACTCACAACAAGGATGACCCCGACATCTATTACCACCGCGCCCAGCTCCACTTCATCCTGGGTGAGTTCGCTGAGGCCGCCAAGGACTACCAGAAGTCCATCGACCTCGACCGTTCTTTCATTTACTCTCACATTCAGCTCGGTGTGACCCAGTACAAGATGGGCTCCGTTGCCTCTGCCATGGCCACTTTCCGCCGCTCGGTGAAGAACTTTGAGGAGGTCCCCGATGTCTACAACTACTACGGCGAGCTGCTGCTCGACCAGCAGAACTACCCCGAGGCCATTGAGAAGTTCGACAAGGCCGTTGAGATGGAGAAGCTGAGCAAGCCCATGGGTATCAACGTTTTGCCCCTCATCAATAAGGCTCTGGCCCTTTTCCAGTGGAAGCAAGACTTCCAGGAAGCCGAGAACCTGTGCCAGAAGGCACTCATCAGTAAGTCTACCAACCCATGTCTCCCCTTTGACTCGTTGGGAATCAGGAGAACTCACATTTGATATAGTTGACCCCGAGTGCGATATCGCCGTTGGCACCATGGCCCAGCTGCTCCTGCAGCAGGGTAAGGTCTCCCAGGCCCTCAAGTACTTCGAGCGGGCCGCCGAACTCGCTCGCACCGAGGCCGAGATCATCAACGCCATCTCCTACGCCGAGGCCACCCGCACCCAGCTAGAGGTCCAGGAGAAGTACCCTCAGCTGGCTGCCCGCCTGAACGCCATGGGTGCCATGGGTGGAGCTCCCCCTGGCATGTAAAAGCAATATGATCGATCGGTCTGGTTCTTTTTGCCTTTTCGGTTCGCGTGTTTCCCCATCGTCGTCATGCCTCCCATCTTCCCTCTTCGTTCGCTTCGTTTCGTCGTTTCCTGGATCCGGAGTCGGGTGCCTGTCTAATTAGCCCCCCTTTCGATTCCGGTCTTCGGTCTTTGGTCAGCTCCACGGGCAGTCCCGACCGGCGGTTTTTTCTCCTCCTTGTATTTAGTATCCCTCTGTCTCTTGACATATTCCCTCTCACCACCACCTTGGCGGTTCTTTTCTGTTTCATCTTTTTTTCTTATCCTTTTGTGTGGGGCACCGGGCAGAGAGACATCCAAAGGCATGCGAACCGGGATGTTTGGGCCAGCACGGGGTCCAGGCCAACTTTTGCATTGGGTTGGGGACATGTGGCAAGTAATCTATGTACCATAGAGGTGAATGTGATGTGACGTCTTTTGAGATACCAACTTCGTATCCAGAATGTAATGGTCGTGAAGATCTTTTGCATTTACTAAGATATAACTATGCTGGACCTCTCAAGGAGTAACGATTGAGGACTCCAAGACTTGCGGTAGTCTGGTGATATTATCCAGTAATATAGTCCTCGGGTATTGAGAATGGTCGTGGTGATGCGAGACAATGTACATTATGGAGCCCTGGACTGTGGACTGGCATCCAAATCCAAGTCTGGGGCAGAGGCTCCACTTGGGGCCGTCCAAGCGGCGATAAGGGAGGATACGGATAAGACGATGCCCCACCTGACCGATCTACTGCTAACTATACGTTTGTAGCTGTCCACTTCCTGCCTAAACATATGGGAACGCCTTCGCCTTATCGCTCCACTCGTACAACCTGGAAACCTTCCCGGAGTGAACCCGTTGCCAAACAAGGGAAAGGAACTGTCTCCGATCGCCTTTCCTCACCAGTGGTTCCGTGCCTGCTGGTCCAAGGATCCCCATAGGGCCGGGCCCCAAACTTCTTAGAAGCCTTGACCTCAACCTGACTCTGATTCATCATCATCTACCCCTCTTCCCTCTCACCTTCCGCTCCCACCTTTCTACCTCCCACCTTCCCTCTATCTTCATCCATATCACGCCACATCTTTGGCCCTTTTCTTATTTTCCAGCCCCGGCAGCTCGTTGGCCTTCTTTGTTCTTCTAGACCGGGGATATCCGGTGAGTCTCCTTCGCTTCCCCGCCGCTTTGCTTACAATGCAGCTGCTGCAGCCTGGTGGCTTCACCGTCTTGCTCTGCCCGTTGAACGTCCTTTCTAATGTCTCGTTCTGTCCGCTGACTCCTCGGGCCTAATAGATAACCTACAGCATCTCTGCTAGCTTTCGGCCCTTGGCTTTCTCCTCTTCTCCGATATCATATGAACCTGGAACTACCGGCAACCACGATTTGCCTCAGTCACCATGTCTGAGCCTCAAGGTATGTATTGCAGGTATACCCAAGCAGCATCCAGCCGAGATAGTTGCGCCCTGGCTGATATGTTTCCCCCAACAGCGTCGGTCGTTCTTCACCCTATCAGCCCGTTAGGCCCCGAGTCCTCAATCACCCGCAGCTTCACCCTCTCCAATAGTAACCCTATCTTCGAGATCGGCCGGTCTTCGAAACGCGAAGTCAAGAATCGCACCCCAGCCAAGGATAATGGATGGTTCGACTCTCGGGTGATGTCTCGCGATCATGCTGAGTTGGGCTTCAACATGGATAATGAGGTATCATCGCACTACCTGCCATTTATCTCCTTCCCTCGCCGGATGGGATATGCTGAGCCAAGATACTCGCAGAAGATGATTTATATTCGCGATTTCGGATCCACCCATGGAACATGGCTGAACAATATTAAGCTTGTGACCGACGAAGCCACCCCATTACTTAATGGAGACATTTTGCGATTCGGTATTGATGTTGACCGCGGTGATGGTGCGTGATTGTTGCCCTCACCCTACTCCTGAAAAAAGACTAATACTTCTTATAGAGGAGTTCCCGGCTTTGAGTGTCCGCTGCGGGGTTTCGTGGTCCCAGCCCATCTCTGATCTTGAGATTTCCCCGTGCGATCCATCGGACATGCTATACAACCAGACCGCTGACCCAGCACCGACTGCGCCCGAGTCCAAGCAAGCCTCCGAGCTTCGTCCAAGCTCGACCACTAACACATTCTGTGTTCCAGATGATGATGAGAGCGACGCAGGGGAGATCAAGGTCAACCAGATCTCTCCCTTCAAGATCGGCGATGGTGATATTACGGTCATCTACGATGAAAGTAAACAGGATAGTCACCCGACCTCACACAGACACGAATTATCTTTGAACTCCGGACTCCATGGTTCTGAATGTGATCAGGCATTCCCCATGGAGAGCTCCCATGAAGATTATTCGGAATCAAGCAATGGAGAGGATTCGGAGTTCGACTCTGACCCGTCTTCCTTCAGCCAGGTCAGCGATTCTGAGGAGGAAGGGGAACCTTTTAATTACCTTGACTTCCGTTATCCAATCAGTGACGACGAAATCTCAGGCTCGGTGGATGGCTCTGATGTTAATTCTCAGGCCGCCGATTTTGAGGACGATTACTCTGTGGGCCAGGATGAGGATGAGGAAGACTGTATCGACCCAAGCATGCTGACTCACGAGGACAACGTGCCACTGCCGTCTGTCGACGGAGCTGTGCACAGCTTCACTGGAGCTATGCACAACTTCACCACCAGTGGCGTAATCCCTAAACCACTCTTCAAGGCTGAGGTTCAAGAGCAAGGCCCCGGCTCCGTGCAGAACCAGCACATTTTCTTCTCCAGCCCATTCCCACTGACTCCCATCACCCCCGTGCTAGATCACAAACGTGAGGAAGACGATGGATCCCAACGTCTTGGTCGGTTGAGCATCCGCGATATGCTTAACAATTACCAGGATGGACCCTTTGCTGGCCCCAGTGACTCGGCATCAAAGGACTCCTCTCTGGAAGAGGACGTAGTGGCCGAGTCTTCTAGCCCGGCACCACTCAAGCGAAAGGCTTCCGAGATGGAGTCTCAGGATGCTCAGATTATCGAATCGATTATGCCACCCTCTGAGAAGCTAGATCTAGAGACAATCTCCCAGTCTCAGGTGGCCGAGGCGATCAGCTCTGCGCTTTCGGAGAGCCCTGAAAGTGAGCCTCCGAAGAAACGAGTCAAAGCGACTCACGATACATCCAACAACATTGCGAGCTACACAGCCACCGCCGTGATCAGTGCATTGCTCGGTGGTCTGGGTACCATTGCTATCCTGGCTGCGCTCCCTGCAGAATATTTCCAGTGATTGCAGACCACATATACAACACATGGTCGGGAGTTTACTGGTCTCACACTCTTTTTCTTTTTCCTTTTCTTTTTCTGTTCAGGCAGTACTCTTGGTGGGCTCCAAGCACGATGCATGTCGGCTATGAGTCACGGGAGGATTGGAGTTGCAGAGGCTAGGAGTTTGTGCGTTGGGGCCGGTGGCTACTCTGGTTTCTTTCCTTTTACACTGCTATTTTTTGGGTTTTTATTGCTTCAACTGTCCACTAACATGGTTCTGAGCTTCGTGGTCACGACCTTGTTTCCGGGCTTTTACTCGGCATCGCTTATGATATCTACCCCCCCGTTATTGGTTATCCTGCAGGTGCTAATGACTCGCAAGAATGAATGAATCTCCTACCCTGAAATTCTCTCTCCTGTTTTCCATGCAGAGTTCGTACCATCTTGTAAAATCGGCCATGCCATCCCTCATCCTCGGGTGAAGCCCCTCATTCTCAGCCATGCTCAGTGCTGTCATTGCTGTCAGGTACGATCCTTTGCCCGCCGGACACTTTTGGAAGTATGAGGAGCACCGTGATGTCATGGGGTCGGGCAAGTCTGGATAATCCACCATTGTCTTTAGCCCGAAAGGACGGGCGTCGCTGCAATTAGTCATTGATCCTCAAGAGCTTCGGTGTACGCGGTGCTCCACTCTTGATGCCACCGAGTCAAAGCCGAGTCTTTCTGAATCTCGAGGGTTGAAGTATTGACCGTGGCTGAGCAGGAAAAACAGGCGGCCGTCCCTCTTGCCAGGGCCAAATCAGATTACAGTTCTCGCTGATCAGAGTGCACCACGGAGATATCACAAGGGTCCTTGTCAATTGGACTGCAGCTTCCCTACCGATTCATGTCAGCTGACTAGAGAGTGCCTTTTGACTTCGTGACCCCCCGCGGCAACTCGCTTTTCTTTTTCTCTTTCACAATCGAGGATGATGCCACTACTCTCAAGCCCATCGAACGAGCAGTCCGAAAGAATCAAAAACAAACAAAAAAAAAAAAAAATGAGAGACCTTCCAGGCTTCTATCAACCCCACCGGTCTCAGTTAGCCCCTTGAACGCTCTAATGGATTCGGGGCCGTAGCCAAGAACGTCTGCTACCGTTAGTGTCAAGCCCCCCCCCCCCCCCCCCCCCTTTTCCCCAGCCCGCATTGAAATCCTGAGGCCTAGCGTGTGATAGAGAATGGCGGGCTGCAGCTTTCTCTCAGTGAGCGCTTCGATCTACAGGACTCGAACAAGTCCCAGCTGAACCTCGCTTGGAGGTGCTTCTCTTTGTCCTTTCATTCATGCAACAACGATCCTTGAGGACCGGCGCTTCCGTACTAATTGATGGGAACGACTGCAGTATCAAGCTGTCCCACAATTCCAGGCACGTACCTAGTGCCGAGTGGCTGCTGCACACAGATTTTTGAGCGGAGAATATACACCTCTCGCAGTACCTCAGGTACCTCAGCTATGATATGGGTCATGGATCATCTTTCAACCTCAACGGCTATCAGGGGTCCTCTTGCCTCTGAAACATCTCAAGTCTGGCCGTGAGTCTTAAGACAGGAGAATTTGTGTCCATCTTGCAATCCTTGGAAACAAGCCTCTGCTTTCGTGAGGTATATCCCTCGTTGACGGATACTCGCTGCAGGAAACAAAACTTACAGTCGTGGCATGCGCCTGCATTTCTTTCCATGACTTCTCGTTAGTAATTTCTTGCATGCTGTGCCTCTGCTTACATACTATTGGCCTCGAGGCTGGCGTTTTGTCGTGTTACAGGCGATGCGATTCGCCCTTCCAAAACCGCCTCATCCTAGGCAGGAGAATTATGATGATCCACAAATCATGATTCAAGCCAGGGAAATACATCTGCCCTCGGAGCTTTGGAACAGGCCCCTCATGCATCAGGATTATCCATGAATCACGTCTCTTCATTCCTTCGATGTCTATCACGTGCCCTCTAATGGTGCATATCTGATCGTGTTGGTCCTGTTCTCTGACGGTAAAGGCACAATTGTGTAATCCTTGCACTCCAACATTTCATGCACGAGGCACTGCCCCCGGCGCCGTCCCACTGAACTACTTGTCTGCCACGAGGGATGTTTGAATTGGCCACTCCATATCTTATCACGCTCGCGTCCAATGCATGCGAATGACCTTCTGACTTATGGTCTCAAGCAAAAGCACCCCCAAAGCCCGTCAAGATACAAAGGCCATCTTGTCTGAAAGGAGTAAGTAGTCGTATGAAACTCTTGAATATAGCCTCTCTAGTTGAAACATGACACTACCTAGCCCTCGGCTTCGTCTGTGCGTCTCGTAAGTCTCGGAAATGAGATCATCCACGCATGGCTTTCTGCAGCTACCCGTGGATGATCCAACTCATGCGGGCTTTCTCTAGCGAGAACATCTAATTTATCGAAGCTCCGGTCCCGGTTAGTAGTAACCCTTCGCTAATACAGAGGCAGTTATGGTACGATCAAGGCCCATGACCCTGGATATCCATCATACATGTTCGCTAGCCGTAACACAAGGCCGTGGTGGCTGCCATGCGACTGGGACTTTCTCCTCTAGGCAACACCGAGTCCAGGATCGGTGATGCCCTGCCCGACAATCAGCCTGTCTCGGATTCGTGGATTACGAATCTTTCCCGTTCGATAATCCCTGCTTTATTCCATTCATTTTGTCGTCTCGAGCCCCCACTATTGAAAACAGCCGTGCAACCCAGGACACCGTTGCAGTCAGATCGCAGTAAAGGCTATTCAACCTTGGCCCTCTTGTGAACTCGATAGTCATCAGGGCATCTTCATAGCTCAACTGACCAACATTGAACGCTATGACCCATAAGATCAAATGCCCAGCCCTGCCAGCTCGGCCAGTTTCAGCAACCCTGAACTTGCGTCGAAGGATACCTTGGCCTAAGATTTAGGTGCGCCACCTTGCGCCCCTCCGATGTACCCCTCTTGAGCTTCGGGGCCAGACAGGCCCGAGCTGGTGCATGCGCCGTTCTCTGTACATGCCAGATCTACACCTGCCGGTCTTATTGGTAGATCACGTTCTGGAAATACGTCGTCTCGTCCTAAGGTGACCGACTTCGGTATTCAATAAGGCTTAAGTTCCGGCCTGCAAAGCCAGCCAATTATTACAACACAATGTCCTGCTGATCATTCACGATAGCCTCGGTTTTCTAGGATCTTCGAGGTTCAAGATTTTTCTTTTTAATGAGCTTTTTGCTAAACTATCGGAGATTGTAACCGTTCGAACTTGAGAGGTCGTGTGCCACTAGCTCCCCCTCGCATGTATAAGAGTCCCACCCTCCTTGTCTACTCTATTTCCGGACTCGTTGCACTCTGGACTGGGTAGGATTTTATCCTTGCCAGATCGCTCACTCCAACACATTGCCTGCGTTCCTGTTGGTTCCGATTTTGGTCATCAACAAATACATGTTCATAAGACTAGGTTTTCTCGTTGCTTTTCGATTCCCATCCACGATAATCAACGGGTTCGACGGGAGAGAGGGAAATATCTGCTTCTAGATATCAACTATATCCGCTACAATTTCTACGGTAGCTTGCGTACCTCCCCACACTCATCTCAGAATACCTCTGTTCAACCTTGAGCGAACAGTCTGTTTGCCGCATCGCCCTGCCACTTTTCCACCAACACAATGACCTCTGTGAACTTTTCAAGTTTCCATCTCGACCCTGATCATATCTCCTGCATCGGCGGCCGAACAGTTGTAACATGCCGGGACTGCGCTGGCAATGCTCCAAGGTAGCCACCCCACCCTCAAATCTTCTACTCTCGCATGAGATACTAGCTCGATCTCTAGAGGCGCTATCTGTACTAGTTGCGGCGGTCGTGGCTTTACTATCTTCACCTGCGGTCACTGCAATCCATCAGCAACAGTAGCAGCTTCTAGTATCTCACATGCTGCCGGGTCTTCCGCTATAGCAAGCACAACGCCGGGCTCATCCGCACCATCTTCTCCTGGCTCGCTAAGTCGGGCTCCATCTACTTCCTGTCCGTCACATAGTCAACCCCGAACCGGTCAAGCGTGGAGACCACCGGGTGATTCTAGAGACGGGACAAATTGCGGGCGTGTAGGAACACAATCACCACGCAACCTTTGATCTCAGATGGGCTTTCTAGCCGAGTCTCTTCACAAACTCAGTGGAAATTATCTGCAAATGGCTGATATACAGCTTTTTTGGCTTATTTCTTGAACATGTAGCGCTGCTTGCACTGGGTACAATATTCCGTTTGTATATTTTGACATTTATGCAATAGCCTCTAGGAACACCGTGGCATGGGCGCAAGGCGGGTTGGTATTTGTTTCGGCCGTTCTTTTTTTAACCTTGTTCTTTTTATCACTAGCATCCGGAATGCACACAACTCATTTTGTGAATCATCTTTATTGAGAGAGTCGCAACACGGTATATACATCGATTCCATTGTTCATTCCATGTTATGCGACAGCGTCTCTCCGTGTGACCGGCACACTCTCGCCACGGCAGTAGTCCAACGCGACTCAACCAGAATATCCGTAGGCGCAAAGTAATACATGAATATCGTCATCACGAAGAAGTTGGGAATGGAATCACGGTACTGTCGGACTCAAGGACAAATGATGCTTGTCGCTCATGCATGTTTCCCGAAGGCGGCGGATGTAGCGTCGGATGTAGCGTCGGACGGCGCAGACCTATATAACGAGGGAGGTAGACAAAGAAATAAGCCAGTTTCCAGAGATGCATAGATACCCAGGATGAATAGAACCCAGTGGTTAGTGTGATAGTGACGAGGTCAAAAGGAGCAACAGTAGTCAATACAGAGCGGGGTGATGCTTCCGATTGCAAGATTCAAAAATAGTATTCCTAGTACCGCGATCAGAGTGTCTCTGAACATGTTGTAATCAGTACATGAATACTTTGGAGTTGATCCAAGTAGTATATTGAGTTGAGGCCATCAAGCGCGCCGAAACTAACGAGGTATATTCATGAGAAGCGCTTGCTGACAAGTTTCAGGGTGTCTGGGGGCCAAACTTCCGTTGGTGGTGAGAGTACCTTGGCTATTGGTCAAGACGCTTCATTGGCGGAGCTCTTCAAAGATCTATCTGATATTCACATACCTAGTGATTAAGGAGCCTTTCTAAGAGTTGTAGGCTTATAATATGCAAGTTAGGATTTGGTTAAAATAATTCCATGTTATTAGACGTTCAGTGGCCCCTTCGGCTTATATCTAGATGTAGCTTAACAAAAAAAAACTAGAACAATTTCTGGGTCCGAGCCCGGAGCCTCGGTCCAAAGATATACAAAGGCAGAGCCAGGAAGAGGCATGCCCACTGGATACCAGCAAACTCATAGAACATCTTCGCGATTCCCTCCTTGGCCATCCAAGCGTATGCACCCTTGGCCAATCCGAACGCAACCACGTTCTTCGAGGTGTTGACCAGAACAAGGGCCTCGCCACTAGTCCGGGGGTATGAGTCCACAACGTATGACAGCATGACCGAAGGCACCAAGGTCAGACCGGCGGCGGAGATAGCCGCACCGACAGCGGGCTTGACGTAGTGCTCCTGTCGGGCGATGGTGTATCCGAAGATAATTAGGCCGATGGGGCAAATGAGGAAGGGGATAATGAGGGCGGGCAAACGGTGCTCGGGCTTGTGGACGTTGTTGTTACGCTTGCGAAGCCAGCGGGAGAGGAGATCGGTCAAGGGACCGGCGATCGGCCAGGCGACCACGATACCGATAAAGCTGCTGAGGGTGAAGAGACCGAGATCGGCGGACGTGAACAGGTAAGGGGGTGCGGACAGCAGAGCAGGGCAGAGGGTGGAGACGGCAACGACACTGATAGGATGTTAGTAGGCTGGTCTCAGTGGAGATAGTCAACATTTCACAGGGAGTCGTTTACTTACCCTCCAAGGACAACACCGTACATGATCGAGGCAATCAACACGCCTGGGATCAGCAACATGGGGAAGGGAAGAACGAAAAGGTAGGCGAAGAATTTGAAAACGCCGTTTTTCTGGGCGGCTTTGGTGACGCGCACGGTGAAGAGTCCCTTGAAGTATTCACCATAGTCCATTCTGACAGGATCGCCGACCTGTGATCTCGTTGGAATGGACTCCAGGTGGCTATGGGCATCCTTTTCAAGCTCCTCAGTCTGCTCTTGGGTCTCGTCGACATCGGGCTCGTAGACGGTCTCTGGCAGCATGAAAATTGTAGTCACGAAGTTGACTGCGGCGATGATGGCGCAGAGAATGAAGAACCAGCGCCAGCCACGGGCTTCGATGAGGTAGCCGGCAATCATGGGTCCGATCTGGGAGCCACCGGACAGGAAGCCGGCATAGGCTGCCATCGCACTAGCATAATTTCGCTCGAAGAAGAGGTCTGGTGGGGAGGTTAAGAATGAAGTTTTCACGAGCAGAGAAGGGGGCATCGCAACACACCTGCGAGGATACTGGGTCCCAACGACTCGATAGCACCATATCCTATGTGAAATTAGCCAAGGTATTATTAGAAATTACTTGATGTCATCAGCTTACCGAAACTAGCAAAGACTCGGGAGGCGAGCAGGCTGTTGTACGTAGAGGCAACGGCGCTCCAAACAATGCCACCCAAGAACATCGCCATAGAGAGAAGGACTACCGGACGCTTTCCAAAGCACAAGGCAAGAGGCATCCAGAATAGGTTAGCCAAGCCCATGGCCAGCACGGAATATGTGACTAGCGCCGAGAGCATGTCATTATCGGCATGGAAATAGGCTGCAAGAGATCCGAATCCCGTCGTGATTCCAGACTGGTCATAGGGTAAGTTAGAAACATGGCCGTGGTGGTAACCAAGACATAGTAAGATCAAAACTAAACTCACCGAGTACATATTTCCCATAAAGACGTATACATTGACGGTGAGCAGCGCGGCATACCGCACCCGTTGCGGGTAAAGCTGCCGACGTTAGCATTCGAAGATACTCCAGGGGCACACACACACAGGAGGCTACATACTCTGGGGTCGATAGCCGACATTGTGGATAAACTTCTAATCACTGGGGAAGGTGTTGAACGTGGGGAAAGTCGTACGATTCTGGGGTGATCCCCGGGGGGAATCGCCCCATATAAGCAACAGCTTCGGCATCAAAAGTCGGGAAATGCACGAGCCCGGGCTGGACATTGAGTTATTGGCTTAGCGTAACGTACTAGCATTATTGGTCCATTTCCCCATTTCCCCACGGATGAGCCGTGATCACAAATCAAATCGACTGGGGTTGCTGGCGAAAGGAGGGTCTTCGGGATGTCCGTGGGGGGAGTCGGTTGCGTTTCGGGACCACCTACATCCCTGCGACGCCACCTCTAAGCGAGCATTCATAAGGATTGGATTTGATTGCGACGATTCGATGGCGATCAGCCGGGTGAGCGTCTGCTTTTCAGTGTCCAGCAGTAGAGAAGCCATTTCTTTAATATTTCCAAGCTCTTGAGAGGTTCTTTGTTGGAGCCGCCGGGCGTGATGCGGTTACTAGAAGGAGGTTCTTGAGAGAGTCGAATCCTTCAAGCCCTAAGCCGCAAGCCTTCAAAGCGCCACCAAGGAATCTCGGTCACTAAATATGGTCATGAGGTGTGATGACCAGAACCATACTTTGTGGAGTGAACGGGGAAGGTATTCTCGCCATCGTGGCTGAATACGTGTGATGGAACGTCGACTTCCCCGGATTCTTTCCAGACTGGTCTCGGTACCCCAGAGTGACCCCCGAGTGTCGGAGATTTCAGCTCCCCCGCGTTGATGGCATTCACCCCGGATAAGGACGGCAAGCCGCGTCACCGGGATGAAGGCATCCACCGAGCAGGCGTTTCGCTGGACTCGCTCGTGCGCTGACAGTCTCGCCGAGTGTGGGTTATGTTGAGACTGGAAATTCCGAGAGTCGGCTTTCCCGAGCGCGGGGCGAGTTCAAGTTCCGGTGGGCCTCGGCCATTCCGGCGTGATTGAACACCGAAGGCGCGAGCTACGAATCATGTGGATTGTCAAAAGGACCTTCTTCGTTGAAAAACTCACTACAGACCTCGTTTGCGCTGGCATCTCGTTGTTGTGGCTGTTTATCGAACCCTTTTGACTTCCGAGTCGTCAGCCCAGTACAAACCCTCAACATGGTAAGTCAACGCGGATATTCGAGACTGCTTGCCCTTGTGCTAAATTTCGGACGATACAGGTTTCCCAAGAAGCTCGTCTCCGCGTGGTCATTGTCGGCGCTGGTCTGAGTGGCATTGCCACTGCCATCTCTGCCGCCCTCTCCGGCCACTCGGTCCAGGTTATCGAGCAGGCACAGGAGCTAGCCGAAGTTGGAGCCGGTCTACAGATTACCCCAAATGCCTCACGCCTCCTCAAACACTGGAAGCTCCGGGATTCATTATGGGAGGCAGCGGCCGAGCCCACGAAGCTGACCGTCCACCGGTACTCGGGCGAAGTTTTGGCTCACGACGACGCTTTCGACAAGGGCATCCGTGCCAAGTATGATGATGCGCCCTTTGTTGATCTGCACCGAGTGGATCTGCAACAAGGATTGTTTGCACGCGCCCAAGATCTGGGTGTAACCTTCCACCTGGGCGAGAGAATTGAGCGGATCGACTTTGATACTACGACCGTTCACTCGGTGGCGGGAAATCACTACACCGGTGATCTGATTGTCGCTGCGGATGGCTTGTGGTCTCGGTGCCGAGAGGCATTTGAGGGAAGAAAGGATGAGCCCCTTCCAACGGGCGATCTGGCGTATCGGATCGTCTTGACTTCAGATCAGGTTACTGACCCGAAGCTCAAGGCGCTCGTGGAGAATCCCGAGGTGCATTTCTGGGTTGGACCTGGCGCTCATGCCGTGGCCTACTCTGTGCGAGGAGGAAAGATGTACAACATTGTCTTGCTGGTACCTGATAATCTCCCACCGGGTGTCTCGAGACAAGCTGGCTCGGTGGATGAGATGAAGGCGCTGTTTGTTGGTTGGGATCCAATGTATGTGCATAGGGTCACACGTGTGGAGTTTCACAAGCTAACGCACAATCCTCAGCCTTACCAAGTTCCTGGACTATGTCACAAGCGGGAGCATCGACAAGTGGAAGTTGATGCATCGTGAGTTCAAGTATAGTGTCAATTCAATCTAAGATCGATACTAAGATGACTGTAGACGGTGAAATGGAGAAATGGGTCAATGACAAGTCCAATCTTGTCTTCATGTATGTGCCTTCACCATGATACTTCTGAGATCATCAGCTAATTTTTCAAATAGCGGCGACTCTTGCCACCCCATGCTTCCCTATCTGGCACAAGGTGCCAACTCCTCATTAGAGGATGGTGCCGTTCTCGGCCTCTTGCTGGGACACATGACGGATAAAGCCCAGCTGCCACGTATCCTGCGTCTATATGAGAGCCTTCGCAAGTCTCGAGGAGAGGCTATCGTTCGGGAGACGTTCAAGCAGGTGAGCCTTCGATCTTTTCCTTCCCGGTGTCATCGGAATATAAAATCTAAAACCCTTTTCTACAGAGACACGACTTCCACATGGTGGATGGCGAAGAGCAGAAGAGACGTGATGAGGTATTCCTATCGCAGCTTGGCAAGGAGATCAAGGGAGCTTTCCCTAGTCGATGGTAAGGAGTTTCAACGTGTTCATACTGTACAGTTCTCGCACTTATCTCATGAATAGGACATGTCCACAAGTTCAGCCCTGGCTATACGGCTACGATGCCATCAAGGAAGTCGAGAAGGCCGTGGCACAACATCCAGAAGTCTTCGCCAAGCAGACCAAGTCTCGGTCATCCACTTGTTCGGTTCTGTAAACCATTCTATACACGATTCAGCATTTTAAATAGGATTATTTCAATATATGCATTAAACATGGAAGATTCATTCATATTGTTTACAGCGAAAAGCCATCAGAGTCGAGATTTATAGCTTGTTTTAATTATGTACATTATATCCACGGAACTTCATCCCCAGAGGCATCCCTAGAGGTCCCATGCTCACCTCTTCATCAGCGAGAACTGTTCCACCTTCGCATCCAACAAAGGCACGAAGTCCTTGCCCTCACAGATCTCCATCGCCCTCCGATATGCTGGCCTCTCACCAACCCTCTTCAGGTAAGCCAAAATGTGCCTATGCTTTTCCGCATCATACTCAACGGGACAAAAGCCACGCATAGTAGTCAAAGTGAAAATTGTCATAATATCCGCAGCTGTGAGCGCCTCTCCAGCGAGATACGCGCCCGTCTCGGCGAGTCGATCCTCCATCATGGACAGTAAACGATCCCACTTTTGCAGCGTGTGCGTGACACCGGGAGAGTTAGGATCCGATGCTAGGCTGCGGGTCATAAGGACCCGGAAGAGGGCTGGTTGAAGGCTACCATTGGCGAAATGGTACCATTCCAGGTAACTCGGGTACACCGATCCATCTTTCGGGGTAGGCGCGAGTTGTCCCTTTCCATGGACGGCGATGATATAGTCAATGATGGCGCCTGATTCGGCGAGGACAACGCGGGATTGTGTGACGGGGGAGGGATCGTCTTCCATGACTGGGGCTGTTCCGGCTGGGTGGAGGTCTTTGATTGATTGGGGTGCGAAGATGGGGTCGCGCCTGTGGTGGACAAATTTATAGTCTAGGTTGAGTTCCTCGGCGAGCCAGATAACACGCTCGGATTGGGAGTGGCCCAAGTGGTGCAGTGTGAGTGGCATTCTTGCGAGTGGAGCAACAAGAGTGGTTGTATCACGGTGCAAATATGAATAGATGAGCTGGGTAAGGAGGTGTTCTTGAAGAGAATGATGGCCTGGGATTAAATCTGTACAGTCGACCGGGTGCCTCGGCTTTAAGTAGCTTGTGGGAATCTGAGGTTATGCCTCCGTTTCGAGATCTGTGGTATGATGTCAAAGGATATGATGTATGACCAATAATCAGAGTCTAGAATTCGGATCGACGATCTGATAATCGATGAAACAAATGATTAAGTTACTGTGAGTCAACCTTTGTGCTATCCCAGCCTTGCCAGGCTAGTGGGAATAAGGAAAACGGCTTTAAGCATTTGATAAGTCCGCACGGTCAGCACTAAGACAGAATAGGAAGGACTTCTCCAAAGAGCCAGGGGGTTTAATTCATAAATCGACATAATCATTCATAATTTACACATCCTCGTGCACAATTCCAACTTATAGCCCCCCACGCCCTAATCACCATCCAGCATAGGCAAGCCGCCAATATCATCAAAAAGCCGGGCAATTCCTTCAAAGGAGTAATCCGGGAACCCGAATCCATAAGCCCACTCGGGAATTTCAAAGCCGGACTGGCCAGCTCCTGCTTCCATAGATACCGGCACTTTTTCAGTGCCATCGCTTGGACCGGGCGCAGGCTGCTGGGCCCCGGAAGCTCGAAAATCACGAAGGTACTGCCGAATAATCTCCACTGACTTCCGGGCAACGACGGATTCATCCATTGACTCGAGGATTTCCACGCCCATTTCGACGGAACGGAGAAGGGGCATGGTGTCGGCGCACATTCCAAGTTTGGACATGGGGAGGAGGAGGGTGGATGTGGCGAACATTACATAGGTTGTGTTGTACCACCTAGTTCGTTGTTAGTATCGCGGAAGTTGGGGATACGCTCTAGCGATGGATTACATACCAGCATCGGAAGAACGTGTGCACTCGATAGATGTCGTGGATCACCTCGATCGTCTTCATCGCCGCATCCAAACACTTGGCAATCGTTTCCTCTAGTTCATTGGGTGGGTGTCGGAGTTTGCGGGTAAAGTGGCTTAGGAATGGTCGGAATAACAGCATTTTCACATTGTAATATCCTGGAAGAAAGTTAGAAGTCGTACTGGCGTCAGCATGATGTAGAAAACTCACGAATGCCCAGCACAAGGCGCTGTCTCCTAGCCCATTTGGGATCACGCAGAGCGCTACGCGAAAGCCTATAAGCGCCAATATCTGGCTTGATCCTCTCTGGTAGTCTTGCGAGCCAACGATCCATCTCCATTTCGATTTGGAGAGCTAGCTGGAGTTTCTCTTGCAAAGTGATGCGTGAATGGTATATTTGAACAGATACTCGTCGTATGATCTGGGCAAAGTCAATCATCCACGGGATGATGGCATATTCGGTGTCATCGCGGTCAGGAATGGCTCTGTTATGGTATTCGTCCATTCCGAGGGTATCTGGTCGGCCCACGGAAAAGCTCATTTCACTATTGATCAATCAGTAACTCCTCTATAGGTGGACTCAAGTATGCTCGGAAGTCTTACATTTCCAACGAAAACATGCCCCTAGATCAACCATACAAGTCAGTGGATGAAACGTCACGAGCCCTAAAGGTTCAATCAACTTACCACCAAGTCTTCGAGATCCAGCTCGAACGCGGATCTTTTGGGCACTCAACCTCTCGATTGAACCCAGCAGAGAGGCACGTGCGTACCGCCAGACCCAAATACATATAAGCCACTAACCAAGATTAGCATACCCTTCAGACCAAGCAGATGGAATTACTCACAGTTCGGATTTAGCTCATTTTGGCAGATCTTGGCCTAACAATTGTAAGCATAGTCCGGGAGCATAACCAGAATCATCATCACATACCATCATATAAAGACATTGCACCGTTTCAAGGTCATTCGAAAACCGTAGATAATTCAAGTACGCCTGGGCCTCACCAAACAATTTTCGGCTCCACTCAAACCGCCCTAGCCCGGCAAGCTTATCTTCATCCCAAACACGCACGAGGGCGCCAAAAGATAGTACACTTAGATAGAGAGCAACGAAGCTAGGCTCCGCCGTATGTGACCGGTTGAACCAGAGGTCATTTGCACGTATTAAGAAGTCCTCTTTGTCGATGAACGGGTGGATGAAATGGATATTCTCAAAATACCCGTTCATAAAGACGTGAGCCTGATCGAAGTAATAGTTTTGCTGCTCAATCGCAGCACTTGGCCCGGCAGAATAAGAGGGTGAGAAGCTTGGGTTATGAAGGGTAGAGATTAGCGAAAAATCGGCTGGTCGGTGATACGGCTCTTCGTGGCTCTTTGGTTCTCGTGCCTTTTTCAAATGGCCGATAATTGCTGCTGATGAGGTGCTACCGTAGAACTCGATGCCGTTTGTGTGGTGGTTCAATTCTTTGATCTCGTCGTCTGCGCTCTCGGCAGACTCTTCCTGTGTCGTGTCACCGGGTAGTTTGGCTGGCTCCAGAGGTGTAGACCCCGTCCGGGGCATCGAGCATGGAGTAGTCTCTATCCCTGTCGGCGCTGGGGGCTGGTTCACTGGTAGCTTTATTGATTGCGGGGATGCCGTGACTCGAGCCTCGGCATCGCGCAACCTCGAAGCCAGCTCCTCGACCTTCTTCTCGAGGTCGGCGACATAGCTGCAGGAGACATTAGATATGTGACATCACAAGGTACAACAGTTGAGACGAAATTATGGATTCAAAATTTCATATCCTACCTGGCAGACCGGTTGCTTTCACGTTCCCGATAATTCCCCTGGTACACACAATCCAGCTGGCTCTCTAGAGCACTCGTTAGCTGATCTCATCGTAAATCAAACCAATAATTCGTTCGGTTAAAACCCACTTTTACAATGCGAGCAGGGATACTGCTCATCGCACTTATACTTCTTCGTCCGGCATCGTTCGCAAGCCTGCGCGGCGCGCGGCCTCTTCGCCCGCTTGGGCGCCGGTGCATCCGCAGCCAACGGCGGCGTGCTCTGGTGACTTTGCATTATCCAGACATAGTTCGCAGCCCGCGAGATCTTTTAGGTCTGGGGTAAAGGGGTCTCTCACGTATAATGCGTGGAGATGGGCGCTAGTTCGATGCAGGCGATGATAACGACGCAGCGTCCGGAAAATCCGGGTTGTCGAACGTGGGCCCCCTTTGGTCCACGTGACACTAAGCGGGGATGGTGGGAATCCGGGGGCCAATCAGCGAGAGAATTTAGAGGGGCTAATCGATGCTAAATAATGTCACATTATTACTGCGGGGTTGGGGGGAGGATAGCTCGGCAAATGCAGACACATAGTGGCTATCGTGAGTGAGTTATTTGCCGATCTACTACCGCACTTGCATGTCTGGCATTTGGACTGAAAAAGAACCGAGATTTCATATGCTGCTATATACATTTAGATCTATTCATTTGGCTCATGCACGTTAAAATCTTCTTAAAAGGTAATTTTAAGTTCCTCCGCGACCGAGGCCAGCTTTGATGAATCATGAACCGGAGCCTGATCCGGCAAAACGACTTCTTCGATCTGCTTACCGGCCTGGTGGATCAGAGACTCGATACCATCACCGTCGGCAAAGGAGTGGACCTTGACATATTTGCTCTCGAAGCCGAGCGAGAAAGCCTGACCGGCAGGAATAACCACGGTCTCGCCTTCGCGGAAGATAGTCTCGCCAACACCCTGCAGGCTCACCTTGAGAGCACCCTCCATCACGCAGAGACAGTGGTCAACAGAGGCGAAAGTCATATACTTGGAGAACACAGTCTCGCCGTAGTCCTTGGAGGACTCGATGCTAGAAATCGCACAGACGCCGGCGCTCTGTACTGTCGTAACGAAAGGGCGAGACATGACACCGCCCAACATCCAGCGAGGGCCGGTGTTGGCGCGCAGGAAATAGCCCTCGTTGCCCTCGGGCAGCTTCTCGTCTTCCTTGGTCCAATCGCTGACCTCCGGGGGCACGTAGTGGGGCTGGAAGACGACGTCAAACTTGCCCTTGGCAGCCATCACCTTGGGAATCAACAGAGACTTGAGATCGCGATTGTCGTTCTCGGGCACAAGGATACCCTCGTAGGGCTCAGAGACGTAGCGGAAGAAGTCCACCCAGTCACCGGGGGTGATCAGGCCCTGTAATTCCGTGTGAGGACCGACCATTTCGGGATTGTGAATGACAGTCTATTTAGTAGAAGAGTTAGTTGTGATATCTTGTCAATGGCACCGCTTAACAGAAGAGATGTACATACAGGAGGGATATAGGCAAAGTCGCCCGGACCCAGAATACGGCATTGGGGACCGTTCCACAGCTTCAGATAGCCCTTCGTGACCAAGAAGACATCGTGAGCCTTTTCGTGGTAGTGGAAACCCGGAGCATCGGAGACAGTGGCACCACTCTGGAAGACCGCCATGAGACCATTGGTCTGCTTGGAGGAAGTCAGAATGCGGAACACACCCTTACTGCCGGGGATGGTGATGCGCTCGCCCTCGAGTTGGGGGATGGCGTAGGGCACCCGCTCCGCGGGGGGTTGGTTTGAGAATGGGAGAGACATTGTGATTTAGAGGGACTGCTTGTGAAGGAGATTTTCCAAGGGGAAAAAGAGATCGTAAGGGCTTAGAGTGGCGGAGGGAGCTTTTTAGTCTTAAGCTTGCCGAAACTTGCAGCTGTCATCGGCATGCGGAGGACCTGATGCCGAGGGCGGAGAAGCCGTGCCCCGGAAGATCCGAGTTGTGGCGGGGGAGTTTTTTCTGTTTGGGAAATTCATTACCTGTGAATTTTGATTTGTCCATTCTATGGGCCCCAGTTATTAGTTCTGCTCGAGTCGGTCGATTGGACCATCTTCTTACACGGAGTCGGTGCGAGACGACGCCGAAGGGCGAGTCGGCCTCCGCCTAGCACGGTGGCTACCGTTATTTCACACCAGTGATGCCTCTCCCGAGCAGACAATATGGCGCTAAGCCGGTGGACTCATTAGACCTAGGCCATTGCATTATCTGCCAAGGAAAATAGCTTGAGAATTCAGATTGTACAGTACTCCAATACTTTTGGATGGCGGGGTAACTCGGATACTCCGTGGAATGGCTGCCCACTGCCCCGCGCCAGCTCGCGATCGGAGCTGGTCAGAGTACGGAGTACAAGACCATAGGTAGGTCATTAAGACGATCACATGATTTAAGCCATCAATGGATAAGCATGACCGGCATAGGCTGTGCTCTAGCCCCAGATTTCCTCGTAATTCCTCCTAAGCTTTTCTTTCTCCCCGTGGAACTCAGTCTCCGAAGCAATCGGTTCTCCCACACTGAACCCCAGCCGGTCAATGGCCTGATGCCCCAGTGAAAGACCAATTCCACCTGCTCTCTGACTTACTTAATCCTCTTTCAGAAGGCCTTACGCAGTAACAGACGACATTCACTCGTAAATGCCTATCCGAAAGCAATTCGGATTGGTTGACCGATTCAAGAACCGTTCCTCGCCATCCCGTAAACCCGTTAGTAATCGTCCGATTCCTGCTAGATTCTCCAATCGGATAAGACATCACCCACAATCCCCACGAAAGTGGGGATGCCGCCTCAGCCCGAATCGGTGGGGTTTGTGGTCCTGCGAGGGACTATAATACTCTGGGGAGCGTACACTGGCTGCTCCTCTCCCTAGTGACTCGGTTTCTCCTCACTCTTTTCGACAATTGAACAACATGGTGACTACATCCGACGCACAGCTGGCAAAACCTACGGGCGAGTACCGCCAGTATCTGCCTGATTTGAACCTGCCGCGCTTCCAGGTGATGTGCACGCAGGATGCTCACGAGTATGCCCACGCCTTTAAGACGGGAAAGCAGCCCCCATGGTTGCATGCACTGTACATGCATTGGTTGGATTTGTTGCAGGAGCCCTTCAAGGGTGTCACCACCGACGGTAAGGAGCTCAATTGCAAACGCAGAGCCAGAGCCACAAGGCAAAAAAGAATGATTTGAACCCCGATTCTGACTGTGACGTTCCAGGCAATGTCCGGCCCGATCTGTTCCCACTACAAGATGAGGGTGTCCCCATCCAAGAAATCGTCGATGCAACACAATCCCTTCTGGCTCTCCTCGACGACAAACAAAAGGAAGCCGTCTGCTACCACATCGACGCCCCGCAATGGCGCACCTGGTCGAACCCGGAGTTCCTCCTCTCCCACAAGGGCGTCCGCCTCGACGAGGTGACCCCGACCATCCGCGATGCGGTCATGAACATCCTGCAAACCACCCTCTCCCCAGAAGGCTACGACAAAGCCGTCAAGGCCATGCGCATCAACCACTTCCTCGGCGAGCTCGTCAAATCTCCCCGCGTCATGAACGAATTCTCCTACAACTTCGCCCTATTTGGTCGTCCCTCCACCACCCGGCCCTGGGGCTGGTCCTTCTACGGCCACCACCTCTGCCTGAACATCTTCCTGTACAAGGGTCAGATTATCGCTTCGCCGTGGTTTACGGGCGCAGAGCCGAATGAGATCGACGCCGGTCCCTACGCGGGTACCCGCATTATGCAGGTGGAGGAGAAACTGGGTCTGCAATTGATGCAGTCCCTTTCCGCCGAGTTGAAGTCTCGCGCTCGCGTCTATGCCCAGATGAAGGATCCCGCTATGCCTCCCGGTCGCTGGAACAAGGATGACCAGCGCCACGTGTGCGGCGCATACCGTGATAACCGTGAGGTGCCGTACGAGGGTATCCTCGCGTCCACTTTCAGCGCGGAGCAAAAGGAGCTTATGTACGGGATCTTGGAGCAGTATCTACTGTATCTGCCCGCGAAGGCTCGGGCTCTGAAGATCGAGCAGGTGCGCCAGTTCGAGGCCGAGACGTACTTCTGCTGGATTGGTGGGTATGGAGATGAAGATGCGTTCTATTACCGGATTCAAAGTCCCGTGATTCTGATCGAGTTTGATCATCACTCGGGCGTGTTCTTGAATAATGAGGAGCCCAAGAAGTTCCATATTCATACTTTGCTGCGGACTCCCAACGCGGGTGATTATGGACATGCCTTGCGGGCTCAGATTCCTGCTGTGGAGGGATTGGTTGCCAAGGAAATTGTTTGGTAGGTGATTTGAGTTGTGATAAGGAGAACGATGCCCCCCATCATGTATATTGTATGGAATGAATTTTGATGAAGCCATTTTTTGGGTTCTGCACCTGCGTGTTTTCTTAGGCCGTGTCAAGTGTATGAAGGTTGTCGTGGTTTCCCTCTTTTCGTTTTTGATCGCTTTAGACTGCGCTGATGATGTCTTCGTTCTGATTTTGCTCGTTCTCAAAGGTTCCCACCCCGTATCACGAAGATATGATTGATATTGAGGAGTCATTTCATATCCATCTGTCAGGATTCTCTGTACCTAGAGCTTTCAACGCAAATAATATCAAGTAAAGGCATGATCATCCATATTAGTCATAAATTACCACCCGAGGCACGCCAGATAAATAGTTACATACATCCCCAATATCGCCAGGACATAGATAAGAGAATAGAGGGAAACAACGCCAAAAACGGATCATAAAATCGGAGAGATGTATTAGTGTCGCATGAAATCGAGTAAATCAATCTGTTTGGCCAGCCGGTTCGAATCCACAAGTATAGTTTGGTTGTCGTGCAACTCGCAATGCGCATAAAATGATGAGACAGCCACCATAGATCACAAATTGACTCTGCCCCAATCAAGAGGTGGCCCGAAGCAGGTCATGATCCGGGATAAGCTCATAACCTCCCTCGGAAGGCAAAATCTGAGCAGCGATGACGATCGCGCCCGCGCAGATCAGACTAAAGCACCAACTGACAGTACAGAAAACCCAGGACTGATCCAGATGCCAGCCAACGAAGAACCGGTCCTCGTTGTCGAACAGATATGCCTGCGAAAAAAGCGCCCGTCAGTAAACTGACAATACAACCTTGCCATCTGGCTATTGTTTCCCCTTGGAAAAGACCTACCACAATCGACATGCCGGCTGCCTGCACGATAGCAGACAGAATAATCAACAGACTGAGAACCCGCCAACCATTTTCGCGCAGCCGCTTCCCACCACCGAGGATGATAAGGTAGGCAACGACGCTCATGCCTTCCAACACCACGGTAAAGGACATCAAGAACCCGACGGATCGCCACATCGAGCAGAAATACCGGTCGTCTCCATGGCAGTCTTCGCTTTGTGGGAAACTCTCGCAGGTATCAGTGAGCGAAGAGCAGCGTTGATGGAGACCGTAGGAATAGTGGTGGGCGGGCTGGAGGAGAGCAAAAGTAATTGTGGCGGTTAGTTAAAGGGTAGTTCCGGTCGCGTGTGGACTTTCCGAGAAGGTATCCTCGTCTTACCTTCTCGCTATGATAGCTGACCCATCTGGGAATGATGATGGAGCATAGTGTTAACGCAAAAGCTGTGGTGTATGAACTTGTCAGTCAGAGCGTTTCGAGCTGTTATCTGTGTGATATATAGGTGGATAGATGTGTGGATCCCATCGTGGCGCGGGGAGAGCTTCGATCTCAACTCACAAGCGAGGAACAGCACCAGTGTGCCTGAGTAGACGATTGTCTTGGTGAGGAAGCCCGTATAGTTCCGGTCAAAGCCCCTCGGTACCAGGTTGAAATCCATGGCGGGCAACGGAGGGGGCGAGGGGGGAGGAGGAGAAAGGGGAAAACAGGATGTTCTGATGGGCGCTGGCGTAGGTGTTCAGGACGAGATTTGGCCCGTGCGACAGGGCGGTACGGTACATCCGATGAGGCTGGAAATTGCAGTGGGGGACACCTATATCCGTAGGCAGCAAATTGTAGAGGAATCAAAACAAAGAGGATCCAAAGGAAAAGATCGAGGCCAAGTAGATGCACTTCTAGGACAGTAAGGGGGAAGGAAAAAGAGTTTCGAGTCGATAGTCTGGTGATTTATGCTACTTACCTACTTTGGTGGACTGAAGGTTACAATGACCAGGAATCCAGAAATCCAGGAAATTACGCCCTCCACTCTCGTACCACCTCCATTCCCCGATCTGAACGACAGTCCTTCGTATTTCCTGGGTATTTGCAGCAGGAAGTCTCTTTTGGTGGGCAATGCACTCGTAAAACAAGGCAGAGAGACCGTCCAAGCACCCGCAGGAGGCGCAGAGGCGGCGATCACTTACCCCATACTTAAGAGAAAAGAGGCGGTAAAAGCGGTCTGCACGAGAATATCAGATTGGATAAGCGTAACCCCGAAAGCTCTCTCTGATAGGCTGCGGTCTGAGATTCATACTAGTCTGCATTGTTCGGCGTTTTTTGAATGGATTCTTGAGAGAGGCTCTTCACTCCTCAGGCTGTTATCGTAGGAACCAGTCCTACAGGCCTCCATCTCCATGGCACGGTACTCATCATCCCCGTGAAGGTTACACAATACGAGAATGTACAAGAAACACACATCATTGCAAGAACGCTCCTGAACAGACCTAGCAGATCTGCCCAAAGAGGCATCCAAAAGTGGCCGTCATCATTAAAAACTAGGCAAGAAATTACGAACCAGCGAGATACATGAGACATAATATACAGGCAGGACACGCATGCCCAGCCAACATAAAAAGAGAGAAAAGAAAAAACGACGGGGTAAAAGGGCAATGAAAAAGGCAATCAAAAGCACGAGCAAAATGATCAAGCCAACGGCACAAAAAGGCCAGCCCGAGTGATGTACACATGTACAGGCACGATCTCATGCCCGAGGTAGCATCGAGAGAAATGACTACCGAAAGAACAAACGCAAACCAGATTTCATTCCACACCGCATGTTGCGCCGAGTACCGTCGTCGTTGTCGTTGCCATGTCGCTTCACTCCGTGCGCTTCTGTCCCAGCATCGCGCGGAAATCATCATTGCTCTTTTTGGGCGGGACACTCTCGCTGGCCTTGCTGTCGGCAGTGGTGTCCATCTTGTCCTTTTCCGAAGCTGCAACGGAGGCAGTAGGATTTCGGGGTGCAACAGGAGCCCGCTTCAAGCCCAGGCCACCTCGGCGGCCGCCACGGGCGCCTGGCTGCTGAGGGCGCTTGATGGGGCCCGCAGGTTGGAGCGAGGGTTTAGGCTTCTCCGGCTTGATCGAGGTGATGCGATCCGTCTTCTTCTCCGCCTGCATTTTCTTCATTTCGTCGACACTGCCGATGTGAAGCGGACGGCCGGGAGCAATTTCCTTGCCTTCGAGTGCCAAGGAGGCCTTGCCGGCATCATGGACGTCAACGTACTCAACGATGGCACCCTGGTGATCCGGTCGGAGGACAACCTTGACTAGTCGCCCAAATGGTTCGACCAAAGCGCGGATGCGAGCGTCATTAACAGTGTCGGGCACATTCAGCAAGGCGAGAGTGCGTTCCGATCGTCCACCGACGGTTTCGACCACTCCGGAGGTGTTACCATTGGCCTCGGCTGGCGGTGATGCCGACGAGGCGACCCGGGAAATGATGGTACTAGCGATACGCTTAGCGCCGGTGTTGCCGCTCAGGCTCACGGCTAATTGACGTTTTCCGAGGGTCTGTTTGTCCATCGCGAGGGCGGCCTCTGCTTCCTCCTGTAGAAATTTGTTAGAACCAATCAATACCGAAGTGCGAACAAACCCATGAAGATTCACACATACCTTAGAAGAATAGGCCACGAAAAAGTACCCTCTATGGGAGCCGTCGGCGTTAAGTGGAAGGTGAAGGTTTTCAATGGTGCCGAACTTGGAAAATGCATCTCGAGCATCGCTCTCCTTGAGCTTCCAGTCAAAGCTTTTGCAGAAAATTTCACGGCCTTCGTGCAGAGCTCCACTGCGCTTTTCCTTCTGGGATGGGTCGGAAATCTTTGCAACAATCTTGTAGCCCTTCTCAATCTCGGTTCCACTAAGTTCCGTGGCATGGTGTGCTGCGCTAGTAGTGGCAAACTGCACATAGCAGAACCGACGACTGGTTTGGAACTTGAGCGACGGAAAGCGAACGTCGACAATATGTCCGTACTTGCTGAAGAGATTGCGGATGTACTCCTCGTCTGCAGTAGGAGGAAAATTCGTGACCCACAAGGTCGATTCAGACTCCAGCGTGACTTCAATAGTGTTTTCATTGAAGATCTTTTGGTCGCGCGTCAGAGCTGCCAGGGCTTCATCCTTGGTCTCAAACTCAAGAACCGCGACTTCAGAGTTTCCGTCCTGTCCGGGAAGCATCTTGACCCCGTTGATCGTGCCAATGTGGCGGAAGAACTGCCGAACATGGTGCTCGGTAGTCTCCCGAGGCAGATTCTTGACCACGACAGTAGCATGCTCACGGTCGCGGACAAGAGGCTGAGTCTCGACAACCTCCTGTTCCTGGACCACCTCTTCAGCGCGCACTTTCTTGTTAGTGGGTTGTCCATTCGCATCCTTTTCATCTTCGCGCTTTCGCTTCTCCGAGGTAGAAGCAGCTTCGGCTGCAGCTTCAGCTGCAGCTTCCCACTGCTGTTGCTGCTGCTCCTGTTGCTGCTGCTGTGCGGCAGCAGCTTCGCGCGCCTCTCGCTCTCTTCGAGCGGTAACCGCTCGCACGGCCTTGCGTGTCTCGATCACGGCAAGCTGCAATTCATCCGCATCCTCATAATCCTCGCAGTGGGCGATATAGGTCTGCACGAGCTTCTCAGGCCAGTCGAGGTCCTCCCGCTTGATAGCCTGTTTGAGGACCGCCGTTGCAAAGCTGGGATTCGGAGTGCGCCGCGCAGCATCCACAGTAGCCTCACCCTGGACAAACTTGCTCCAACAAACAAGTTCCCAGTTATAATAGGTGAGCCAGAACTCGTAGCTATCACCGCGGCGGGGAACAAGGCCCTTGAAAGTCTCCCGCGCACTGTCCCAACTGCCACTTTCACTGAGGTAGCGGATATAGATACGCTCCAGGCGGAAGTGAGGGTCTCCCTGGTACGATCGCCCATACTTCTTCTCACCCAATTCCTGCACGCTCTCAATTGCGGACCGTATACCCACCTCTGCCACATCCAAGTCTTCGTCGGTGGAGTCAGAAAGGAAGGCACGTCGACGTAGATAGCTGCACCAGGTGGTATGGACTTTCAGCACCTCTTCCATACCTCCAGCATCTAGCAGGCCAGTACTGGTAGCTCTGTGCTTAATACCGGAGATTTTGGAGAAGGACTGGCCTTCGCGCTCAGAACTCAGCAGGTACTGGGACCAAAGATTACCGGACCAAGGGCAGTGGCGAGTCGCACGGTCTAAGGTTGAAATTGTGGTCGTAGAGGCGTGGCCATGCATAGACTCACCAATGAGGAACATGATATAGTCCTCCCACAACGAGACGTCAGTAGGGAAGCGCAGAACAGCGCGCTGGTAAACGGCATTGACGAGCTCAAAGTGGAATTCTCGTCTTCGGCGGTTGCGGCAGAGTTCCCAATCAATGTATTCTCTGTACAAGTTCCACTCAACAGACTTGTCACCAGAATCCTGGGCTTTGGCCAGTCGATGCTCAAATTCTTCTCGCGCGGCGTAGAAATTTTTGGCAGCTGACGCCTGGGCAACGGTCTCCGACATGATCTCCTCGTAGTTGGATTCAAAGTAAGAAGAAACGAAACTGGAGAAGGATTGGAAAGTCTGGTCCCAGGTAGCATGAGGAGTCTGCAGCCGCACCTCATAGAGACCACGGAGGTGGTTGATCTTTTCCTGAGACGCCCCTCGACTTAGATCCTGAGTCAAAAGCTCTAAGAATCGATCCCAAACGAGGTGGCTGTTATTAATACGCCACTGCGTCGCTTCCGCCGCTCGCTGCCACACGTCCAAGACGGTCTGCCAAGTGAACACTTCACGGCCAATCATCCGGTCTTCTTCAGTCCACTGGCCAGCTCCGTGTTCGCCGGTCGTTGCATTGTACAAATAGAGAACCCATTCGCCATAGATATGCCAAAGCTTAGTGCAGCCAAACTCTTCCTCGACCGATCGCTGACACAGCTCCATTACAGAGGTACGCTCCATCACCGTATGCGCAAGCATGCTCTCATCTTGAATCCACTCTGCCCAAAGATCCTCACCCATGGCAAAAAGCTTATCCATCTCTTCACGCGCCGTCCTCAGATCTTTGAGGAGATCGTACCGACGGGGGTCACCATGGATATCGGGGTTGTTGGGCGGATAAACGTGGTTCACAAAGCCTGCATGCAGCAATCCGATAAATTGAACATGCGCGTCGTAGGTGTGGGGATTCTCCTGGATTTTATTGAACAACTCAGTAGCCAACAGTTGCGCCTCGGGCTCCAACGACGTTTGGACGTAATTTCTTTTCGCGGCTTCCCGTGGACCCTCCGCCATGGCCAAATCGAATGATGTACGAGGAGTAGGAGTGTTGTGGTTGATTTGGTTCACGTGCGGGTGGATGGTGGATGGAGATAGTTGGCTCTGGTGGAACTCGGCATTTCGCAGCATGTTAGGTGCGTTCTGGCGCGCCGTGAGCTGGGAATGCTGCGCATGTTGATGCTTTTGTGGCGGTTGTGGTTGCTGATGTTGCTGTTGCTGTTGCTGTTGTTGTTGTTGAGGTGGAGGAGGAGGTTGATGGTGCTGCATTGATGCCAGGTCTGCCAGCGTATCCATTCCCGTGGAGGGCTGTCTCGATGGCGGCCGATCGGTCGCAGGAGAAGTTCCATTTTCGGTGGAACTGACATTGGGGCCGACACCGGGGCTAGTAACCGGGGGCGAAGCTTCAGGCATCCCTGTGGGAGTGTAGACTTGCTGCGCAAGAGGCGAAGATGTCTTGCTTTTGCGACCAGGACCTGAACGCGCCCGCTGAATTGCCTTGTGGGGGGACGGCCCTGCAGCCGGGGTTGGTGCGTTGTTAGACGAAGGACCGGGGATGGGCGTCGAGTTTCCAGGCTTCGGATTCGAGTCCGGGGAAAGCAATGAATTGATGTCCATGATTGCCGACTCCGAAGAGGGGGAACATGCAACACGTCCTAGTCAGGGAATAGAAAGAGTGATCAACACTCAAAGAATAATGTCAGACCAGAGGCCGCGGATAGTGCTAGCGGTAGCAGAGATCCAGATCAGACAGTAGCCAAGAGGAGTCTCAACAACATGTCCATTCCTGCACCGGCAAACGCAGCTTGAGATTCAAATCCCGGCTCGTGGGGCAGGCAGGTGGCCGAGATCGCGAGCGATGCTTTTCTCTTATTTGGCGCAATACCGGTCGCGCAAGAACGGTGTGCCTGAACGCTTGAATCTTTCGTCCAGACCGATGGAAAGAGATCCGCAAAGTTGGCGACAAAGGATGAGCGGACGAAGGAGCGGGAGAGATAGTTGCTAGGGCGTGGCCGATCGATCGCCAGGTAAAAGAGGGTCCGAGGGCCTGTGAGAAGCACAGTAGGAGAAAAGGGAGGAGGAGGAGAAGAGGTAATATACCACAGGCGAGGAGCCTGGGAAGGTTGGAGGTGGGGAGGAAGGAGGATGAAGGAAGGGAAAGGTGCGGAGGGGAGCAAAAGAAGAAGGAGAGCACTGAAGGCCCTGAAAGAGGGAAGATGATGGCTAGTGGATCTTCACTGTGGAGATGACGGTGAGAGAGAAATGTCCTTCAGCAAGCTTGGAAAAATCAAGAGCCTTATTGGTGATGAGGGAGACATTAAGTACAGTTCCCCTATGAGGATATGCCGCTTTACTGGTTCTTTGTCTTAAGCTACGATCTCCTCGAAGATCGTGGAGGTGCATCCTTTCGGGTTGATCACGTCGCAGCTGCATGGTTTTGAGTGGCCTTAAGGCAATCACGGGTACCCAGTCGGACCAACCACGCAGCCGCCAAGTTTGACCTTTTTTCCGCACTGGCTTCCCCGACATCAATAGATCAACATCACATCTCCATGGCTACAATGGGTGCTGTCTCTCCATATGGGCAGCTGGTCCGGTCTGGTTCGTATCCTCTTCTTCTCCTTGATTCACCCAATTCATTTTGCTAACTCTGTGATCAGCGGCCCGGGCCCAAGTTTCATGCGTCCCCCGACGGACCTTCACCTCGACAGTCACCTGCCAGGCACAGAACGACAATGCCACCCCGAACAAGAAAAAGTCCGGGTTCCTCTCCTCCATGAAGGACTGGGTTCTCGGTGAATCCAAACCCAAAGCTGCCTTCACCCCAGTCGCCCCGAAGCGCGAGGAAGGTGGACTCGGTGCTAGCTCCATTTTCGCCGACGACGTGGGCCTCGCATCCGGTCCCAAGCCCAGCAAGCAGAAGAAGCAAATCCAAGAGCAACAACAACAAGATGGCGGTGAGGAGGATGTACCTCTAGAGAAGCGCAACAAGGATCGCATGCAGATGGCCTTGAACCCGAACCCCAAGGCCCAGCTGCGGTGGGAGAAGAGGATGGTGATCCGCGAGATCCGCAAGCGCGGCCGCGTTTCAAAGGAAGTCCAGATCAAGCGTACTGAGCGCGAGTCCATGGCCAAGTCGCACTGGTTCAAGACCTCCGTCAAGAAGCTGGGCCCCCTTGCCCGGCAGATTGCGGGTAAGCCTCTCGACGAGGCGATCTTGCAGATGCGCTTCAGCAAGAAGAAGGCTGCTAAGGACGTGCTGGGACACCTGGAGCACGCGAAGAACGTCGCCATGGTCCGTGCCGGCATGGGCCTGGGAGCTCCCGCCGGTACCTCCTCCGAACCCGTCACCGTCACTCTGAAGTCTGGTGAGCGCAAGAAGATCACCGACCCAACGTCGATCTATATTCAGCAGGCGTGGGTGAACCGTGGCCCCTACGGCTTCGGCATGGACCACCGTGCTCGTGGTCAGATCAACCGTCTCCGTCCCCCCGCGACTGGTATGTCGGTCGTGTTGAAGGAGGAGAAGACGCGCATCCGCGAATGGCAGCAGCGTGAGGCTGACGCACTGCGCAAGCGCAAGGCTCAGCTCTGGACCCAACTGCCAGATCGCAAGGTCTCCGCACAGAACCAGTACTACAGCTGGTAGAATGTGCAGGTTTTCTGCCGATTTGACTTTCCCTTTCTTGGCGTTGTGCTATATTATCTCCTTTTTGGGACATCACCCAGTCTCTTTTGTTTCTGTGCTACTACCGGCCGGTTTTGAGCAAGGAAAATTTGCATTGTAGTCGAAAGTAGGGCGATTTTGCCCATGTACAATATATACAAGATTTAAACAACACATCTCAAGGATATCCCTCATACATTCAAGATCCCGATATGCCAATTAGACCCGTCTCGCGCTCTCTTCTCTGCTTTCACAACCACAGGGATAACCGCCCCAGTTGCCAACGGAAACCTGCGGTGACCAATAACCTCCAAGATACTGGTAATAGCCCCCGAATGTGCCGTCAAAGAAAGAAAGACATTCTCATCCGTAGCAAAAATATCATTCAACAAGTCCAGCAATCGCCGGTCTCGGTGTTCATCCGCCTCGCGAACCTTCGGATCCCAAAGTTCATCTTCCTCCGTAAAGCCCGGCTCGAACCGGTACCGTGGAAACTCAGCTGCGATAGCCGACTTGGTCGAACGGCGGTCACAGGTGTGCTCGCCCATGGTTTCACGGAGCAACTGTATAGATCGAGATTAATACGCGTACAGCATTATCAGGATGGAAAACTGTAGCTCATAGAGGGGCCTAGAGTGCACTGGGCCTATCTTACCTCCTTCACAAGTGGTTGAAAAGGATTTGTCAACGGCATATCCAACCCTTCAAACGTAACCTGCGCCGTCTGACAGCACCGATGCAGTGGACTGACATAGTAAGACTGCGGCGCCGGGATACCAGACTCCGACTGCTGAGCCCACGTGTCATGGGCAGTTTGAGCTTGGGAAATGCCTACCTCGGTGAGGTGGGCATCTAGCCAGGTGCCGTATTCATCCCCGTCCAAGAGGGACCAATACTCCTGAAAAAAAATGTCAGCTCTGCATCGGGTGCAAATCTGAAAAGTGTATTGATGGAACTTACATCCCAGGCTTTAGTCCCGTATCTCCGCTCAGCAACATTGTGTACACCTTCACCGTGTCGTCCCAGGAAAAGTACTTTATACTTGGTCTGCGGATTTGCGGTCTCATTGAGATGTGTAATGTGTTCGGTGAAGCGTTGCCATTGGATTTCATGGGAATTTGCAATCTCGCTGTCATATTCTTTTGTAATCAAGCCGAAATTTTGGGATGACTGTTTTTCCTATCAGTGCTTTGTCCAGTCTTGAGTAATGGCCCATTTTAAGTCTCAGGAGCTTACATAGTCGAAGGTGTCTGGGTCAGTGGATGGCTCATCTTGGAGGAAATAGCCTGAGACTGTGCTAAACTTGAACGAGGCTAGCTCCGTTGTGAGTTTTGTGATAGTCATGCTGCACAGGTGTATTCCTATTTTCCTAGGACGAGTCTTTTCCGATGTTGCTGGTCAGGGGAAGAATCAACTTGGGAGGCTTCAGCGTCTGACTGTCAAGGTGGGGCAGGCAGTGGGGGCCCGCAGAATGAGGGAACTGTAAAGCACCCCTGCAAGTCATTGCCTTTCCCCTTTATGATCTATATCCTACGATTGAAAAGAAAGATGCAGGTTTGATCATAATCATAGCTTTTTTGTATTCTAATCGGGGGTGAATCACCCGTTTTTCTAGCCAGTTGTCTTTACCAAACCGAATCCTCATCTCTGTCTGAGTCGCAACTAGCTAGGTAGATGCACAAGCACCAAAATCACACAACTCCAATGAAACATCGCCAAATCCAAGACATTAGGGTAGCCTGCGCAAAATGCAAAATCAAAACAAACATCATGCGAGCTCGAAAAGCTCCCAGTGCGAAGACAACACCAGCCATAGGCCCGTGGATTCAATTGCACTGATGACCTCTTCGAGGCTCTCAATCATGCAGAAAAGTTTCGTCTATCTTAGATGAGAGACGTTTGCAACGCTTGGAATGATTTCCTCGCAGCCATCAGTTGACTACCCAAAATGGAGATGCACTGGCCGATGGACTGCTCGGACCAAGAAGCAAATGAGACAGATGAAAGCCCAATGCCAGCACATGCCGACACGGTGCGTGAAAAGAGGCCACCCAATTGGGTGGAAATCGACCGAGTAGCGAGGCTTGTTTGTCCGGATTGAAGGGTCGGACAAGAGCTCGGCGCTGAATCGGAGCGGCGACCTTGGGAAGACACTTCCACTTGCACCCGGGCGCGAGTGAAGAGTATGTCCAATGGCTTCTTGAAGCCGGCCATAGATCGCTGCGAGTTGTTGGTTGGCAGTACACCCAGGGTTCCCGATGTCCGGCCGGTCGTCGGCACGGTCAATGGTAGGGCTTGGGATGAAACTGGAGCGTTTGACGACACGTTGCTGTCTACACGGTGAGCAGACAATGTGTGTCGGGGACGCCGGACATCCAAGTTTGGAGTGCGTGGAACGCTTGGCTTCGAGGTAGTCGTAGTCGACATGGTCTGTCTGGTATTGCGGCTCTCCTGCACACCGCTGGCGACACCAGCGTCGGTTGTCGGGGAGAATCCAACAAGGCGCCAGCGCAGGTTTGACTGGCCAATGGCTCGCCGGTTGGTTGTTTTGACGGATTGTGGTACACTTTGGGGTTGACGTGATACGTTCTGGCCCCCAGAGCCAGCAGCCTTGTCGGCTGTCTTGACGGACAACACGGCAGCGGACGACACGGCAGCAGCAACGCCACGCAGATTCGTCTGAGTGAGACCACGGCTTTCCGTCGCTCGTGGGGGTTGAGAGACGCTCGCATTTGGTCGCGAGACATTCTGTCCCACCTCCTTGACAGGGGTCAAGAAACCAGAAGCGTTGAATTGAGGATCGTGTCCGCGGACACCGCTGCCGTTCAGCTTGACATTCAGTACCTGGTCGGATTGAACAGCGGCCGTCTTGCCAACTTGCTCAACTGGAGCCGGGAAAGCAGATACGATGAAACGTGGGTTGTGTCCGGGGACACCGCTTGTTCGCTTCGTCGTGGTTCTTACGGACGGCAGCACGCCGCTCGATTGAGTTGATGGATCGTGTCCTGGAGAACTGTTGATGGCCCTCTTGAGTGCCTCGACAGTTGGCACCCGGGTCATTGGTCGGAGTGTAGGCGAAACAGATCTATCGTGGCCTGGGACCCTAGAGACACGTGAATCTGGAAGAACCGGTGACGAATGTGCCGATGGTTGCGGCCGTTCCTTGTAAGCCACGTTCAGTGGAACATCATTGACACCCATGCGGGCGGCAGCCTTCTCCAAGCAGTTGCACTATTTCACATTTAGTACCTTACGAGAGACTGAGGATCAAGACAAGGCGGTGAACTTACTCGCTTGTGCTGCTTCTTGTGCTTCTCACAGGCTCCATACTTGCGAGCTTTGATATAGTTCTCCTTTTGTGCCTGAGAGCGGGGCTTCTGCTTCTTGGGCAGATTCGCAGCGGTATTCATGTTCAGGTCCAGGACCATCTCGACTCCTCCAGTGCCAGCAGCAGGGGCAGGGGCGGAAGGCGTCTTCGGGCTAGCGCTAGTAGATTGCGGAGAGTTGCTACCACGAACATATTCTGACCAAGCTGGGGAGGAGAAGCTGGTATTAGAGTCGGAAGACATGTCAAGGTCGAGGGCCGTGGCCTCACACAGCCGCTGCAGATGCAACGCAATGGCAGCTTCGCGGCGCTTCTCCTTGATCGACGCAACACGCGGGTCAGCGGCAGCCTGCGCTTCGACAACTTGACGGAAGTCAAAAGAGGTATCGTATTGTGGGTAGTTGTAGAAAGTGCTGTCATCCATTGCAACCGCATGGTCGTCAATCATGCCCATCTCTGGGGACAGATCCGCGAAGAAGCTCTCCTGCGACGCATCATAGTTGAGCATGTCCGGGAAGGCGGATGGGCCGAAGTCCAGTAGGTCGGTGGACAGCATCTCAGCATCATAGGGCAAGGCCATGTCAGGGGAGATCGAGTTGGTCGAGGCCGAGGCGGAATATTCGTCGCCATAGGCGGATGGCAGATCCAAGAATTGGTCAAAGTCGACCCACTCCTCGAATTGAGTCGGGCTATCAAGATAGAAGAACTGATCGGAGGTAGACGCCATGATTTCGGATATCACTTGGCGATTTTCTTTTGGTATGGGGAGTGGGGGTTCGGATAATAGATAAGGAGGAAAGGAAGAATGAAGGTATGAGAATAGGAAGTAGAGAGTATCGGGTATAGAGGTAAAGAGGTATAGGGTATACGGGGGTATCGAATGGGCGCGAGGCCAACAATCCCGTAGTGATGAGGCCGAGGGAAGAACAAGGGGGGGGGAAGAAAGAGAGAACCTGAAGACTGAGGCAGAGGGGGAAAGGACCGTGTTGTATAGGGACTCAAGGCGGAGCAGTCGTGCAGAGGGTCGCAGGTCGCAAAATGAAGCCCCACTCGACTCGGCGGAGCAGCGCGCAGCCCATTCCTCTTTGGGGTCCCCGACTTCCGCTAAGCTCCTTTGGGACCCCGACACTGCCTTCCGCCTCGGGTTCTCATTGGTTTTGGACCACTGGTTCAGCCTCCGTTGACTCATTCTTCGTTCCATCGTTCCCATCTCCGCTGCACGGTGGCTGAGATGACTAGCAAGCGGGACCTCGATGAGACGGTTACGGCGTTTCCGGACCTTTGATTGGGTCAATCCTTCTTCAAACCATAAGAGTTAATTGAAATTTCGACATCATCCGAGCATTGACCTCTCCCATTGGTTCTATCTACCTTGATATTATGACCTAACAACCTCTAACGACACATTTCGCAGGGTTACGCCTCTCCCGAGGTCGATGAAGTAATGGTTAAGTTGTTCAATCGAGTGTCTGCATCCCTTTTCCGACCGAGCAAATGCGAGATTTGTCTCCAAGGCGATTCCGTAAACCGTATCCATAGGTGAGGCAGGACCTCACCTGCAGAATGTGACCCAGGGCTAGGCGTCCATACAGTCCATGTGCTGGCCGATAAGCCGATTGGTCGAGGAATTGGTGGGGACCAATCATAGCCCGCAGTCCTGCAGTCTGATCTCTATCTCGGATTAGGGACGAATAGCAACGAGTGTACACAATGGGATTAACCTTGAAGGGTTGCAAGTAGTCATAGTATGTAAGTGAAATTCGAAGTTGGGGCTGTACCGACCGAAATAGGCCAAGGTATCGATAAGGATGCCAAACAGGACTATATATTTCTGCGCCATATCCCAACAAGGTTTGGGCGCAGATTAGTACAATCAGATCCATCACCTGAAATTCTGGAGACATATATCTAAATTTTTCAACATACATCTAAGCTTTTTAGTGTAGGTTCTGACCATAAGGGTGGAAGGCTCCTCCAGGTACAAAGAGGGTAAACCGGGGCTAGTGCAGCAAAAACCTGGCATGAAACCTACGAGAGTCATTGGCATCATTCCACTAAGATCATTATTTCCACAAACTCTAGTAGGGCATTGCGAAGGTAGAAGCTGGGGACACGAGTAGAGTATCCTTATTGGAGGACTTTTAGGGGATCATTCGGTCTGCAGCTATCTCTCTGTATATGGGCTTCCGTGGGAATGATACTCCACGGCCAACCTTGGAAACCGCCTGAACGCGAGCATTGTTCAAAGTGAGCGAGGGATCGGATGGCACTCTATGTAGCCGAAAGAAAGCCACGAAAATGATGGCCTGAGACCCTCGAAAGATTCGAAGAAGAGAGAAGGAGACTATGATTGAGCTAAGGCTTGTAGGCTCAAGCCCAAGCCAAGAGTTGAAACGACACGCAAGGTTGTGAAACCAAGTAATGAGCTAAGGATCTGTGTCAGCCAGTATAAGTTATTTTCATGAGATGGCTCGAGATTCCTCTGCCGGCTTTTATCCTTTTGGCACGGCATGAGCCTCCTGGTCTCCAGTACGGTACGAGAGATGACGTCACCTACGTCTATAACCTACAAACGCACTCTACGGTGAATATCGACAAGTCCGATAACTGTACTCCGTACATGTGTGTGTATCTTGCATTAACTCCACATCTACTTGACAAGCCCTGGTTGCCAATCCCGTTATCGATGAGAAGTATTGCAATAGCTGGGGTACCAGTAAGGAGACCCACCCCGACCCACCAACAAGCCCGACTCAGCATCTATACAAACCGTCTTGTTTGACAGCTCTATTTCTGATTGTGCCTTGACGCTGATGTTGATAATAATTTCACCTAGTAATGAACTTGAATGGCATTCTGGTATAGCGGATACTAAGAATTTTCGGCATTTGGTTAAAAATCAGCTGTATGCCATCTCCGGATGGCCACGGCGTAATGCCGGACTCCGCAGAGTTAAATCCGCACTCGGGCCGCTGATTGATCAAGCGTCTCGGGTGAAGCCCCGGAGTGCGCAGCGCTCTTAAACCGGGCTGTTTAATCCGCAATTACCCTATGGCCAGGGCTAACGGAGGACGGATGGAGTTCATCTTATTCCAGATATTCGGTCGGCATTACTGTTGACCGTGATAATTCCATCCGTGAATACCTTCAAAGATCCGGTTGACTGTTTAACTCCGTCGCCATCAGCCATGCCGCGACAGTTCTTTCTATCGCTTCTCCTCGTAGTCGGGGTATTTAAAGCGAGTTGAAGAGCCATCAATCTTGTCCAAACCATCTCAATCAAAATCAAATCTCCGGAGTTTCAATATACAGATTTTCAGATCTTACAACAAATACCCAAACTTCACAATGTCTCTGTCTGGCAAAGTCGTCCTCATCACCGGCTCCTCCAAGGGAATCGGCAAAGCTGCTGCCCTTCGTGTCGCCAGCGAAGGTGCCAACGTCGTGATCAACTATCTTCGTGACCCGGTTGCAGCCAATAATCTCGTCGACCAAATCGGAGCCGACCGCGCCCTTGCTGTTCAAGCTGATGCTTCAAAGCTGGCCGACCTCGATCGCCTCGTCAATGCCGCGGTCGCCCAGTTCGGCAAGATAGATGTTCTTATTCCAAATGCCGGAATCCTCCCGCTTAGAGACTTGGAGCATACTAGCGAAGAGGACTTTGACAGAACCTACAATCTAATGGTAAAGGGACCATACTTCCTGGCCCAGGTACGTACCTATAAATCCCTCAAATCTCTCAACCTCAAATCAAGCTAAGTATTTGCACAGAAAGCCGTGAAGCATATGCCCCCTGGAGGACGAATCATCTTTGTCTCTACCTCAACCGCCCGATTCGCAAGCGTGGCTCCCGCATACCTACTCTACACCTCCTCCAAAGGCGCGATCGAGCAGATGACCCGAATCATGGCCAAGGATTTGGCGCGAAAGGGAATCTTGGTGAATGCGGTCGCTCCCGGTCCAACTTCAACCGAACTCTTCCTCGAGGGAAAGCCGGAGCAAATGATCAAGGCTATCTCTGGGTTTAGTCCATTCAATCGGATCGGAGAGCCCGAGGAAATTGCCGCGGTCATGGCGTTCTTGTCTGGGAAGGACAGCAATTGGATTTCAGGACAGGTTGTGGCTGTGAACGGAGCTATGGCATGATGTAAAAGTAACTTAATAATAGGAATAGACCTTAATGAGATGAGAGCTATGGGAGAAAAATATGTGGCACATCGAATTACTCTTCTCTAGATCTTGTATACGAGGCTTCCGACGGACGTCCGAAAGGTTATCTGTATGTACCTGTCTTGAAGACCCCTCAAGCTCGTAAAATGCCAAGAAACAGACAGGTGACAGCTTGGATGATAGCCGTCTAAATGGCGTCACAGCTGGGTTTCATTGTCTAGCATTGAATTTTGTACCACATCGGAGACATCAAAATGATGATTTTGGATTATTTCACTTGAATGTTGCCCGTGAGGCCTCAATCTGATTTCTCAGAGCACGTCAGCATTGGCCGCGCATTGCCTCGTGTTCCTGGATAAGTGGCGTCGACTAACATCATAATCACGAACACGAGAGAGTGTAGTGTCATTATTGCACCGAGGACAAGCTCTAATCAACGGCGCGTCCTATGACAAGGCCGGAGACATACCGCGGATGAATAATGCAAGAGAATGGTGGAAGCTCCGGGGATTATAAATCGAAGTGGGGGGTCAATATGACCTCGAGTTCCATTCAAAAACCCCACTTGAGCCCTCGAAAACGACTTCATTCTGGTCTTTCTTCATACCATCTAAATCAATCACATCGCCCAATATGAGCCAACCAAATATCACTCTTTATACTACCCAGACTCCCAATGGGATCAAGATATCAATCGCTCTGGAAGAGTTAGGGTATGCGATCTGTTCAAACATTCTGGGGCCATCTGAACTAAGAAGCTGGCAGGCTGCCCTACAAAGTTGAGAAGATCGACATCTCCAAGAACACACAAAAGGAAGAGTATGTGCTTGATCTACGATAGCTTCTGCTTCCTGAAGATTAAATAACGGAGCTACTACAATGAACCCGGACTGACCTATCGATTAGCTGGTTCCTCGAGATCAACCCCAACGGTCGCATTCCCGCATTGACCGATACCTTTAGCGACGGCCAGACGATCCGTCTGTTCGAGTCTGGCAGCATCTTGCAGTACTTGGCCGAGCAATATGACACAGAGTACAAAATCTCCTATCCCAAGGGCACCCGCGAATACTACGAGACCAACAACTGGCTATTCTTCCAGAATGCCGGCGTGGGTCCCATGCAGGGACAAGCTAATCATTTCGTGCGATACGCCCCCGAGCGCATCGAGTATGGCGTGAATCGCTACCTCAATGAGACCCGCCGGTTATACGGCGTTCTTGACAAGCATCTCGCAACCTCCAAGTCTGGATATCTGGTGGGCGACCACGTCACTATCGCCGATATCTCGCACTGGGGCTGGGTTGCCGCCGCAGGGTGGGCTGGTGTTAATATCGATGAGTTCCCGCATGTGAAGGCATGGGAGGAGCGTATGGCAGCGCGACCGGCCCTTGAGAGGGGTCGTCATGTTCCAAACCCGCACACTATTAAGGAGCTGCTGAAGGACAAGGAGGCTGTGGAGAAGAGCGCTGCGCAGACTCGGGAGTGGGTCCAGGCTGGCATGAAAGATGATGCAAAGAACAAGATCTAGGTCGAAGTTGAGAGACTAATGCCTCGTGTTATGTATATAACCACCAATATAATTTGAACTTGGGTAATTATGAAGCCTTTTGAAGCTGCCTTGGCGGCTGTTATGGTTGTTTGGGTCGAAACCGACCTTGGAAGCTCCCTCAGGGCGGTGGCCACAGTAATCACCGCCTTTGGTGAATCACGTGCATAAATTGCCACTTTTCACGGAACTCCTTAGCTTTCTTTCATCTCCAGATCTCTTGTATCAACTAACCTGCCATCCTTGGACTTCAAGCAGAAGCTATGGCCTGGCGCAATCAAGGAATCACAGGCTCCAACAATATCCCCCTGGGGCGCCGCCGCTTCGGGGGCGAGGAGGAAGACGAGAGTCGCACCGCTTCTCCTTCGTCTATGGCTGATGGACCGAAGCGTGGTCGCAGTCCAGTCCGAGGTAAGTTTCGTTTCTTTGAAACATCTTGTTGCGCTGATGCTAATCGAATATTCAAGAAGCACCCGAGCCTGCAGCCGATGGAGTCAAGCGCCGCAAGAAGCGTAACCGCTGGGGCGACCAGCAAGAGAATAAGGCGGCCGGTCTGATGGGCTTGCCCACCATGATCATGGCCAACTTCACTAGCGAACAGCTCGAGGCGTACACTCTGCATCTGCGTATCGAGGAGATCAGCCAGAAGCTGCGGATCAACGATGTCGTCCCTGCTGATGGTGATCGGTAGGTTAAACCCCAGTTTTGCTATTGACTGAATCCTTCTAACATTCGAACAGGTCTCCCTCGCCACCGCCGCAGTATGACAACTTTGGTAGACGTGTTAACACTCGCGAGTACCGCTATCGCAAGCGACTCGAGGATGAGCGTCATAAGCTGATCGAAAAGGCGATGAAGACCATCCCTAACTACCACCCGCCCTCTGACTACAGACGTCCGACCAAGACCCAAGAGAAGGTCTACGTCCCAGTGAATGACTATCCAGAGATTAACTTCAGTATGATAACTAACCCTCTAACTCCTAACCGTTCCCCCAATATGTCTGCCATGACTTTTTGCTCGACTCGAGCTGACGAGATAATTCCCCTGGACCTCGTCGGCCCGTTTCTTGTTAACCCTCGGTGCTTGATGTTGCACTTTGCTTGAACACACTTAGACGAACACAGGATCACTAACACTTAGCTCTTTGCTATCTTCTCAAAGTTGGCTTACTCATAGGACCTCGTGGAAATACCCTCAAAAAGATGGAAACCGAGTCTGGAGCCAAGATTGCCATTCGCGGCAAGGGCTCCGTCAAGGAGGGCAAGGGCCGATCTGATGCCGCTCACGCTAGCAACCAGGAAGAAGATCTCCACTGCCTGATTATGGCTGACACCGAGGAAAAGGTGAATAAGGCCAAGAAACTTGTTCACAACGTCATTGAGACTGTGAGTTATAATTACACCCCGTTCTTTCTTGATCTTATACATTTACTAATTGTCCACTAGGCTGCATCTATCCCTGAGGGTCAGAACGAACTCAAGCGCAACCAGCTTCGTGAGCTGGCTGCCCTCAACGGTACTCTCCGTGACGACGAGAACCAGGCTTGCCAGAACTGTGAGTATTACCTATAACATCTTGCCTTTTTTTTCATGCTTTTTAACCGTATAATAGGTGGCCAAATCGGACATCGCAAGTATGACTGCCCCGAGCAGCGCAACTTCACCGCCAACATCATTTGTCGTGTTTGTGGCAATGCTGGTCACATGGCTCGTGATTGTCCCGATCGCCAGAGAGGTAGTGACTGGCGAAACGGTGGCGGCGTTGGTGGCGGTCCTCGCAACCCTCGTGCTATTGGCACTGGAGATGCTGTTGACCGTGAGATGGAGGTAAGTTTTCCCTCTTGCTAGAGTATGGTGAAGCATAAACTAACTTTCTAAATAGCAACTCATGAACGAACTCTCCGGCGGTGCTCCTGGTGAATACCCGCCTCGCCGCATTGAAGCCGGTCCCGATCAGGGCGGCTACCAACCAGACGATCGTGATTCCAAGCCATGGCAGCGTGGCCCGCCTGCAAGCGATGTGGCTCCCTGGCAGCAGCGACGTGAACAGCGTCCTCGTGACGATTACGGTTCTCGCGATCAAGGTGGTCCCGCTCCTTGGGTTACCCAGAACCGCGGTGGTAATGACTACGGCTATGGATCTCATGGTGGATACGCTGCTCCTGGCGCCGCAGCCGGTGCTGCCCCTTGGCAGCAGCAGGCTCCTCCCGGTGCTGCTCCTTCTGCTGCTCCCGCTGCTCCTGGATACGGATACGGGGCCTACACAGGATATGCCTATCCTCCTGGTATGGCAGCCCCCGGTATGGCAGCCCCGCCACCACCTCCCGGTATGCCTTCTATGGGTGGTTATGGCGGCGCTGGCAGCCCTCCACCACCCCCACCTCCCGTTGATGGGCCGCCTCCTCCACCTCCCAGCGACCAACCCCCACCTCCGCCTCCCCCTGCGTGAGTAACTTTCTAGTTCCGCCGAGCAATGAAAGTACAAGAGTTGGCGGAACCGTCCGCTTTATGCTTTGGGAAGATACGGGGTCGAAAATGGGTTATTCGTCGTTTCTTGCTTTTTCTCTCCGCACGCAGTATTTCGAATAAGTGGAAGGAATCTCTTGACATTAGGTTGATAATGCAAAAGCCGCTACGCATCTGCAGTGAAGTAATTTGAATGATAATTTAAAAATTGTAATTCCTTGATCTGCGTAGTACAGCCTGCGGCCGAAGACAGTATCACTTTATTATAGAAACGTAACAAGCTGTCTATAAAGTCATACAAAAGCCTACTCACACAACGCTCTGTGGCTGTTGGTGGCGGCCCCACATAGAAATACCTTGTGCCTCAGGCATCAACATTTATAGCCTGATCTCTGCTTTCGTCCCAACTTCTTTATCCCCGCAGATTTACTATATGCACAAGCACCTTTCTTCAACGCGGATCGAATCCAAAGAGGACCGTTCGAGTCCAGCTCTGAATCTTTCATTTTGAAAGATCTTATTTGGGTTTATTCGGCAAATGCAGGCTCCACACGAAGAGTTCTCCTTACCTCTGGGCGCGAACATGCATGCTTCTACGTCCTCTACCCAGCAGCGTAGGCCTTCTTGGCAGTCCCGGCGACGATCATCTATTCGCTCTGGAAATTCCGGACATGCTCTTTCGTCGCGACACTCGGTCTCGTCTGCCAATGCACGCAATGCTGCGCGGGATGGCGCTCAACAGCAGCAACAGCTTGAGCAGGAACAGCTTCGCCGTGCTTCGCTTTCAGCGTCTACACAATCGTCCCAGTCCAAATGGTGGCGCATTCGTTTCTTCCGCGGCATGATCAATGACGTCAAGCGTAGGGCACCGTATTATTGGAGTGATTGGACCGATGCGTGGGACTATCGCATTGTGCCCGCTACGGTGTACATGTACTTTGCTAAGTATGTTTGGAGCTTTTTTTGTTTTTCAATACTAGTCTTGGCTTTTTCCAGACTTATGGCCTTTGATTCCCCAATCAAAATGATGATTGCACTCGATATACTCAACAATTCAAGCTTACAATGGCCGCAGTATCCTTCCCGCCCTGGCTTTCTCGTTGGATATGTTTGAAAAGACGAACCAGAGCTTCGGCGTTAATGAGGTCTTGCTTGCGTCCGTGCTCGGTGCCGTCGTTTTTTCTGTCTTTGCTGCTCAGCCATTGGTCATTGTTGGCGTTACCGGTGAGTTCTTGTATGTGGGGTAAGTAAAGGTCGAAGCTGAGCATGGATTAGGTCCGATTACCGTGTTCAATTACACTGTTTACGACATCATCACCCCGAGGGGTACACCTTACCTAGCCTTCATGTGTTGGATTGGAATGTAAGTGGAATCACTAAACCCTACTAGAACAGTCTCTGATGTATCTTGCAGTTGGTCATTAATTATGCACTGGACTCTTGCCATTACAAACGCTTGCAATGGACTGACGTATGTCACACGCTTTTCGTGCGATATCTTTGGCTTCTATGTCGCATTCATCTACCTCCAAAAGGGTATTCAGGTTTTGACTCGCCAATGGGGCACCGTTGGGGAGACTTCAGCATATCTCGCTATCATGGTGGCGCTGCTTGTCCTCATGGCAGCTTGGATCTGTGGAGAATTGGGCAATAGTAACCTCTTCACGCGGTTTGTTCGGAAATTTCTGGAGGACTATGGAACCCCATTGACTATTATTTTCTTCACTGGCTTTGTGCATATTGGACACATGCGGGACGTGGATGTCTCTACCTTGCCAACGAGCAAGGCTTTCTTCCCCACGCTCGACCGGCCCTGGCTGGTGCATTTCTGGGATATTGATGTCGGCGATATCTTCCTGGCCATTCCATTCGCTATACTCCTGACAATCCTGTTCTACTTTGATCACAATGGTAAGTTTTGAAGGTGCGCTAAAACCACTTGTTGTGGTGCTAATTGTTCTCTAGTTTCATCTCTCATCGCCCAGGGCACAGAGTTCCCTCTTAAAAAGCCTGCTGGCTTCCACTGGGACATTTGGCTACTCGGTCTCACTACCTTTATTGCTGGAATTCTTGGCATCCCATTCCCTAATGGTCTCATTCCCCAGGCGCCTTTCCACACCGCTGCTCTCTGCGTCACTCGCCAAGTAGCTGACGAAGACGACACAAACAAGGGAAAGGCTATCCGTGTTACCGACCACGTCGTAGAGCAGCGAGTCAGCAATCTTGCTCAGGGTCTCTTGACTCTGGGCACGATGACCGGTCCCCTGCTCATTGTTCTCCACTTGATTCCACAAGGCGTCATGGCTGGTCTCTTCTTCATCATGGGAGTCCAAGCTCTCCAAGGCAATGGCATCACCCAGAAATTGATTTTCCTCGCTCAAGACAAAGACCTCACACCCGGATCCAACCCCTTGAAGAGGCTTGACCGCCGCGTAGCTATCTGGGCGTTTGTCATCATTGAGCTAATTGGCTTCGGTGCCACATTTGCCATCACCCAGACCATCGCTGCTATCGGTTTCCCTGTGATCATTCTTCTACTTATCCCGGTACGATCGTTCTTGTTCCCGATGTGGTTCACGCGAGAGGAACTGAACGTCTTGGATGCGCCTACTGCAAGTCCTTTCACCATGGAAAGTGTTGGCGGTACTCATGGGTTGGAAGAAGAGTCTGCAGACTCGACGGGTACGGGGGTAGAAATTCCCTCCGGTGGCGGCAATGGAGTTCTGAGAGGTCGGCCATCTTCTTCCTCGGAGTCAGCGGTCGAAGATGATGACCTGGAAAGAGGAGAGGCATACGAACTTCAACCGACTCTTCATCAACGCAGTAGTTGACTAAGATGACTCCAGAAAATGTACCAGGCCATCATTATCCAGGCCGACATGCCGGGTTCACATCTAGAAATAATTACCAACATGTCTCAAAAGGCAATCATAATGCATCATTTGGAGATTGTTAGTACATATAGTTCAAGCAAAATCAAAGCAAATGTCCATCAATAGTTGATTTTCTCACGTGACCAAGTCATGCATCTACAGTACCACAATGCGTGGAGGATTGTGGGGCCTTACCCATCAGGCAGAAGATCTTTTCACCGCCAGATAGAGATAACTTTTTCTGCCCCAAAATTATTTCACAGAAACAAAGGATAGAAGCGCAAGCAACAATGGCGCCCTCAAAAGATGACCCCCAATCGGAGGACAGCTATCTCTCCGAGACCTCTGATATAGCTACACCCGACATCGAAGACCGCGCTCCTAAGCGGCGCCGCCTCTCCGAGTCCGACGAAGACGACGGTGAGTACGTTGCGCCAGCACCACTCCCCACCGTCTCCCGAATCAAAAAGAAAGACGAGACCGCGAAGAAAGCCGAGCCTACGGAGGAGGAGGACCCTGTCACAATCCGTGATGCGCTTGAGATTGGACTTCGAGCAGAGGAATCTACGTTCGGCGCTTTGAACGTGTCACCATGGCTTGTGGGTTCTTTGACGACGATGGCTATTCGACGACCCACCGCTATTCAGAAGGCTTGTATCCCCGAGATTCTGAAGGGTCGGGACTGTATTGGTGGCAGTCGAACCGGTTCAGGAAAGACTATGGCGTTTGCCGTTCCTATTATTCAAAAGTGGGCGCAGGATCCATTTGGTGTTTTTGCATTGATTTTAACCCCAACGAGGTATGTTCAATATGTGAAGAAGGATGGGAGTTGCCGCAACAAACCATCATATACTGACCGGTTGTCTTTGAACCCGATAGAGAGTTGGCGCTCCAAATCTTTGAGCAGTTCAAGGCTATCTCCGCGCCGCAGAGCATGAAGCCCATCCTCATTACCGGAGGCACGGATATGCGCCAGCAGGCAATCGAGCTCGCATCACGACCCCACGTCGTCATCGCGACCCCGGGTCGCTTGGCTGATCACGTCAAATCGTCTGGTCAGGATACGATTGCTGGTCTTCGTCGTGTGAAAATGGTCGTTCTCGATGAAGCCGACCGACTTCTCGCAAGCGGACACGGCAGTATGCTGCCGGATGTCGAAACCTGCCTTTCTGCAGTCCCTCCCTCCTCCGAACGCCAAACCCTCTTGTTTACTGCGACTCTGACAGCCGAGGTGCGGGCACTAAAGTCGGTGCCGCGTACCGGTGACAAGCCGCCAATCTTCGTGACCGAGATCTCTACCGAAAACCAAGGCAGCATCCCGCCGACTCTTAAGCAGACATATCTCAAGGTGCCCATGACGCATCGCGAAGCTTTCTTGCACGCTTTGCTTTCGACGGAAGAAAACATCTCCAGGCCCGTTATCATTTTCTGCAACCATACCAAGACTGCCGATCTCCTTGAGCGCATGTTGCGTCGACTTGGTCACCGTGCCACTTCCCTACACAGTCTACTCCCACAATCCGAGCGAACGTCGAACCTTGCCCGATTCCGAGCCGCGGCTGCCCGGGTCCTCGTTGCCACTGACGTTGCATCTCGTGGTCTCGATATTCCCATCGTTAGCCTGGTTATCAATTTCGACGTGCCGCGGAACCCGGATGACTACGTGCACCGTGTTGGTCGTACTGCCCGTGCTGGCCGGAATGGTGAAGCCGTCACCATGGTCGGACAGCGAGATGTCGAGCTCGTCCTCGCCATTGAGAAGCGTGTTGGACGGGAGATGGTGGAGTGGGCTGAGGAAGGTGTCAATATTGAGAGTCGCGTGACGAGAACCACCATTCTCAAGGATGTTGGCGCTGCGAAGCGCGAGGCTACTGGAGAGATCGAAGAAGGCCGTGATGTGCTGGGTCGCAAGCGGAATAAGTTGAAGAAAGTCCGGTGAATGATGGAGAACTAGTCTGTATATACCGTTCTATCTGTTTGATACCATATTCAAGGCCAATGAGAAGTTAGCGAGTCCTTCTTGAGATATGTCGTCCGTGCAGATAGCCATTGCCTTGATCATAGAAAAGTAATCAGTCGAAGCTCCGTTACCCGACGAGGCTAAGAGTGGGTAGACCAAATGTGACAGGAACCAGGATTCGTTTGTTAGATTTGCTTAGAATGCACAACATGGAGTATCGTGAGAAGGCTATGATTCTTCGTAGACGAATTCAATCACCCTGATGAGTCTCCAATGTATCAAGACGCAATCGAAAGCCTTGCAGATAAATCGGTAAAGTATGCTCCAAGTTGCACACTCAGGATTGCCCTACCACTCTCGTTGATCGATCACAATTCTCGGTGACACAATACCAAGTCATGCTGCCTCGTCAGGCATACCAGTTCTACTGAAGGCATTTGACTTTTATCTAGTACTTCTGTGAGTGTAGACCTTTGGACCATGACTTCCAGAGGACACGAGTGGTATCATTGATTGCAAAAGTAACAAAATAACAAAAGTCTAACAGGACGCCACATGATTGCGGTATTAGAGCGCCCCTAATCACGTATCCAAGGTAGTTAACAAGCAAGTATTCGTCAGGGTATACTTCATCATGTCTAGGCCAAGTAGCCTCTGAAGCGGGCAGTAAATGCCACGCGACTACCCACTCCAAGCCTCGGAGTTATCATGCCTATCCGACGTGCTCATAAGCTTGAGCAGCCCATCCACGGCATCACCCCTCTGCGACGGTGAGAGAGCATCGTGCGATGCATGTGCTTCCTCAACGTCTACCCCATGTGTGATATCCCGACTCCGACTATAGCGGACCACCGTAGCAGGCGGGCTACTTAGTTGCATCGGCGATCCCAGAGCCCGGGGCGGAGTCCGTTGGCAGCGCTTGGCGTAATTTGTACTCTGAATGATGGAAGACGGTTGTCGGGGGAGGTCGGGCGTTTGTTGAGAAGGGGTAGAGCTCATGTTTTCCGCCGAGCCAGTTCGGGGCGTCTTAAGCTGAGAAGGTGTGAAGGTGTGACGGAAAGAAGTGACCGGGGAAGAAGAGGAGAGGGCGGAGAATGAGAGTCGGGGAGCTTTGCGACTGTGTGCTTCCAGTTCCGAGACGCGTCGGTCAATTTGGTGGTTGGGTACGTTGCGCATGGCAGTTTGGAGTCTGTTTCGGAGGAGAGCTGCTTTCTAAAGTGTGGAAGGTTCTATAGTTAGGAACGTATTCGGCGGTAATGTTGCAGGTGATGGACGCCTTTTGCTTACTTCTTGGATGAATACCTTTCGCGCGTCAGGGTCGTCGGGGATTGACGCTGTGTCCGAGTCTGAGGCTCGTGACGCGCTGCGGGATCTCGTGGTATCCATTTCTCGGGGTTGGTCGCGTGTAGGTTGTGATGATGGGGCTGGGATGGAGATTTTCATCGCGGCCGACTCTGGGCTCAGCTGTAGAATGACATTTAATGTTAGCCAATTGATCTTATGTTCTGAATATGGATTGCTCCAAGCAGCTCCAGGATCTTAGTTTACCTGTTGGCTCTCATGTTCCACGGTGCATGGTGGGCTCTCCACGCGCAGCTCGCGCGGGGCCTGCAGCGATGCGTCGTTTACATCAACCTCGTCCACTTGATCTATCGTTCGCTTTTGGCCTGCAAAGATCGGAGAAGGGAGAAGTTTCTTGGGCGAGACAGTCGTGAATAGGGACCGTTTGACGGGCGTGCTGGTAACCGAGAGAGATTGTTTGCCGTGGCGGGCGGGGGACAGACACGCGTTGGAGTCCTTCTCGCCGAGGATACGGCGGCCATCCTTGACGGGGCTGAATTGAACCGAGACTGACTGCATTCTCCTCAATGTGGAAGGTCTTCTAGGACCGACAATGGGACGGGGAGGGAAAGGTGTTGTAGGGTCTTGGGAAGAAAAGAAAAAAGGTACGCGGCGCGGGGAAGTGGACAAAGAGGATGGGGAGGGTCCACGCGAATGAAGCAAACCACCAAGGGAGATTGACAAAGGAATTGATCAAAGTTGATTTGGGGAAAGGAAAAGGGAGAGAAAGAGAAGGATATTCTCAACACAAAACGGTCGCGTCAATCGCGTATAGTCCGGACCGATACCTCACTAGCTCTGTATAGAAGAAGCACGGACTCGGGCTCCACCGGTCGTGTTGAGCACGCGTCCACGGGTTGCCTCGACCCTAGTACCTTTAGCCTCCTCGGATTCGACAAAAGGCAAACGTTCGTTCTGAGTCCTAATTTTTGAGAGGCACGCTGCTGTGTCAGTATTCGAGAAACTTGAATGGTATAGTGGATATTGCTCATGGATTCTACCAAGTACATCTACAAAGTACTTAAACTTGCAGTACTAGGCACAAACTATCGGCAACACGTCGAATTATCAATAGCTTCTTCACATGGTCCTACAAATTGTGGTCCTGTTTATTATTCCTGTTTATTATTTTGATTCTACACGTCGCTCTGTATTTGCAAAATAAGATTTGAATGGAATTCCGGACGCCTTCTAAAATGCAGTCGAACTTTCTTGATCCCGTCACGTTCACGGTCATGTGCTTCCATCGAGTCGCGCCGAGACGCGCTTGGTGGGCGCGCTACTCAAACTTGAGACCGGATAGTATAGTACGGGGACCGCTACGTATAGCTGTAGCTACATCAGTTATTTTTTATATTGACTGGTAAGTTTATATATCGGACACAATCATATCATCTGCGAATACTTCAAAATCGAAGGTGGCGTTAATATATTCGGATGGTCGTGGAGAAACCCTCGTGATGATACAACGCTAAGCCTAATTAGGCACAACCCTTACAAGCATGATTGTACATTCGATATCTTCATAATGCCTATGAAGCCCTTATGTATGGATAGTGGTAATTCAAATGGTTAGAATGAGAGCTGAAAAGAACCGCCTCGCTAGATCCGTTTGAATATCTTCAATCTCTAAAGGTCTTTACAACGATCTTTTCAGAGAGCCCTAGGAAGGCTCTTATATATTACGCAATCCTGCTATATAGCCATCTACCTGATTTGATATTTTGCACTGACTTCTAACCGTGTCAATCAATCTAGGTTGGTACCCTTAAACCTTATGATTATCTGACCCTCTACTCAGTAAACCTAACTCCACACTCTACCTATGACAACTTGGTTCCTGGACGGTACTTGGGTCACTCAATAATCAGATCGAAACCGTCTCCGCATGACATCATCGGACCCGACCGCCGAAGTACTCCCCCAAAGAACCATCCGTGCAGGACTGACAACCACTGGGGTGCAGCAGGGAAAAAAGTAAAACGCACAGAACCCAACCAGTAGCATCACCTCATTCTTTCTTAGCCTCGCTCCGAGCTCGCTGCAAGCAAACGAGAGTCGATCTCGGCTGAGCTGAGCAACGCTGAGATCAGGCTCCCCCGCATTTCACATTCCCGTACCTTCGGCCCCTGCGTTTCACCTTTTTCGTTACACACTCGTCCTACGTTCCTTGTGACGCTGGTCGGTCTCTCAACATCGTCACTTGTCATTCATTTTGAAGTGGCCTATCATGCAACCGTCCGTCGCCGTATTGGCTGCGGCTCTCAGCCATGCCGTTGTCAGTACGGCTTCCACCCTGACGCCGCCGGTACTACCGTTAATAGTGCGAAATCCCTACCTGAGCACCTGGCAGGGGAATGCTCGAGACGCACCTTGGGCCAAATGGCCCATGTTCTATACCGGAGAGGAACTCGGCCTCGCCTTGATGGCCCACGTGCCCAGCCAGGAAACGGTTTATCCTTTGGTTGGTAGGCCGCAGGATTCTTTGGCCTCGAATGCTGGGTATGATGAGCTTGACGAGCCGTCGTCTGTGACTGTACAAGCTAATGGACTCTAGATACCAAGTGAAATATCCTGATTACCTGGGACTCAACTATGACGCCTCCACAACCAACTTCACCTATCGTGTTGATGTGGATGCCAACCCCCTTGACATTACTGTCTCTTTCCTCTCGCCCATCACGCCGACCTCGACTTTGCGACAGTCGATTCCGGCCTCCTATGTAACGATCGACGTACAGGGCAACATCGATGTTGATGTCTATATGGATATCGATGGGCGATGGGTAAGTGGAGACGGAGGCAGTCAACTCAACTGGCAGTGGGATACGCTAGACGTCGAGGACGCGAAGAACGAACAGAGTAACAAGAATAAAAAGTCTGGCTTGCAGAGATGGCAAGTTCGCCGAGATGCAGAACTTGATTTGTCTGAAATCCGCGATCGTGCCGAATGGGGTACTCTTCACTTCACTGGACCCGACGTGAGTGCTAGTCCTTCAGCTCAATGTGCTTCTATACTAACCTGCGGTCTTTCATAGGATGCGCAATACGAGTCCGGAGAAGCATCACAGGTGCGACGGCACTTTGCCAAAAGCGGTGCCCTGCGCAACTCGAATGATGATCAATTCCGAGCCATTCGTGACCGCTCTCCCGTATTTGCATTCTCCAAGTCGTTCAAGCTCGTTCAATCCGAGCGGCACTCGCAAAGTGTCACATTTACCGTGGCTCTTATCCAAATACCCGTCGTTCAGTATGCCGCAGCTCGTGGACTCACCATGATGCGGCCTCTTTGGGAATCCTGGTTTCCATCTACCGAGCAGCTGCTTATTTTCCACTACAATGACCACGCCGCAGCGAGTGCCCTGGCATCAAACTACTCTGCACAACTGGCCAAGGATGCGTATCTCTCGGGAGCGGATGACTACGTCGACATTGTTGCTCTGAGTGCCCGACAGGTAATGGGCGCAACTCAATTCTCGGGTACCCCGGACAATCCTATCCTGTTTTTGAAGGAGATCTCTTCCAATGGAAATTTCCAGACCATCGATGTTATCTTCCCGTCCTTCCCCTTCTTCCTGTACACGAACCCCCGCTGGTTGGCGTATCTCCTGGAGCCACTGATCGAGCACATGCTCAGCGGACAATACCCCAACACTTATGCGATGCACGATCTGGGCACACACTTCCCCAATGCCACCGGCCACCCGGATGGTAATGATGAATATATGCCCGTGGAGGAGTGTGGCAATATCCTGATTATGGGTCTCGCGATTGCCAACTCACTCCAGTACGAGGATAGCCGCGAGGCTGCTTCCATTTGGTCTGCACAGGGCGAGCAGCGATCAAAGTTCTCGATGCTGAACTCGGGTCTTTTCCCACTAGATGATCTGCAAGTTATGTCCGGTATTGGCTACCAGGACAGCAAATGGGGCGGAGGTATAGAAGGCAAGAGTCTTGCAAAGAAATGGGTGCAGCGAAGTTACCGTCTCTGGAAGCAATGGACCGGCTACCTGGTCGAATTTTCTCTGGAGCCCGCTAACCAGTGTAAGTTATAAAAAAAAAAACACCATGTGATTGATAAGATACTGATTCGGTGATATAGTGTCCACTGATGACTTTGCTGGTTGGCTGGCCCTTCAAACCAATCTAGCTCTCAAGGGCATTATCGGGATCAACGCCATGAGCAAGCTCTCCGAACTGGTCGGCGATGAGAAAGATGCTTCCTACTTCAAGGTACTTTCCTTTCCATATCCCAATAGCGGCAAAGACTGACACTATCAATCAGAAAACCGCCGACAAATACATCGCGAAATGGGAAGAATTCGGCATGTCCCGCGATGGCTCCCACGCCAAGCTCGCCTACGACTGGTACGGTTCCTGGACAACCATCTACAACCTGTACGCCGACGCCCAACTATGCTTCCACCTCGAGAATACAAACACCTCCAGCAGCAGCAAACCCCCGGGCTTCGTACCCCGCCACATCTACCAAAAACAATCCGTATGGTACCACTACGTGCGCCAAAAATACGGCCTTCCCCTCGACAGCCGCCACCTCTACACAAAGACAGACTGGGAATTCTTCTCTATGGCCGTAGCATCCAAGCCCGTGCGCACGGAGATCCTCGAATCCGTGGCGCGGTGGGTTAACGAAACCGTCACCGATCGCCCATTCACGGACTTGCACAACACGGAGGGTGATGGGAACTTCCCTGGTCCGAACTTCTTTGCCCGGCCCGTTATTGGTGGACATTTTGCTTTTTTGGCGCTGGAGCGGGCGTGTGGGGGCAGGGCTATGGCCGGTTTGAGCTTTTTGGATGAGGTTGATGAGAAGACTTTGCATGAGTGGGCTAGGACTGCAGAGGTTGCGGCTAGTGAGTTTAAGAGGCCTTGGAAGTTGCATCATGGTGATGATGAACTGTGAGCTTCTGAAGTGTGAAGTGGAGAGCGAGAAATCTCGGGCTTTTTCTTTGACTGGCTTGGGTCACCGGCTGGTAGTGGTATTAGAAATCTGTGGATGATTGATATCCTTATCTGATACATACCTAAGTTCGAGCTGGTATCCCCAAGAGATGCTTGACCTGCTTACCAAAGGTCTACATGCTCTTTAGTTGGTATAGAACTCTGTATATAGCTAGGGCTATATGCACCAGTCCAGATAGCTGGGATGAGCATGTATGTATATGAGAATCCATCGGAACGTGAACTGGGATATGCAATGGCTTGAGCATCGAAAGTTGTAAGTATCCTCCCTATGGCGTCATGATTCCAAGCTACTCCTACCTATGCCAAGCAATCTGATACGTACTCCGACGCTACCCCGCCAAATTGATGGAAGCCTTGAGGTACTACGTTGATGTTCTGACAGACATTCTACAACTTCCAGATCTACAGGTAAACTACATGGGAGAGCCCAATTGAAATTTCAGTTCATCCAATTCACGTTTGCACACCTTCCACATCCGAAGGTAGGAACATAAGAAAAAAAAAGGTCAAGAGAGCACAAGACACACATAGACCCCGGATGATCATCTCCATCCCCTCTCCACGGGGCAAGAACGATGAACCCGGGGTACCTAGATAATTTTTGGAATTTTAGAGAGCACATTCCCGGAAAGACAGAAGAATCCTCCATGCCCTCTCCTTCCCACACACCGTTCCGCCCTCTCCTAATCGTCATCCATCATCCCACGAGAAAGCCCAGTCGTATCGGAATAGAAAATAAAGGGAAAGGAGGTAAAGGACAAATCTCGAGCAAAGGAGAGAAGAAACAATTTGAACAATTTTTTCCAACGGAAATCAATTCGTCACACCATTTATTGCCATTGCACGAGTTTCGACAGTTCCCCCCATGGACGACTAGAACAAGACATAGAATAACGACTCTCCGGGTGATGTAATACGGAAGTCACATCTAGGAGAGAAGAGGAGAGAGAGAGATAGAGAGAGAACGGGCCAGAGAGATAGACAGAGAGAGAGAACGGGGTGGGAAACAGAAGAGAACACAAAGCAGGGAAAGGCAGTCTGCGAGAAGAGCGAATGCCCCCAGTTTAGAAACCGAGACACGCGATCAAACAGCGCTTGGGCCGAAGGCTTTCGGAGTGTTCATTTTTTAGTTGCCGCCCAGGCTGGGGAAGTTCTTCTCGTCGACGGTAGGGCCGGCGGGGGCGCGGGCACCACCACGGCCGCCACGGGGAGCAGCAGCAGCGGGAGCACCGCCACGGGGAGCACCACGAGCGGGGCGATCACCGCCACGAGCGGGGCGATCACCGCCACGAGCAGGGCGGTCACCACCGCGAGCAGGGCGATCGCCACCACGGGGAGCGCGGTCACCACCACGGCCGCCACGGCCGCCACGGGCACCGGTGGGAGCAGGGCGGGGCTGCTCAACGAAGCGCATGTCGACGTCAAGGTAGTTCTTCTCCTTGCGCTGCTTCTCGCGCTTGGCCTTCTCAGAGGCACCCTGGATGTAGGTCTCGGCCTCCTCGTGCTTCAGCTCCTTGGCGCTAGCCCACTTCTTGTCCTCCTTGGTGCCCTCGTTGGCGGCACGGACGGGCTTGGCAGCGAGGCTGTCCTTAGCAGCCTTCTCAGCCAGGTAGTCGGTGTAGGACTTGGACTTGTCGGCCTCCTCAGCCTCCTCGGCGGGGGTCTGGGGCTCGTTCTCATCGGCCTTGGCGATGGTCTCGCCAACACGCTCGTCATCCCAGGTCTTCTCGCCGGACTCACCGCCCCAGCCCTGCTGGACCTGCTTGCGGGTGTCACTATAAAGAAACATTAGTTTGATTGCTTTGTAGAAGCAGCTCCTGTAGGATGCGGGGCTTCATTGCTTTTGCCTCCGCTTCCCCCCATTCGGTCCTGCTCCATGATCGAAATCGGGACATCGAGGAATCGCTTACGTCTGGCCAGTGCGGGACTGGCGGTCGCCACGGCCACGGTTGCCGCCGCGGGGGCGGGAGGGCTGCTCGGCCTCATCGGTGGGCTTCTGGCGGTTGTTGGTGCGGCCGGCGTTGCGGTCACGGAAAGCTGTTACCGAGATGTTAGCTTCTGTGACGACAATTTCTCTCTTTCCCCCATCCGCAATTGATGAGAAACTGATCAATTCACATACCGGCATCGTTGCCGCCGGTCACACGGCCACCACGGCGGCCAGCGTTCTCACGGGGCTGGGACGCGGGAGCCTCCTTGGGAGCATCACGCTTGCCAACGCGGGGAGCGGGACGGTCGACAGCCTTGGCGGGGGGCGCAGGGGGTCTGTTAGGGTCGAGCTCGGGGTCATTGCCTATAAGTTCGGATGTTAGAATTCTGATTCGAATTGAGATGAAAAGAACCTTTGCGGATGTGGTTCGCGGTGGAGATGATTTCCGACAAAACCGGAGCTGAAGCTCGAGAGCACACAGGTGTCCCCAGAAAAGCAAAAAGACAAGAGAGAAAATAGGGAAATATTTACCAAGAAGCTCATAGAGGTTCTATAAATTCGCAAGAGAAAACAATCATACGTTAGCCACAGCCTCCGACAGCTCTCAAGTCGATCCGTGAGCTTCCAGGAAGCCCTCACGGGCACAGGCGAGAGCTGTTTCATCGGTTCTCAGCGTACCTTGGACCGGACGTCCACCATGACGCCTGGTGTTGCGTGAGTCCTTCCGGGCAGGAAGGCGCTCGACTTGTGTAAAAAAGGGAGGGAAAGAGGGCACACAAGGCAGAACCTCAGCAGATCCGGCCTTTTGAATGCGAAGGGATGATGATGAAGCGGGTGATCGTACCGAGTACCGAGTGATCGAGGGAAGAAGGGGAGGTTTGTGGTGCACCCCGAATCCGGTTAGGCGCCATTTACTAAGCGAATCAGGCTAGGGCTTAGGGTATCATGGCGTCACTGGCGGAGCTTCCGGCATCATACATTTACTTTTGCATCCATGAAATTTCTGTGACATTACGCTTGCTTGAGTGCGGTTTTACGGAGCTCATTCCTGTGTAGGTAGGTAGTTTTTGATATTCTACCGGACGAGTCGTAAAATATGTTTACTGTCGTCATCGACCCCGCGGAAGGTCAAGTATGAACCCCATGAACTATATACGGACTGACCCTCCCCCCTTCAACGGGTTTAGAACATGTATTGCATTTGCAATTCAGTCAATTCATCCAGATCAAAATATCGGAATGGTGCCGTTGTATTTCCCTGGTATCGAATCATTCCAACAACGCCGGGCAATGCTCAAAAAGGACTTTTTTTTCCCCCAGTAAAAGACGAATTCAAGAACTTCGGACGAGATGACTCAAAAAGGGTGGCTGACAAGTGAGAATTACTTTTTTATTCTTCGTTTTGTATTCTCTGTCAAGAACGAGGATTGTTCTGGTCGTAGTTGAACGGTGTCGGGAAGTGCATGCTGGCACTCAGCCCGAATGGATCTGCGTCCAACATGGGCTCGTATTGAGCCATGAGCTGGTTGGCATTGCCGTAGTCTCCGGGCGCTCCCTCTTGAGATGGATTGTAACCCGTCATGTTGTGAGAGCCCGAGGCCACCGACTGTGGAGTGAAGCCCGGGACGTACGAGGCATTGACGGAACCGTCATGGTCGTCATCAACGAGATCGGCTTGTGCGTCGTACTCTTGTTCTGGCCGTGGTCAGTAAAACATTCACTTGGTTGGAATGAGTAGAAGGAGGGGAGAGGTATTGCTCACCGAGTTGGTCGTAATGTTTCTGGAATGGAGATGGGTAGTAGGCAGCCGCCACTCGCGCACCGCGAGGCCCACGAGACTTTTCGGTGGGATCGGTTTGAGGCATGCTGATCGCGCCCGGTGAGGTTTGGCTTGTGAAGGTCCGTGGCTGGGGCAGCAATTGGGGACGGCCACCTCCTTGGGCATTGACTTCGACGGGCGACACCCCAGCCTGGAAGCCATAGCCCGGTGACTTGGCGTGTGATGGGGATGATACATGAGAGGTTGGGGTGGCCTGGAACTGCGGCGATGGTATAGCGTAGGCACCCTCGCGCTGAGAGATAGCAAACGCATCCGGCTTGGAGGCGATACCCGCCGGATGTCTCTGTGTAGGACGAGGGATAGGACCCGACTTGGCTGGTACGGGATTGGGTCTGGCCGATGACCCGGGAGCCCCGGTCTTCAGCCGTAGCTCAGCTTGGACATCAATGCCTGGTTGAATTGGCGGTTAGTATATGTAGAAAGAGATAAAAAAGGGTGAGATAGGACGAACCTTTCTCGAGTAAGATTCGCTCTAGCAACGAGTTCTTATATCGCAGCATCAAACACTCGTCTGCCGCGCTGCGATGGCTCTGCTGTAGACTCTGCAGAGACTCCTCATTGCGCTTGATGGTAGTCTCCAGCTGACGAATGTACTCCGTACGACGTTCTCGGAAGGCAGCCTGAGCTTGTCGGTTGCGTTGCTTCCGTTCCTCCGAGGTAGCATAGATCTAGGAAGGTATGAGCCAAAGAACCTTGGACGGCAACGACGGGGACCGTGAAATATAAGAGACACCAATGAGATCGCAGGGGAAGCATATCAGAGCGATAGAGAAAGGGAGAGGAATGCGGGGCCCCGGATTATTGCATCTTTGATGCAGCAAGCACAAGCCCCAAAAAAAAAGGAAAAACAAAAAAAAGAAAAACAAAGTTGGCCAACTGGTGGTGGTGGTGACGTACAGGTTTGCGACCACCTTTTCGCTTTTGAGTCTGGGTGGTATCTTGCGTTAAGGGCTCAGCCTCAGCATCTGGTGTCGACACCGTCGAGCTGATGGAACCATCAGGCAAAGGCTCTGACTTGGGAACGACCGAGTCCATGACGGTGTCATTGTGGCCGGGATGGGAGGCGGTCTCGACCATAGAGACCATTGGAGCCCAACAGGCGCGCGCTGTCGTTATCAGAGATAGGTGGTTTTTAACCTATCGAACCTCCCCCAAGACTCTTCCACCAACCCTGTCTCTCTCACACTCTCTCCCACGAGGGTTGATTGAACAGAAGACACGACCAGTGAACACACCCGGGTGGGGGAGGTCAGTCCTTTACACGGGGTTTGCTATACAGGATACGTTTGCCGGCCTGCCTGGTTTTCCCCGCCGAGCCCACGGGGCTGTAGGACCGCGAAAAAAAGAGGGAAAACTCAGAGACGAGCAGACAGACGCAGGAGACGCGCGGCTAAGCGGTTAGAAGGGACGTGCGAGCGGAAGGGAGGCGAGAGAGTGACATAAAAGAAATTGGTGATTATGAGAAAGGAAGAGTCAGAGAATTTGAGATAAAACGTAAACGGGGTGGGAAGGAAGGCGGGGGGTGGAAGGGAAGAAGGATTAATGTGAGGTAAAGCGATTGACTAAACGAATAATCCTATTGTTGCCCTTGGCTCCTCTTTGCGACTTCAGCGGGTTGGGCGGGTTTTCGGTGGGTTCTTGGGGGTCAGACGAGGGAAACCACTCCAAATGAGAATTTTTTCTCTTAGACTCTGCTCAAGTTCTTTGCCTTCGCTCTTTTGACTTTTTTTTTTTTTTTCTTTTTTCTTCTCATTTCTCCCTTTTGCCCTGTTGGTGACTCCACCTACATGAATGGCCGCCCTCTCCTCTCGGTGACGGCACGGGTCCACTCAAGGCAGAATGGTTGGTGGCCAAGTCGCAAAGTCCCCCTCGTGTCGTACGGGCCGATCTGGCCGTGGAGAAAGAGAGGGAGGAAAAAACCAAATAACAGTCTTAGGACCTCCGCGGAGAAGGCGGGTGGGCCATCGTCCTAAGTATAACTACATGGTTAAGTCTATCGGGGGAGTATGCAACAAGGATGTGCCCACATCAGATCTATGAAGAATGAACGGGAGTATAAAGAATTGATGAATATAGGGATAGGGGTAGTATGAAAAACTCGAACTCTAGCAGGTGGCGAAGGTACCAGAGGCTACAGGAGCAGAGACTTCAGAGCCAAGACTCGAGAGAGTCGAGGCCGAATAGCCGATACCGGGGCGAACCGGGGGTCAGCCCAGCCCTGGAACTATGCATACTCGCCCATGACATGCCATCGGTGTCTTCCGCGCCTAGTCCAGACTCAGCTCACCGTGGGGTTTCAGGGGTACATGCCAGTCACTGCCAACCCTTCTCAAGTTTCTGCCGACATCGTACCAACTCCTCTATGCAGAGTGTAGTACGAGTACTTTCGTTCCCCGGTCTCGCTTTGAATATCCCTTTCCACCCGCGATAGCCTGTATACCATCAACGTCATAATTTCTACTAGCATAGACCAACGTGCAACTGGCGTTGCGGGATCTCGGATCTCCTGTGTTTCTCGTATGCCCGGTCTACATGTGAGGTATTTCATGTTCCCCGGGTACCACGCAAGGTTTTTTTTTTTCCCCTTTGCCTACAGGCCACATGACCTTGGCCCCCTCATCACGAGGACGGAAGAGAGGAACACGGGCCTGCGGCTGCTCAATAATATCCCCCTAGTGAATAATAAAGAGACCACCTAAGACTATGTTTGATCACCAGCAGGGTCGGTTATTGGACGAGTTCCAATACGATGGCTGCTTTTCTCGCTCTAGTGCCCAGATCCGGCCCCAGATTCTGACTGGAATGATGCAATGCAGACTCGCTTCCCCCAACTTCCGGTGCGGGGTGGCCATGCAGACCGGGATCGATGAACACGTTGTTTGTTGGGCCTGAGGCATGCTACGATTGGGGAGAACGTTTGTGTTGATTCCTCGAATCCATCCCGCTACTGCTTGGACTGGGTGGATCTAGATCTACGGAGTAGGTGTTTATGCATTCCGTCAGGACCCCTTCTCATTGCTTGTAACTCTGTAGGAAAATAAACTATACGCTTGAATCAAGTTGGCTCCGACCACAAATGACATGAGCATATTCCCTCAAAGTATCACAAGCGGATTTCACTACAGAATTGAAATTCCTAATTCCATCCCATCCCATCCCATCTAATGCTCACACCCTTCATACCCTCTTAATGCTTGATCAAAAGACTTGCCGACCCGCCGGCGTCGTTCCCTCGGCGATCGGCGGTCGGTTCCCCGCCAAATTTCCATCCCATCACATGCCGTGACCGCGTCCTTCACCAGTCCAACCCTCCTTTCTAAACCCGAGTCGCTAGCTCTAGCTCGCCGAGCTGTTTTTTTGTCTCGCACTCGACAATCTTTCACTCGGCTTCTGTCCCTTTTCCCCGGACGTCATAGAAATCTCTCATCATGGCGAACCCTGCCTCCGGCTCGGGCGACCATCCCCGCGAGGAAACCCCCGCCGCGACTCCAACAGCCACGACGACTGAGACTGGCGGCACTGATTCCGGCAATACCGTGCCCGAATCCGCCGAGTCTACACAGAAGCTGCAAGTCACGAATCCACAAGTCGCAGACGAGGATGAGGAAGACTCGGACTTTGATGAATTGGATGGTAAGCACTATCAATCAACCCCGCAATCACATACATAACCCACAATCACACCACGCGGGCTTCTCGTTCTCGCAAATGACTAACATCACAAATTTCTCCAACAGACGTGCTAGATGACTTCTCCAAACCAAAAGCAGCGCCCGCAGCCGCGCCCGCGCCCACAGCTACACAATCGGACCCTACCACCGGGATCGCCCCACCCGATTTCGACGAGGATGCCTTCCTCAAGCAACTGGAGAAAGACATGGCCAACATGATGGCCAATCCCGGTGCCGCCGGCCCCGGCGCGGCCGACGCACAAGACTTCCAATCAGCCGTCGACGAAGGCGCGGACGCCTTTGCGAAACAGCTCGAGGAGAGCGGTATCCCGCCGGGTGATTTCTTGAAGCAGCTGCTGGCAGACGTGATGGCCGAGGAAAATGGTAGCGCTGGCGCAGAGGGTCTTGCGAAGGATTCAACCGCAGCCTCGGCTACGGCACCGCCGGCTGGCCCCGCGGACGGCGAACAACCCGAGAACTTCAACGATGCGATTCAGCGCACTATCGAGCGGATGAAGCAGTCCGGTGATCGTGCGACGGAAGCCGCGACGACGGGCGACGGGCTAGACGATGATTTGATTGCGCAGCTACTCAAGGCCGTGGAGGCTGGTGCGTCTGGGGCGGGCGAGGATGGTGATCTGACGAAGATGTTTATGGGGATGATGGAGCAGTTGTCGAATAAAGAGATGCTGTATGAGCCGATGAAGGAGTTGGATGGCAAATTTGAGCCTTGGATTGCGAAGAGTAAAGCCGAGGGGACGGTGCCGATGGAGGACATGGAGCGGTATGAGACGCAGGCCCGCGTTGTGAAGCAGATTGTGCTCAAGTTCGAGGAGCCGGGGTACTCGGATGAGGATGCTAAGTGTCGGGAGTATGTGTGGGAGCGCATGCAGGAGGTAAGTGTCTGATAATTGCCTTTGTTCATTCGTTGCAGGATGCTGATGATTTGGGTATAGATGCAAGCTGCTGGCAGCCCCCCGGAGGAGCTGATTTCGAATCCGCTGATGGGAGAGCTGGGTGGTGCGGCTGGAGGTGCACCGGGCGGAGTCCCCGATTGCCCGCAGCAATGAGATTGTTGAGATCTGTACAAGGATAACGAGGAAGAGATGGGAGAAGAGGATCTGGCTCTTCGTACAGAGAGCCACACATTCAATTTGATGCTCATCGGCTTGCTTTGTACTTGTACATATACACAACCACGTCGATACCCTTATTTACTCCGAGATATCCACGCTTCGAATCTTACAGATTCCATATTCAAAACAGATTATACCCATAACGCCGCCATATGCCAAATCCCACGCTAAAACGGACAAGAAACCGCGCAGATGAGATCACACTAGATCAACAGACCACCCACCCCCATCTAGGACATATCCATATCCTGCACAGGTTCCTCCAAATGCATAAAAAGATCATCATACTCGGCATCACTAAACGGAGCATCCTGTTCCGCTAGACCATGCCTATTAACCAACGACTCCTGCCACGCCCTCTCCATCGCTTCCTCCTGCGAAACAAACTCATCCAATGCCTTCAACTCAGCTTCATCTATACCAAGGGGGAAAAAAAAATCAATTGTAAGCCAACAAGTTCTAAACCAAAGAAAAAGAACAAGACCAAACTTACCATGAAGCATCCCATCATCCTCAATATCCCCCTCAACCCCACGCAACACCCCATCCACGTCCCGCGCCATACTCTCCTCCCACCGCCTCTTATCCGCCAAATACTCCGCCATCATCATCTGTTCCCCGCGCGCCTCGAACCGTCCCGCATCACGCTCGTTCTTGACCCGGTTGAGGAACATCTTGCGGGTCTTGGAGCGTGCGAGGGATGTCGTGGAGCGCATGGGGTTTGCGATTTGCGCCGCGTACCGCTCTGCGTAGCGTTGGCGTGTTGACGGGGTTGGGGAGGCGGGGGAGGGGGATGTTGGGGAGAATATGTTGGATGGCTGCTGAGGCTGTTGCTGGGAGGTTGAGTGGAAGGTTGAGTGGAAGGTAAATGGTGCGGGAGAGGAGGCGATGTTGACGAAGTTGGGAGAATTGGAGTGTTCGTTTGACGCGGAGTTTGGATTAGGGTCATGGTATCGCTGTGGCTGCTCCGTGTGGACAGCGAATTTTGGAAAAGAGATGGGCGAGGTTTGCGCGTTTTCCTCGTGGCCGGTTGGCTTTTGCGTGTGGCCGGCGCGTGTGGGAGAGCCCATGGTCCATGGGGGTGTGGCGATATTTGTGCTTCGTGGGCCGAGGGGGGATGGACGGGCTGGTGTGTAGTGGCCCGTTTGGCGGAAGGGAGTGGTTGGTGAGGAGGGGATGGTTTGTGTTGCGAACATGATGAGATGTGACGGTTGAAGATTAGAGAGGAGTTTCGAGGGTGGAGAGAGATGGATCCGCGGTTCGGATCTAGAAATATGTTGTGGTTTTGCTGGGTCCGGCGATTTGGTAGCTTGTTTTAGGGAGATCTGGATCTTTAGAGTGTGATCTGGGGTTCATGGGGGAGTTCCACTTTCTCGGGCTTAAATGTGATTTAGTGTGCCTCCAAAGTCGCGCTGCTGGTCCGTCGAGACTTTTTGTATGGGGATGGAGTGGGGAGGCTGGAGAGTGGGTGAGTGCCATTCAAATGGCTTCGCGACGCGCATTCCGCGCGCCACGTGATGATCGCGTCGGCACGTCAAAGCTGTCGATCATATACGGTGCAAGAGGATCTACAATCCTAGCTGAGGAGGTTGCAAATGGACAATCTTGCTATGGGCAAATCATGAGGCTCACTCTAGCTGATCTCGCGGATAGAGCACCAATGTATGTCCGTCCACGGTCTTCGAGCTCTATCTATACTGATATCCGCAACCAGACGTTAGAAGCCAAGGTAAGCGACACCTCACGCGCTCATTTCAGTCCTGGCCAAGTTCAGTTCGGGAAACACGAAGCAGGTATGGACTTCTTGCAAAATCAATGATGGCACTCGTGAACATTATTGAGTTGGCTTGAAAAACTAGGGTACTTTGTCATACTGTTTTCTCTCCAGTTCAAGGAAGAGAATATCCTCTGAGAGCCGACGCCTTCGAAGCTTGTACCGGACAGGATGCTCCTGGACTGAACAAAGGATTTGAAAGCGGGACTCTGAAGATCTGCGTTTCTACACTGTAATATGTACATCGGCAAGAGGCCTGGGTCCAAATGATCCAAAAGTCTGTCGTGTGCTTGTTAGGGTCTCGCTGCAAAGAATAGTCCTCTCTAACGTTTGTTTCAGAGACAAATATATTCGACTCACTGTCTCCCGGGACCCTTGGATCTATTTAGCTATATTAGTCCAGGACGGTCTAATGTATAATTGGCCCCAAAGTCTGCGACCTTGTCACGGCATTGGCAATTTGCCTCTTTTTGCGGGGTAGTCCATCGACTTCTCAGGACCGCGCTTGGCCCTCATTCTTCAGCCCGATCATTGGTCTACACGAAGTTTAATCGACCACGATCCCCGGCAACTTTGACTCGCCCGCTTTACTGGGCAGTCAATACTCCCATCATGCCGACCGTGGTAGGAGACTGGGCGAAGACATGGGGGTAAGAGAACTTAAGTCGACTCTTCAGGCCTCCCCCTCTTAGACTGCCTGCTGCTCCTTCTCAGCGCTAAACCTCCGTCTACACGGCACAAGTTGCCCAGCTTCGTGGGCATGTATCCGACCGGTTCCTCTCCTGGTCGGCCTAGCTCATCACAGTATGTTTAGATCCCTGCGGGATCTCCAGAACCAGTCATCGCCACTAGGAACGGGGAACAGCACGATCGACGATGCCCGCGATATCAGCGTCATCGTGTTCATGGCCATCGCCTTGTACAATACCCTCGAACTGGCGATCCTCATCCCGCTATCCTTTCACCGCTATCGCAGCCTCTACTTCTGGTCCCTGTTGACATCGGCCGTCCTCGGCGTGGCGCCCTTTGCTATTGCGGGAGGATTGCAATACTTCAATTTGGAGCCACTGAGCGCCACCGTCGTCGTGCAGAACGTTGCATGGATCTTGATGGTACCTAATCAGTCCGTGGTTCTCTACTCACGACTGCACTTGGTGTCGCAAAACCCGACGATCCTGAAGACCGTGCGGTGGCTGATCGTCCTCAGTCTGGTCGTGATAGTAATCCCCACTATCGTGTTGAATGCGGGCTGGAGCTACAACCCCCAGTCGCCAAGTTGGAGTCGCGGGTATTTTGCCATGGAACGCATCCAAATGACCTGGTTCACTGCGCAAGAATGTTTTATCTCGGGAATATACATCTGGAATACGACGCAATTGATTCGATCGAGTCCGACGGGCGATGCGAAGCGGCATAAGATCTTGTCTGAATTACTGGCCGTCAATTTCGTTGTTATTATCATGGACCTGGCACTGGTGATTCTCCAGTATTTGAACTTATATTTTACGCAGGTGATTTTCAAAGCGACCGTTTATAGTGTCAAGTTGAAGCTTGAGTTTGCCGTGTTGGGCATGCTGGTTTCGATTGTTCATAGGCGAGACTCGGATGAGAGTTTTTGGCGGACTGATGAAATGATTGCGAATCCTGCCTGACATCAGGCCTTGTATGTATTGTATACCTATACTTATATACTTATATACTTATATATTGACAAGTACTATTCAAAGAAAATGGTAGATGCTCGAGTGAAATAGGAGCGACCTAGAAGAACTATCGATAGATAAGCGGGCCTACACGAGGCAGCCCCGTTCGAAGCGCCCCTCTGTGCAGTCCTTTCGAAGTATAGTCTGGAGCTGGAGATATTAATTGAATAAAAAAAACGACTCGGTCTTCAATAACTTACTGTACCTGCCAGCATGGTCGTAGTTGCTCAAAATCCCGCCCACCGGGATCCCACGAGCATCCCACCGGGATCCCACCAACAGTCCTGATTACTAACAAAGCCCGAGCGGATGAAGGGAAGTAGACCCGAAGCTCGCTGCAGAGTATATATGTCTTCCATCTGCTCATCCAACAGTCAAAATCCAACCTCTATTTCACTCAAGTCTTTCCGTTTTAGCAACACCTACTCCATCATGCCTATCGACACCAAATCCTTCCGCCAATTGGTTGGCATCACTCCGTCTACAGCTTCCGTGCAAGACTCTACCTTAATCATTATCGATGCCCAGAACGAATATGCCTCGGGCAAACTGCAAGTCGACGATGTCAAGACAAGTCGCAAAGTCATTGCTGATTTACTGTCTCGGTACCGCCGTGGTGGCAATGGCAATAACATCGTCCACGTCGTCCACGAAGTACCCGAGGGTGCACCGGTGTTCACTCCCGGCACGCCGCTCGCAGCTGAATTTGACGAGTTGAAGCCTCAGTCTGGAGAGAAGACTGTCACCAAGCATTATCCGAGCTCGTTCGCTCAGACTGATTTGCATGAGTATCTCCAGGGGCTGGGAAATGTGGGGAAGAAGATTGTTCTTGTAGGATATATGGCGCATGTCTGTGTGTCTACTACTGCGCGTGCGGGAAATGAGCTTGGTTATGACGTCTTGGTTGTGTCGGATGCTATCGGTGACCGACACATCCCCGGTGTTCAGGCGGAGACTTTGGTTTCTGTTGTGCTTTGTGAACTGGGTGATGCATTTGCCTCGATCATCCAGGCTGCCGATATTACTGAATAATTTTTTGCGCTGATTTACGAAATACGAAACTTTTTCCGGACGAGTACAAAGCTCGCATTAAATATTTCTTGCTCAGCGAGGAAAGTGTATAAAAAACAAAATGTCAACCTACTCTCCTATACGATATTCTCGAAGAGCCGGTAATCAAAGCCACCACCGCTCGCTGCCCGATTCCAATGCCTTCCCACAAACGGAGATCCAATTCGCCATATCACTCGCAGCAAGCCTCTCCCGACCAGCCTCTAACTGCAGTAATTGGGACAATTCCATATCAGACTTTGCATCCCACAACGACCGACTATCCGGTACAGGAAAGCGTAAATCCGACAATTGAAGCAATCGGTCCTCCGTATCCTCCAATTTCCCAGCCCTGCATAAAGACGAGACCTTATACATTGCCAGCCCCAACCGACCCATCTCTTCCACCCCAATCCAGATACAAGCCATGGAATCGACGTCCTGATATCGTTCCAGCATACCGGGGTAGTAGAATACATGATTCCGGCGACAGACTTGTACTAGAACGGAGAGGATTTCATAATCGGATGACGAAAGAGTTAATTTTAGGCTCAGAGAGCGGGTGCTGCTCTCCTGGATCAATGAGAAGATCAGGTATAGGAGGATACCCTGGTATGTGGCAATGGGACATATAGAGACAGGCCCCTCTTCACCGTTTTCTTTCCGGGGTATGAGATTCTCCCATTGCACCTGGATCTGTCAGTAGTCTCCCCCAATAAGATGAGTGATCAACGTACTCTCTGTTCGCGAATCCAGAGCCCCAGCTTCTGATGCAAATCCACGGCAGCCTGTCGTGCAGATGGCTTCTCACTGACCCACAGACCGATCATCAGGACCGCCTGAAGAAGTAATGGTGGCTCGTCCGGGATACTGAACGTTGCACGATGCAAAATAGGCCAGTGAGGATGGAAATGTTCAAAATAAAGATCAACATAGTGTTTCGTCTGAGCCGTGCGGTCTTCCATAAGGACTGCGGTATCTACGGTAGCCGCAAAGACCCGTTCGTCCGATGGCGAACGAGACGTCGTCGATGCAGTCGTGTCAAAAGTACACTCTTGTCCCTTGGTACGGCATTGCAAGCAGGGAACTCCACCCTGGCATCGTGTCTTGGCGAGACGACAAGCCCTACAGGCCAGGGCAGACCGGGCAGAGTGCTGTTCGGAAATACTATGGTCTTGACGGATATGTCGTCTCAGCGAATCACTACATAGGAATTAGCGTTTAATTAACAACTCCACATTCAAATTTAAGATTGCCGAGATGGAAAGATACTTTCGAGAGAAGGTGCGATTGCATAGAGAACACACGCTGGCGAGAACGCCAGTATGCTGCGCTTCATGGCGATTTAGGTGTTCTTTCCGCTGATAGCTTGACGAACAGCCGGGAAATTGACAAGCAAATGGTCTTGGAGAGTTCTTGGATGGAGACATCGTTTTTAAGCAAGTCTTGGAAGATTAATTTAATTGTCGAACGAGTAGACAACTCGCCAGTCGCGTAAGGATGCGAATAGAGACTCCAGTCTGCCTCCCACCGGGAACGTTGTCAACGTTGCCGGTGGGATGGAGATCCTGGGGTCGCCTGACTAACCGAACAATTCCGTACCTCTGGTGCCTTGGGCCCGCCTCGAGTTTAACGGACAGGAGGCCGTTTGATCAGTCACACTCTCTTACTACATCAGCTATGATTGGGTTCTAGTAAATGGTTACGAAGGCAAGATGTTCAATTACAGCGAAGTGAAATGCTGACGGAGATGCTGGACTCGCCGGCATAGTCGTCTTGTGCGTTGTGAGGAAGCCGCCCTGGTAACCAAACGCTTGGGTCGTACCTAGTCGGGGATTAAGATCAGTTGATCATTCCAACAGATCCAATTTTATGCTTCGGTACCTCGCAGGAGAAAGATCATTAAGATTGATAACACGAGTCCTTCTTAACAGATAAGTGGTGGAACGGTCGACCGTGCAAGTTTACTTTGGAGTATTTCCTTCAGGAACGCTATGGCAGGATACCCTTTTGTGAACTCGGACCCTGCAACGATCTATCATCAAGAGCGACAGTTTATGAACACTACGGTGGCAAGTGAATGCTAGTTACTGTCAAATATTGTCTTGTTTGTTTCAAGAGGATAACTATATCAACAAAAAACAAGGAACTCAACGCTCCTACATGGGGAATCAAAACGAGACAAGATAGCGACGAGGCCGAGGAAGCCGAGAGGAAGATATGGAAAGGAAGAGCGGTCCCGAGAGATTAGTAATTGTAGCAGAAGAATCGACTGGGGCGATCACATTGAGGGAGTGTGGAAGGTTGCTGAGAAGACAGAAAAACGCTCAAGGAGTGGAAAAGCACGTTGAATCTATGATGCCGTGCTGCAAAAAGGAATGGATGGGGCCAGTCTAAATCAGGAGGCCCCAATGCACCAAAAGAGTATAAAAAAAAAAAGAAGAAGAAAAAAAAAAAAAAGAAGTCGTGACCTTCGCCTGACCAGCCCATTGCGCCTGAGGAGAATTGCATGATGATCGTACACAAGAAATGGGAACTTTTTACACTGCGACTGAAGTTGTCGCACCAAAGCACTGCTTCAATCTAGCCGTTATACAGACCAGAATGAGAACGGTTTGGGCATCACTTAGAAGTTGGATGCAGCGTTAACAGGACCCGGGTTGTGGTACTGGTCGAGTGTGTTCTTGAAGGGGGTACCACCCTGGGACGGGCTAGGGGCCTTCTCACGAGGACCGCTGCCGACGGCGGTACCACCCATCAGATCATCATCTTCATCGTTGTACGCCTCGTTGCGCTTCTTCTGGATGCGCCAGAAGACAACACCCAAAACACCGAGGAGAATGGCACCACCGACACCTACCACGACACCGATGATGATCTTCTTGTCCGAGGAAGAGATACCACTGCTGGAAGAGCTGCTGCTTCCATTGAGAGAAGCAGAGGTGGTCTGAGCAGCCTGAGTGGAAGTAGAGAGCATAACAGTGGCCTTGGTCGTACCGCTAATGGTCACCTCGGAGGTGATCGTCTTGACAACGAGAGTCGGAGTGGCAGAAGTGGTATCCGCTGCGGTAGTCTGGTCGGCAACACTGGTAGTGGAGGAATCCTTCGATGAGGTAGTCGAAGGAGTTGAGGAGGTCGTTGATGGAGCCTCGGCAGAAGGAGTAGTAGTAGTAGAAGAAGAAGAAGAGGTGGTGGATGTCGTGTGCGTGGTGGTGGTGCTGGGAGCCTCCGAAGTAGAGGAAGTTGACGATGTGGTGGAAGATGAGCTGGTAGGAGCAGCAGTTGACTCGGAAGATGAGCTGCCGGAGGATGAGGATCCGCTGGTAAGATCGCTGAGGACGTTGGTAGCGTCCGCGCTTTGAGCCGCAACTGCAGTCAGGAGCAGCGCCTGGACGAGGAACGAGAGTTTTGAGAGACGCATGATGGGCGATGGGCGATGGGCGATGGGCGATGGGCGATGGGCGATGGGCGATGGGCGATGGGCGATGGGCGATGGGCGATGGGCGATGGGCGATGGGCGATGGGCGATGGGCGATGGGCGATGGGCGATGGGCGATGGGCGATGGGCGATGGGCGATGGGCGATGGGCGATGGGCGATGGGCGATGGGCGATGGGCGATGGGCGATGGGCGATGGGCGATGGGCGATGGGCGATGGGCGATGGGCGATGGGCGATGGGCGATGGGCGATGGGCGATGGGCGATGGGCGATGGGCGATGGGCGATGGGCGATGGGCGATGGGCGATGGGCGATGGGCGATGGGCGATGGGCGATGGGCGATGGGCGATGGGCGATGGGCGATGGGCGATGGGCGATGGGCGATGGGCGATGGGCGATGGGCGATGGGCGATGGGCGATGGGCGATGGGCGATGGGCGATGGGCGATGGGCGATGGGCGATGGGCGATGGGCGATGGGCGATGGGCGATGGGCGATGGGCGATGGGCGATGGGCGATGGGCGATGGGCGATGGGCGATGGGCGATGGGCGATGGGCGATGGGCGATGGGCGATGGGCGATGGGCGATGGGCGATGGGCGATGGGCGATGGGCGATGGGCGATGGGCGATGGGCGATGGGCGATGGGCGATGGGCGATGGGCGATGGGCGATGGGCGATGGGCGATGGGCGATGGGCGATGGGCGATGAACGATGAACGATGGGCGAGTGGCGCGGGAGAGTGGGTGAAGAAGTCTTTCTCTGAACGAGGGGAGAAGACGGGAACAGGAACGATCGTAGATGGAGTAAAGAGAGTGCAGGCGAAAGCGAAGGAGGGATGGGAAAAAGGGAGGAGAGTCAGCCTGGTCAGGTGGAAACAACAGGCAGTTGAAGCTAACCCCGATTGGGCACGCTAGCCCGGCCCTAGTCTCAGGCTTTTGCAGTCCCTCCACTAAACTTCCCCTAAGGATCCGCCGAATGGGCTGCCTGGATGGCTATGCTCAAAGAGTTACACTGGCCGTCCGCAATACGTTGGAGGAGTTTGCTTGATGCTTGATGCAAGGTCCGTTTATCTGAAGATTTCACACACAGGGCAAACATTTCTCGTGTACTCCGGATCGAGTATTGTGTGTTCTCCCTCCCCCAAAAGGATTCGCGTCTCGACTCGGCCAGCCAATAAGACCCCACCGGCCTACGACCCACACCCCTCACCCTCAATCCTGCCATATTTAGCATCTTGTGCATCCTCACCTAATCCTGTGTCGGCCGCTGATTGAACACCATGAAGGTCTGCATATATTAAATGCGACTCTTGGTCCTCGTCGATCACGGGTGTGCCCCCCGAATGGCAGATCATGACGGAGATATTCCAGCTTTCAACAGCAGCGCATTGTTTACATTCCGACGGTTCCTGACCGATACATCATTTCCACCATTCGTACCCGACCTCGTCCGCTAGGCGAAATGAAGCCGACGTACCCGGCGACTAGCCCTGAGTTGGTCCCCCCGTGGCGTTAATGCTGGCGACAGCGCGCTGTCACTTCAAAGGGGTACATGACGCCTGACACTGCGGAGTGACAACCTACTGTTGTACTGCAGGGTCGGTATGAAATCCTTCTTTGGTGCAGAGAAGCCCGGAGACGTGACTCGTCGCCAGGCGGAATTCTAGACTCGCAGGGCCCAACTCTGCAGCCCACTTACGCAAATTCTCTTCTCTCTTGGCCCTCTCGGCTGAGCCTCGTCCCTGGTGTCCGGCTCTTCGGATCATGGTTAATGGTTCGATGGGATTTCTACAAATTGAGTATTTTGTGGCGGACTACGGCTGACAAGCTAAGACACAATTGCAATTGCAGCTACACTCTTGGCCCTGCGCAACGGACGGTCAAACTTGTACTCATGCAAAATGGATACTCCATGCCTCGCGCTGTCAGTTCTGTTAAATTGACACACCGTGGTCTACCAAGGGCCCACTCAGGCCTTGTCCATGCTCACCCTGCCTTTGGCCCTGATTCTAAAAGATCATCAATCCCTGTCCAGTCCCTGACAGAATTTTCATTTCTGCCCGTCAACTCTAAAGCCACATGTGAGGGATTTCTTGGCGACTGTTGAGCGTGGACTCTAATCGTCGTTGGGCAGAGACGCGCGGCTTTTATTTGATTCGCGCAGGGTTTGCGTTCTTATCTGGAGCCAATAGCCCCGATGCCTATCTACCGTTTACCCCAGTTATTTTTCAAGGTGTGCTTAGTACTCATAGCAAACGATAGATAGAGAAGAGTAATTGAAGAAAATGCTTTTCCACCTGCTCCGTGTCAAAGATCTTTCGTACACGCTCCTTGCAAATCGCAGCCATGCTATACAGAGAACTAGCAAATGAGAAGGATCAATACTTTCAGCCAAAGCGCATAGCTGGATCTCACAAGAATGCAAACCCCATCGCCCATCAGCGATGACACTGCTCGGCATGAGAGATGGAGGGGAGAAACAGAGGAAGTTGAGATGAAGATTCGAAATGAAGGGTATCACGCAGTTTTGTCACCAAACGCCAACGGAGGAAAGGAAATCGATGGGCCATCATAGTTTGTTGGACGGTTTGCCCTTCATCTGATCCTGAATTTCCTCCTTGAAATAACGAACGAATTTATCGAGGGATCCTGATAGATGATCATCAATCAGCTGCACTGGACAAGAAGGCAACACATTTCGCGACCGGGTTTCATACCTTTTTCCTCGAGGGTTGTTCGTGATGGTTCCGGAGGGATACCGTGACGAATCTGCTCCACACGTTGATGAACGCGACCGACCATTTGATGGAAAAGGGGACTTCTGATGAGCTGGAGGGGGGGTCAATATCATAAGACTTGCGATGACATGCGATGACATGCGATGGATTTCAACGTACTCGACCGTACAACCAGACCTGCAGAAGCGTCAGCGGGGAAACACGACTTCGACAACGCTGGAAAATCCACTGACCTCCAAGGCCCGCAGCCCGAACAGATGGAATACCATATTGACAGGTGGCGATCGACTGGACTTGTTCCGAAGGGACGTTCGCGAAGGAGGAGAACATGGAGAAGTGCCAGCTCCTGCTTTGTCTCCTTAGGTAAGCCCCGCACCGAATTACCCGGCGGGCACGACACTCGGGGACCCGCTGACTCTTTCCCAGCACAACGTTTTGACTGGGGAAATGTTCTGTCGCCGGCACGCCGAATACACTTCTCCAACCACTCCGGTCCAACGATGACAGAGTGGCCTTGCCAACGATCTACCGATTCCTGACCGCGATGGGGAGTACGGAAGCACTCTCCAGATGGCCAGCCTCCTTCAACTACTATCCTAATAATTCACATCTCCAACTATTGCGACTTCGATCATGACCAAGGGTTGCTATACTTGTCGACGCCGTCGCATTATCTGCGACAATGGCCAACCGACTTGCCGAAAGTGTCGCGACGCTGGGAAAGAATGCCTGGGCTATCAGAAGCCGCTGGTTTGGGTGAAAGGTGGCGTGGCTAGTCGAGGCAAGATGATGGGTCGCAGCTTTGACGATGTCAAAAAACCAGACGGTGGTTCGAAAGCACAGAGCTCTACCAGAGCTAAGACGACTGCGGCGACAAATACTTCTGGCTTTGGGTTCTTCTCGATCGCCGAATCTTCCTCTGCTGCGAGCTCGCCGAGCTCTGGCACACACGAAAGCCCAGAATCCGATACCTATGTACAAGAGAGCATGGGACATGCAGGCTTGGAAAATGCCGACGAGGGGATAATTTATAGGTCGGGCTTCACAGAAGAACCGGACAACAGGGTGGTACATGTTCCTCGAGCCGGATCCACGGACTACATTTCAGCCCCGTGGGGTCTAGTAGATCCGCTGTTCAAAGACATGAGTCAAATGTCTCGATTTTATCTTTTTCACTGTACGTTGTGCAAGCATATATTAAGTATTAGACTAAGCTTCCTACTGACTACTTTGTGTCTAGACAATCAACATATGGCCAACGACTTTGTTGTATATTCCCAGTCCAAGAACCCATGGCGGGACATCATTTCCCTAGTTGGCGACTCGCCGCTTCTCGCACACGGTTTATGTGCCATGGGTGCTCTGCACTATTCGTTAATGTCCGACTCGGACTCATCACAAATGCCTTGGTCTTCGAATAACCTCTTGGCCAGCAGCTCGCCTTTGTCCCCTGAAGACATTGAAACCATCGTCTCTCCAGCCGGTAATCGGCGGCCATCTTCAAGGGCATTCCAACACTTCCTTGAATTCAAGCAACGCACACTCCATCAGCTGTCAAATGACCTCTCAAATCCCGTCATGCAAAAAGACGACAGAACATTAGCAGCTATTGTCGTGCTTGCGCTTGTGGATATATTCGAATCTGGAAGTGGAGCATGGAGTTATCATATTGAAGGCGCGAAGAAGCTCCTTAGGGACCGGCCAGAGAACAATCTCGGCCGAGGTATCCTCGACGGTCTTGAATCCTTTGCTATTGATGGGTGCTTAATGTAAGCATTTTCACTATGTCCCCCACAAGATACCCAGCTAACATCCCCCGCAGTATGGAAATCATGGGCTCAACTCTCGCCCGCCCAGGCTCCCTCTCCAAACCATTTTACTCCACCGCCATGGGTCCAGCCATGCTCAAGCGTCTCGAAGAAACCTCTTGGGTCGGTTGTCCTGCCTTCCTTCTAGAGGTAATCTTCTTCATCCACACGTTGTGGTATCCCGACTCAGCTATCACCACCGCCACCCCTCAACCATCTGCCCTCCCCGCCTCAATGCAACAAGGCCAACCCCTCTCTCTGGACTCATACCTCGCCCTCCTCCAGGGAATCCGCGACTTTGACTCTGTAGCCTGGGCCCACCACATGCAGGCCTCCCACTTCCTCTCCGACCTTTCCACTCGCATCGCCCTCGCAAGATCCTACCAAGCAGCCGTCTACCTATACACCAGCCGCGTACTATCCCACGCCCGCGAGGGCTACACCCCTCCCTGGGCCGACGTCAGCCTTCCCGCCGACCACTCCGCCATGGCGAGCGACCTCCTGAATCAAATATGCTCCGTACCCTACTCAGACCCACACTTCAAATGCCTGATATGGCCCACATTCATCGCCGGCGCCGAATGCCGCCGTACCTCGCAGCGTCCTCTCATCCTGGAAAAGCTCGGTGCTCTTTACCAAGCCGTAACGAGCATTAATGTCCAAAACGCAGCGTGGGTTCTACGATTGATGTGGCAGAAACATGATCAGAAACGGCGTGAAAATTGCTTGAACACACTCTCTGGTCTTGGGCTTGAGAATTTGGACGGTGGTGGAACGATTAATGGCAATATCGGCGGTGATGATGACGAAGATTATGATGATACCTTCGACTGGGTTGATGAGTTGGATGAGTCACGGCTAGACTGGCTGTTTATCTGATATTGGATTTTCACAAATTTTCCGGGGATTCTTGTATATAAAAATGGATGGGATGAACTTTGTTTACTTCTTTTACCTCGATTTTTCTTCCCTCTTATTGCTTGTATATATGCCGATAAGGGGTTATTCATGACTGGGATGAAATTCAGTAAATGATATTGACTGACATATATATACTGCATTATCATTGATAGATGGATCTTTCCCCGTAGACCTTTCGTATCGCTATACTTCAATATGCAAAGAGAATGGCAACAGTCAACCCATGCTAACAAGACTCAAATGCCCATAAATCAACATGTCTGATTCAATCCAAATATCCATGATCTTCTCGCGTAGAAGGGTACTTTTTGGGTACGTAATATTCAGCTTTTAATCGAACGACCAAAAAGTATTCGACCGATTTGACAGCAATTGATTGATAGGGGAAAATAAAGAAAAGAAAAAAAGCCGGGTATATCAGTTTTTGAGTTCAGAGAAGACAGACAATAAGCTGTCAAGAGAGGGAAAGGAGTTATAACGGGAAACCGAATAAAGAGTGAAGTATGTTAAAGAAGGAAATGAGAATTGGTCAGTGGAAAGAAAGTCACAATGAAATTGTTCAGCCAGATTAGGAATGAGTGATAATAAAACTTGATGAGAGGGTCAGTAAAAGAAGGTGACATGAGAAATTCAAGGGAAAGCAAAGAAGGTAGCGAGACTCGCTCGGGAGTTCTTTATAAGTAAAAGCACACGGGCGACAGGATAGGAGGATAGAGGTAAGATAATTGTGTTGCAGAAATGGCTAAACAACTCTCTACCGTAGCCTTAACGATAACCCGGCAGTCATCAACATCTCATGGACACAAAGCAGCCAGGTCGCCAGATGCAGACAGGAAGATGAATAGGAGATAAGAAATATAAGTGGAGAATCCAGCTGCGTTGCGAGGTTTGTCGACAATATGCTTCAGATCAAATCAGGGATATATAACAATTGACCGAGGGAAGTAAAGACACAGAAGTGAGACACGGAAAAAAGGTAGAGACCTGGAATAGACGCAAAGCAACAGCAAAGATGAAATCACGCATGCTCCCTTCCAGTTCTAAATGCAGAAAACGTATTTCCAAAAAACGAACAAAACACGCTCGTCACTGTAAAAATGCAATAGGGCAGAACAACCAATATGCAAAGAAAAGACCGTGCTTTCTGTGCGCTTGAAGCGGGCACGCCGGTAGTAGAATAAAAAGGAAATAGCGATAAGATGGGATTCGAGACCCAGGTAGCCAAAACGAGTCATCCATCAGTGGATAACAGCATATAGCATGGACAAGGTCGCATGCCTAGGAAGGAAAACCGGAACAAAAGTAAAGTCCAGTTCATGCATCTTTTGGAGTTGGTGCAGGAATATCATCCGGCACAAATCCCTCCCGAGGGAGCAAGATGGGAAGACACCAACGTTTAAAACACAGCAGCAAGACCATTCTTCGAATGACGCCGGCTGAATCTCTTCTTCCCCTTCACCGATTCCGAGTCGTTGGCTTGGTGCTTCACCAAGTGGTTTCGCCCCGGAGGAGGTACATTGCTTTCATTCTGAAGCTCTGTACTCCGATCGAGTGTGTTGGCGTGACTAGAGAACCCAGATGACAGATCGCGGAAAGCTTCTTCAGCGGAGTAAGGGCCGGCACTTTGATGCATCGAAGCTATCTCCTTGGCCCTGTCCAGTGCATCTAGCCATTCTTGCGCTGATACCGCAGTGGCTCCAATGTTGCTGGAGGAGGGTTTAGGGTCTTCAAAGACGTAGTGTTTATCTCTCTATAGTCATGTTAGTGGTCTGAGATGCATCTTTCTTAGCCTATTTCATCGACGACATACCGTGTCTACAATCCACGAGGAGTGACCCTTGGCATCCGTCGTGCTCCGATAGTGTGTCCCCGGTGCAAGCAGCGAGATTTCCGTCTTTGCTTTCTTCTCATCACCTCCAGCTGCGGCCAGAATAATCCGCGCAGAGGATGTAACCATGACCAAGCGTGATCGCTTCTTTGTCGCTGACCCCGAGAAGAAACGGGAGAACTTCTTGGGAGCCTCGCTCTCGCCACTACCATTCTTAGATGTCGGACTGTGCGATGCGGGTGAAGACAACACGACCATGTTACCAAGTTTCAAAATCCGTTCGTTAGCCTTGCTAAGCACGGGCGACCACTCGATATCCAGCTGGCTGGGAGGAGGCAGCTCGGTGACTACTCGAGGGAGCGCACGCGAATTGTTGCTGGTCGCATTGGATGGCGCAGTCGAAATGACCGGAGGAAAGCTGTCACCACCTTCGCCGCCATTGAGCTTGATAGGCTCGCGTGCGGGAGGCACGTAAGCTTTCAATCGAGGTGCCTTTTGCTTCCACAACTCCGGACCCCATGAAATACCGTCAAAGAACTCGTGGTTCTTGATATGCTCAATCTGTAGACGACGAGCGGGATCTAGAACCAGGAGACGTTCCACGAGATCACGAGCCACCGCGGGGAATCCGATTGGGAATTCATAATCCAGGGCGACGATCTTCTGGAAAGTCAGGTACTCATTGCCCGCCTTGAAGGGCGGACGTCCGGCCAGGAGTTGGTAGATGATGCAGCCGAACGCCCACAGATCACTAGCCTTGCAAGCGTTCTTGTCGACCAGCAATTCCGGGCTGACATACTCTGCGGTACCAACAAAGGAGCTTGCTCGTTCCTCTTCGGGGATCTCGGTCGAGTCGATGGGTGGGATAGAGGTCTGGCTTTCGTCCGGTCGTCGCGTCTTGAGGATCTTGGCGGTTCCAAAGTCCGTAATCTTCACATACATCTGGTGATCCAGCAACACATTCTCCGGCTTCAAGTCGCGGTGGATTACGCCGCGTTTGTGCATATAGTCGATCGTGTCCAGAATCTGGGCGCCATAGAACCTGGTACACTCTTCATCAAAGGTAGTCATGCGCTTTAAGACCCCCAGGAGCTCTCCTCCTTTGCACAGGTCCAGTACGAAGTAAAGTGATCGTTCATCTTGGAAGGTATAGTAAAGGCGGACGATACCCGGGTGATCGGTTAGACGATTTAACGTGTCCTTCTCGATGTTGACGTATTTGACCTTCTTCTCCTTGATGATGTGTCGCTTGTCCAGAATCTTGATGGCGTATTCCTTCAAGGTCTGTCGGTCCGTTGCAAAGACCACCGTACTGTAGGATCCCTCGCCAAGCGTGTTTCCAAATGAGAAATCCCGCACACCCTTCTTGATAAACCGAGCGACCGTCTTCCCGTTGGCATCGACTTCCTGTCGCACCGCGACCGCAGCTCCGCGGTCCTGCCAATCCTCACTGCTGGGCGCGGGACCGTTCTCCATACCGTAGGGCGTTCGCGACATCTGGGTTGTATTCCCACCGCGGGCATGCGCTCGAGAGGATTGCCGCATTACAGCCGGCCCATTGGCCGGAATCTGAGCTGTGCGGTAAGAGCGATCGCTGTGTGAGTTGTCGCGCGCCAGAACTCCCGCTTGCAAGGCTGCCGATCCGCCGCGGGTGTCTACTCGCGAATGTGACGTGGAAGTGGACGAGGCACCGGAATCGGTTCGTATGCGATAGGTATTATCCCGCGGGAGTAGGGAGGAGACGGAGTTGTTGGTGTAGATAGAGGAAAGGGGGCGATTCGGATTTGGGGGCGTGCCAAACTGCTGCGCAGAGTAATGCTGATGGGAAGAGGCCGAGGCTGATTGGGAGAGATCAGAGACGGGGTAGATGACGGAGGAGCGGTTCTCGTTGATCGGAGGATTGTCGGTAGGTGCAGGAGGAAAGGTGGTCGGGCGCTCGTCGAGCGGCGCGGGAACTTGTGGTGTTGATACCGAACCGTCCGGTTGAGCCGTTGGAACCGGACTGGCGACCTCAGATTGGAGGGGTGAATCGTCCGGATTCGCAATTCGGAGCCCCCCCAGCGACTGGGAGAGACTGAGATCTCCATTCATGCCGGGCGGAGGATGAGCGACCGGTGAGATTGGACGATCTGTCGGCGTGTTGGGCCGGAGAAGAGAGAAATGTCAAGATTGGGGGGCGGGCGGTGGTGCGTGAGCTCGCCAGGGGAAGAATTGAGAGGCGGCCGACGGACTAAGACGGCGAATGTTGACACCGCGGAGGCATTGTCCAGCGAGAGGGGTTTGAAGGGGAGGAAGAGGAGGGAGGGTGATGGAAAAAGGCTAGCGAGTGTAAAGAGTGAAGGGAGGTAGAGGGTAGCGCGCAGTGAGAAGAGAAAGAGAGAGAGAGGGGGGGGCAGAGAAGATGATCAACAGGAGGCTCGGTGGTGGAAATCGGGTTTAGTCTCGAGGGGGGGCGGAGCATGAAGTTGACAGCTTTTTAGGAGGTGGAAAGAGGGATGATTAGGATGATCTGTTAGCAAGTTTAAGCAAGAGGTTAATAATAGCTCGTTGGCCAGGAGGAATGGAGACTGCCTAATCAGTCCGGAGTTCGTAGTCTTCCGTGTCAATACGGGCCCATCAGGATCTTGATATCTTTCTAGAAAATAGAATCTACCTCCGTCTGCTATGATCTTATACCTTCTCAATGATATCGATACTGTTTAATTCCATACTACTGACCACCGGATTATCCATCCTTCGACGAGTATAGGATGTTGTCAGGCGTCGTCATCACGGCTGCGTCGATGATACGGGATCAACCTAGATCTGTGCTTCAAAAATGACATGGTGGCTGGTCCCTCGAGAGATGTCTCATATCGAACGAGATGTCCGACCAAAATAGACTGCCGCATCAAACACTCAACGCTCGACACTCTACGCAGGGCAGGGCAGGGCTGGCCGACTGCTCTTGCCCGTTGTTTTCCTTCCTCCGGCCAAGATTGTACAACCACGTCCACCGTCGAATTCAACCCACCACGACAACGGAGATCAAGCACCAGCCAACATGCTGAGACGACCTCCGACGGTCATCTCATTGACCGAGAATGATCTTCAATTCCACCTACCGCGAATCTTTGCTCGGTCCCTCCCAGTCAATATCGACCAGCTGAGCCTGGAGGATACGGACGAGAAATGTGTTGATCAAGATCCTCCCTTTGGAGATCAACGGTCGTCGAACGACGACTCTACCAGTCAGCTCAATCCTCATCGCCCTCTGCATCGCGCGAACGAAGGCTCCTCGTGCATGACACGCGCCTCTTTGACTGAAGCTCGGACGCACTCAGCAGCCCTCCCTGCTTCGACGATGAATGGTTCGACCCACCGAACTATTGTCGACCCAAATGGGGCTCCCACAATTGCTGCCACCACGGCCCAACTGATATCATCTAATCTCCCGCAGACTCGAGCTTCCCGGCTTCGAGAGCCCTCGCCCTCGCTCTCGCCCTCGCATCCAAGGACCGAATTGACCATTCCGCCACAAGAGTTTCTAGATCCCCACATTCTCCCGTCCCCAGACCGCAAGAAAGGTCGGTCTGTCGTCCCTAACGGTCAACGCTGAACAGGGCGACGATCATGTCCCTCCATCAAGCATCAAGTCGCTGACTAGGCCCTCCGGCAGAAAATCGCCCTCGTAGTCATTCCCAGGATGCATGGACCACTCTTAACAAGCATGAGTCGCGGGTTTCCGCCGCCCAGTCTTTCCGCCTGCCTCCCAGTGCCTCTCCGGAGCTGACCATCGACCTTGTTCCACAGCGGGACCCAGCCTTAGCGTCTACAGAGTCTTACGAGGCAGGCTTGGCCGCGACGAAGGTCTCGCCCGCTATGGCGAATACCAACTAAGATATTTGACGCCATTCCCACCTAATCTGGTCTTTAAAGCCTTTAATGCGGATCGAAGACGTGTCGAAATCTCCGATGGTGGCGTGTCGGGCTGGACTACGCGCGGTCTGCGCTTGCGAGACACATGCATCATTACTGCTAACCCATTTCATTCCCAAAACTATTCATCTCCCAAACCCTGGAATGTTACATGTTTTGTTTACTTTAGGTCTATTCAGGCACTTCAATGTTTCAGCCTGTACGCATGCAGCAGATCGAGCTGACCACGCGTTCTGTCCGGGTTGAGCTAGCGTTAAGATATCAACATTATCAAATACACTTATTCAATCACTCATCAGCCACTCCGTAGATTTCCGTGGAGACAGGAGCTTGTTATCGAGCCTCCGCTACCAGGAGTAAGAAAAACGGCCGGTGACGCTCAACACTCCACTCCGGATGTGCTGCAATATCCTCCTCCGATGGAGCCCAGTCCTTCAGTCCCGTCAGGATAAAACCATTCTCCAGCAACAACGACACATATGTCTCCGTCGTTCGATGATACTTCCTCACCCCTTCAGTACCCAGCCAGCTCGTAACGCGTAATCCTTCCTCGCTATACGAGTTCAACGGCCATACCTTGCCCTCTCCCTCATCAACCTCAACATCAATCCAATCTGCCGCAGGCCGAACAGGCGCGGAATAGATCGGATGCTCCACAGAAAAAACCAATCTCCCACTCACAGACCCATCGCCTTTCTTCAGCGAAGAGTGGATCTGCCGAAACAATCGACCAAGATCTTCGATGTAGTGGAAAGTCAAAGAACTATACACGAGATCGTAGGATTCACGGTTGGGATTCCCATCGAGAGTGACGGTTTCCAGATCACGTCTTTCGTAGGTGATCTCCCCCGGAAAAGTTGTCCCTGTATCTGCGTCGAATGATTTCGCTTTCTCGATCATCTTCTCGGAAATGTCGACGCCCTTGACGTAGCTGGCCCCATTTTCGTGGGCCCATCGGACAAACCAGCCATATCCACATCCTAGATCAAGGATTCGGGATTGTGGGAGGGTATCACTGGACGAGCTGAGGATCATACGGCGTAGAGATGGCCATTCTGGTGCTGCAGCGAGTCCTTGCTGGGATCGCTGCAGTGTACTGTATGCTGAAAAGAACTGTGGGTCGTCGTAGATATTTTGTGTTCCGGCATGCATCTTGAGGTCAGGTAGCGCGCCAGTATAGCTTTTTTTTTTTTTCTTCTATAAGTAATTCGGTTTGGAAATTTGGATGTGACTGGAATTTATATCAAGTAGTCTTTTGTGACGGAGCGATACGCGTTCCGAGATCCGTGATGAATTTTCCTCATTCGGTGCCCGCCTTCGTTTAGTTTCATCGGGAATGAAGAGGACAGTACCGTCATGACAAGATGATTTCAACGGTTGCTCTTCTCGATAATGCTAAGAGTAGTCAAAGGGAAGATTAAGATAGAGTCTTAATAATTGACCAATCAAATCTTTAATCATCACGTTTGGAAGTTGAGGTAGCTTATCAGGTAAGCAAGCTCTGGACTCACTGCGATGCATTCCCCAAGCTCTAGAACAATCCCCGACCCGCTTATTCTCCTACATACCTGCCGCTTCATGTCTCACTCTATTCAAAGAAATGGGTGTGTCTCTCATATTCTAGATTTAGGCTGAAACAGCAATCCAAACAGCCCGAGCTATGTATAGTTCCCGGGTAGGAAAACACCCGCCTCGGCCCACAGTTCAGTCGCCTTTACCGCCCCCAGCGACTGACGCGTCCCTCTTGCCACAACCCAGTTTATGTAACTTTCACGATCGAGCAAGCCCAACGCTTGTATTTATTAAGCATTCGGGTCCCTCCGTCGACGTTGTCTCTGTTCATAAATAGGGTTAAATGGGCTCTTCAGTAGAAAGGTGTACCAGCTTATGCCAATGCAATTCGTGGTTCTCGTATTCGCACTAGGCCAGGCCACAGCCACGTCTCTAGTCTGATATGCATGAGAATTAAATATAGCAGCACGAAGCACGGGAATCTGGAATTGCATGGAAAAGCCACAGCTTTCATACCCCGCAAATCCGGCTTTGATCAGATTCGGTCCAGTAGAAAGGTATCATGTATCGTTATCTTGCGTCGATGCGTGAGAGACATACACGCAATGCACCTATCATGGGTGTTGGCCCGGTTGAGCTCACAATTTTTGATTACTTGAGCCTCGAAATATCTGGTTACACCACTCAGTGCACTATCTATGAATAGATCTAGCGATTTAGAAGCCCTGGAGTGCCACGGTGAATTTGGCAACGCATATTATGTATCATATCGAATGGATCACAATTTCTCCACAAAAGATACTAATATAATCCTCCATTAACAAGTTTTGGATCGAGCTGTACCTACGGGCCGATCAAGAACAGTAATATATATTGAGATTAACGGTGAAAAATTCTCAGTAACCATTGACTTTATCGGTGCTCATCATTTAGCCAAGTGAACATTGCATGATGAAGATTGATTAGATAGTCAGGAGTCAGCAAAGAGACCTGTGGGAGTAGTCTCGACAGAGTTGTCGAATTTGAGCGAAGCTATAATGGACATAGCGATTACGGTAGTCACATTTCTTATAGCCAGCAGTTATACTCTAGAGATTAAAGCTTCATAACTTCTTCTTCTTCTTCTTCTTCTTCGTAAATTCCACCTCATCGGACTTCTCGGGTGCTATAGGACGATCCGATACAATGAAGTTCTGAAGGTTCACAGCTTGAACTGAAAGGGAAAATGATCAAGAAGCAATCGGCTCGAATAGATTGATCAGGTGCGTACGAGCAACGTGGCCCCATTTCCAAGATTCTATGGATGATTCCGTGAATTAAGTGGAGGGCAATTCGATAATGACAAGAATATATCTCTGGGAAACCGAACTTCCCCATGAAATGAGAGATAAAACAAGATTGTGGAAACCATCTTCGATGATGGCTTGAGCACGATATGTCGGTATACGCATATGATTTGGAAAGGGGTGACAACTTTTCTGATTCTCACTATGATTATTTTGTACCTTGCCTCTTTCCTCCAGGCTTATATAGATTGACGAAAACTGGCACTGCTAAGATATGTGACCGCAGTATCTCTCACATGACGATCTCCGAAGTACAGTCATGTCATGCTTGTTTAAGCTGAAGGAACTAAACTTAAGCTCACCAGTCTCGGTGGCTGGTAGGCACATTCAAGTATTATTCAAGAATCTTGGCAGTTGGATTCAAACCGCAAAAAGCTGGGACCATCTTCTTCCACTCGCTGCAAGAACCTTGGACTTATTAACAACTATTCTTCTCGGCTTTTTATTATAACTAACATAGGGCAAGGGCGAGCTGCTGCCACCTCCCAACCCGTTGAGCTGGTGCTAAATATACGTATTGTCTACGGGAAATATATATAGGAGAATCCATGTTCATTAACAGGCTTCGATTAGAGGAATATCACCGCGTCAAGCAAAGTCTAAAAAAGTGTGTATCGAGAAAAGAAGGCCCACAAGCAACGTCCAGCTCTAGGTGACAGGGGAGGAAGATGAGGCAGAGAGATAGATGTGGAACGATAAAGGGTAGATAGCCTGGAAGAAGCATGAAGGAAAAGATAGGATAAGAATCACATGAAACGCCAACAAAGATCATCTCCCAGATGCCGCTTCAGATGCTTCCTTTGCATGTATATTTTCCCGTGACAGTGTGATCTCGTGCAAGTGTACCAAAAAAATAAGAAAAAAGGGAAGAAAAAGGGGGACATTCAGATGGAGGTAGAATGCGACAAATTATCTACTGCTTCTTGGCGAAGATCTGGGCACCATCAACCAGGCGGCGCTCGGTGTTCTGGCGGCCGTTGACAAAGTCGGGGTAGTTGAGGGTCAGCTCAACAGCACCGTTGACAATGTTGTCGACAGCCTCGACACCCAGCATGAAGGAGTGGTCCTGGTTGCCGACCTCGTAGCGCCAGCTGCCGAAGCGACCACGAGACCAGATACCCTTCTCCTGGAGCTTGGGCAGGATCTGGGTGAGGGCACCCTCACGCTCCAGAGAGGGAGTGGGGTAACCGTGGTCGAAGCGGCGGTGGTAGGTAGAGACGATCTCATCACCGGGCTTGAGCATGTCGGTGTTGACCAGACCCTGGATGGAGTCGGCCAGGAGAGTCTCGTTGTTGACGGGCTTCATGGAAGACTCGGAAACCTCCAACATGATGGACCAGTAGGGGCCCTCCTTGGCCTCGTCGCTGCTGGGCTTGGAGCCATCAGCCAGCTGGATGGTAGGCAGCTTCTTGGAGGCATCGGGCTGGTTGTAAGGGGAGTAGTTGGAGAAGATGGTGGCACGGTAGAAGGGACAGTTGTCCTCGGGGAAGTACAGCCAGCACTTGTCACCGATGCGCTCGGGGCGCTCGCCACGGATACCGACACCGATGACGTGGGTAGAGGAGTAGAAGAGCTGCTTAGTGAGGGGCATCAGCTCCTTGTCGTCCATGGCCTCAGCCAGGAAGTCAACGGCCATGGTGGAGATAAGCTTGGAGTAGCCAATGGTGGTGCCGTCGGCCAGGGTGACAGTCTTGTTGTTGGCGTTGACCTTGGAGACCTTGCCCTTTTCACCGAAGCGAGTCTTCTCCTTGGGGAGGGTGTTGGCAACGGCAATCCAGATACCACCGGTACCGTCGCGGGCAGGGAAACGGAAGGTAGCGTTGGGACCCCAGTTACCGGCGGTCTTGTTCAGGATGACGTTGGTGGTCACAGCCTTGAGGTTGGGGGCAGCGACACGCTCACCGAGCCAAGCGCATTGCATCTGAAAGTGGAGGACCGCTCATTAGTTTGGGAGCTTGGACGAGGCACGGAAGGCCAGATGAACGGGCACGTTATGTTCGCTTACCTTGGTGGTGGGAACGGCCCAGACCTTGTAGTTGTAGGGACGCATGAAGAGGTCGGCAATACCAGTACCCATCATACGGACGATCCACTCGTCGAAGTTCTTGGGCTTGGTGCTGGCAACGCGAGCCTCCAGGGCAGCATCGATCATGCCGTCAATGCACTTGACCTGCTCGGCCTTGGGCAACATGGAGATGTTGTTCTGGAACGGGTAGGGGACCCATTGCTCCTGGCAGCGGACGTAAGAGATACGCTCGTGGGTGTACCAGTCGTCCTCCTTAGGGAGGGCCTCATCGATGCAGTCATCGAAGTACTTGTAGTGGGAGAAGATAACGTGGCCACCAACGTCGTACAGCTGGAGAACGAAGGAGGACTCAAGTAAGCGATTGTTCGGATTTGCGGGGCGCAAGCGGAGCTCTCGCGCCGGGACAGGGAAGGTAAACATACGAAGCCCTCAGGGGTCACGTCGGTGGAAGCAAGACCACCGGGGATCTCGTTGGAGTCAATAATCAACCAAGAGGGGCCATCCTATTTCAATTGGGTCAGTTTGGTCTGGTTCTTGCGCTTACCCCTCCATCAACCCCTTTATTTTTTTTTCGGGGATGGAGGGGGGGGAGGCTTCACCGCCGAGTTGGCGATGAGGAAGAGAGACTTACGATCTGGTTGAGACGCTTGGCCGCACCCAAACCAGTCGGGCCAGCACCAATGACGAGAACGTCAACAGTACTAGGTGAAGCAGTCAGTTTGGCGATGTTCAATGGAGACGGAGAGACGAGCAATCCTTACATGTCGGGGTGGGTCATCCTGCCTTGAAGGAGGTCCTGGAAGCTGGGCACGCGTTTAAAAGTTCGACGAGCGATGTTCAGCATAAGAGAAAGCAGTAGCAGCAGAGAAACTGCGAGAAACTGGCGAGAGAAGGGGGAGTGGAGGATGATAAAGGATGAGGGATGGGTTGGAGAAGGAGGAAAGTGGGAGGACACGACAAGCAGTTAGTAGTACCGTGGACCGCAGGGTGGTCTGTGGCCAGGACTCTGTGTGGACTTCTGGACTGTGGAACTTTTTTTTGGTGTGGGCGGTGGAGACTACCGGTCCAGAAGCCCATCGTGTTTTCCGAACAGAGTTAAGGGGCAGCCAATGAATGGGCTCCATTAAGGGGGCATGGAAACGGACCCGGCACTTTCCAGTGTTTCCAGCGGTGTCGCGAGTGGGGTACCGTGCCTGTTTCAGGTTTACATTGGGTGTCTAGACGCCCTCGACGGTAGTCCTGCCTGCGCATCATGTATGAGAACGAATAGATTGAACCACATTTATTTGATGTTCATTTTTGGTACTCCATACATACAAGAGGGACACTATGTGAACTGATAGTTTGACTGACATTATACCTGATTGATCAGATTACCTTTTACACTGGAATTACATACTATTTACATGACAATATAGCCACTTCCAATCTTGAACATCATCTCCACAAATATCCTCGTAGATGCCAATAACCGAATCCCCTTATTCTTGCCTTATCACACTCTATGAATGCAGCCAACGACCAGTCCAGCCCCCCCCCTTCCCCTTCTGATAACGATCACATTGTCCTAAAGACCATTCTCAATGGACCAGTGGCGCTGCCGCGAACGGAGAAGGCTGGCCCCATAGCTAGGGCAGGCATCGTCTATGGTCAACAACACACCGGAACACGTACGCTTTGGTCTGGGGAAAATGGGGGAAGCCTAGAAAGGGAAATCACAATTATCGCCCCTTTTTCTTTCGATTCCCGAGTCAAATGAATTGTTTTTACTTGATTGCCAAGTCTTTCAAGTGATCATCCCATTCGCCGTCACAGCGCCACCTGCGGAACCCTGGGGTTTAAATCATTGAATCTATCACAAATCACGCAAGGCCGTTGGGTCTCATCTTTAGACAGCGGAGGAGGGGTACGGAGCTTATCATATTGATTTCAATCCGTCCAGCTCAGGAATTCCATATAAAATTGTTACTGGCTATTTTCCCCTCGGACGACGCAATCCCCCCTTCTACATCCGGACAGATTCATCCCCTCGGCCTTGGCAGCAGATTTCAGGGTCTCGGCACGAATCAGGAATGCTGTTATCAGCTTCCTATCTCGGAGTATTTTGATTCGCATCTTGTTCAAGGGGGCAACTTACTACGATAGAGAATTTTCATTGATGCTCGGGACAGGCAAGGGAGGAACCGAAGCAGCGAAGAACGATTGCCAATCGCTTTTCCGGGCAGGCTAAAAACGCCACCGATGTCGTTTGGCACGTTTGGAGGGACCGCTAAGCTCTGGTCCTGAGAGATTGGTGTCCGTAAGTGGATGTGACACAGCGACTAGCATTGGCCGTCGCCTCTTGACGTGGACTCTATGATCTGGTACGGAGTACTCCGTCTATTATTACAGAAGGATCCTGATACTGAAGTAAGTGAATGGTACCTTCAGAGTGACAAACATTGAGGAGTAGTTTAGTTAGACTCCCTTCGAGTGTTACAGCTTGCGTAACCGATGTGCATGGATCATATTGAAATGGCCCAATACGGTGTTTCTTCTTCCTGCATTTCAATTCCCTCTTGCAAATCTCTTTCCTTCTACAGACGCGATCCCTGAACCCTTTGTGGACCGGCATCCATAGGACGATCGTCGAGCGGTCCTCTGATCAGGGCATTGAGGAACAGTACGGCGTGTGCGCACTGCGCGGGCGAAGAAAGGGTCCACTGATTGTCCGTCCGTCCCTACCTAAGAAGGGAAGACTAACGAGGATCTGCTCAGTAAAGAACCGGGCTCCGATCTTATTGATCGACAAGGTTGCCCGAGAAAGTTCTTGAACCCGCCTCGCTGGCAGCCGTGAGCCCCTCAATTCCTTGGGAGCCCATGGCCCCCAGTCTGTGAGATGATGGACCTCTTCCATACGGAGGACGGACAGCCGGATCAATACAGTGCAACAACCACTCGTAGCCAGCGGATAAAGTTCTAAATGCGGATGGCAGCAGGGGCCTTTGGCATCGAGTATGAAAAAGTCAAAAAAGCTTCTTTTCATAGGGGGGGCAAAATAAAAATTTGGAAACTCTCCACTTATTGGCCCTCGTTCCCCAAGCCTTACCAGGCACCGTTTCGTTGCTGCTTCTTTAGCCTCCGCCCGGTTGGTTCTTTGGATTTTTCCCTTTGTCCACTTCCCCCCTGGTGGTGGAGCTGAGTCCCTGGATGGAGGGGGGGCAATGGCGTCAGACACAGCCTCCCCAAGACAATCGCCGCATTCTCCACCCGTAAGGGACCAAGGCGGATGCAAATGGCCGAGGGTCGCTGAACGCGGGCCCGGTGGGTCGAGGCTAAGAGCTGCTTGCGTAATGCCCTCCTGCGTGTCAAGCCTTTGGACCGCCAATGTAATTTGGATCAGCAGTGTTTTGCCCTGGCCGAGGACAGTTGGTGGTCTCTCTATCTCAAACCGATGCGTCGGGATCGGGAGGACGGGCCAAGGTCGGTTTCATTTTGTTTGTTTGTTCTTGGTGTTGCTCGTTTTCAAGGTCTTCATCTGAAATCACCGCATTAGGAAGGATAAGGGGGATACGATAGAGTGTTCGGCAGTGTACACTGGAGGCACTCATCGGCTGTCCCCTGTTATAAATGCCAATCTAAGAATAGCGCTATAAATCCAAACATCGGTACAGTAATTGAAAATATGGAAGATCAACAATAGTCTTGTCAGGAGAACCCGAGCAGACGCCGGTGGAGCGTGGGTGAAGATGGCCATTCTGATTGGACGTGATGGAAAGAAGTTGCCACGAGTCGTGGGCATTGGGCGTAATCGTAATGGTCGTACTGGTTCTGTCATCACCGTATTGACGGTCCGGTTATTTTAAGATACTCACTCTGAAGCCACCCACTGGGTCCCGATAAAGTCCAGGTGGCCTTTGGCGCCACGGTCACCGTTCGTACCGGACAAGCTCACGAGCCTCGTCAACACTGCAGCCCCCGTTTTGGTTTCCAACTCTGTTTGCAGCGGAGACTCCAAGCGGAGCCCTTTCGACGGTTATTTTACAACTAAACGGCTGCCCTCAATTTCACGTCAATTTCCCAGGTCCAGATCTTCTCTCCAGCTCTTTCTTGCCTCGCCTGGACCTAGTCGGTGCCCGAAACTTCCCAGCCGATCCAGTGGTTCTCTTCTCCTCCCAAATTTTACAGTACGTACTTCATTCCATCCCTTCACCTGCTACGCTACTCGTTCCATCATCATTTCTTCATCCACCCCCCCCGACGCTCCTTAAAAAAATACCCTTTTTGTGTTGGCACATTCTTTTGACTCGTCTTCCTGGGTCCAACTCCAATCACACTCTCGTTAACGATTCCCGACCTCCAGTGCCCCTTATCGCCTTTTAATCTCCCCCCGTTCTCTACCCCTCGTGGCTTCCTCCGCGTTTAGCCAAGGAAGCTTGACACGGCCCCGGCCCTTTGAATTCCGACAGTTTCTCTCCGACCAGACTCGAGCATTCAGTATGAGTTCCGAAGGAGAAAAAGTCCGCGCCTCTGGCGAGACTCCCCGCGAGACTCTGCCCACCGTGAACCCGGCGGCCGAGAAGCAGGAGCCTCCCAAGGCCGCGTTCCACCCCGCTGTCTATGTGAGGTGAGATTTTGAAAGCCCGCTCCGGGGAAGATTTCCAAGCCAGCAATTGGGAGACTACGGAGAAGACGACATAGCGGCTAACCCATTGCGCAGTGTCTGGATCACTCTCAGTTCTTCCGTGATTCTGTTCAACAAGCACCTTCTCGACTATGCCAATTTCCGTGAGTCTCCGGGTTCTCCTCACGCGACAACTGGACTTGCGCATTTCTGACCATTCTGCTCTCTCGTTCTAGGCTTCCCGATCGTTCTGACAACATGGCACTTGACCTTTGCGACGATCATGACCCAGCTTCTGGCCCGTTTCACCACCGTCCTGGACGGCCGCAAGTCTGTCAAGATGACTGGCCGTGTCTACCTCCGCGCGATCGTTCCCATTGGTCTTATGTTCAGCTTGAGTCTGATTTGCGGTAACATGACATATCTGTACCTCAGCGTTGCCTTTATCCAGATGCTCAAGGTATGTGTCGGCTGAGCCGTCAGGATCGAAGTATAACAAGTTCCGTGTCTAATTGTGTTTCTGCTGGTATAGGCTACCACTCCCGTTGCTGTCCTGATCGCTACCTGGGGTATGGGCATGGCCCCCGTCAACTACAAGACCCTCGCCAACGTCTCCATCATCGTTGTCGGTGTCATCATTGCCTCTTTCGGTGAGATCAAGTTCGTCCTCGTCGGTTTCCTGTTCCAGCTCGGTGGTATCGTCTTCGAGGCCACTCGTCTGGTCATGGTGCAGCGTCTGCTCAGCTCTGCCGAGTACAAGATGGACCCCATGGTCTCTCTGTACTACTTTGCTCCCATCTGCGCTGTCATGAACGGTCTCGTCGCTCTCTTCCTGGAGTTCCCCCGCCTGACCATGGACCACATCTACGGTGTCGGTATTTGGGTCCTTCTGGCCAACGCCATGGTTGCCTTCCTCCTGAACGTCTCCGTGGTGTTCTTGATCGGCAAGACCTCCTCCCTGGTTATGACTCTGTGCGGTGTCCTTAAGGATATCCTGCTGGTAGCGGCCTCCATGTTCATCTGGAGCACTCCCGTCACGGGTCTGCAGTTCTTCGGTTACACTGTGGCTCTCGTCGGCCTGGTCTACTACAAGCTCGGCGCTGACAAGATCCGCGAGTACACCGGTCAGGCCAACCGCGCCTGGGCCGAGTATGGCAACACCAAGCCCGCCCAGCGCAAATTTGTCATTTTCGGTGCTGCCGCCCTCATCTTCTTCCTCTTTGTGGGCTCGATGGCTCCCAGCTACGCTCCGAGCCAGGTCGACCGCGTCAAGGGCATGCTGGGCGGTGCCACCGCTGGCAATGCTTAAATGCACGCCATGTCCTTATGCAACTCTTTGGAGAGGTTTCGTTCCGTAACCGCCGAAATGCGTATGGAGCGCATCTCCAAAGGCTAATGAAGGGCCACTGAGGTGGTGAGCTGCCACAATTCTCTAAATCGACTCTACTGTGAGAGTATTGGAGCCGTTGCATCACCATTGTTACAAAAAGCGAGGGAGAGAGAGCATAGTTGCATCTAGAAAATTCTCGTCACTCTGATCTTCTCTTCCCGTCCTTTCTACCTCCTCAAACCAGTGTTCTTTTTTTTTTTTTTTTTTTTTTTTGCTCAGGAGCTGGCCTCGGCGGCATGCAGGAAATGCAGTCGTTGGCCTGTCTCCAATTCCGGGGGACTCTCGCGTGATGGAAAACGGAGAGCGCCATCCGTTCTCCTTTCTATTTTTTCCTCGACCGCATTCCCGCGATGTATACAGTGATTAGGGACGGGTGTTTGCATTTCCGTGTTCTTTGTTTCCTCTGCGCTCTCCCTCTCTCTATTTCCCTTTTTTTTCGATTTGACGGAACGTCGACTTGAACGTTAGACTTGCACGAGCTCTGGTGTCGGTTTGCTTTGAACCTGACTTGTTCTTTGGGTTCAACTTTTTTCCCCTTCTGGCTGTCTTCATAGTTTGATAATAGACTTCTACTTGAAAGGTTTCTTTGACGTCGTAATTGACCTGGACGGCCTTTGCATGAGGAGTCATTTTCTGGCCGAGCTGGGCCATTATGATTGGTAGCCCTGGGGACGATAGGGCGAAGGACGCGAGGTCCCCGAGAGCGGCTTGATGACTACGATGACCCAGGTGACTGCATGGCTGACGAGGTGACGGGGCCAAAGGGCGCCCTGCGGACTGGCCGATGGCAGCTCCGGCAGGACCGGGCGATTGGCCGCAGCACCCCAGCAACGTGAAATGACTGGCAGGAACCGTGACTGGCGACGGGGCTGGGCCCGCCGACTGACTCGGTCTGCTGATTGGCCAATGGCATCCAGCTGAGTCCCGCCGCAGCCAGTCGACCGGTGCTCGGGGCTCCACTGGTATGGTTCCGGTATGGTCATGGCTGACCGGAACTCTTCTACACGCCGTTGTATGGTGGTCTCGTACCGTTCCCTCCGCATTGCGGATCCCCCCCTCCGATCGCCTCAGATCGTCTTTTGCGCTCTTCTGCTACTGCGCTTTCTTCCTCTTCTTCTTTCCCTTTCCTCTCTACCTCTCTAAACGCTCGGCCTACTTTCTTGCCAATCAGCTTCCCCCTCGCCCTCTTCTGTCCTACCGCCATCTGGACTCTTCTTCTACTTTCATATCCCACCTACCTCTTCCCTCTATACTTCTTGCCTTACACGTCCTCTCTCTCTCTCTTTGTCCATCCTACAACGTGCTCGCCTCCTAGCTCGTGATCTATATATCAGGTGGTTGAAGCTCATGGTGTGTTGCTCACTTAACCCTACAGTACAGTGCCTCTTGTCTAGGATCTCGCCAACCCCTTCATCATGTGTCCTATGATCCTCAATCGCTTGTCCGATGGTCCCGCGATGGTCCTCTATCCTTCCCAGGAAAACGCCTTCGGCCAGCTCCCCTCCCAGTCCCTGCTGGATACTCCCACCAGCTTCCATGCCTACACGGGGACCTTCAACTCCGCGTACGCGGGCAACGGCTATGCCCAGCCAGCCGCGAACTCCAGTGTCTCCGCCGCTCCAGTGCCCCCCAAGCCGTCTCGCAAGAGGTCGCGTGACGAGGCTGCCTCTAACGATGTCCTCACTGTCAATGCGCCTCCGGTGCCCCAGCCTGCTCCCGCTCCCAAGGTAGAGCCAATCTATGGCGAAGGCATGGTACTGCTGAACCCGCAGACGGGCCTGGCTGTCTCCGCCGAGAGCCAAACGGGCACTTGGTATGAAGAAAAGGCCGAGTCGCAGCAAACCGCGGCCGCCCCAATCTCGTCACGATCCATTGCGCTCCAGTCAGATGGTGCTGAAATTAGTCGCAAGGCCCAGCGCCTGGATACCTCCGCCCCGGGCTTGGATGATATTGCTCTCGCCTCTATGCACCAGCGCCTGAACGGCTCCGACATGGCCGACCAGCACCGTACCGCCCCGTCTACTCCTCCGGTCGAGCCGCTCATCGACGATGCCACTCGCCTTCTTGGCATCAGCTGGCAGCGCATTGATACCGACGACGAGATGGCACCTGCCGTCCGCGGCTGGACCAAATATATCGACAACCAATACGCCGCCTATCTGCACCACTCACAGATGCTCATGAAGAGCCGCGCGCTGAATGCCTACCTTGTTGCCGCCACGCCAAACACCGCTTTCTCTCCGGCATTCTACCTCTTCAACGAAGATCTCACTCAAGGTCAGCTCGTGGCTACCTCTTGGGAAGCATGTCTGCTCAACCTCCGCTCTACTCCTCCCGTCTTCCAAGGAGCCGCGCCCATGGCTGCTGCTGGCCGTCCTCAATCGGCCGCCAACCCCTTCACCTCCGTCGCCGAATCTGGCGTGCCTCTTTTGCAGCAGGCTCTTTCTAGCCACTCGCACTCGCCCACCTGCGGCATGGACGCGGGAGTGGGACTGAACGAAGGCGTCGAAATGGGAATGGAAATTGACTCGTAAACACTCGTGTCCGATTCATCACTTCGCCACCAAAAAAAGTCACAGACCATCAAACTAGCGCAGTGCCGGACCGCCGACCGTTCGATAGTGAACGAATCTCCTCGTGCCGTCGCCCGATCGATTCGCTTGTTCGCCGCATCGTGTTTCGTACCTTCGTGCTTCTTCTGATTCTTCATGATTACTGGATTTTCTAGTCATTTTTTACCCTGCTGTCTACGCCCGCGCCTAACCGATGCAGTTCGGACATTCAGGTCAAAACTCGCCCCAGGAGGGTGAGTGGGTATGGTGTTTACTGGTTTCTTTAATTTTTTTTTTTTCTTTTCTCTTTCTTTCTATTTTTGGTGGGGATTTGGGGCTCTGGCGTCGTAACCGTCTTTCGGGGAGGTTGTGCTGCATGTTTTCTTTTCTATTTCTATTTCTTTATCTGGGCTCTATTTACCTACCCTTAAATTTATATCATGACGCAAATGAAAGAAAATATCTGAATCTGAGATCCGAGTTGAGATGTAGGAGAGGGCTTTCCTTGGGTGTTTCGTAAAAAGCAAAAGAGTCGATGGAAGTCCAATCCGCACCGTGACGTGACAGAGGAGCCGAGCAAGAAAAGGAATTCGCCACAACTTTTGGCGACTGTATAAAGCGCTCAAATCGGCCATTTACTCAGTGCCATCTAGCATAAAGAGTGTTATATAGCACACCCTGCGGGAATCACTACAACAAAGACTTTTCGAGGCACGACCGCCCAGGTGCTATATTACTTACTGTCAACTACCACGTCCATCTCATCACTTCATGATCTTACGAGTGAAACGAAAACCTTCTCGCCTCCAGAATCCCAATCATACCTAAATTTCTTCCTTGACATGATCCTCCCGAACTTCAACTGGACCGGTACTTCCGCTCTTGTTGCCAGCATCGCCAGCATCACCACTGACATCAACACGCCCCCGCGTAGATGGATGTCTCGCGCGGTCAGTGAAGAGAAAATCGATTTCTTCGAGTGTGAGTTTTGCTGTTTCGGGGTAGAAGAAGTAGACAATCTGCAAGTCAGAGAAAGAAGGGCAAACTTAGTATCGTGCTCGTCGTGTGGATCAGACTACGGATGGGTTCTTTGTTGGGGGGAGGGGGAAGGAGGAGTTGACGAACTGGGACAAAAGCAAGATTTAAACACATAAAAATCAGGTATCCCTTCCAAGCCAGATTTTCAATTAAAGTCGGGGTGATCATGACCACGAAGAAATTCCAGAGCCAGTTTGCGGAGATGCCGATGGCTTGTCTGGTAGGTTGATGATCTATTAGTAAAGGCATTTTCATGGATAGTTACCGGGAAAGGGGACAAGGTATTGAATGTGGTAGTACTTCTTACCCTTTTGTTCGTACGTGTAGTGGTAGGATTTCCGGTCCGTACACCCACGGGATACAGTTGACGGAGGCACCGAAGATGAGCATGAAGAGGAAGAAGAAAGCGACCGAGGCGGAGGCCGTTGGCTTTTCGATGGATGTTCCTGGACGTGCGCAGTTAGAGAATCTATCTTTCATACCTCAAGAATCACGGTGCGGATATTAGCATACCCTTGAATGAGAGGAGAATGGAAATCATCATCATGCATATGAAGAGACCGAAGGATCCCCACATCATTGGTTGGCGACGGCCATATTTGTCGGAGAAGAACGTTGGATAGAAGGAGCCTGGGTTTCAGTTGTTAGTAAACATGACGGTTCTTCTTTTGCTTGTCCGGTATGTATACAACGTACCTATCACGAACATAATCTGAATCACTCCTCCGAGAAGCAGACTCAGTTTTCGGTCTAAACCAACATTGTACTGCAAGACCGAAGTCACATAGTACTATATTGATCAAGGGAAGGAGGTTAGCTACTTCCAACCCTATAACTAACCGGGAAGGATAACCACTGACGACAACCAGATTGATACCGCCCATCTGATTCATGAATTGAATCCCATAAGCCAACAAAACACGTTTTCCAGTTTGAACCTCATCCCTCGTGAGAATCTGCGACCACTTATATTCACCATGTAGAGTCTCAAGCTCAATGGCGTCCAGGATCCCCTCCGACTCGGATACAACCTTGGGCTCATCGGGTTGCATGTTATACACATCACATAGAACTTGCACCGCCTCCTCGGGCCGGTTATGTCTGTATAACCAGCGTGGACTCTCGGGTAGACTGCACACCGCGACCTCGCATCAGTATGTAGCCCCCCCCTCCGGTAATGCTCAACTGATCAGAAGGGAGGATCACTCACCCAAAAACCAACAAAATAACCATAATAGCAAAAATCATCTGACAGGCGATGGGAAGACGCCAATTGATCGCGCCGGGCACATAAGACATCCCATAGTCGAACCAGTATGCAATCACGATACCGACCCCGACGAACAACGGCTCGCTACTCACGTACTTGCCTCGTTTCTTGGCTTCGCAGAGTTCGGACTGATATACGGGGACGGTGGTCGTTTCGATACCGGTGCCAATGCCCGTGATGAAGCGGGCTACTAGTAGTTGGGCGCGTGAGAAGGCCGTTGTTTGGAGGGTTGCTCCGACCTGGGGTAAAGAATTGGTGAGATGGCTAGAGGAGTTGTATTTGTTCTGGATTTACTCACGATAATCCAAATCATTGCAAACCACATCGATTTACGTGGCCCTAGTCGATCACCCGTCATGAATGATACGATCGTACCGGAGAAACAGCCTAGGTTGTATATCGACACGATGATTCCTAGGATTCCCGCACTGGGATGGTGTACGATCTCGAGGAAATCGTCATTGCCTACGATTCCTGAGAATACTCCTTGATCGTATCCTTGAATGGGTCATATCATGGTTAGTTATCTATACATCTATATGCCCGGTTTGTTGAAGCGACGGAGAATGTACCAAAGAGAATAAATGCCAATTGGCACGTAAACATGATGGCCATTCTGAGCGGCCGCCCGCGGCCGTATACATTGAGCTTGACCATTCCGGGGTATAGCAGGAGATTTCGGCCTTCTCGTCTTGTTCAAAGATAATAATGCGAGTATACAATGCAATGATCTTGCTCAAATCTATTTCAATACTTCAATTCCCCCACAAAGAAGGAACCCATCAACCCTTTTAACAGAAGTGTGGGGTTGAGATACAGGGTCTGGATACTATTTTTACCCTGTACAGCCGAATCAGTTAGTTGCCGGATCGACCAATCCCCTTGCATTACATTCGTGTGTCGTACAAGCCTGTTCTCCGGAACTGGCATTCCAGAGCGTCGGCTCTGTCTCTACTTGAACTGGAGTGGGGGTCGAACGCGGAGTTTGGCCGGAGGTTGATCGGTAAGGGTATCTTTAAGCACCGTGCTAGGAGGCCAAAGGGTTACCGTGTGACGTGCTAACGGGTAAAACGGACAAAGGAAGGGATTTATTTGGGCGGATCGTTTCAAGTACCTCTGTTTCGTTCATATTTCTCGTCCACTTCCTGTATAAGGTTGGCCCTTTAGAGTAGGATGGAAGGTGACTAGCTTGAGTATCAATTATTCGTACTATAGAATCTATCATCCTCATCCTTGGTTCTTTAGGTGACTATTGCTTTTTGTAGGGGCATGAAATCTGGGGAAGAAGCTTTTGAGGTCCCCTCCCCCCCCCCCAGGCATCTGACGGTCAGGGAGGAAGCGATCGCCTCTCTGGCTCGGTTAAAGTAAACTAAGGATCTACAGGCGAATACATGTTTCAGGTAAGTATCTGCTACGTAAGAGGCGCTTACGATTACTATTTTGGATACGCGATTAGAGGCATTAGGGCAAGATGGGTTTGCTAATGGGCTCGAGTGTATGGTGACTTAGGCGTGAGTGGAATAGATGGGCACAAGGCATATATGTGTTGAGTTGGAGGGTTGAGATGCTTCTATAGGGATCGCTTCATGTACTTCTACCTGTATGTGGCCGACGTTTCATGTAGGATGAAAGGTGACTAGTTTGATTACCAACAATTCATATAATTGATCACCCTTCGTTCTTCAGGTGATTATTGCTTTTTGCGGGGGGTATATAATCTGGGGAAGAAGCTTGAGTGTCCCCGCATCTGACGGTCGGGAGGAAGCCGATCGCCTTGCGGGCTCGGCTATGGTCAGCTTAGGATTTGTAGGCGGATACATGTTTTTGGTATGTGCTACGCGATGGGCGCTTACGATTACCATACTGGATAAGTAGTCAGAAGGGTTGGGCAAGATGGGTTTGCTAATGGGCTCGATTGTACGGGCGATCCGTGATTTGGGCATGGGTAGAATTATTATGCTCACGAAGTATGTATGTCTTACCAGATATATGGTGAGAGTAAGCATTGGAGATATTTTGTGGTTTGAATAATTCCTTTATTCTTCTATGCCAAGTGGTATCTCGGAGTTGTGGTGGTACAGGGCGTCATCTCTAGCTAATAGAACGCAAAAAGCAGAACCGCCGCTATTTAAGAACACGGTGTAGGGCTCAGTGTTGCGAGCCTCATTTTTTTTTTTTTTTTTTTAAAAAAAAAACTACCCTAATCGTAGTCGTAATCGCTGCCCGCATCGTAGTAATCATCCTGGTAATCTCCCGCGAATGCGTCGTCAACGTGGTCTTCCTCAACATCGTCATCCTCCTCATCCATATCATCTAGATCGGTGGTTGGAGGCTCCTTATCATCCACGAGGACAGACGGGGCCGTCGCAGGAGGTGTCAGCACAGCGGCCACTGATGGTGCGGTGGGAGGAGGAGTGGGTTGGTGGTTAGAGAATATCACGGGCTTGCTGGCAACAACCGAAGGGGCTCGGGAGTTTGCTCGTGCTGTACGGCGGGATCGTGCTGGCTCGGGTTGAATACTCGCGCTGCGGCGTGAGACAACGCTCCGACTGCGACTGCGACTGTCGCTTCGACTCAAGGACTCGACCTTTGCGTTTGCATCGCCCGGGCCATCCTGATCATACAAGTTGTCAAGTAGTGAATAATTGATCTTCTTGCTGTATCCGCGCTTCTCCAACATGCGTCTTGTGGCTTCTGCCGGGGTGGAAGCACGAGAGCTACGGCCATCCTCACCATCGCCCTCGCCTTCAAGGTAGGCGACATCGCCAAGACGCCCCTTCCGGCGCTTTCGAGGCTTGGATGTGGAGGGACCGGCGGTCGCTTCAGCCAGTGCACGCTTCAAGGCCTTCGCTTGCTGTGTGCGGAGATATTCTTTATTCTCGTGCACCCAGATATGCTCCTTCAATTCAATTTCTTCGCTCGAGAGCAGGCAATTGGCAACCTCGGGATCGTCCGCAAACTCAGCCTCATCAATATCAACGCTGCTGGAAATGGTGCTGTCTGGTTTGGGCTCCATGATGCTATCGACTAGATCCGAACCTTTGGCCAGCATGGTCTGAATCTCTTCTTCAAGGGCATTTTCCGATGCGATTTGATCCGCGGAAGGTGCGGGATAAGATGGACGTCGAGAGCCTTTGACTTTCACGTCCTTGAGTTGGGCCTTCTCTCTCTCGGCGTCCTCAACGGCCTCGTTAACAGCCTTGGTAACGGATCCTCGTCGTTGAGGATTGTCCATCAAGGCGGGGTCAATGGGGAGGTTTGGAATGGCAAATCCGTCGGCATCGAAGCGTGGTGGCTGAGTGGATTCCGCGTCGCTCTCTCCGCAGTCACCCTCGATTTCTGCTGCCGTTTCGGGGTGTTTGGTCGTAGCTCGAATTGACTTTTTCCCTTCTCGACCCCGAGTAAAAGATGGTGGATCATGGGAATTCTCCAATTGTACGGAGCGGAATTGGTCCACAGTAAGCTCTCCACTTTCCGTCGAACCGAACTCGTAAAGACGTTGACTGATGGTGACCTCGGTCACCTTGACGACGTAGACAACCTCGCGGATAGTTCGTCGGAAATTGTTCATCCGCGCAGCCAGAATCAATGCCGCGCCACAAAGACCAGCAGGACGTCGACCGGTTGACATCCAATCACGGTTCATCCGCTGAATGATACGAACAGCCTCGCCGGCGACTTGCATCGTGGCCTGCCCAAATTCCAGTTGCTTGGCGAATCGGTAGATCAAGCTTTCCGGATCGATAGGGTTCATTAGAAAGACATTGCCGCCCAGGCGAAGTTCGTCAAGAAGGGCTTTGTATGTGCGACCAAGTTTGAAAACATTAACCATCAAAATATCTGCAAAGTCGATCAACATTGCCGTGTTGCCATCCTGACGACGGCAAGCGATGTAGAGGGCAACGCCGGCGACGTTCCTTGTGCGTCGACCCTGAATAAAGTTAAGGCCAACTGCGAGCTTAAAAACCTGACCAGCAGCTTTCGTGGCACTCTCGGGAATGTGTAGAGTTCGGGCTAGTTGGTTGATGAATCGGTTGCCAGTCTGTTCAGTGACCTCCCGGCTTTCCATGCCACCATTCCGCGCAAAACCCGGTCCGAAGCTCCGTACGTGGGTCTGGTCTGATCCGACAAAAGATCCTTGTACGACTGCGGCGCCAGATGATGTCTCGCCGAATGTCACCTCGGACACGATGTTTGATTCACTGATAACAGTACCACATCCGGAGCACACCTTTTGGCCTTCATCCTCGACAATGTGCGGGGCAGGACATCCGGGATTGGGACAACTTTGAGTCTTCGGGTGTGTCGTAGGGCGTGAAGCTTGAGGGCGCCCAATTGGTTGTGGGCGTTTGATTGGGATCGAAGTCGGGGGCTTAAGACTAGCCAGGCGTCCAACAGGAGGCCGCGGACCACGAGGGGTCACGGAAATGCTGGCAGACCGGGACGCCGACATGGCCGCGGATGAGAGGCGTATGCGGGTAAGATGTAATAGCAACCAGGATGAACTGGAATTATCTTTGGAACCCCCAGGGTGGTCGAATGGCCTTCCAAGTAGACCTCGGGGTCAAGGTTATTGATAGGGTCGGGGTTCGTGCTTGTGGTTAAGATGAGAAGCAAGGGAGTGAGGTCGAAGGCGGGGGAAATTTTCTGATGAATATGAAGATGAGGGAGCGGCGAAGTTGTCTCCGACCGAGCGCTGCAGAGCGCTGCAGCGGTATCTTTAGTCTGTACTGGTCAGGAAGCCTTGAGTCGCGTGTCGCGAATCTCGATCCGCGTCTGGAAAAATAAAAAGATAAGTGATAAGGGCAAGGGAACGTGTGAGGTGGGGAGGCTGGCGACACGATGAGGTTTTTTCGAGTGGACGTGACCCGTGGCTCAGTGGTGGGATCACGTGGCTTGCCGGCTCAGTTGGCGGGGCGCACGTTCGACTCGTTCAGCTGGCAGATGTTGGATGTTTAAATTCAGTGACTTCCACCTTTGCAAAAGAAAACGAAGGGTGATACACAGTCTTTGAGATTTGGAGACAAGTATGAAATGGAAATAGCTGCCTTAAATTTATTTTCCCCCGTCTACACTGATTTTGCCCCTGGTCTCTTCCACGTTGCCCAAGGGTAGATTTCAGAGATCACATCACATGACCAGTAGTGAATCCAGTCGAGTTAGCACTAGTCCCAAATGGGTCATATTGGTTCCATGTGTAGCCTGAGTGCCTGGAAGAAGTGGCGGCAACAGAGGACGGGTTGGAACAGAGATGAGTAAGCCACATAACGTAATCCACGGCCGATCTGGCCACACGGCCGTCCTGGCCACCTACCCCCATTATAAACCTTCTAAACAAAATTTATCAACAACAACGCATTAATTCATTCTGAACTAGGCGATTTTTACATTGATTAATCTTATGCCCTGTCACTCCGCATCCACTGCATGTAGGAGGAGCCCTCCTAGCCGGTTGAATTGGCTGCTGAGGCAGATCAACCTGTTCATGCGATACTACCCTATCAGCTTCCATAGGCTCAATCTGCTGTTGAACTAGCTGTAGGCCCTCTTCGAATGATAGGCCCTCTTCGTGAGCAATCTGCCTAGTCGATCGAGTGCGCTTTTGACGTTTCTTTTCATTCGCTGCGCGTAGATCAGCGTTCTCCTTTACTAGTAGCGCAGTATGGTGTAGGGCTTTTGCATGACCCTTGATAATTTGATCGAGCATGCGCTTTGACGGTGTAGGCGGGCTATGCGATCGCTGTTTTAGAAGCTCTTTAAGCATAGAAGCTTGCTTTTCTAGCTGAATCGCTGTCTTAGGCGTTTTTGGTGTGAATTGGCTAGATCTGCTGCTTGGTCGGCTTGATAGTGGTGAAGGCGTTCGGATAGAGATATTAAGCTTAGAAAGCACTCTATCAGCATTAACTGGTACGATACCAGTAGCTGCGAAGCTGCTCTGAATAATATTTGGCTGGAAAGCTTCTAGCCGTGCACGAGGATAATCTGCTAGAAAATCAAGCTTGTCGATATGATTATAGCCAGTCCGGGCTAAATCGCTCACGAAGCGACCGTACGCGCGTTTAAGCACAGCAAAACACCCAACATCGAGCGGCTGTAGTAGATGTGACGAATGCGAAGGCATACAGAGCGGTATAATATCGTTTTCAGCGCAGATTCGATCGAATTGAGGTGTTAGGTGGCTACCATGCCCGTCAAGGATTAATAGCCGAAATCGCCCTCGTACGCGCGAGTTCGTAAGTGGAATAAATAACTTTTGGAGCCAGCGTAGGCCAATTTCATCAGTTGTCCAGCCGTTATTCGATACCTCAATGCGCGAATTCGGAGGAAAATTTAACGATTCAAACCAACCAGCGATATAGACCTGGCCTTTGAATATGATACACGGCGGTAGTGAATAGCCATCAGCGCATGTCGTTTCGATCGCAGTAACCCATTCACGATTTCCTGGCTGTAAAAGAGGCCGCCGACCGTATAAATCTCTTCGAGTAATAACCTTCTGCGCAGAAATAAGGCCTATTGCGAAACCAGTCTCATCGAAGTTATAAATATCCTCTGGTTGGATACCGTTCTCATCAACCACGCGTTGTACCGTCAAAAACCACTCTCGTATAACCTTTGGATCCTCATTAAGAGCGCGCTGATAATCATATCGTTTAGAATAGCGTGATTGAAGCTTATCGCGTCGATTAACGAACGTTGATGCCCAATTAACGCCAACGGTTAATGGAGGGGTTGTTCCACGCGCTGTAAGAAGGATATTGGCTATCTCTCGAACAGTAGACGGCCTAGGCGCTGCTCCACGCGAATCCATAGAGATTATCTACTTAGTAAGCGAATCTTCTTCGTATTGAGTTAATTTATGGCCTGATGGGCGTTTATCAGCGCGTGAGATTTGGCCATGGGCACGCGTCTGCAAGGTAGAACGCGGTATATCGTATAGCTTTGCTGCTGCGCGAATAGATTTGATACGGCCATCTTTAATATCGGATAGGGCTAATAGGATCCTGCCCTCTTGATTGGCCGGGTTATGCGAGGATTCAACACGAATTAGTGGAATAGTAAGGGGCTTGAATTAGGTAGGGTGGTAGGAAGACGCGATTTTGGATGGGGTGGCCAGGACGGCCGTGTGGCCAGATCGGCCGTGGATTACGTTAGGTGCACCAATAGTTAGTTAACTAACTAACTAGTTAACTACCAGACGCGTGAACCACATTATTCAGGCATCAAGGCCGCCATGCATACCCCCTGCCACGAGCCCGTCATGCCATCATGCAGCAGTTAGGACACATGGAAGGTGGTTGATTCTACGATATATCGGATTCCGAAGCTAGATCTTCCATACCTCGTGCTGTTTATCCCGAACTTCGGAGGGGTGGGAGTCATGGCACTCGATAGAGTTGGAATGTTGCGCGCCCTCTTGAGGCATTTGTGCCGCGTGCGTGATCTGGTACCTCCGCAAAAATCGCTCATCGTCGCCTTTCGCGTGTCGTCTACTTGATTCCAGTCTGATTTTTATTTGCTTTTTAATAATCAATTGCCCGCTGACAATTCCATTCATACTTTCCGTGACTCTTTTCCCCTATATGATGCAATTGGTCGTGTCGCGGTTGCTTTTTTCTTGACTGGAAATCCATTAATATACCTACCTGCCCGCTACAGTCATCGAAATACTCGAAAATAAAACCTACTCTTGACCCTCTCAACAAATACCTTTGGGAAATATCATTACCTCCTGGCACCTATCATTAACACTCTCATTGAAAAGAAAGTTCGCGACCATTGTTAGCTTGTCTTTCATTATTGATACACGCGACTGTGCGATCGACAGCCCAAACTCCCGTGGATCATGTCCCCCGAACGAGAAGTTCCTCACAACCCTCCGCATACCCCAAAATTCCAACAGGATTCCCTCTCTAGTACAACCATGAGGAGAAGTCTTTTTTGGGTGAGCAACGTTCACTGCTCTTCGTGCGTGGCCTATATCACCGAGGTTCTCTCTGAGATTCCTACAGTCCAAGATATCGATGTGTCGATATTGACACACGAAGTTCGTGTATCTCATGGGATCTCCGTGCAAGCAGCAGACTTGGTCACTGCTCTAATCCAAGCTGCCTTCGAAGTTCATCATGTCACCACCTATGATGAACGGGGAGTCATCGTTGCCGAGCTTGATACCACGTCGTGGAATCATCGTGGTTCGGCCCTTTTCTCGCCTCGTGCCTCTTATTCTAGCCTCTCGTCCAACATCAAAGAACGGCTACATAATAGCCGAGAGAAAACTCATATTGCCAACTGTAACGCTTGCAAGAAAGAAGAAGCTCTTGAATTCTCTCGGAACTCGACCCAGACTGAAATTGGCACTCTCAATGAAAAGTCTTCACGGATTTCTGCCTGGAAAGAAACTGACGGCGAACACGCTCGACGCACTGGGGAATTAGAACGAACACCTACAAGTGAAATATCTCACACGCCGCCATCGGCTGCGACCTCGGAAACCCAAGTGGAACGACCGACGGAATTCTCCATTTCGATTCCCCACGACATCAATGAAACGTCTCAATCACCGCCAGCTGAGACGATCGAAGATTTCGCCGCGCGGATCAGCATTAGTGGCATGAGTTGTGCATCGTGTGTCAATAGTATTACTAGTGCCATTCAAGAGCTTGATTGTGTTAAAGAGATCACCGTCAACCTGCTCACAAACAGCGCGGCTCTCGTATACAAAGGACCCCAAGGAAATATTGACACTATCGTTGGCGAAATCGAGGACATTGGGTTTGAAGCCTTCGTTGATGAAGTCAACCCGATTCTCAGGTCCCCAAAGCCCCAAGCGGCCCCAATAACATATGTGACCGAGATTGCCATCACGGGCATGACTTGTGGCTCCTGCGTAGGCACGGTCACTCGAGGCTTAGAAGAGCTACCCTTCATCTGCAATGTCTCTGTCAACCTGCTGTCTCATAGTGGAAAGATTGAGTTTGAAGGACGTGAGAACTTGGATCAAATCGTGGAGAAGATTCAGGATATGGGATATGATGCTGCGGTTAGCAGTGTTCATGCCGTGGCTGCAGACAGCGATATTTCCGAACCCGTTCAAAAGAGAACGATATCGATCCGTGTCGATGGCATGTTCTGTCATCATTGTCCGGAGAAAGTCCTGGCGGCATTGGAGTCGCTTCCCACTGTCGTCGTGGAAGAGGACCCTACCGAGAAACAGCCCATTATCAGGGTCACGTACACTCCTGCGCCGCCAACATTGACTGTCCGTTCAATCCTCACGGCCATCAACGAGGCAAATGGTGTGTTCAATGCAAGCATTTACCATCCACCTACCATTGAAGATCGCTCCCGAGCGATGCAGCTCCATGAACGACGGAGGCTACTCGTCCGCCTACTATTTGTCTTCGCCGTCGCAATCCCGACCTTCCTCATTGGGATCGTGTTCATGTCGCTCGTCCCATCTCAAAACCCGACCCGGATGTACCTGGAACAGACGATTTGGTCTGGCAGTGTTACTCGCATCGAATGGGCATTGTTTATCATGTCAACGCCGGTCATGTTCTACGGAACCGATGTTTTCCACACACGCGCGCTCAAGGAGATTTACGCTTTATGGCGGCCAGGAAGCCGAGTTCCCATAACGCGGAGATTCTATCGCTTTGGCAGCATGAATCTCTTGATCTCGGCAGGCACAGCTGTAGCCTACTTCTCCTCACTGGCAGTACTGATTGTTGATGCGGTTGCCGGAAGCAAAACTAGCGCTCATAGTACAACTTACTTTGACTCCGTGGTCTTTCTCACGCTGTTTATCCTCGCTGGTCGGTTCTTGGAGGCATACAGCAAGGCCCGAACCGGTGATGCCGTTTCTTCCCTAGGCAATCTCCGACCTTCGGAAGCCTTGTTAGTCGAGACTCAGTCCACGGACACCGATGCTTCTGGAATCTGTGGGTCAGACCAAATGGCTCGTGTTGGCGTTGATCTCCTGGAGATTGGTGATATGGTTCGCATTCCTCACGGGGCATCTCCGCCTGCTGATGGCCTGGTGGTTGGCGAAGGTTCCTACCAATTTGATGAGAGTTCTCTCACAGGCGAGTCCCGACCTGTCAAGAAGATCGCCGGCGATCAAGTCTTCACTGGCTCAGTCAATGTGGGCCAGCCTGTGCAGATTCGCATCACTGAGCTTGGTGGTTCATCAATGCTTGACCGAATCATCGCTGTGGTTCGCGAGGGTCAAAGCAAGCGTGCTCCCTTGGAAAGGGTTGCCGATCTGCTCACCTCCCATTTTGTCCCTGTCATTACCTTGATTGCTATCCTGACTTTTGTCATCTGGCTTGCCCTTGGCCATTCGAATGTCCTTCCAGCGGACTACCTCGACATTGCTCGCGGCGGATGGACTTTCTGGAGCCTGGAATTCGCCATCGCCGTCTTTGTCGTTGCTTGCCCATGTGGATTGGCATTGGCTGCACCAACTGCACTTTTCGTTGGTGGTGGTCTTGCCGCAAAGCATGGTATCCTCGTGAAGGGTGGTGGTGAAGCCTTTCAAGAAGCCAGTCGCCTCGATGCCATCGTGTTCGACAAGACCGGCACTCTGACCGAGGGAGGAAGTCTCAAAGTCACAGAGCACGAGATTCTGACCAAGGATGAGGACCTTCTAAGAGTCGCTTGGACGCTTGCGAGAAAACTGGAAGAGAGTAGCAATCACCCAATTGCCCAGGCAATCTCTACTTTCTGTCAATCGCAGCTCATGGTTAATGTTGTGTCCTCCGATATTCAAGAAATTTTAGGGCAGGGAATGAAGGGTACCTTCACAGTCACAGCAGAAAACTCTGGCAGCCTCGAACAGTATGAAGCTGCAATTGGAAATGAGCGCCTTCTTCACAGTGTTGTTCCCGCCGACAGCGACACATACTTCGTCTCCAGTCTGCTCTCAAAATTTCAATCGGGTGGCAAATCCACAGCCATCCTTTCCTTGCGCTGCAAATCTTCTGAACCGTCACCATTTCTTCCCGCGATCGTTTTCGCGACATCGGACACGATTAGACCCGAGGCAGCCGATGTGATCTCCCAACTCAACAAGCGACGTGTTGAAGTCTTCATGTGTACGGGTGACAACCAGACGACTGCCCACGCAGTCGCTGAAATGCTGGGTATCCCTCGTTCCAACGTCATGGCCAACGTGTTGCCCGCAGAAAAGGCCAGCTTTGTGCGACAAGTCCAAGACGGCTCTGTCCACGCAACAGCACACAGCACCGGAACGCCGGAGTCTCAAGACAAGACGGCAAGTCGTTCCATTGTTGCCTTCGTTGGAGATGGAGTCAATGATTCACCTGCGCTTGCCGCTGCAGATGTTAGTATTGCAATGGCATCAGGCTCGGACGTCGCCATCAACTCTGCCAGCTTCATCTTGCTCAATTCGGACCTGAGCACGATCTTACAGCTTGTCATTCTCAGTCGTCGCGTGTTCAATCGTGTCCGGATGAACTTTGGATGGGCCGTGGTTTACAATCTGTGTCTTGTTCCCGTTGCTGCTGGTGTCTTCTACCCGATTGTGAGTGGTCATCATCAGAAGGTCATCGGTGGTGAGATGATCACCGTGAATGAACACTGGAGATTGAGTCCTGTATGGGCTGCACTGGCCATGGCACTAAGCAGTATTTCGGTTATTTCGAGCAGCCTGGCTTTGAGGATCAGTATGGAGAGTGTGAGGAGGTTGTTGACTTGGAAGAGATCAGACCGTGTTTCATAATTAGAATGCTCCTGTACAGTTCGTCACTCAAGCGTTCCTTTACTGATTCCCATCAAATTAAGTTTCATTCGTTTCATCCTTTAATTTAGAACCATATCTATGTAGCTTTGCTCTTTAAAAGCCATTGATCATCCAGATGCTCCCCACACCTCGGCAACCTTCTTGCTTAATACTTTGCCGAAGGTTTTCCGTCCCACGACAGACTGTAATTTATCCGACATCAATGTTTCCCGCTCGCTAGGCTCTAGTGCCATGTATGCTTCCACAAGGTGCCGCGGCGTCGGCCATAGTCGCTGGATCGCCATTGCTTTCTCACCGGTCACATGACGCATACACATGAGCATCTTCAAAAAGACGTCCCGAAGGGTTAAGGTGTTGGACTTGGAAGCAAGAGCTGAGAATGTGGAGAATGTGACACCGAACGTGACGGACGAGTCCCTCGCTCGGAGGTCATCCAATAGACTGAGGTAAGACTGTATTGAGGAGATGCGCCGGCTTGGAACAACAGCAACCGAGTTCGGACTCGATGTGGAATCGCTTTGGCTGAGACGAGGCTCGTGGCAGGGCGAATCCTGCGCGCCGTACATTTTGCGAAGCAGTCGAGTCATACGGGCGAGATATCGGATCGAGTCGTCGAGAGAACGAGTTTGCTTCAAAAAGTACCCATTAACCACCTGGGTCGATGCAATCGCCGAAGCGGCCATCTCCTGGTACTTCGATGCACTGCTGGGACCAGCATCGGCGTGCGCCACTGAGAATTCTTCGATGAGGTAGATGACATTTTTGATACCCGATCGTTTGAGACGAAATTTCTGCTCGTGGAATCGTCCATCTTTGATAGAGCCAATGAGATCGTCGAGACGCTTTCTTTCGAGGATCCAGTCCAGCATTACCTCATCACATTCTTCGCCATAACGAGTGAGATATGCAGGGTCCCGACACTTGGCCACCCACATTATATCGCCTAGCTCCAGAGCCCGCACCTGGGGTGTGATGCCTTTCTTTATGAGCTCGTTGGCAATATAGTCTCGGTCTTTTTGAGTGCGTACTTCTCGAGTATCGAGCACTAACTCGACGGTAAAACTTCCTGGGGGAAGGGTGATAGGTTCCGTAGGGCCGTCGGTGTGAGAGCTTTGCCCAACGAAGCTGGTAGGCAGTGCTTGTATTACAAAGTCGTCATCGCCATCGCCTGGGAGGGATCTGGTCCCGTGCGCAGGGGCCATTTGCGTCGGTTGTTTTCGAGAATTGCTCACTGTAGGGGCGGGAATATTCTCTGATGCGCCAGGCAAAGTCTTTTGAATACGTTTGGCCACTTCCCAGCCCTCCTCAGAAAGCGCATATCTCCTGAGTGGGCGACCGTGTTCGTAAACGAGGTCCTTTTGGATCAACGTCTTCATAGAATTCCATGCCGTGTAGAACTTCGATGGATCCGGGGGTGCAGTAAATGAACTGTCACAGTACGGTTGTGCCACCTCTATCAGATGAGCTTTTGTCATACCTTGACCTGGGTTCTCGCCTTGAGTAGCCAGACCTAACAACAGCGCATATGGTCCAGAACGTAGAGTTGGTACATAAGGTTTGGCTTTTCGTGGCTTCTTCGCCGGTTGTTCAGCAACGCCTGTATCTGATGTCCTTTTATTACCTATGAATTGACGTTAGTCACAAGGCTTGGCGAGGAAATGTGGCCATCGCACACCTTGACCAGGGACTTGTGGCACAGGAAGTCCATTTTCTTGGCAGTAGGCCTTCAGCTTGTCTGTCAGTCGGTCACACAGTTTTGGGCCGAGTCCATTCAGTTGTTGTGCTTGTGAAGGATGCTCGAAAGCCAAGGGACACGCTTTCATCGACTCATAGGCTTTTTTGTACCTGGACGTAGATTAGACACGGGGAATTCAAGTAAGGTACGTGAAGGGTACCGACACTGTCACGCCTTTGCTGTTGCGCTCGCGGGCCTGATCCAGCCATTCTTTAATCCACCCCAAAAGTAGGGGATTCGCACACTCCTCGCTCATGGTGCCCTCTCGCCGATCAGGCTGTGAGTGAGTGTTGAGTTGACAGTTAGTTGAGGGACGCGACGTGTATTTCCACTATTTCCCCTTTGGGAACGATTGCAGTCATGTGACTTCCGACAGGTAAGCAATAATCTAAAGTTGAGAGACATCTCATTCTGTCACGAACTAGTGAGCATTCATGTCTAAAGATCGGATTCCTCGGGAAATGAAGCCCAATTACCATTTCGATTCCCCACCCTCGCAACTGGAAGGCCCTGGCGGTGGAGTATGTCCTGTCGTAGATACAAGCTGGACTGCGCAAGGATGACGTAGACAAACCCAGTTTCCCGGACCGCAGGAACTACTTCATACCCATGGCTGAAAACCCCTGCTTAACCCGTGGATTGATTGTATCTTCTCTCATTCTCTTAGTTCTCAATTTCAAGCCCAGGTTCATTCTCATTGGGATTTCCTTACGCGATGTCTAGCGAAGATGACAAAATCCCAGATCTCAAGGTCAACACGGCCAGTGATGGTGCCGAGAAACCCCAAATTCCAGATGGGCCAACAGATAGTCATGTTCTAGCACAGGTTGAGCAAGAAGACAAAGGCTTGATTCAAAAAGCTGGTGAGACAGCCGACATTACCGATGTCGGATGGAATGATCCCGCGGACCAGGCTGAACCGTTAATCGCCGGCTTATCGAATGAAGATCTATGGATGCTCATTCGACGGTTTGACAAGGTATCTTTGCTCAATGAGAATATTCATCGTAGCCAAAACGGATACTGACATGCTTCATATAGCAAGTCTATTGTGTTAAAGCCTTGCCTGAAGCACCCCTTCAAAATCTTGATCTGACTCGGGCGGATGACGATGAATTTTCGCCAGACAAGTTACGGGCAACAATCGAACGCTTTTATACCACAATAATTGTCAAGCTCACCAGCTTCATCAAGCATATTGCGCGGTTGCGATCTTGGAAGGAGACTCGAAGGACTTCTGTCTTCTGCGCCGTGGGTCAATTCCAGGGAAATAAAACATTCTCCAAGTAATTAGCACTGACTCAATGGTGATAGGTCTACTGCATCGCCTGGCTTCTCGACCTTCTTGTACCCACGTTCTTCGCCATCCTCATCGCATTGATCGTATACCCACCATGCCGATCAGTCATGTTTCCACCAGCACCTATTGCGTTGGTCGACAAAGACACGGGAGGTGTCCAAAAGCCCAAAGCTGGAGTACTCGGATCTCATGATAGTATAACCGGGGCCCCACAGAATTTTAAAGGTGAAGCAGCTGAGCAAGAGGCCAGTAATCTGGTGGCAGGCGTTGCTAGCATTGCTGTGGGCAGCGCCGTCGGAAAACACGACCAGGGAGTGCCGGACGATGCGCCTTTGGAAGACACGGTCCCTGATGCCACAGACTTGGTCTCTCACACTGCCGATGCGCAGAGTAAAGCGCATGGTAAAGTTCCATCTGATCTTCACGACAAAACTCGACAACCGATGAAGAAATCTGTAATGGACGGAGCTAATATGCTGATGCAAATCATTTCTGATGTCACCGATGCGTTCGAAAAGTTTGAGAAGTAAGTCGCCAGTGCTTCTCTCCTTTATTTCCCACTCGATTTCGTGTTAACAAGTTCAGCGCGCTGTCTCCCACGCCGCCATTCCCGCGACTTACCCCTCGCTTGCGATTGGCAGCCGTTTTAGTTCCAGCATGCCTTCTATCAGCTTGTACTCCCCTCTACATTTTTTCAAAACTAGCTGGACTCGGTGTCGGCTTTGGCTTCTTTGGTGATCCCATCATCAGGCGTGGCCTTGCCATCCTCAATCGGGATTTCCCTCACTGGCAAAGACTATTCGAACTGCAGAAGCAAGTCTATCGTTTTGGAGATCGATTCCCCCGATACGTCACTAACAGCTTTATAGTTCGCTTCTGAAAGGAATTCCAACAAATGCTCAGCTTACTCTCACACTGTTGCGCATAGGCGAGGCTAATGCATCGCCTTTGCCACCTCCTCCAACTTCTCGAGGAAAACCTCCTTCCCGACCAGCCTCGCTCCATCACGAGGAGCTTACTTTAGGTGCCAGCAGTGAGGAAATCCACCAAGCAGCGTCGGCTCAACCAACTCACCAAGCACAAGAGGTTCAATCGTCGCCCGAGACCCCCCCGAAGAAAAATTTTGCCTCCAGAATCGTCGGCTTCTTCCGCGGGACAACTGCCACGGGAGTGGAAAGCAAGCAAGCTATTGATCGAATGCGCGCAGTGGTCGGTTCTCGCCACGCCAAGAACCGGGTCGGTGTCCTACGCCCCAAGGGACGTACGGAAACACCTGTTGGCCCTGTCGGTTTCGCTGCCCGATACAAGGGTGCCCAGGGGGCCGTGGTTATTGACTCGACCCAGGAGCCTCCGGTGCTTTACTTTACCACCGATATCCCACAAGATGGCGATCTCTATGTGGGGCATCGCAAAAAGGGATCCGTACTCTTCTCCATGCCAGTTACGGATATCCGGGAAATGAGAAAGCTTGGCGGTATGGGCTGGAAAGGAAAGCTTGTGGTTGGCTGGGCGATCGGTGGAAAGGAGGTTGTTGATGGCTTGCTGATCGTGGGCAAGGATCCCAAGCAGTCATACCAAGTAACGGCCATGGGAATGAGAAATCAACTATTCAATCGGTTGATTGCTATCGATGGACAGGTTTGGGCGAGCTTTTAACATGAAAATTCTAAGAATGCACGCTAAAATGATCCCAGGTTTGGAGGTAGAGTGCCTTTTGGACATGACTTTCTTTCCGAATCATGCAGGGAAGCAAGCTTGCGGCTTGCTTGAACAAGTTGTTATCAATTTGGAGTATTTCTGGAGCAGGTACCAATACAATCAACTTCATCAGTATCCATTCATTCTGATGATTCCAATAGAGGATCCGAAGACCATTACAAGAATATCTCAATGAGAGAAACTTACAGTGTATCTAGCTAGGCCTTCTCATGGGTCACTAGATTCAAAATCTGAGCAGAAAAAGAGCTTGCTGGATGAGGCATAGTTTGTTGTACGAGTAACAAGATCCCAATTCAGAGATCTGGGCGGGAACAGCCATGTGCCAGAGCTATCGATATCCATCCAGGCCGATTAAAGAGCCATTATAGGAGATTTCGTGTTACAAAGACCGATATATCCGGGCAAAATTAAAGATTCAACTTCTTTCCAGTTGGGTGTAGCAAGTGGCCCGAGCTTCCCGCCCGGGGGAATACTCTTTCCCCAATAGGAAGGTAGAGGTCCCTTACCTAAGGAAGCCTGTGGCCCCCGATATGTCAAAATTCCCCTCTACTCCCCCGTTGATCAATTCATCAAAACTCCCTTACATTTGTCCTTTGACAGTACCATACTGAGTGGTGAGTATTCTTATATTCTATGTAAGCTCGCTAAATTGACAACCAGAATGACAAGATCACGCCCTCCTCGCTTCATCCCACATCGTCTTCCCTGCCACATCACAGGCACTATCGAGCCATAAAACCGCCCCCAACTCCATTTTCAGTTCATACCAAGTCGATAAGCCCCGTAATGTGGCATAGAGCTTGAGCTTTGTTGCATACCAGCTCCTATGGGATGACCACTTTGCTACAATCCCACCCATCATGAGACACCAACCATACAGCTTTAGAACTTCGAGTGGTTCGTCTTGAATCACTTGGCTGTACGCTTGAAGCTCAATCTGAAGCATCTCAGCGAGGCTTGCCATCGGAGCATTTTGGGGCGGGAGAGGGAATATGATGCCTATCCCAAAGGTAACCAAAGCCAGACGACAGCACTCGTACAGAGGATAGAAGCTAACGTGAGCTGATCCAAGCTGACTGGACGGTAGTAGGGACATGATGTGCCACTGAATAACGTTCCGATAGTCGCAAAGGGTGTCCATGCCCAACTGAATTCCATCTTGGAACGCTTCGATGAGTTCAAGGTATATCCGCAAGCTTCGGAAAATCTTCTGCATCTCTGGTATGACGTGCTCGCCTTCGGAAATTTGGGACTTTGGGTGTTCTGAAAAGTCGTCAATGCCAATTATGTCTTGCAAGGTCATTCGGGTGCCTCCGCGAATTGAAATGTACGGGAAGGTAGGTCGGGTAAGTGCTCGGCTAGCGCCCAAGACGCCCGAACTATTTTCAGCCATCAATATCTCACATTCAAGCGGTCTTTCGTTGTGGGTTTAGTATAGGTTATTACTTACAAGGCAATCACAGTGGCGAGTCCGGGCAGCTCAAGTTTCTCCAAGCCCCCTCTTAGCGACACCAGTTGTCGCAACCCGGCTTGGTGAACTGGATGTGGAGACAAGCGGCCGTACACGTCAAGCCACTGCAAACTTCGCAACGGAGACTGAAATGGGGACTCGGTGATGTCTTCCCATAATGGATTCTCCAACTTGTTTGTGGCCAAACACAACACACACAAGATCAACGAATCCGTGACCGCTTCAGAAGGAATCTTGATGACACGGTTGATTCTTGCAATAGCCTCTGCCTCACAAACTGCCATTTGCTTGGCATCCTCAGTGCTGAAATGACCTCGCTGCTTCACCAGCCACAGTGCTCGTCTGTGGGAGTATGATCCATATAGCAGGGTGCTATGGAGTGCTGCGCTGCAAGTAGAACTTGCGAACCATCTTTGCACACCGACGTGAGTTGCTCCCATGGACGACTTGGGCATCAGACCGGGCCACAAGATTGACAATGCTTATGCCGAAATGTTAGTCAACAGAATTCAGGAACTGGGGTTTATTCAGAAACCTACAGTATTTGTTACACCTACTAACGAGGTCCGGTGACACGGGCGATGCCCCAATGGTCTGGAAAGGATCCAGGATGCTTGGGCTGATTCCACTGAGACACATAGACGAGCCATAGTCAAAATCCATCGCTGCGTTTTGCTCATCCCAGGGGTCTGGTAGACCTATCTCACTTTCTGGATGAGAAAAGGTGAAGACATCCTCGTCGAGCAGATCTTGCCCGAAGTATGTCTGACCAGGCACCGCTGACTCGGGTACCAGGAATGGGTACGATTCCGCATCTGTTTCCGTGTCTCCCAATATGTCACCAGCCGAGAAATCATTCGTCTCAGAATCTGAACTTCGGTAATCGTGAGAGGACTCGCGGGTGGGGAAGTGATCGGTGCCACTACTCCGCGGACTCTCCCGTTCAGCTTTCTGCTTCGCTTGCTGCCATCTCCATCTCCCAACATGCGATCGGACTATTCGAAGATTATCTGGTCGTTCTCGACTCGAGGATGGATCCGCGATGATAAAGTGAATCCCCGCCTGGGCTCGCGTTGACTTTTGTCTTTGTCTCGGCATCTTTACCAAAATGCCCCACTTGGAAGCTTTTGCTCGTGCTGTTGATCAACGCTCGACCGTGTTGGTATTCGGAACCTGCATTCCATTCTGTCCCGTCTGTGGGGATGCCTGGGATTTTATACCACCGCGCATGGCAGAGTGCACAACGGCTAATGGTACAGCAGATTGACGGGCAAGACGCCGGGAAGGTGCCGATCCTACCTAATCAACGCATCTAGAGTTTTCGGCAGAGTCCTAAGCGAGAAGGCGAGCTCATTCAAACCGGGCCCCAGTCGAGTGGTAGCCATTGAAGCGCCACTTTTCAGTTAGCGCAAGCTTGGGACAGAGGGCATTCCTCCATTTGGGAAAATGCTGTCGGCTGACTGTACTTTGACCCAGACGGACGGTGCAGTTCGTCCGACCCAATTATTTAGCTATGCCAAAATATTGTGGAGCGCACAATAGCTTAAATTAGAGACTGCCGTAGGGCGGTCGATCGGGAGTGTCGGGATCGGCCGGATCAGTTTGAGCAAACCCCTTCTAACAGAAAACGATGGCTACGACAGATTTAAAGACTCTCGAGGATTTGAAGTCCTTCAACGGCCCGGAGAGCCGCCTTGGTTGCCCTCCTCTCCATTCGTTCAGCATGAACGTCGTTTCGTGGGTTGCTTCAATTGAGCATCAAGCTAGTCCAAGATAGGCACAAGGTAACTCTTGGCGTCCGTTGGCAAATCTATGCATCGGGACCCTATCCAGAATAATGAAAGGCGAATGTAGCTGAATAAAGCCAATTCGGCTAGAATGAAACAGCCTAACCAAGCGCAGGTTTATCGTTGAATGATCTCCGCGGCCTTCGCAGGCATTCTTCCAGTCAGGTGCGGACATGATGCGGGTACAGTGCGGACTTGTGCGGACAATTGTGGAGACAACTGTGGGGCCAACGGTACAATAGCGTTCTTCTGCGGCTGAGGTGTATACCCAAAGCCCATAAGCTTGGGAGCGGGGCAAATTATGACCTTCACAGCCCACCGGGCATGCCTTGACGAATGCTCTATGCGCTTCTATGCTGATAACAATTGCTCTGGCGTGAAGCATTGATCCCTTATGTGAGACATGGATCTCGAATATTCCAAATTATCGCGTGGCTTTGGGCTAGTCGGATGTCATCAGTCAACCTGGCTCGTCTGATTGTCATAATCAAGGTATGCACTGCCTGCGGCAGTGACCCAATCCGCCGCTAGAGGGCGGGATCCACAGGGGTGTTGTGGCGTGCGTTTTCGCTTATAGATCAGATCGAATAGGTCCATCAGTCTTGATTGACACCGTTCATCTGATGATGATTTATGGCAACCGTTCTAGCGTGTTGACCTTCGCAACTTCTTTCTCCAAAAGGAATATACACTATTCAAATTACGGTATAGTGTGCCGCACCGCTCGCATGTTCGTCATGTTTCACTTGCATTAGTTCAAATGTATATTCGTCTAATAGGCATCGAGGTACGGAATTCATGCGACCTCGTTTGGAAGCGATTACCTTGGTCATCTGTCTCTCCACATGCGCAAGCTTTGAATCTCGCTTACGACTTCTAGAACTGATCATCAACACATCTTCTGGTATTACTCATAAACGATAATACAAAGTCTATAGGCAAGGTCATGACTGCTCCAATGCGACTTTATAGTCTCTCACAGCCTGCTCGAAAGATTCATCACGCTTGAACCCGAGCGATATGGCCTGAGAATTATCAAATTGTGTGGGCCAAGATCTCAAAATTGGAACCAGCGCAGGATCTTCCTTCTCCGTGAGCAAGTCCAGCTTATCCTTACCGCCCACCTTCTCCAGCGCGTCCATCATGCCTTGCAGCGTGACACAAATACCCGGGACATTGATTTGACGAATATGAGGGGGCACGGAGTCCGCGGGTAGATGCAGTGTGAGAAGGAGGTTCTGAACGAGAGTCTTGGGCGAGCAGAGCCAGGACTTGAAGGACCGGTCTTCAATAGGAATGACGCATGCCTTGCCGTCCAGTGGCTCACGAATCATGCCGGAGAGGAAGGACGAAGCGGCTGCCGTGGGGGCACCGGGGCGAACGGAGATTGTGGGGAATCGCAGTGTGAAGCCGTTGATGAACTTGCGACGGGTGTACTCATTGATCAAGGTCTCGCACACGAATTTCTCAGCGCCATAGGAGGACTCGGGTGTTGGGATGACGCTGTCAGTCACGATCTCGGGTAATGGTTGACCATAGACCGCCTGACTAGAGGAGTAGATTACTCGCACTCCGGGACAGGTATGGCGCAGGGCTTCCAGCAAGTTGCGGGTCGCGTCGATATTGACACTCATGCCGAGGTCGAAATTCGCCTCGGAGCCAGAGGACATGATACCGTGAAAGGCAAAGACTGCACCTAGGGAGGAATTGACCACATCGCTGGCAGCATTGATGAGGTCGGCCTTGACGGCCGTGGCATTCTCGGGATGGCGAACGCCCTTGGGGATGGGAGGTTGGACGATATCGGTCAGGGTGACATGGTAGGTAGGATCGTTCAATAGCTCTGTAGCGAGCAGCTGGCCGATGAAGCCGGCAGCGCCGGTGATGAGAATCTGCATTGTTGTGTGATGAGTACGTTGCTGCGCTGAATTCCCAATCCAGGGGAATCCGTCGCCGAGGCGGGTTTATGAGGACAGCGCGCCGTTCTCCGCATTCGCATCAAGTCCGAGGCGATCTGTTGTGGCTCCTCCGCACCGGACTTTGCCCGGCAGGTTGCCAGCGTTGGCGGGTAGATCTGCGACGCAAGTGATCGGAACGCCGTACTCGAGTTCTCGAAGTTTCTCATATTCGCCGGCATCTTATTTGCAAGTGTGTTCATACTTCATAGACTGCAGTGTTGATCCGGAGATCAGAGCGATGTTGGTGGGGGGAATGGAACATCAACCTGTCGGACTCCGCGGGAGACGAAAATCCATAGACCAGGAACCGCGAGATCACGGCGACCCAATATTGGGGTCCTGTAGAGCCTGGAAGTCATATTTCATCTATCAATATCAAAGATAAAGGGGAAGACCAACAGGTGTCTACCATTGCAGCATCCGCAACTGCCTCGGTGTCCGACGGGCACAAGTCAACAAAGCGAACCCGCTCGGCCTCCCCCGACTTTCACACCTTCGCCTGCCCCGCCCCGAGTTTTGCTCCTTACCCGCATGCGCGGAGCATCACCGACTCCTCTCCTCCCAGCTCCAAGATGGATGCCTCTACTCCACTCAAGCGGTCATCGACCGACGCCGGGCTCGATTCTCCTCGCGAGTCCAATCGCTCAGAGTCACGACCGGTGGCCCCCAGGATATCCAAAGCCCGAGCCTGTAAGTCAGCGGCTTCCCCCACATGGTCCGACCGAATCCTGTTCAGGACTGACTCTCCATCCTAGGCGCAGAATGCAAGCGACACAAGATTCGCTGCGAATTTCGACCCGGAGAGAGCAATTGCACCAAATGCATTCGCAGCGGCATCAAATGCGTGGTCAACGATTTTTCCCAGAAATTCGTCGACGACGATGGAGTGTACGTTTCCCGAGCGGAGCCCCGCCTCCCCCCCCCCCTTCAATGCCGTCCTGGTGGCAAGGTCTCCTTAATTGATCGCAATTGCTAATGTCATTCTATGTAGATGGAAGTCACAGGCGGCAGCAAGTATGCAGCAATTGCAGGCGGCAGTCTCGCAGCTTTTGCGTCAAGCAGGCCTACCAGACCTCTCGACCTTTGGCAGCGGTGATACCCACACCGGACCCAGTCCGGCTGCCTCACATCACACCCATCGGCCATCCATTGATGCCTCCCAGTCGCACCACGGTCATCACGACGGGCCGGGGGTAGTGATGGATGTCACCCGGGAGCCATCTCAGGAACCCGACCTCCAAGACCCGGATCTGGTGCCGGCACCTATGCGGAGTCTCTACGAGGTGACCAAGCTGCGCAATTTACGTAACAATCATATCGAGGCACCCAAGAAGACACTATTGGAAGAAGACTTTATTACGCGAGGGTTGATCTCAATTCACGAGGCGGAGGAGTTGTTTGCGTACTTTAGTCGAACAATGAATCAGCTCTTATGGGGTGGAATCATCTTGGTGCATCGCGATCTGACATCCGTCCGTCGCGCTTCTACCCTACTCTCGGCAGCAGTCCTGACTGTTGCAGCTCTGCATATACCCAATCGCACCGACACGCTCAACCGATGCTATCACGAGTATGTCTCCTTGGTGTCCAGCATGGCTCTCACGCGAGCACACACGCTGGACGACATTCGAGGCCTCTGTGTCGGTGCGTTCTGGCTATCCGAGCTAAGCTGGAAGCTCTCGGGACACGCTGTGCGAGTCGCGACCGAGCTTGGTCTGCATCAGAGCTACCAGCGCCTGACGCGTGGGCATACCGATCAATATGAACGTGCTCAATTGTGGTATTTGCTGTATGTTTGCGATCATCACTTTAGTATCGCTTACGGGCGGCCTCCCGTTATCCACGAAGACGTCGCGATTCGAAATTATGAGACCTTCTTGGAATTACCCATGGTGGTTCCCGGTGATATTCGGCTTCTGGCGCAGGTCGCTCTATTCATGATTCTGACCGAGGCGTACCGCATGTTTGGAAGCGACACGGAGCAAGCCTTGACGGAGGCGGATTTTGGTCAATTGCGGGTATATAACGTTGCGGTGGATCAATGGCGACTACTTTGGCAGCCCCGGTCGGGTAGGTCTTTTCTCCGCAGTCGCTCTTTTGCCTCGACTATTCCAGTTACTGATTTTCCCGTCTAGCCGATAGCTCATACGTGCGAACATATCCCTCCAAGGGAGTGGTGTTGCACTACCATTTCGCGAAGTTCCAGCTCAATTCGCTCTCGCTCCGTGGGCTTTCCCCTTCGAATACTCCGGTCTTCTCCATGGACCGAAAGGAGTCCGCCAACATTGCAATCTCGTCAGCCATGGCATGCTTGAATATGGTGCTCGAAGAGCCCGACATCCGGGATGCAATCGTCGGGGTACCCATTTTCACTCATACGATGGTAACCTTCTCCGCCGTCTTCCTGTTGAAGGTCGCGATTAATTGGAACACCGCGTACCTCAGTATCAATGCGCGACAAGTGCGACGGCTCGTTGAGCGAGTCATTGAGCTAATGAATTGCGTCTCGGCTGGGGAGCGCCATCTGACCCGACACATTGCACGTGGACTCGGGAAAATGCTGGAGCGCTTCGACTCATGGGAGGCTGGCTGGCAGGTGGGCACGAACCACAACGGCAGCGAAGTTGAGGTGCCCGGGGGCGCGAATGCGATGGCACAGGGGTTCCCACCGCCCGATCTGATCTACGATATGGTGGGCACCTATGGCTTTGGGCTTGATGAGAACCTGCTGGACCCGAGCATGGCGAACTTTGAGTTCTTGGCGCAGTAGCGCAAGAGCGAGAGTCAGACGGGGGAGGGGGGCCATTTGGAGGGAAAATGGCCCAGGAGCCCTGGCTTGGATCTTCCCCCTGCGTAGTGCTATCTGCAAGTCCGAGCGGGTCTGAGCCATTCTTACGCAGCCTCCGAGGAACATTAGTCAACGACCAGGATCAGCATTTAGTTAGGGTGAGGATTAGGATAAGGATTAGGTGGTCCGGAATGTAAATAGACTGTATATACACGCACTGTCTCCGGTATGGCCACGCCCCAGAGTCTCCACCTTGCAGGTGTGTAAGCTCTCATCACTTCGAGGCAAGTTACCTTTCCCCAGTCCGTAGTTTGGTAGCTCGCTCCCTGTCCCAGTATGTACTCAACCCCCATGTCGTCACCTCGTCACCTCCAGGTTGATTGCGCCCCCTCTCCCTTGGTTCCCCCCCCCTCTCCTTGATCTTTAGGCCCAGCTTCGGTTCGTACTGCCACTCTTTCCCCTTTCCCTTTCCTCGTTTCCCTCTTCTCTTATAAATTGCGCGACTACTTCCAACCCCAGTCCTCCTAATTCCCTTTCTCCCCATTACCACCCCCCCATCTATATAACCGGGCCCACGCCCACCCCTTGCCAGCCTTAATTTTACGCCAATTCTCTCAAAACCTCTTCTCTTTTCTTATCCCACATATATAATCTGACACAATGTCTACCCGCAAGAGAAAGGCGGACCCCGAGGAGGAGCTCCAGGCTCTCCCCAGTGATGAGAGTGAAGAGGAAGAGGAGTAAGTATTTAATTTTTTCCCCATGCAATGCCGCGCAGTATCGCAGTGAGAGCCGTTTGTCTTCCCGATCACAATCCCATTCCCAGTCGCGCGATTACTTTGCGCGCGAGAATACCCGTCTGCTTCTGCTTACGCCCCCGGGGTCGCGCGTTAATTGCGACGCTCTTCGGGGCTAAGAACGCCCCCCTGCCCCTTCCTTACAACTTAGCTCTGGTGATGAAGGTCCCCTGCTAATCCAATGCGCGCATCTATCCAGGTATGAAGACTCCGAGCCTGATCTTTCGGATGTGAGTGACGAGGGCGAGGAGGAAGAAGGCGTTCTGGGAGAGTACGACGAAAGTGAGGACGAGGAAGAGGGAGAGGAAGAGGGTGAAGGAGAAGGTAATCATGAACCATGCGCATCGATATCACAGATGCCCATCCCCCGTACCCTGGGCAAAGCCACTTGCTAACGATCTATGCACCAGGTCCCCCCGCCCACAAGAAGCAGAAGACCGAGAACGGCACCAATGGCAAAAAGAAGGAGGTAGAGGAAGAGGGGAATGAGGAGAAAGAAGAGGACGAGGAGGAAGAAGAGCCGGCCGAGGAGGAAGGCGAGGACGAGGATGCAGACGATACTGCGGAGACTAGTGGCCCTGCTGCGGCGGCAGCGAAGGCCAAGGGTAGTGTCGTTCCTAAGGAATCCGATCTTCCCGAGGTTGATGCTGCCGAGTAGTTGTTGGAAATGGCCGCGGGAGAATAGGTGCATAGGGTAGCTCCTCTGTATGACAATTGAATCAAAACGATAGCCCTTACTTGGGGTCGCTGTATGATCGTACTACTGTTGCTCTCTTTGATGACATTTCCGTCCAATCAATGGGTTCTGATAGGGATGAATACTTCTAGTTAAATATGAATCTAATTATGGACCCGACTGGGGCTCTCCGTTGTGCACGGGCTACATTTCATACATGTACTGTAGGTTGATGGGGTCTCCACGAGTTATGCGACTATTATTACCCTTCTCATCCAGAACAATACTAAAGTGCCACCGATGAATCACAGACTAGCTTTAGCGACAGTATCACTTCCCTACCACCTCCCCCGAAGCCCATTCTCCGACTTCCCAAAAACAGGATCACGCCTGGGCTTCGGCACACTCCACACCTTCTCGAAATCGCCCCCCGCAGCAACGAAATCCCAATCCCCCCCACTATAAGCCCCCATCATAGTAAACCCATCCAGCTCAACCCTCGACAAAGCCCCCACCGGATCCGCAGCCTGGATACCATGCCCCGTGCCCGGCGAGAGCAATGCAAACTGCGCATCGGGCTTGGTATCATGCGTTTTATGAGCGACACCCGCTGGGATCACGAACACATCCCCAGCCTCGGCCTGTAAGACGACACCGCCCTCTTCCCATGCGGACCCGTACGTATTCTCGTGCATGTCGGGCGAGGTATCTGCCACACCGAACCGGATCTTGGCTGTTCCCGAGAGCACGGCCATGCACTCGTGTGCCTTGGAGTGATAATGTGAGAGCTGGGTGGGGCCGTATCGGAAGATCCATTGAACGTCCCATTCATTCTGCGTGAATAGTTTCCAGACTTCGACCGGGTCGCAGTGGGAGGTGTTTGGACGTTGTGCGAATACTTTCTTGTAGTGTAGTAGGGGTCGGGGGGAGTTGGGGATAAGTCCCGTAGGGAAGAGGTGGTATTGTTTGACTTCCGCCATGATTTGTTGCGGAGATTGATCGAAGTGGCAAGGGCGTGTGTTGCTGGAGGAGGAGGAGGAGGAGTATCTTTCCCGGTTTAAGTTGGATGTGGAATGGGTAGTATAATATTGGTCGTAGAAATGGGCAAAGTGACGAGGTCGGATAGCTTGCCGATGGTTTTGATGAGCAGAGCACCAAGGCACCAATGAATGGGTTTGGATAGTATGGGGTAGTTCGGGTGCAGTTACCGTTCGAAGCAAAACAATCCGGCGCAGATGATTTACGAATCCTAGCTGAGCATATCAATGCAGCTGAATTGTGCAGATTGATAATTGCCATCAAGGTCGTGGTTAGTGATGCATATGAATGGACGTACCTGTATAGAAGGTCGAAATTCTGCTTGTATACATCGATGATGTATGTACCTCGAACCTGATCGATTTTGACTCGAACTATGGAGCAAGCAGAATAAAATATACCATACACGGCTGGGATAATTCTTAATGAGGACCTCATGTCAACGGAATAGGATCCCATGGTGATGCTGAACACAAACAGCGTACTTGAGAGTGCGAAATCACCTTGACACGGTAGGAGAGCCCCATGTTGGCGATACCTCAACTAGGTTTATCACCAACTTCCAGGTCATCCAGTCACTCTCCCCCCTCATATGGCCTAGTTGGACATACCTTCAGTGGATGGACCATTCGGATGTGCCCTACGAGGGGAAATCACAGTACCGGTCTCCTGTGTCGAGCATGATCTCCACGGGTTACCGGGCACATCCCTAGACAGGAGAGAGTGGGCGGGCGGGATGCGAGTAAGGTGGTTCACCTGACTCGCGGTACATCTTCTTTTTTGGTTTATATCTATAATACTTCATCTGTCGTAAAGGGCTCTTTAAGATCTATAGTTTAATAATTAAAGAGGATCTTCAAGCGTGTTATGAAGGGATAGAGGGAGACTCTTTAGTAGGTGTGGCATCGGGTTGGCTCCGGATGATGTACTTTTCAGCATCGTGGGATGGTGATGGAGCATCGTTGTGAAGTATATAGGGAACTGAAGGTCGAGGGTTCGACTCATGGAAAGGAGGGTCATATTTTCCGGATTATGACATTGGGCATGTGGCCACCTGTGTAAGGCTCGATCGTCCAAAGAGACTCTTCTACGCTCCCCATGAATACCGGCCGTGAAATTGATCTCCCTAGGCCCGCAAATATTGAAGTTGGGATGATGCCATTCGCATGGGGCTGGTCTCGGTGAATAAGTGCTGGGAAAGAGAGCTTTAAAGCATGTGTCTTGCACGATTTGCTTGAATGTCAGGGTCAAAATGGGAATAATGAACAATGATATCAACCATAGACCTATATACCGTCTAAGCTACATACGTAGTAAGAAATGAGAAAAACGGATCATGGAACTGGCCACATCAAGGACGGTCATTAACCCTGCTGGCGCATTTCTCTACTTTGGCATTCCGACACGTCCCAAGGACCTAGACGCCGTCGTGTAATAACCCATATTTACCAGCTTCCAAGAGCTTCCGACTAAGCGTCACTTCCACTGCTGCGGAATGTAGCACACAGCTGGCAATATTGGTGTGTGAGGTCCAGGACGGCTTGCGGTAGGTTGGTCGCTTGAACTATGCTGCGGACCTTGACGGCGCCCTCATCCTCAATCAGCTTTCGTACCACGTACAAGAGTTCCGGGGAGAACTAGAGAGGGTCAGCATTGTAAGTCCATTATCAGTAAGCTATGTCAGAGGAAACTCATACCTCAGAGTACCAGCGGTACTGCCAAGCGATCAAGCGAATCAAAGCGCCCAGCATGCCCCGGGTATCATTCCTCTTTTCGTACAGCTTGAGAAGGCCACGCATGGCCTTGGGCGAGAATCGAATTGCCAAGCAGCTCTGGTATGCCTCGATACCCTCGTCAAAGTGGTGCAGTCGCTCTGCGAGTTCACCGAGGATCTCCCATTCGGTAGCTGACTTTTTGTATTCCATGGCCTGCTGGCGGAACTGGGCCATCTCAGTTCGCCAGATTGTGTAGATGCGGAGATCCTCGTAGAGCACCATGAACAGGTTGTCCAACCACCGCTCACAAAGGCGCTTATTCCGGAATTGCGTGTATTCGCTGTGCGACGGGTCAGGCTATAACAGATGATTAGTAAATACTTTTTAACTCCTGGAAGGCTAGCAGTCGAGAGAGGGCCTACATCATCATTTCCAGACTTGACCACCTCGGATGCCATGCTTTGCTCAGGTCGCTCAATGGAGCTTTCGACTTTGGTCTCATCGCCATCGCCGTTGATTGCCGTCTCGGGAGCAGGCTCTGCGGGACCAGGGCCAGAAACGGATCCTGAATCATCGTCATGGTCATCCTCGATCGACTCCCCATTCGTCTCGGCTTCGAGTGACTGTGCGGGTTTCGGAACATGCTGGCGCTCAACACGGTATTCCTCTTCCATGACAAAGACCTCGCTGCGGGTCTTGAGCAATTGATCCCATCCAATCGCAGCGGCAATCTTGGTGAGCAGGTTGTAGGCCTTGAGGAACGTTCCCTGGTATCCAGCAGCGTGCAGTTTCCTCAAAGAAGGATGGACGTAGTCGTGAGGATCCCCTTGCTTAGGCTGGCCCTCGTCAATCTCATCGAGAATACTCTCAGACAAAATGGGAAGCATGATACGAGATGGTTGTGGCATGCGCGGAGAATCTTTATCCTGGTATGTAAACATTGGGCACGAGTTGAGAGTCAAAAGTGCCAAATCCCACTGTTCCAAGCCAACATAGACTTCAGCTAAGCGAGCCCAGGTGCTGAACTCACTAGGTGCAGCAGTTACAGCTCGCTTGGCACACTCGAGGGCCATTTCGCCTTCGCCCTTGCCCTGGCAGAACTCTGCCTGGCAGTCGAGGAGAGCGTAGTCCATCGGGACATCCTGCAGGGCATCGTACATCAAGCGCACTGCTTGCACCTCCTCGTCGGCCATGATCTGTACACGGGCCAGAAGTGATGAGACCTCCACGTCGCGTGTGCGCAGCTTCTCGAAAAGATTGATCCCAGATGTATAACGGCCGGTTGTGTAAATGTATTTGAGAATGCCGGAGGTCAAGTGGTTGCTGACAGTGTTGGGGACTTGCGTCTCGGGGTCGGAGCTGAGCTGGCGACCTATAGCAATGTTAGAATAGACCAGCCGCGAGCACCAATTTCACCCAGACGTACCCAGGAAAAATAGCTTTTCAGCAGCATCCAAGAACTTGTGTTCCATCTCCGTGTTCGTCACTGGATTGAACCGTCTAACGCCCACAATCTTCTTGATAGCATCTCCGCTCCCATCATCAGCGTACAGATAAGCCCTCAGAACAGCGCACAAGAACGTTTCCAGCCAGAGCGCCTCCGTAGCCACACGCTTATCTCCGTGCTCATCAATACAGTATGCCTCCAGACTGCCGGGGATCTTAACTTCGACTCGCATGTCAAGGTGGGAGAACGCATTGTAGCAACTGCGCAGATATTAGCGATGGGCTTCAAACCGACGACAATCAACCAATCTGACCAGTATATCCCCGACACTACTTTATGCGTCTTATCGAGGGGTGAGAATGTAAGGGTGTTGACATAGGCGGCGAGACTAGCGGACGAGGAAGCATCGATTCCGGTAACATGGTGGTACACACCGGTCTGCCAGAAATAGCATCATTTGTTAGAAGCCGAGTGTGACAGGGGTGGAAATGGCATTGAATCCTACCTGCCGGGTTGAATTGGCCTTTGGTTGCTTCACCAAGTAGACCAGGTCCGGGGGACCCAATTCCCGCAAGCTCTGCAGCGACTCTGTGCGCGCATCGACCGCAACGAACAGTTCCTCCTCCTCATGGATCCTAGGCAATTTCCAAATAGTCAGTTACATATCCTGCAAGTTGCGCAGCTTCAATGCCTATCCAGAGCGAGCAATCGCCATGCGCATCCATCTTCGGGGACCACGTAGCCCCGGGGGTGATTTCAGGAGCACTTACTCGGGGACGGCGGGCGCGACCATGGCGCCTGCACCTGTACTGTAGAATAGGAAGTAAGAAGAGGTCAAGCTCAAAGCACAGGCCGAGAAAGAGAGGGGTTTATCGAAAACAGCACTGTCGTAGGGAAGTTGTAACTAAGCAGCCTGAAAGAGCTTCAGGCCATCAGGCAACAAGGCGGAGAGAGGGCGCCCTTGCCTGATTTGGCAGCCAACGCGTGAACCGCGATTAACTTGCGCCCGGCGCTTGTCATTGCTTGTTCTTCTTCATCGCAGTACACCGAGCCCAGCTGTCGTCAGGGCTGTTGGCGATGCGTCAGACAACTCTCACACTCGTTTATCTTAATTGAAAACAGCCCACAGGCAGGTGGAAACATGACAAGCTGGGTCGCGCTGAACGTGGAACCGGACGATGGTATTGAGGAGGAGGTTGACGACACCAAGGAACTCCAGATTGAAGAGGCTCTGAAGCTATACCACACTGCTTTGAAGCTCCACTCGCAAGGCCCGGAGTATTATTCTCAAGCAGCAGAGGCGTATGACTCTTTGCTCAATTCTGAGATCTTCAAATATCCCGAATCCCTCTCCGATTTCAAGCGGCCCGATCTAGCAGACGCGCAAACAGCTGCTGCTGTTGCTGACGACGCTGCCGCTGCATCAGATGCAGTCGCGGAGTTCAATGTCAATGATTCTACATCCAGCCTTTTCCAAACCCTCTACCTTTCCTATAAAAACCACGGAAAATACCTCCTCGATTCGCTTCACGAGACTCTACGGAATACGCCTCAGGACACCGATAAATCACAAGATGCCGCGCGAAGGACATCGAAAGCAACGAAGGATGCGGTACAATCATTCGCAGAGGCGCTCGAGCGTGATGACACCGACCTGAACCTATGGAGACAGAGTGCCAGGCTCGGTAGTGCTCTTCAAAGCTATCGGCTAAACCGATTTTGTCTGGAGAGCGTTCTAGCAGATGATGATAATCGCTTGGAAGTTCGATCGACACAACTTGGTTTGGAGGAAGCATTCTCGGAAGAACGCCTGCGGAGCACTCTCCGGTCCCTCTTCGATGGGCTGTCCGCATCCCAGATTCCAGTCAAGAAACCGAAAAAGGCACTCGAGAAGTATCTTAAACAGCACGCCGATTTGTATTCGTACCTACCTACTCTGCCGACCGATATACAGTTCCTGGACCCAGTCAAAGGCCCTCTCGCCATCTCGACGTCGCGCCGGGAAATAAGACCCTCTGAAGCAACGTGGGAAGCTGTTGGCCAAGCTCTTCTCAAAGCGCTAGACGACGAGGAAGATTCGTCTATCGCTGACAGCCCCAGTAAAGCCATAGGAGTCGCACTACCTCCCAAAAGCTCCGAGGCTCTCGAATCTCTCGAAGCCGAGGAGATGGATATCGTCCCCGAGGAGGACGAGGCAGACAAGACAGCTAGGCCCGAGATCGAAGATGTTGACATGAACAAGGAAGGCGAGGAAGCCAGTGAAAATGAGAAACCTGCAGAGGAGAATGAACAGGATCAGCCGACTGAGGAACAGTCTTCAATTGATCAAAGTGCAGAGAAACAGCTGATGGAATCCCTGGAGCGACAATCCGTTCACCCACCCGAAACACAAGCCCCCGAAGAAGATGCCAACCCTGAAGAGGTAGAGCCAAAGTCTCCATCTGATACCCGGAAGAGATCATCCACATCGGCTGCGAACGATGAACAGCCGGAAGGGAGCAGAATGAAGAGTCGACGAACCCGAGCTCGAGAGTCGAATGCGGACGCGTTGGCTCCACCTGATGAGGTTGCTTTCGATCAAGAGAAATACTACGAAGACCGTTTGGAGGTCTATGCCAATGCAGATGATTGGATGTTTAACACCCTTGGCTCCTTGTACTCCAAAGTTGGCAACGAAGCTCTGGGCTCAATTAAGAGTCTCAGAGAAACGGTCGCAGCGCTGAATGACTCCGACGAGACTTCCCAGGAGCCCGAGACACGACTCATTCAGGATCTACGTGGAATCTTCAGGACTTGGAATGATGAAAAGTCTCGCTTGATGCAGCAAAAAGACGATCTTTCTTCATTAAAGGATATCCGTGGTTCCAACAAGTCGGGATTGTCCGTTTTCCTCAAACACTCTAGAAAGGGTACCCGAAAGCCCATTGTTCAGCAAGAGCTGGGATCGGGGGAGGAGCTTTATCAGTTCTCAGAAACGGTGAATAGCAGCTGGTTGCATCCACATCAAACGTCATACGAGTGGCTTAAATGTCTCCTCTTGCCAGAATTTGGAAATGGAAATTCTCAATGGCCGGCCATGAAGTCAACATACACGGCACTCTTGTGGTCCAAGGTCCTGAAAGAGACTGTTCTGAAACTTCTACTGCGCGAGGATGAATTCATCTTTTCAAGGACGAACGAACTCGTCGCAGACACTCAGAAACGTGTTCTTGAGTCAAACTCCAAGTCTTCTTTCGAGTATCGACAAAGTGATTTTGCTGAACTCGAAATGATTCAGTCAATCTATGAACTTCATTTGGATGTATTTGCATCCATTGAGAACAATAGCAGCGAGGATAGTCAAGAAAAGCGACACGCCCAGAAGGACCGCCTTGCCAGATGGGGTATCCTCGCCCGATCAGCGCTGGACCTTCTTCTTGACTATTGTTGTTCAGAGGACTGCCGCCAAAATCTCGCCCTCCGTCATCTTTGGGCCTCGACGTTTCACGTAAACCTTACCGGCGAGGCTGATCGTGAGCACATCTTGCTTTGTCTCCAAGACCTGAAGCACATACTTCAGGCCATCGGTGACCCCTGCCTCACTCTCTTGAATAACCCTACCATGTCTGAGCTTTCTGTTGCGACGATTGATCAAGAGGTCCTCAAGCTCAAGTGTATGGATTTCTTCGCTAAGGTTTTTAACCCGAAGGATGAAGATCCTGTATCCCTCATCGAAGCTATCGAGCCTATCCTTGAACCTTCATCCATTGAGTACGCAGATGGGTCGCCAAAGCAGAATGATCCAAATGGCCCCTCCTCTACATCCACGGAAATGGGTGCATTCCTAGATCGTGGCGATGCGACATTACGACTTTTCTTATGGCGAAGGCTCCAGGAAGCGTATCAGGCTATTGATTATCCGCCGAAGGTTGTGTCATGCTATCTGCGGAGCATTGAAATCATCATGAAGGAGCTAGAGGACCCCAAGCACCTTGAAGAGACGATTGGAACCCGGCAAGTGACCTTGCTTGGCTGGCTAAAGTCACTGGATGCAATCATGGGCAAGGCAATCCCACTCGTTCTCCAACAGGTTGACAAAGCCTATGAGTGTGTTGATATGGAGCATCTTCAATCTTCGATGTCAGCAGTAGCCCGCCTCACCCGACTCATTCATACTTTTGTATTATATGAGGATTCGATCCGTGTGGGCCAAACATCGGGCCGTGACCTTCGTGGGTCATTGGCAAAGTCCTTCGAAAATTTCAAAGAAAGGATGCGGGAGCTCTATGTTCGATGTTGGATCCTACAGTATACCTTGTTCGTAGAGGCAATCTCCCAGAACAAGGATGTCTTTGAGGAGCCACTGGAGGATCGGATTCGCGTGCTTCGGTCTGTCCATAATGCACTTGGCGTTCGCTCGATGTGCAGATACTCTCAGAAACGATTCTTGAAGCTCATGAAGTCCGAGTTGTTGGATCTAGAGACTAAGGGTGATTATGAGTTCGATATCTGTCAGGTGCTCGTGGATCTTCATGGCATCAAATTCTCGCCTTTTGATGGGACTTCTGACCACGGATGCTCCCCTGAAAAATTGGACCGCCCTACTGCTATCATGATGATCGACTTTGTGATGAGACAGGCACAGAACATGAACATGAAGGATTTATCCAAGTCTGACTTGAAGACGACCATCGAAAAGATGCAACAAACAATCGTTCCAGCCAAGATTTCATCCTCGCCCCAAATGACTTTCAATCGACGGATCTTTCATGGCTACATCAAGGCGGCAATTAATCCATCCATTCTTCTTCGGGCTGTCCAGGGAGTATTGGAACTTTCAATGCTGACTGTCCCGGGCGAGAATGCTCAAATCGCGGCCAAGGGATGGTATTTCCTCCTCGGTCATGCCGCGTTGACAAAGTTCCGGTCTCAGAAGCGCCTCAGTCCCGGCTCGACGACAGAGCTCGATGACGCCATCAATTTCTTCAGGCTGGATATTGATCATGGATCTCGGCGCTGGGAGACCTGGTATCGCCTGGCTCAGGCGTACGACACCAAGCTCGAGGAAGAAATAACGTGGACGGCCGACAAGATCAACAACAACCGCAGTGAACTGGCAGCCACTCAACGGTATGCAATCCATTGTTATGCAATGGCCGTTTCAGTAGCAATGAGAAGTGCAGAGCCGACAAATGAGACCCGGTCGCTTCTGTCAGATCTTTACACTGATTTCGGAATTCGGATGTACTCTTCGTCTCGTGGCCCGCTTTTGATGGGGGCCTTTGGTCTTTCGGATTTCTCTCGCCACTTCAGTAGCGAGGAGAGTCAGCAAATGTACAAAGGCCAGCCTTTCAAGGAGATGTCCTCATACTCCGTGTGGAACTTCGCCTGCAACCTCCTTAAAAAAGCGCTCGTGGATAAACCGAAACGGTGGATGTTAGTTTCAAACATTAACTTCTATTTCAACAAGGAGATAGCTAACAAGCTTTTAGAACCCACTATTTTATTGGCAAATGTCTCTGGAAGATGTTCAGTTGTGACGATTCCTTGCGAACGACTTCAAAGCGAGTGGAAATGCACGATGTCCTGGATGCTTTTCACGATGCTATCTCGAGTCTTCCTAAGAAAAAGGACTCCCGCGCAGACCCTGTCTTTGAGCCACATTTCAAGCTTGTATCTATTGTTCACAAGCTTGTTCTCCGCGGAGACATGACTGTAAGTCTGAATCTCAAAATTTTCGGCGCTCAGTATCTGACACCTACACAGCCGACCGAGGCCAGTCAAGCCCTTCAAGCAACACCTTGGGCTCGCAAAGTGGAAGAACCTGGGAATATGGAAGGGTGGAAGCCATATATCCTCGAGGTTGTTAGGAAGTTCAAGAGCGCCGACAAGTCCAACTGGCACCATCGGATGAGCGCAAAGGTAATTCCTGTCGCCTTTATCTAAGATATTTTGATCTTTTTTGATCTTTCCTTTTTCTAACTGGCCTAGGCTGCGCACATAATATATGACGACGATAAGAACGCAACTGCCGCAACCGCTGCCAAGCAAGAACTCTCACAGATCTTCACAAAGACGCTCACCATTCAGGTCTGGCGACCTGAGTTCGAACGTCCAGGGAGACACTTCGTGTATACCACACGCTACGTGTACTTCTTTGTGAGCCTATTGGATCAGCTGGATGATCGTGCAAGCCTAGATCAGCTGCTACGTCGTGTGCGAAAGAAACAAGGGGATTTCATCGACCACACCAAGCTGTGGGAAGATGTGTGCTTGACTTATGCGAAGATGATCCGCAGAGCCGCGCATATCAATGAGGGTCATGAAGAAAGTGTCTTCAAGCCCATCGGATGGGAAGAGTTCTCCACTAAAACAGCTCGTCTAGAGACTCTGTCACAATTGTCTCCCGACAGTGTTCCCCTCCTCGAGCTAATTCGTGACTCGCTGGAATTGAAGAAGCTTAACAACAACTTGATGAAGGTGACCATGTTTGAAGACCTCGTTGCGGATCTGTACGCCCGAGTCTACGAGTTGAACATGCCATTGCTCATTGAGCAAGTGAATGAGGAAAACAAAGAAAAGATGAAGGTTGACCATCTCCTGATGACTGGGGATGGAAATACAGAGGCATCTACGCCTGCCGCCTCGCTTCCAGCTTCTGATACCCCAGCGCCGCGAGGTAGAACGAAGGGAATTGCTCGTCGTGATGTTCAAAAGCGCGCCGACACGATTGTCAACCTCAAACTCGGGCCGCGAACGGCAGCAAGCAAGTTCACCGCTGCGGCTGACACAGACCAGTCTACCTCCGCTTTACAGGGCCCCAATGCATCCTCGGGACCTACTTCAGCCCCTTACGGAGCAGCGGAACAGACATCTGGTGCGGGTGACAATGCTGGTGTCCCAAGGAGCGAACTAAATAGCTTCAACGACACTGCAGACGAGAGTGACCTGACCGACGTCGATGAGAGCAAGCTGAACCTCGAACACAAGTCTGTCTTTTCCAAAATCCATCATGCCGACGCAGGTGACATCGAAACCGAAACCGAGAACGACGGCGCCGACGAAGGGGAGGGGGAAGACGAAGAAGGCGACGAGAACGATGATGGCGAGGATGAAGATGACCCTGCGGCTACAGAAGCCGATGCTGGTGGCGATGAAGAGCAAGGTGATGAGGGGGATGACGAAGAGATCCAAGACGAGGACGAGGTTGGTCCAGATGGGGACGAGACCAAGCTCGATGATGATGTCGAGGCTACCGACAAAGAAGCCGATGAAGATCAGCCTGATCATAAAGACCCCGATGATTCAACCCAGGACGAGATTGGCGAGACCCCGGAGCACATGGACCTTACACCTTCGTGAAAGGTTCTTAATCTATTATTTTCTGTCCTTGTTTAGCAACGGTGGCGTATGGCTCGCATGTACCAGATATTCCTTTCTGGGTGTTCCGGTGGGGCGTTTTGATATTGCAAGATATACTTTACTTTATTGATACCAATAAGATTTTTCGCTGTTTGATTTCGCCATAATTTTGTTTCTCTTCGCGAGGCAACGAAACGATGAGTTGAACTAATTTCCAGCCATATTCCAAACGGGGATTTGTCCTTGGGAAATTACAGCTTGTCATCATTCATTTGAGTGCATTGACAACGCAGCAGGACAATCAACAAATAGCAAAGAAATTGAAATTATCTGCAGTATTATCAAAAGTAGTAAAACAAAAGGAGGTACGGTTCCCATGAATGACCAATTAGAACGCCCAAGAATATCTTTCCTTGCCCGGGGTGTATCCAATTAATCCAGTTTGCTAAAAGGAAAAATGAAAGCAAATCGTAAAGTCATGGCAAGAGTTACGTTAGAACTCTAAATCTCGCTCTCAGGCGCCAAGTCCCACTTGCGAGTCGAGATCTTCCTGGTCTTCTTGCCGGGTGAAGAAGACTTGGGCGTGGGAGATGGGGGCGAGAACATGCTGTCGGTAAGATTGAGTTGGTTCATGCGCTGTAGAGCGTTTTCAATGTCACTCTCCCGGCCAAGACGGTTGGCGGTTCTGGTGGGAGATGGTAGGGCTTGTTTTGCTCGTGGCTTGCGAGTTGGGGAATGAGAGGACATTTCACGTTCGAGGATGGCCAAGCGCCGACGAAGCTGCTCATTTTCGTTTTCCAGCTCTTCCACTCTCTCATTTGTTGACTGCTCCGGGTCTTCGTAGATGTAAAACCCTCGAGAGACTAGCTCAATCTTCTTGTCGATGTGGTCATCATTGCGGCCAATCTGGAAAGATTGTGATTAGCGACTGCATGTTTGCCATTGATTTTTCTCTGAAATCCGAGCTTCTCACCTGTTCATCCCATGCAGCCTGCCAGCGTCTCCGCTCTTCCTCCATTTGCTCATCCATATCAGCCCAGCATTCTTCACGAACCTCTTGTTCGATCATTACACATCGATCTTCGGCAGCTTGCAACCTCAGCTCGACCTCTGAGCGCGCAATCTCTTCTTCGGCCAATCGCACGGCAAGGCCATGGCAATCTTTCGTCAGCCTGGCGATTTCAGCCATAGCACGGTCTAGATCTTCGGCTGACGTATCGTTGGGTGAAGTGCGACCGCTTGTTGACCGACCCCGGGCAGAGGCCACCGAAATGATCGACTCGGTCAGCGACGGTATACGTGGAACTGTCACCTCTCGCGCCAGCGCTGAGTAGCGTAAGATTTGAGAAGTTGCGTTAAAGTCTCCAACTGGATCAGCAGTCACAACCATGACGGCCTTTTGAGGATACTGGCCCCGAGACATCTGGTTGGACGAGGGGAATGAATTAGAGAATAGGAGTTCAGTGAGTTTGCACTGGCGGTATGGAACGAGGGCAGTCTGTCGAAGTTAGCATTACTCAATGGGTAGTTTGAGAAGGATTCTTACCTTGACTCCATCTTGGAGATTGCTTTGCATTTGCAGACATTGGCCGAGGTACATAAGACTCTCATTGATTTTGCCAGCCTCTGCAAGAGTTGCACCTGCAGTTTTCGCGGTCCGGGCTCGTTCGGATCCTTATCACCGTTAGCATTCCTGTGCAATCCACGGTATTGAAAGGATTCAATGTTACCTGCTAGGTCAACCACTGTCAGAGTGTTTCCGGTCCAAATGGCTTCACCCTGTCGCTTGCTATGTGCCAATTTCTTAACTTCGAGACAGAAAAAGCCATGGCTCCGTGAGCTAACACTATTAGCTCCGGTTCCTGTGACCTTGCGTTCTGTCAACCCGACATCGAGAATAGCCAAAGCCTCTTCGTAACTACTGCAGGCAATCTTGCGTAGACCTGCGACCAGCTTTCGGTCCGGAGATCCCTCGGTAGGTTTGAACAACAAGGGGCGGCGTCGATCCTTCTGGGCGTTTCCGCGGGACATGGTGTTGCCTTGACCAGGTACAATCGAGGGCGATAACAGATCGAAGATGCGGTCGTTGTAAACCTCGTACATGGATACCAAAACAACATAGTCTGAGCTCGAGTTGAGATCTACGGCAAGATGGCTCACGTCTGGTAGTCTTGGTGTAGTCGGAGGTCGTTCGCGGGGCTGACGACGGGGGAAAATCAATGCGGGTGTCGGCTCCTTGAAGACATAAAGTCGTGATTTAGCTAAACGGGTCTCGTGGGTGTTGGGATGGGTAAAGGAAAGAGGGTTCAGGGATCCGGGGTCGATCTTTCTAGACTGCTCAGTTGACAGTGGGTCATAGCTGAGTTGTTCCATGCCATTGGGACCGTAGATCCGGCTGGGGTCTGGCCTGGGGGAATCGGGTCCAAGTACAGGTACTCGCTCGGTTGGCGATCCTTGGGGGTTCAGGGATTCGGGGCTCCGTACCGTTGATGGGGTGTGCGCACGAGACGGGCTCATGGGAGTTTGAGCTCTTGAGCTACGGCCAGCATTGGGCTCGCCGTATACGGCTTCCAGAAAATTTTGGGCTGAGAATAGCTGGGCCTCGGAGGCGTCTGATGCGGCTAATGAGGCGAGCATCAAAGGACTGATGCTGCCGTCTTCGGTTTTTTTGGTGGGTTCCAGAGACCGGAAAATAACGTCGAGTGCCATCTGAGTAATGCCTCTTTGCGATTTAGATCCTAGAATGGTGTGACTCTGTGCACGCGTACCAAGTCAGTTTGTATGAATGGCATACGTTGAAACACAAGTAATCGAACCTTTCCACTTCCTGTCACTCCAAGTGTAGCAACCAATCCATCCCGGCCTTCTTTCAAAACTCCTCTCACGATGGATTCCATTCCTGTGTCGTGGAAGATATCCAATTGCGTCGCATTTTCTTCGAAGACCTTTGTGAAGCCAAATTTCTCGATGGCACGTTTGCGCGTATCGTTGGGCGGCTGCAGGGTAACGTTTGTCGGAACGGGCGCGACGATCTCTCCATCATCTTGAGACGCCTCTGGGGGCTCAACGGTCAGGAAACGTTCGGCATCGTCGTGTCTTTGGGTCATCGGGGGTCGCAGGCGCAGGTAAACCTGGAACAGCGCATTCTGAGGTTGTTTGGACGGCATCTTGACTCGAGTGTCTTGGTACGAGTCTACCGTCAAAATCGAAATTGGAGGTTCAAGGCCGCTGAGCTGGTGAGTCGGCAAGTCGAGACGTCCAAGTCAACACCGCCTTTCCAAATTCGGCTAGTCTCGGGTTTCCCTGGCAACCATTCAATTAACAGTCATGGGACCTGCAGTCATGACCTGTCTAACGCTTCTTGTTCTCGATGCACGAGGCTCGTACCGTTCTACTATTCCAACAATTCATGCAAGATACTGGTCACAAGCTTCCTTTGCTCATTCTAGAACCATGGTTGTGGAAGCTGTCTCCACTCGGCCCGATCAGCCACCACATCACTAAGGACAAGCTTGTTTCCCAGCCATTTCCATTCATGGCTTACCTTTCCTTTGTGATCATTCAAGATAAATACTGTATTTTTGTATCCGAGTTCATGCCCGGCCGACCATCGCTAGACCCACAGACTGGTGCATGGATCTAAAGATTTCCGTCGTTCTTGTTTATCTATATCTCATCAAGCCGGATCAAGGAAATACAACCAGGCACTCCAGAGCTTTCACCGTCAGTAAAGTGAACTTCATGAAGGTTGTAATGTGTTTGGAAACAAACCTCACATAGCCAAGGGTAGCACGACCTTATTTAACAGCTATTTTATTTAGAATCAAGAGCATAGTCAACTATCTCATTCATCCCATTCTGCAAACATGACAGGCATTGCGATCCTCTCTCTTGTCTTTTTCATCACCACTAAGACTAGAATTGAAACTATGACCTTTTACAAAGATAATATATGTAGTAAGATTAGGATGTACTTTATCTTTGTAAAAATTAGACAATGGCTCCCAAAATATTGCTGTATATCCAAGGGCCCGCGTTGCCTCGAGATATCAAATCATTGATGCCGAAGCGACGTAACGAACCGAGATCTGATTAGATCACATGGATGAAAGTGCGACTATATCGGGTCAATGGAAATTCTCCGTGATCCGTCCCTTGTAAAATCATTGAAATGGTTTGACCAGCCTTCGCGTTGGAGGGGATTTCGATAATCGCAGTATGATTGCCATGGCCAGTCACAGTCACAGATCCTGGGTATGTGCCTTCTTCGAAGAACTGCCACCAGGACGTGGTGACATTATCGAGATCTGGGTCACTAACTGAGCCTGCTAGTATCACTGTTTGCCCAGCCTGCGCCTTTACTGCCGTGCCATTCAGACACTCGACGACGGGCGCATGGTTGGCGCGTGTATAGTTCGCCGTCAATGTCCACTGAATACGAGACGCAAAGTCATTCTGAACTGCAGCCGCCCAGCGATTCGTTGTATAGTAGGCAACGTCACCACCAGTTTGGTTCTTCTCTTTACTAACCATCTCCCATAGATTTGGCGAGGTGCTGTTTTGAACGGACCGGCCACCCCAGCCACCAAGCGCTGGATTAGCTGGGTCTTGGAGACCGGTTGTCAACAAGGGGTTAAACACCACGTTGTCACCCTCGGATAAAAAGCCGTAGGGGCTAGTAGGTTTGCACCACTGGCTTGAAGATTCTAGCTCTGTCAAATTTCCAAAGACATCCTCGGGGTCACCAGGCATGGACTGGCTATCGAGCCAAGAACGATAGAGTCTCCCATAAGGCCCGGTTTCGATATGTGCCTTGATCCAGTCACCCGAAAAATACTCTTCATCATCCGGATAGCCACGGGGATTGCCCGAGCCCTGGCAGTTGTATCCCCACGTTTTGTATCCAGCCGACAGCTCCTCAACACGGATCTGTGGCCAGTTGGGAGCGATGTAATTTGTGTATGTCTCGTCCTGGAAGCCACTAGCCAGGATAATAGCCTTGCGGGAAACAAAGTCTCTAGTGCGATTCCAACTATGTAACTTCGAGTATTGCTCCTCAATTGATTTGAGGGCACGGGCAATAGTGTTGGTTCCACCCCATGCTTGGAGATACAAAGATCGTGGGTCATCGTCCAACAGCAATGACCGGACATGATTCGAACCATCGGTATCATGCTCCATTTCACCCTCAAAATCGATATTTCCAATCTTGACCAATGACAACAACTCATCCGGCGTGGGGTAAAACGGATCGTGGCAATTCAGATTGGGATAAATCTCGGCATACGCCTGGAGGACTTTATCCTGAATGGTCCGCGTACCGGTCCAACGCCATGTCCACTGTGGGGTGCTGTATTCTCTGTCGGGAAGAAAGAATTTTGTGCCATTCCCATCACCGGCCCAATGATATCGACTAGCTGTGTATATAATGCCTTGGGTATCGAGCTCATTGGTGTAGAGCAAGTATCGGACCAGAGAAGCCAGGTCGTCTTGCTCCATGTCGGTTGTAACGACAGTGCGTACCATTTGTGATCTTTTAGTGGCATATCCATGGGTTTGAGGCAGGGCGGTAGCCAGTAGCCCAGCCGCAACCAGCAGGTGACTGAGAAAAAACATCGGATGAAGGAGAGAGCGCGCTTGGGAAGGTGTGGTCTTGATTCGCAAGCTTCTTCACCCTGACACTGGCAGCAAGCTTACTGAATTTAAAGAAACCTCACAGACTCTATCGTGAAAGAGGTCAGTTTGCCTGTGGTTATTCTTACCCAAAATCCGGAAGCATTATAGTTGTTTACTCCTGCGATGTGGGGCTTTTCGTCCGGGGGCGGCGAATTATCTCCTTCACGCTGCGGAGAAGCTCGCAACTCAATGCGGGGAACATGGGGAAGATCAGAAATCCTTGAATTGGCGCTTCTTGGATACCCCACTGTGGTGGTTAGGCCTGCTTCTTCTGGACGTGTTTCTAGCCTAGCGGGTTGATCACCGCAGGATCCAAATACGGAAGCCCCTGCCTCGGCCAAGTTAGGGCCGAATTTCTTTCATCAAAGTTTGAAGGGACAACTCTGGCCGGCAAGCATCCTCGAAATAATATCAGTTTAGACAGGTGATTGCAAAATTACAATTCCAAAAAGGTCGTATTAGCCAGAACAAGATTCACAGGCAATGTATACCATTTACATACAATCTCAGATATCGTATTCATCCTTTCCCATTTCCTCTTGAATCTCCCAGCTGTACCTTGCAAACCGACTTCTTCTCCGAATCCTCTCCCCGTAACACAAAAACAACGGAGGCACGATGCAAAACACGGTTGCCACGATTGCCAGAACCGAGACAGCGATATTAGCTCCCAGTCTGTCGAACATTTGGTTCGTAAAGAGCGGGAATGACCCCGACAGTATGCCTCGTAGGAACGCCACCGCTGCGGTAGCACTGGCGGAGTAACTCAAATAGCTATCTGAGATATACCCATATAGCACAGTGTCCATTTCTGTAAGCGCATACCCAACCAGAACGAGAGAGATCGTCGGTACAATCCACGGCGTATCCGGTCCTGGGGTCTTCGGGGGAATCGTCCAGCCAAACCACCATAGCCCGATAGCTAGGAATGGAGCCCCGAGTGCCAAGCCCACAAGCTTGTCTTCCGGTCTGATGGGCTTACCACGCATCCTGCGCTTGTTAAAGATATAGCAATCCAGAATGCGAGTAAAAGTGCTGACACATGTCCCGAGCCCGATGGCCATGAAAATGAGAGACGCCTGCGATGCAGAGAATCCCATGGATTGGTATATTGGCTGTAAGGCTTCGGTGAAGATATAGATAAGAGACATCGCGACGGATATCATCATTGCAATCGTAAATATAATGGGCTCTTGGAAGAACAGCTGCGCAGGACGGAAGAGAGCCTCCTTCACAAAAGTTTGCAAGTTCGGCGAGTGGTCATGGTTCAATGCCGGAGGTACTTCTGGGACTTCGTGTCGCAATCGATCGACTTCGCAAGTCAAAATGTAGGTTGACCGGGATTCTCGAATAAGGCAAAGGAGGCCAGATATGCCACCGATGATGATTGCATATGTAAAAAATACCCACCTCCTAGAAATTGATCAGTGTTGGGTTTTTAATAATTATGGTTAGATTGTCTTACCAGTTGAGAAGTTCAATAATGTGATTGCTCATGATTGGACCAACAATCAATCCAATATTCGAAGCCACGGTCCAATAGAAAACAACCCAAATGCGAGCCTGCGAGTTAAACATATCTTCAATACTCCCGCCCACAATAGTACTAGGAACTGCTGATAGCAATCCAGCTAGCGATCGCATGATGACAGCCCCAGTAAGCGACTGTGATAATCCGATGACGAGACAACATATACAACTTAGGACACTGCTTAGAAGGTACATCTTTTTGCGACCGAATGATTCGGACCAAGGTGGAAACACGATGGTGCCAATAGACTGGCCTAGAAGGAATCTGTTGCATAATCAGCTCGGTTCCTGCACAAGGTGAGCCCACAGGTACGGGAATCTCTCACAGTGTCACAAAACAGAAGGTTGCAAAAGTATGACTCAAATGATATTCATGTTTAGCTTGCGCTGCTGCCGCTGCCTAGTCTTGTCGTTAAAACTTTTCTTTTTAAGATATGTTCCTGGGGACTCACTCCCGCCGTGCTGCTAGCAGTTCTTTTCAGGCAGAAGAAAGTTAGTCATTAATTCTGTCCATCAACGGGTGAGAGCTGTCATACATAAAAAGATCCAAAGCGCATATAAGCCCAGTATCATATGTCTTTCGAAGGACAGACCAGTTCCTTGGATGTTTCGGATTCTCTCTTAGCCATCGTACAAAGCTTCCATCTGGTGTGAGCTCAAAATGGTGGTTTTGTAGATATTCTTGAAGCGAAAACTTGGTCTCTTCCATGGTGTCGTTCGAGTGGCATTTCATCTTCAAGAACCGCAGATTGAACGTTCATTCTGTGCAAAAAGAGTGAAGGTGCTCCGGAGTCTTGCTCGCGAGAGGGAGTCCAACATTTGTCGAAGCTCAGAAGGTTTGCCATGATTATCTTGGCTAAGGTCTTTTGCATAGCGCATGAGGGGATACAGGGGGTTCAACCCCGAAGAATGGAATAAATCCCCTCGTGATCTACACTCTGATCAAATTCTCCGACAATATCACCATCGACCGGAACATATTCGTCGATTACTACGATAGAAAGCCTGTAAAGACCTACAAGAATCTTATGTAGCTTATCACGAATGGCTATTGGAATCTTCCAAATGTCTTCATTTTCGTCCGAGTATTATCGCAATAATCATTTCTAGCTGTTCGTTTTCTTCAATCCTGTGACATCGAGTTCTAGGGATGGAGAATTAACAGCGTTCTTGGTGGAATGAAGGGGGTCGATACCACCGGTAATCCACTAATCCACTCATTCAGATGAGTAAATAAGGTTTTGGGCTAGTGGAACATTTTCTGAACATCAATGTGATGTCAGAGCTAGATTTCGCATGTCTTTGGAGCTTCTCACTGGGCCATCAGCAGAGCATAATTTAGCTGTAGATCTCTACATGCCCTTCAAATTAGCAATCTTTTTTTACTGATCTGGGCGGCTCTGCTATCTTATAATTAGACAAACGTCACAGTTTTGAGTACATAGGACATGGCTTGTATTTTTCAAGTAGGTGTTGCCCAAATTTCTGAAATCACTAAATGTCTAGTACCGCAGTAGACAAGCGTTGGTCACATGATATGTGTAATCATTGATGGCTAGCTGAAGGAGAGGAATCTATAGCTCTTTTTGCACTTTAGATGCGTGTCTTCAGCCTACAACCTATCCATATGGCTATGCTCAATCAAACATACAAGGAGCAATCGAACAGTCGACAAAATGGTATCACGTGACCAATACGGGTTGGCGATGTATCATGTGGGTGGCCGCCGCGGGAATACGAGGTGTGGCAACGAACAACCAATGGTCGTTCTCGGCGATGAGCAGAACGAAATACAATGGAACAGGTTAGATGGGCGGTGAGATGGTGGTCGCTTTGCTCAGGGGGGTACCGTTCTAGCCTGGCATTAGCGGAATTCAATCACACCCCACCTGGAGGATCAGAGTATGGCAGGCATACGAGGATGGCAGACTGGCGGGTCACATCATTGAATATTGAGCTACCATAATGGTTGGCGTACCTTACAGCAAGGGCTGTTTGCTCTGCCGGGAGCGACGCATCAGAGTCAGCAGTTCTCCACGCTTTCAGTCTGACACGAAGCTAACTTCGGATTAGTGTGACCAGTCTATGCCTCATTGCATGCAGTGCCGCAAGTACGGCGTGGCATGCCCTGGATATAAACGACCTTGGCAATTCCAGGATGAGGGACCGCGTCTCCAAAAACATTATCAGAAAAAACTTCCCAATGCTGGTCATAGTAAATCGAAGCATCACCCAGAGGCGATTCCTTGTAACAGCTCTATACGAAGCCAAGTCGTTACCAACCTTTCGATCGATGAGCGTGTCTATCCGGCCTTGATTCAGCAATGCTTTATCAGCCAACAGCCGCGGGTTTTTAAAGAATTTGTCTGCGCTGCTTTCCCCACGATGTTCTACCACAATGAGTTCCGCTTCGGAGACGGCTTTACCTTCCCGGACTGGGCTTTAAAAAACTTCGGTACGAAGCCTTATTTCGACGCATCCGTCTCGTGTCTGTCAGCGCAATACCTCGCTCATCTCACTGGAGACCCAAGTATCCAACACTTTAGCCGGCAGAAATATTCACAAGCTCTGGCGGCAATCAGGCAAGTTCTAAACTCAGACGAGGAGGCGTCCTCGGATGCGTTACTGATAGCGGTCATTCTCCTCTCGTTCTATGAGATGAGCACGCGAACTACTCAAGATGCCTGGGTATGTCACTCCCGGGCGGTCAAACACATAATGATGAAGCGGGGAATGACTAGCCATCTCTCTGGTGCCGGTCGTGTCTGTCATTTTGCATACAGACCGTTCCTGATTGCGGCCGCAATATATGAAGGCGAACCGTGTTTCCTTGGCGAAGACGATTGGCAAGACCTGGCAGCTATCCTTCGAGCCGAAGATTCTCAAAAGAAGAGCGAGTGGTCGTTCTACATCGATGTTTACGAAACGATTTTCATTGAGCTGGTCAAATGCCCCAAATACATGCAAGAGGCACGAGAGATTACTTCTATTACCTCTGCAAAAGCACGACTCCTAGAGCGGAGGGTTGCTATAACCTGTAATCAACTGCGAACACTCACTGACGAGCTAAGATCATTACTGGCCTCGAATAACCAGCGAAAGCTGGGAATACTCTTCCGTGGTTTCATCGGTCCGGAGCCGAACGGGTTTCCCGAGACAAGCCCTTCACTCCTTCTCAGTGCGGCGGTCAATACTCTCGGAATACTCGAACAACTCCTAGCCCGATTAGCAATGCCTGTCTACGTTGAAGAGGCAGCTTTTCCCTGGGAAATAGTGGCATCATCCCCCAACCCCCAGAATACGAGCCCAAGTAATGCTAGCGGCCCATGTCTTGATTTTCGCCTCATTTGCGAGCTTGGAGAGGGTATCCAAAAAGACGACCCTCGGGCCTTTACGTGGCTTGATCGGGTTGCAGGGTCAATGGGACTCTTAGGAGCGAAAGCCATCTACTGAAGTCTGCTTGAAGCGGATCATCCTTCTTTGTTATGTGTATGGGGGGTTTTCTTCATTTTTGATGTACTAACAGACAATTCCCAGCCGTTCTCTACTTGGATGGAGACTCTCAAAGTTGACATACATCTATGGTATCAAATATCTGTAGGATATATGTAGCTTCTAGCTCGTGGCCTCGTCACCGAGCCGAAGAATCGTAACTTGATGCCATTAAGGCGATGGCTCCCTTTTGATTTCAGGTTCTAGCTCATCCACAAAAGGCTTCCGAGCCCATACCCTTCGCCTGTTAAAATTTTGTTAGCAACGATCATCCGATAAGGTGAAACACAAACTCACGCTCTCTGATAGATGTGATACCGCGGGGTCTTCAATTCCGTACGTAGTTTCGCGACGTACACGAGGACCTCCTCCTTCGTCCACGGCTGAGGTGATCCAAATTTGGTCAACAACCACATACACCATCCCTCCATTCCAGACATCCAGTGTTGGAAGTTGACCACGCCGGCTTCCTTAAGCCTCTTGTCTCTGGGCCATGGGCCGATAGGCCACTTATATTCCTTTTCATGGACGTCTACAAAGCCGGCCTTGCGAATGCTGTCGCACATAGTGTCGATCGCATCCAACTCGCGCCCGGCTTTCTTAGCACACTCCATCGTGTAGACGCCCCAGGTATGGAGAATGCTGTCAGGTGGGAGACTACCGTCATCGCATAATATCACAGGGCTGGCTTCGACTTGTTCGATCCATCCACCAGGCTGTAGCTTGCTAGAGGACCAAGTTGTTAGATAAGACCGTGGAGAAGACATTGCAGATGAGGACTTACTCGTAGCATTGTTTGTACACACGATCCCACTCCGGCTCAGAAAAGGATCCAATCATGATTCGCATGTGTATCAAGTCGAAAGGCTCACGCCAGGTCCACTCTTGCAGGGCGTCATCGACCTCGAGAATGCAATTTGGTGGCATCCAGGATACTGGGGGCGGGAAGAGATCGACTCCGCGTACCGTCGCTGGAATCGGTAAGTGTTTTGTTATCTTGTGCACTATAGCGGGTACTTACCATCGGGAAACATGTCGGCCACGTCGCTGAGACGAATGTTAGCATTCTAATCTTCAGAATGAAATATCTTCAGAACACACATTGCCCAAACGCCCTTCCCGGTCCCAAGGTCAAGTATGTGCTTAGGGTCTTTGCCAATCGGAGATCGGAAAAGTGGATTCGGTCTATCCAATTCCAAAACAAGAGCTACCAGGTGGCTGTCAAAGTCAGAATTGCGTGGTTATCTGTAAACAGCACCACACTTACCCTGCTTCGTATGTCTCGAACATTTGATCATCCGATGGGACGCTGTCATCGAGTGTCAGATGTGAATGATTGTTTGAGGATATCAAATTGTCCTTACAGGTATCCTTCATCCCGAAGATTTTGATATCTAGAACAAACAGATCAGCGGTGGGTCGTAAGGATTCTCCAGTGTCACTCAACCCTCACCGTCGACCATTTTCCATCAAACCTCGATAGATCGAGGATCCGACGGATGTCGTTTCCCTATGACGATTCAGTTGAGACTTATGAAAGACAAAGCAACAGAGATAAAGAAAGTAATGTACGATTGCCAATCCTCGGGGTAGTATTCGCCACCCCGGATCTGATACAGATCTGTATCCTTGAGTAAAAAGCGTCAACAAGAGGAACATATCAACAAACGAACTCTTTTCACAAGAACCATACTTACCACAGCGATGACCTGGTCATTCATGATCGCCTTTTCTTTGATCCGGGAAGACAGACAAGGGAAATCCCCAGAGACAGGGAAGGGCCGGCGGTTTAACAAAGAACTCGCAACGCAACCATAGTGGGGCCCGCAACCTCGACCATCCGATGCACGACCGTTGCACATCCCGCGACGGCCCTCCTGCGCATTGCGGTTTAGTGGATGCCGGGGACAGACGCGCCGTCCCGTCGAGGCCGCCGCCACGGGTGGTTGCGGGGCGGCAGCACGGTATATCTTGGAAGTGACAGGGTTGACACCAGCCTGGGTTTGTATTATCCTTCAAGCTTCCGATCATTACCTAGGCCGCGGACAGTATGTAGAGAGGAAGCAGGGAAGCAGGAAAGCGAAAAAGGATTGAATTGCGTTGCTCCCATTCTTCCTACTACTTGCTACAGTGCCATTGTGACTGTAGTAGACTAAAGATATGCCAAAGGCCTGATTAGGAAAGTCACCCTAGTTCCTCTTGGCTACTATTACGCGGTTCCTCAGAAATTGACTCGCATGGTTCCACCCCACATGTGAATTCGAATAATCTTAGTAGCCTGTCAAAAGGAACTCTGGGCCCACACATATCATGCAGAAGACTTGAACGCTAAAAAAAAATCAGCATCCGTCGCACAATGGAGCAGCAGACAATAGGATAGTGGGAGAAATGTCAATCTTTGTAGATGATCAGTATTTCGAGGCGAGCTCGCTCAGTTATTGTTGGTTTCTGGTTTCCACTTGCTGAGGAAAATACAGTCAATCATTCACCGTCAGTCCAAACCCACAGAAAGTACCTCACTACTGTAGATCCGCCCCAAGGTCGCGGATTTTTCGGACGTTTTCTTCTCCGGACCCTCTGCCTCTTAGCTGTCTTGGAACCGTATCTTTTCTAGTGGATCAACGTGTGCTTCACTCATTAAGTCAATCATGTCACAACAACCAGGTAGCTAGCGGTTAGGTTACTTTGCCTTGAGACAAATAATTGTCAAATTTCGCAAAAAGTACTAATCAGTACAATCAAAGGGACATTCTGTATTTTGAATTATGATTGACTTCATCCAGTTTCAAGTAAAAGAGCATCTCGAATCCCGTTGGGGTAATTGATCGGATGAGCGCCAAGTAGGCTGACCGCCTAGCGCCTCAGATCGGCGAGGCCACCTCTCCGCAATATTCTGCCAGCCCGGCCCATAACAAAGCTCGAAGCACAGCTGGAGCCTTTCGCCTTGGGCAGTCTACCCAACATGCTGTCTTCACTCTCATCCAGCCTGAACAATGCCCGGACTACCGTGGCACAGGTGCTCAACTTTGCTTTAGTACGTGTCGTCTCTACTGCTGGAACTGTCTAGCACTATGGGGACGGTCCCTGCGCTCCTACCATGCCAGGATATGGCTGACCACGCTTTCCCTCGATCCGCAGGTCCTCTCGACTGCTTTTATGCTATGGAAGGGATTATCAGTCGCGTCCGCATCCAGCTCCCCGATTGTGGTCGTCCTCTCGGGGAGCATGGAGCCTGCCTTCCAACGAGGTGATCTTCTGTTCCTGTGGAATCGCAGCCCTCGAACGGAGGTGGGAGAAATTGTGGTATACAATGTGAGGCAGCTCTTTTTTCCTCTGTATGAATTCTCTGTATTTTGCTGACATGCATACGAAAGGTTCGAGGCAAGGACATCCCTATCGTCCACCGCGTCGTCCGCACCTTCCCCGAGGTTGAAGGAAAGGCCAAGAAGGTCAAGGAGATCACAGTGTATATTGCGGCCCAATTCACATCTACAACAGGCAGTGCACTAATCCAGAACTACAGCGACTCGACTCCTTCTCATATGCTCCTGACTAAGGTATGTTTAATCCACATCAATCATCTTCTCGGAGCTAATCTCATATGCGTTTCACTAATAGGGTGATAACAACCTTGCCGATGATACTGAACTGTGAGATAATTCCCTCTTATCTTATTGCGCTTTCCTGCTTTTCTTATCTAACTATTTCTGTTATCTTCAGTTATGCACACGACCAGGATCACCTCAATCGTTCCGAGGATATTGTAGGGAGTGTACGAGGGTACATCCCGATGGTGGGATACGTTACAATTATGCTATCGGAGCACCCATGGTTGAAGACAGTCCTTCTGGGTATAATGGGCTTGATGGTCATGCTTCAGCGGGAGTAAATGGTGTTTTGGGTAGAGGCAAAAGGGTTGAATAGCTAGCAAGAAAAAGCCGGCTTGATCGAATTAGCATAACATATAAATCGAGCAATGACAAAGACCTTAAATATAGAATTGACAAAATATTTCCCGATAGCTGGGCTCTGGTTGTCTAATAGTATGCTCAGAGACAAAGTACCTGGGTTGAGCTAACTACCCGATAACAGACTGACGTCTTCGCCCACCCCACTCCGCAAGCTGGAAAGCTTCCAAGCTCCCCCTCCTTTCTGGATCTCCCACTCGAATCACCACACGGCCACCTTTGGTCTTGCCAGGAGATTTCCCTAGTCTTTGATAGACTCTTTCACTCGCTTGCAAAGAAAGGGTTCTCCTTCGCCAGTCACTTCTTTCCTTGCCACCTACTTTCTGCCATCCCACCACCCCACACCCTCCATCACGCGCCCCGCTACGACTTGACCACATTCGACAAGATGGGCAGCCAGAAACGCATAGCCAAGGTATGGGATTGCTTACTGCTCATGATTTGGCTGATCTACGTCTGCTTACTCTTGCGTCGTGGACAGGAGCTGAGCGAACTCGTCGAGTCGCCTCCGGAGGGCATCACCGTCGAATTGGTCGACGAGGCCAATCTCTACAAGTGGAAGGTGTTCATGGAAGGGCCAGAAGGGTCACCATACCAAGTATGTCCTATTCAAACATTACTGGCATCCATGATAAGCCCCGCCTACACTCTACGTATCCCAAACTGCTCGTTGGACGAGGGGGACATGCGGCGACATCGAGTCCACCATTCCATTGTCCAGGCGAAGCGACTTTCTAACATTCATGGCCCACTACTCCAGGGCGGCAAATTCATCGTCAATCTCACCCTACCCACCGAATACCCTTTTAAGCCCCCGACCGTCTCGTTCGGAACGAAAATCTACCACCCAAATGTCACGAATGATGAAAAGGGGAGTATGTGCCTGGGAATGTTACGGGCGGACGAGTGGAAGCCTAGCTCTAAGATCGCAGCTGTCCTACAGTTCGCACGCCAGCTACTTCAGGAGCCCATGCCCGACGACGCTATTGAAGGGCGGATCGCAGAACAATACAAGAACGACCGGAAGCGCTATGACGAGATTGCGAAGGAGTGGACTCGGAAATGGGCTGTTTCTGAATAGTTCTCAAGGATGATGGGAGATGGGGACAATCATTTGAGACTTAGTCTATAACCTGAGCTTGTTTGAGCTTCTGTGCGAAATTTCAATGTCAACATCCTTGCTCTCACCTACAGCTGGGTGAGACAGGCCTGGAAGAAACGAGGGACTCGCTATAGTCCTCGTGCGATGAACATATACAATTAAAGAAGAATTTACCCGTTTTCAGCAGATATTTGTTTCGCATGTTAAGTCTCTTCTCAGCCCCTGATCTATTGGGCGGATGTCGTAATTGTACATGAACGCATCCAGCTCACATAGAACGACGCCGGAAGAGAAGAGAAGAGCTCAAGCGACATATCCTTGCACCTAGGCTTCTCCAATTGTTTACTCTAAATCTGATATGTGCAATTCGAAGGGTGGTGTTTTTGTTTCGGAATCTTGCTTACACTAAGGATTCCGAAATGTCCGTGCCCTTTATAGCGGAACAGTTCCATGGCTAGGCTCTCCGTGTCACAGTACCATAGGCAGTTAGCCTGCGTCATCATAGTGCCGAAGCTGATCAAGGTCGATAGGATTGCGCAGCAGCCGAATTACACCTTGGTAATGGACTCCTTCCCCGCAGATGATCCCACGGAACCACACGCCCCACGGTATCTGGTTGGCCCTTGTGCATGCCTCGGATACGTAGCGTACTTATACAGCATTTTAAAATCCAGATTCTTCAATCTGCTGCTTCCTGTTGATTGTGTCGATGTTGCAAAACGATGGCGGTCATCTCTGAATCAATCCTATATGTATCGCAGCATGTCGAGGGTGTCCTTTTCCTTCTCGCTGCACTGTATCTGGTTTCCAATTACCTCACCCCAGGGGTACGCAATGTGCCGGGGCCATTCCTAGCAAAGTTTTCCAATCTGTGGAGGTTCCTCGACGTCGCCAACGGTCATGCTGAGGCCACCTTGTACAAACTGCATCAGAAGTACGGGGACTATGTACGACTCGGACCAAATGTGGTGAGCGTACGAAATTTGGATGCGTTGAAAGCTATATATGGCATCAACAAGGGTTATCGGAAGGTATGCCGCGCTTGAAACTATATATTACAGCAGGGGCTAAAATGAGCACATCCGGAAGACGAACTTCTATCATGTGCAGCAGCAGTTAGCCAAGGGAAAACCGACTCCCACGCTCTTTACTACAACGGATGAAGACTTCCACGCTGCTATCAAACGACCTGTATCAGGTGCATACTCGATGAGTACTCTGACCGAATTCGAGCCCTTTGTCGACAAGACGATTCAGACTCTGTTTAAGAAGCTGGACGAGTTTGTGACCGGGAACGAGGTTTGTGATATTGCGGTCTGGATGCAGTACTGTACGCGTTTTTCTACCGTTACGTGATTTGTTTGACGACAAGTATATATCTGGGCTTCATACTAAAATTCGCAGATGCATTTGACGTGATTGGGGAAATGACTTTCAGTAAACCACTTGGCTTCTTAGAAAAAGGCGGGGACGTTGACGGTATTATTGCGGCCATTGAGCATATGCTGGACTACTCGGGGAAGGTATGATTCACCACTCACAGCAGTGAAACGATTCACGCTGAAAGATTTCCAGATTGGCCAAATGCCATGGCTCGATTATATCTTTATCAAGAACCCACTGAGACAGCTTATCCAAGGAGGTTCGACCGGTGCAGTGGCTCGGTTTGCGCGAGCTCGCCTGGATGAGAGGTTGACGCACTCAAAGTCAGGAGCGGAGGAAGCTCGAGACCCCACCAAGACACACCGGGACTTCCTTTCGCGCTTCCTAGAGGCAAAGAAAGAACACCCAGAGATTGTGACTGATAACCAGGTCTTCTCATATACCGTGAGCAATGTGAATGCCGGCTCCGATACCACAGCCATCTCGCTGAGAGCCATTCTTTACTACACCCTCAAAAACCCAAGGGTCATGGCGAAGCTATATGAAGAACTCACCACGGCTGATCAAGAAGGCAGAATCTCCCTGCCCGTATCTTGGAAGCAAAGTCAAGAAGAGCTACCCTATCTCGACGCAGTGATCAAGGAAGCGCTCCGCCTCCATCCCGCCGTCGGACTACTTCTCGAACGAATTGTCCCCACAGGTGGACTCCAGCTTCCCAACGGTGGGCCGTTTTTGCCGGTCGGCACCATTGTCGGCGCTAACCCCTGGATTATCCACCGTCACTCCATCTTCGGAGAGGAAGTTGACTCCTTTGTGCCGGAACGCTGGTTGCAGGCGGATGGGGAGTCTGAAACGACCTTTCGTGCGCGGAGGCAACGGATGCTCAGCGCAACATTCACCTTTGGAGCTGGGCCGCGGACGTGCATTGGGAAGAACATTAGTCTGTTAGAGATTTATAAGCTGATTCCTTCTCTATTTCTGACATATAAGGTGAGACGGGAGTTGCTACACTCCATGTCTAAAATATATAGCTGTCTGACGTGTGGTTCCTGCAGATCGAGCTTGAGCATCCGCACAAGGATTGGCAAACTGTCAACGCGTGGTTTGTGCGTCAAAAACATATGGACGTCAGATTGGCTCGCTATAGTTTTCCATAGCAGTGAGTAGCATGGTATGTCGTTTTCGAGTGCTGAAGAAATGGACATGTTGATTCTGATACAACGGCAAAGACGAATTAGCGCTAGGATAGCGCCGACTTGTTTGCAACCCCGCACAATGCCGAGAATGGGAAATCTAGGAGAGCCAATGGGCGCGATAGCTTCGGCGGCATCTTCGTTGGCGCGGAAAGGGGGGCTTGGTTGAAAACCAGGCCTACACTTGCATTGCACTTGTGGTAGGGTACAATCGGGGGGGGGGGGGGGGGGGGGCCGCTGGGGTGGATCCTCACTAGGGTCCAATTGGCCCAACCTATCAGGAACAACTGAACTCGCAAACGAGGGCGTGGTCGGGGTGGATTGGTTCAGGGCCTACAGGTTTCTCAACCGTCGTTCGTTCCAGATATATAGATCGATCATGCAGGATTCTGACCCTTTGTACGCTCTGACCAGTACAGTACATATGTAGGTAGCGTATGTGCTAAGCCCTTGACAACATCAAGCCTGTCAATTAATCCATTTGAGCGTGCCGTGTGATAGCTTAGCGATCGTTATTTAGACCTTGAGCTATACCGTTCTAGAAGGAATGGGGCGTCGGAGATGAAGCCGCAGCCGAAGCTCCGATCCTGGTTCCTCGGTTAAGAGATGGGCTAGGCCTGGAAATGGACAGGTAAAACTCCCTAATGGAGTACTGTAGTTTGGCTACTGGGCGAACGGCAGTATGAAATTTGCTAGATCGCAATAATCGTCTACTGTTAGGGGCTTAGGCGTGGTCCGTATTGTGCTTGCAAACAAAGATCAACAACAACAAGAGATGACCCTGATCGACAATGCATCCATGGTCGGCTTCTTCCCAGGAGATACCCGAGGAACAGGCAATGCCTTTCAGATGTTCAAAGCACGGCCCGGGGAAGGCTATTGTTCGCACTCTGCATCATGCACAGGAGGCTGTAGCCACGGAGACAAAATGTAGCCAAGACGTAGTATTCTGTGATGATAAGCCATCCGAACGCGCGAGTCGTCATATTTAATATGATTGAGTTGGCCATTGGCGTTTTGCAAATTAAACATGGACTCCAAAATAATAATACGAATCAACAAGAAAAAGTGATTAATCTCGATTGAAGCGAATCCTGAAACCGCCGTCGTTCTTTACGTCATGTGACGCTAGCCTCAATTGGGGTCTGTTGATTTTTGTCTCGTCCACTTCTTTACCGGTTTCTTCATTCCAGATTCCTGTCGCCCTCTCATTCCACTCCTCTGGCAGGCTGTGTCGGGGTCGTCGGGTTCTCTGCTTTCTCTGCTCTTCTGTCCTTTCCGTGCTTGTTTAAATTGCCAATTCCTCTTGCTGGAACTTACCCAGCGTCCGACGAGCTACCCGCTCAACCCTTTTCCCTCTGCTTCAGGTTCTCGCGTGCATTCCCAACGCCAACGTCCTCGTATACGGGTTACTGTGTACAGTGTACACCGACCGTAATATTCTCCTTCCTTTCTTTTCTCACCGTTCACTTGCGATTTTCCTACAACTCAAAGGGTCCTCGGCTGCCGTCTCATTGAGCATTCCCTTACCAGTCACGAAAACCAATGTCCAGCGGGATCTGGGTGCTAGCTCGTGGCCATGGTCACAGAAAATGGAACCCCTCGATACCCTCCTCCCTTGGGTGAATCTGACCTGCGTGGTCGTCGAAAGATTCAGCATCCACCGCGGCTGGATCCTTTAAAGATTGATCCACGCGCGCCGCGAACCGTCAAATCGACTCCGAAACCGTCGCCGCACTCTCCCCACTCTCCGTACCACCCGCGCGCGCATTCACCTCTACCTCCAGGGGCACAGACTGCGACAGATGACCGACCATGGCTCCCTGAATCACTCCGAGCGGGTTCACCGCAAGGTAGAGAAGCATGGAGAGCGAAACAGAATTCGAGTCACGCCCCCCCTTTCACACCACCTCCAGATCGAACACCCCCGATGTGGTATCGTGACAACGACTCTGACCGGCCTAGCCACCGCAAAGCTCCGCCGGCCAGAGGCGGTCTCCGCATTTCCATGTCGACCTCCCGATTGCCTAACAGACGACCACGGCCGCACGTTTCCCCCGACCGTTCCCAGGATGCCGGTACACATGGCCTGCCATTGCCCCGGTTTCCTTCGAAGGGACCCACCGATGAAAACACCCTCCGGACAAGCTTCAACTCCGCTATGACGTCGAGATCCAGCATTGAACAGCACTCTGGTACCGAGCGAAGCAGTGTTTTGACGAAGAGCAGTTCGATTACCGATCTATCCCCGGATACTCCCGATGCTCCTTATGGAATGGATAGTGGCATGAGTGTGGAAGATGCGATTTCTATGTATCTTGATGGGTTCAGCGACGTGGCTGAAGAGCCCTCCTCGCCGATGTCGCGCACGGAGAGCAAGGCACCCTCAGTCACACCTCCTCCTTCGAGAGATACCTACTTAGAAGAGACAATCATGTTTCCACCGAGGACGACTTCACTCGAAGCCGTACCTCCCTTCCCTCCACCTCCGCAGTCTGATCTGCCAGAGGCAGCATCACTCGAGTCTGTATCATCACAACCTTTGGTGCCGGAGCCTATTCTGGAGATTGCCTCCCCACCACAGACTCCACCACCACCACCTCCACCCATTACTTCCCACCCTTCACTTCCAGAACCTGTTCTCCGCGACGAAGCATCGCCTAATTCACAATCTACTCACCAGCGACAGCCGTCGAAGATAATCATCCCGGGGCCTGTTCCCCCTCCTTTCACCTCTGCGAATGCCACACGTGATGACTACGGATTTCGAAAAGCAACACAATATGTGACCTTGGACCAGTACGAAGCCTGGAAAGGATCTTATTCCAACTATGCTGCGCATCGTCGGGATAAGTGGTATGAGTTGCTCAAGGAGCATGGCCTTCAAACCACCGAACCCACTGTATTTCCAGCACAGTCCAATAAGGTTAAACGTTTCGTGCGTAAGGGCATCCCCTCCGATTTCCGGGGTGCTGCTTGGTTTTGGTACGCCGGCGGGTACGAGCTCCTGAACCGCAACCCTGGCCATTACGATCGACTCGTGGAGAAGGTAATGGCCTCTCCGAGTAATGATGACAAGGAGCACATTGAACGTGATCTACATCGCACATTTCCGGATAACCTTCATTTCAAACCGGAACTTGTGGATACTGGTGGTCCTCAAAACTCGAATATCACGACCGAGACCCAGATGATCCAATCATTGCGCCGAGTACTATACGCTTTTGCACTTCATAATCCGAAAGTTGGCTACACGCAATCGCTCAACTTCATCACGGGCATGCTCCTTCTATTCCTACCTGAAGAAAAGGCCTTTTGGATGTTGCATATCATCACCTCCGTGTACCTGCCAGGTACTCACGAGGTCAGCCTGGAAGGTGCAAATATTGATCTTTGGATTCTCATGGTCTTGCTCCGAGATTCCATGCCGGGTATCTATTCCAAGATTGCTAGCATGGATGGATCCTCCGGTCGTGGCAAAGCACCTGCCCTCACGGTGAACTCGCGACTCCCTGACATCACATTGGGATTGACCAATTGGCTCATGTCCATTTTCATCGGAACGTTGCCTCTCGAAACAACGCTTCGGGTCTGGGACATTTTCTTCTACGAAGGTTCCAAGACCTTTTTCCGCGTTTCGCTTGCAATCTTCAAGGCTTGCGAAAAAGACATTCTCGCAGTTTCGGATCCTATGGAAGTATTTCAAATAGTACAAACGGTTCCGAAAAGATTGTTGGATGCCAACGCTCTCCTGGAGGACTGTTTCGTGCGACGCCATCGTGTTGGCCAGGGTCGTATTGATGAACTGCGAGCCGCACGACGAGTCGCTGTTCGTCAGGAGAAACTACGGCGCTCGGTCGCTTTCAGCAAGGGCCAGATTCAGTCTGCGACTGACAATTTCCCAAATCATCCCCGAAATGGGGGACCCGATTTCGAGCACCGGGTTGCGAACTCCTGGCGTCACCTCAAGCAGCATGCCTTCCACCGGGAGCCGACTCGATAACTGAGTTGGTTTCTTTGCTAGGGGGGGATCATCACTACAGACGCGATCGCATTCACTGGGCCGAAGGGACCGGGTAATTAGAGCCGATCCAACGCCCTAGGCGCTAATTCTTCGTTTTCTTAATTGTAATTGACCTTGTCACATCAAGGCATGTCGGGCACCTCGCAGCACAATTCGTGGCAGGGTGCCCTTGCATTTTATTGGCGTCTCGAAGGTCGGGGTAAAAGGCATCACACTCGCATGTGTCATATTAGATATCCTCTCTGCATTTTGTATGTTTCTTCTTCGATTTCTTCCTTTCTACCCGTACATACTGTAGCGCATGAAAATCAACCGCCAAGGCTTGCCCAGCAGGCAACCTGCTTGACCTCTTGGCAAGATTGCAAAACCGAAAACTGGGTTTGGTTGAGATCTGGGACGAACTATTGGATCTTAAACCCTACGGGGCTGATCATTGGGCCGATCGTGGTTCCTCGATGGCCAACCAGCGGTTGCACCTGCATGTCGTCATGATTCAAATGCGGAAATAAAGCTCCTTACATGCCCACCAACTTTTTTTGCGCAACTTCTTTCTCGTCTTTCTTCTGGCAATTACTCACTTGTTTTGAATTTCGACGTCCTGATCGTCGTGGTGTGCAGCTATGAGTGGACAAGCTGCTAGTTATTACAACCCGGACCCCGGTTTTGATGGCTCAGGTCAATCAGCTCCTTACGAGAAAAAGAACGACAACTACGCGAACGGTTATGATCAGCGCAATAATGGGAATTACCAGCCCCCAGTCAATTACCAACAGCAACCAACAAACTACCAGCAACCAGCAAACTATCAGCCACCTGGTCCTGAGCAGAAGCCACAGCAGCCTCCGTACCCCGATAATCCTCCCCCCTACAGTACCTTTGATCAAGCTTTCAAGATCGAGAAGCCCAAATACAATGATATCTGGGCGGGTCTTTTGGTAAGTTTCCGAACCACTGCTCGGTCAAAATGGCTGGACAAATGTCCTCGACCAGATAATTATGTAATGGCGCAAAGCAGCAATGCTAATATAGATCAAAGTTGATTGCTGTTTTCCTGGGCTACGTCGCAGTGTCCGGAGTGACCATCCACAAGTATGCCTCGAACAAGGGATTCAGTGGAGGTGGCATCTACGATTCCTCGAATGATTTCTCACTCAACACGAACACTCTGGTGCTCTTCATCTTTGTCCTCTGTGTTGCACTCGTCTTCTCGTGGGCGTATTTTATGGCCGCTCGATACTTCACCAAAACGTTCATCTGGGCAACCGGAATTCTGAATATCGTTTTCGCACTCGCGACGGGAATCTACTACATTGCTAAAAAGCAATATGGAGGAGGAATTGTTTTCCTCGTTTTCGGTGTCTTCGCGATCGTTTGCTTCATCAGCTGGATTCCGCGTATCCCCTTCACGGCCTTCATGTTGCAGACGACTATGGATGTTGCACGCAACTACGGACATGTCTTCCTCGTCAGTGCACTGGGAGGAATAGTGACCGTGGCATTCGCCGCCTGGTTTTCAGTGACTTTGGTTTCGATCTATGTCGCCTACGAGCCTGACTCTTCTGGCACCAACCCAGCCTGCGCAAACGGTGGTTGTAGTACCGCCAAGGTTATTGGGTTGACAGTGTATGTGACATTCGCTATGTACTGGTTCAGTGAGTGGATCAAGAATACCGTGCACACCACTATTGCTGGCGTGTACGGATCGTGGTACTTCTGGAGCAAGTCTGCCGGTGGAATGCCAAAGGGCTCGACCCGCGGCGCCTTCCGACGGGCAACGACCTACTCATTCGGTAGCATCAGTTTTGGCAGTCTGATAATTGCCATTATCAACATGCTTCGCCAGGCATGCTCGGTCGCGCAACGACAAGAAGCTGCACAGGGTAACATCGTTGGCAGCATCTTCATCTGGATTTTGGGGTGCTTCATCTCGCTACTTGACTGGCTTGTCACACTGTTCAATCGCTATGCTTTCTGTCACATCGCTCTCTACGGTAAAGCCTACATCCCAGCCGCCAAAGACACCTGGAAGATGATGCGCGATCGAGGAATCGATGCTCTTGTGCAAGACTGCTTGATGGGCCCTGTTTTGACTATGGGCTCAACGTTCGTCGCATACGTCTGTGCTCTGCTGGCATATCTCTATCTGCAGTTCACCAAGCCTGCTTATAACTCTGACGGTGACTTTACCGCCGTTATCATGGCCTTTGCCTTTTTGATTGGCCTGCAGGTATGCCAGGTCTTTATGACTCCTATCGGCAGTGGGGTTGAGACAATTTTTGTTGCTATGGGCTGGGATCCTCAGGTCATGATCAATGATCACCCTGAGATCTATTACAAGCTGGTAGAGCTGTATCCTCGTGTGCAGCAAGCCATTCATGCCTAATATTTCGATTTTGTGGATTACAGCGTCACACCTGTCAATGTCTGCCTGGATTATCGACCACTATCGCTGGGTTATCCACTATTACTAAACATAGAGGTCTGGACAGAGAAATTTCTAATTTTTAATTCAAGAATGGTACTCGTACTTCATTGGTCATTACAAGCTCGATCCTAAATGTCAAACATAAAAATGTTATACAGAGCAATCTCAGACACCCGTCAAGACTTCAAAATAAGAAGGCAAAAAGAGAAATATAAAACCCTCAAGCGCCAGAAACTTTGCCAAAAGCGGCATACTCAGTTCACATCCAAGATTTTGGCTTACAGAGCAATCATCAATCCCATGATAGCAGCAACACCAAGGGCAGCAATACCGCCGTGGACAGAGCTAGTCTTGGGGGCAGCACCCTGGAAAGTCTGGAAGCGGCCGGCGCTAGCACCGCTAGGAGCAGGAGTAGCAGCAGACATGTGAGAGCCGAAGATAACGGACGAAGAAGCCGCCATCATGGCACCGTTAGAAGAGGCAGGAGAAGAGGCTGCCGTCATGGCGCCCATGCTGCTGCGTGCAGGCACGCTGACGGGGATCTGGGACACGTGCATGCCGTTGTAGGGCACGGAGGAGCTCTTGCAGCTGCACTCGGTGAGCGTCTCGGTCACGTAGACGACGCGAGGAGCAGTCTCATCTTCGGACGGAGATCGGTAGGCACGCTTGTCGTTTGCGGGCTCCATGGGCTTGCTGGCATGGCGGGCTGGGGCAACGGCGCCCTTGGTGCTGGCGGGACAGACGGTGGAAATCCAGGTGGTCAGGTCTGGCGGTAGCGTTAGTTTCGTAGTGGGTTTCGTGTAGCTGGAAAATAATCATACCAACTCCAGCAGTCTTGCAGGCATCCTTGGCTGCGTCGGTCAGCTCCTCGGTGAGAACCTCCTGGTTGGCACAGATGCACGCGGTGTCGCTCAGATCAGTGCAAGTGGAGAGTTTGGAGGTGTCAATACTACTCAGAGCAGCATTCTATATCTAGTTAGGAAATGGTTTGTTAAGGGGAATTGTAGGATAACCAACAGCGCAGCTGATTAAATCCGCCGTGGTCTGCGCGCTGACAGCAGCAGCGCTGGCAAGGAAGAGAGCGGGGATGAAGGAGCGCATTTTGAATGAATGATAGTTCACGAAAAAAAAAAAAATAGATAAAATCGTAAGGGCGAAATACTAGCCGACTGGGTCTAGTGCAACAACTATGAATGTATTTTGGAGAAATAAGTCGACTGCGGCGGCCCAGGTGTCGGTGTCGACTTAAGTAGAGAGACAAGATCATAACAAACAGTGCACATAATTGGGCCCTTTAGTATCCCTTGATGCCATGGAGTGAGAGAGAAGCACACTATGACGTGAAAAGCATTCTGGAGATGTTGCAGTAGCCAAGGGGATGGTGGCGTTGTATCGGACGGACAAGCTTTGACTGGTATCTGGGCCACTTCTTCGCCCAGGAACCTCGTAGCAGTGCACAATTTCACAACAAACCCACCTGCACTGCCGTGTTGATCTCTGTGGAATGACCAAGGAATGTGCCAGTCACCTTGGCCCCTGTCGTTGTGCCAGGTACACTACTGTATCCCTAGATACCCTTTTCTCCGAGGAATGTATGTCCATGTCAATTCGTGGCCCGCCAATTCTGATTTGAATACGGAGTACACATCAATGATTCAGGGTTGTCAAAAATAGACTTGAGAATCTGTTCGTCCTGATGGTTGATGATAAAGATAGATCAATTCCATTCTACAGCATTCATACTGACAGAACCAAGTTTAACCACTTAACTTGGGCTATCATCGGATTCGCTATCATACCTAAGACGGAGATGGCTTAGTCGGTTCAAGTAGTAGCGAGGTTGCATGTTCCGGATTCCTTTGATAGTCCTGGATGATCCTGGGGTACACTATCTTAGTGGCTGTACGGAGGATGGGTTCGAATCGATTTAATTTTAGAAGCCTCGGAGGTTGACATAGACCGAAGCTAACATGACTGCACTGATAGAACTGGATTATCTTTCTGGTGAGACCCAGAGCCCTACAAACTTCAAATTCAATATGTATGTCAAAGGAGGCAGAGTGATCAACTGTTACTTGATATGAGTTGTGAAACCCATCAAAGGCGATTACCAGACACGCCAGGAACCTATGGAGAAATGAATTGTGATAGAACTAATTACATAGAAGACAACGAAAGTTGGTAGGGTATTATGTATGTATGAATGTCCAGAATCCACATGTTAACATCTAACTTTAATACCTATGCCCCGATGTATAGGAAATTGGCGTCTCCCCGTAAGAAAGAGGGCGTGAATCCGGAGCAGGCACAGGAAGCTCTGCAACAAAGCTTCGCGAATCCATCTCTTGTGGTTGAGGGCCGGATTGGAACTTTTGCTCTGCTTGGTATGCATCGACAGCGGCGTATTTGTGGTAGGAGGATCCACTAACTTCCGACGGGGAGGGAAGATCACTCATAGGAGGAGGAGGAGGAGGTGATGATACAACGCTGCCACCCGTGGGAGCTGGCTCATATGTCGGCTGTTGGTTGTTCTTCTTCTTCTTTTGCATCAAGCAGAACATGAAGATAGCCGCTCCGATGCCAGCCAGACCCACGACTCCACCCACCACACCTCCGGCAATTGCGGCAGTGTTGGAATGGTGTGTAGTAGATCCGGAATTAGATGCTGCTGATGATCCTGTTGCTGAACCAGATGCAGCACCCGAGGAAGCAGCGCCCGATGATGTTGGTACATTTCGATTCACTGATCCTGTGGCAGCAGCTTGGTTGAAGTAGTCCGAGATGAAGTTATCGTTCACCACAGATCCGATCACAGATGCGACTGTGGGTATTCCGTTGTAATAGCTGAGACTCTTGCTGATTGGGACGTTGTTCGAGTATGGGTGGGCCGTCAAATATAGTGTCTGGGTCGTATGTATATTCGAGCATCCGAAGTCGGTGATGGATAGCTCGGGGTATGTCCAGTGAATACAAGATGCAGCGGTAGACTTCGTGCAGAAGATTGCGCCATTTTCAGGTGATTCAGTCAGGCTAGGAGTTGCGGCGACTTGGGCACTGTCGTAGCAGGTGGTCTCGAACAGGCATTTCTGGGAATAGGCATTGTCGCAACAGCCTACCATGGCGGGATAATTGACATCTGCCGTATGGAAGACGCATTGCGTGTAGCCGTAGCATGCAATTTCGGAGGCTAAAGAGTCAGAATTGCATGCATAGTTTGAAGTAAACGAGCGTGGGGTGGAGCACGTACAGTAGTCTAGGACTCCGTCAACGAAACCACATACGCTGGCACTTGCCCATTCCGTATATGTGGTTGTCGCAGGGACTGCTGCACTTCCAGTTGCAGAGATAACTGTTCCCGTATAAGAGTCATTATATCCATCACGTCGATGTAATCCCCTGAGGCCGGCGTCTGCCCATGGTGTCGCTTCAGCGAGATCCGGCCGCAATGAATCATGTGCAGCGGCAGTTGAAGACGTCGTAGAATACACCATGGCCCTTGTCAATGGAAATAATGAAAGAGCATAGAGACCAATCGACTGTTTTTGAATCATCTCGATAGTGGTAGGGTGTGAAAATTCGTGACTGTGTGCGCGTGGCGCACGGCACCAAAGTCCCCTATATACTCCGGAGTGAGCCGACCCAGACCCCCTCTCAGAGAACGCTGCTCAATTTCCTGACGGGCTTTAGCTTGCCATTTCAGATGGCGCAAAGATCGTATCGAGTTTGATCGACTTTGGCCTGAAATCTCCACATGCTCGCTTCTCAGCCTCGTATGACTGGTAAGTTTGTGCCTTAGCGTGAGCCGATGGCTTTAGCCTACAGAACAACCTCGTGAATACGAGGTCGGCTAAGCAGCAGATTGGATGGGTCTCAGGGCAATGATTGATGGTGCCGAAGACCCAGGATCAGGATGCATGTTAATTTCCCATTCCCGATATGATTTCCATCTTCCTGGGCAGACTTTTGGACGGGATTACCGACTCAGGAATGGCTTCATCCAGGGACGGTGAGGAGGGAAGACTAGCACTGTGGAGGAACAGGGGGGCCTCGAGTCCCTGACCCACATAGAGCCTCCACTAGGGGACTAAAGGCCGGAGTAGTTATCGATCGAAAGTCTAATGGCCCGTTGGCGCCGAGAAATCCCAGCCCTGAGCCACGGACGCTTTGGCCCATCGACGGAGGGAGAACGAGGCCCTATCGCGTGGGCTTTCTCCAGCTTTCACCGTCACATTCTGTGTGTTCGGACAAGCCGAAGCCGAGACCTAAGGATCTACTTGCATGATTCAAATACAAAAGATGATAAAGATCGCCAATGAGCCCGAGATGTTATACTCGTTCTCACCCACTGGGCTGATTCCGCTTGTAGGGCTGGTTGTGTCGGAGTGGAGCAAGTGTGTCGAGCTGATTTTGGGATGCGGTGGATTCGGACGAAGACGCATAAACCGGACAATCACAATTCATTGGGTATAGCGAGCCAGACAATTACTCCCGTCGCTCTAAAACAGCACATATAAAATATTCCCTAAAACAACCAAAGAATCGACCCTCGAGACCAGCTCAGAATTTCTCACTCGTCACGCAGCGCGTTGAGCGAACCAACAACCATGCCAGGATTTTGACCATCAAAGTTAACCCCTTGACGAACATGTTCAGCCCGAAAAACAAGATTTTCAACAAGGTCCGCGTAATGCCAGGGAGCTTCTCGCCTTCTCGCGTCGAACCCTTGCCGTAACGACCATATTTCTCGAGGTCGAATTCCTCGACCACAATCTCCCGACCTTTCTTCGTTCTCGTCTGACCTGACGGCGTGGACTGATATCTATCCCAGAAATTAAAGAAACTTTTTCTTTTCGAATTCCCCTCTGCCTTGTCATTTGCAGCCCGAATTTGAGATGCGAGCTGGAGACTCTCGGCGTAGTCTTCACGTTCTGCCTGGGTTGTGATGAGTGGTCCGCGGTACGGCGCATCAACACCCTGTCCATTGGAAAAGCCTGGCTCCGTGAAACTAGGCGATCGAAGTTCCATGTCTGCCAAAATTGGGTTCGTAGCTTCGTCCGAGACTGCAACCGCGAGCATGGCTGCGATGAGCGAGTCGATAGCATATAACGAAGGAATGGTCGCAATGACAGCAGCGGGTGAGATGGTTAGGGTCTGAGTTGCAAAGTCCAGAGAGGCCAATGGCTCATCCGAGTCAGCAACTGGGAGCGTTGAAGTGCGCGGGTTAGCGGCTTGCTGCGCCGCTGCAAGGGCCGTCGATGATGGGGGCCCAGTAACGAGGATCGTTGGGGCTTGATGAGGCATCGCGTCGTTGGATGGTGCAGAAACAGTAATGTATAGTATTCCCGATGACTGGGATCGCACGGGGGAGAGAGGGATACCCTCGGCTCCCACCAGCGCTGGGGGTTGTCGTTTGGACAGCAAAGGATGCCGAAGCTCGTAGAGCCTTGAGTTGCGGTTCCAGGACAAACGACACGATTCTTGCGCAGCAGCCCGCCTGAGAGCTTGATTCTCGACCTCCGCAGCCTCGGATGGGGCGAGTTGATGGAATTTGCTGATTTCATCAGCTTGCTCGATAGCAAGCATGGCGGCTAGCCTCGAGAAGAGCAGGGCAACAAGACCATCATGGGGATGCTCACGGCGCCCACGGTCCTCGAGACTCAAAGTCATGATAGGTACATCACTATTAGGTTTACATGGAGCTCCTCGCGAGATTGAGAGCTCATCATTATCATAAGTCTGTAGGGTGTAAAACGGCTGTTGAGAATTGCCAAATGTAAAAGTCGCTGGACCAGTTCTTGATGGGAGTTAGCCAGTGACCCACTATATTCTATAATCTTAGGAACTAAATACCTTGTCATATGGAGGTTGAATGCCCCAGCCAAATTTTGAGGTCGTTGGCCATTGGCAGCCTCCCACAGCATCTCCAACTCATATGGAGTCGAGTATCGAATCTCCTCCGAATCCGAAATGCCATTTGGAAAGTTCAACACGCTTGCGGGAACAGTTTTTGGGCCCAAGACATGATCAATCTCGGAAGAAGTAGCTAGGGTCAGTTGTGGCCTGCGTGATTTCTTCGAAGGCTTATCATCTCTCGGCATCGGGGACCGCGTCGTTTGGTTGTTGAGAGGGAGTTTGGGCTCGAAGCGAGGAAACATTGATCTCATGGGAACTGGCGACACGGAGGACTGAGATGATTGAGGCGAGGCCGTTGAGCTGGTAGTGTGATTACTGCTACTACTGCTAGTGCTCGCGCTGCCTTGTGATTGCAAAACTCGTGCAGGTGACTTGTTTTCTTGCCGGCTTCGGCTGCGAGGGGACTGAGAAGACTTAGAACTAGGCGATGTTTCCGCCACGGACGGAGATTTGGACCGTGTATTTAGTGGTTGAGATGGCGGGGGAGGAAATGAAGAAGTGTCTTCGATGATTTGTAGCAGGACAGACTCGGCTTTAGCAGAATCTTTGATCTCATTGAGAGAGATCGGAGATGCAGGTTCAACCTTCACAACTGGCGGTTTCTTGACGCCTCTGCGAAAAGGGTTCTTGGCCGCTTTTACCTCCGGCGAGGGCGGAGGAAATAATTGAAATTGACTCATCGCACCGATCGTGTCGTAGTAGTATGATCCTGCGCTTTCAATGACAAGTGTACTAGGAGAGGATATGGTAGGCTCGTTCGGTGTACCGGGGAAGCTTGACAGGAGACGCGAAAGAGCGCGAACAGGGGGAGGGATGTTTTGCCTGACATATACTCCGTGGCCATTGATGAATTCCGCTGGATCTTGCGGGATCGCAGTAAGATGTGCTGATATTCTGCGGCCATAGTATGTGACAACCCTATTTTTGGTGTAGGCGCTTAGCAGCTGGTCGGTGTGATTGGGCCACCGCAGTGGGACGAGGATGCCAAGTGCAGAACGGCGCTACGATGAGAGCCGCTGATTGGCGTTGGATCCTTTAGATTCGTTTACTCCTAGCCACTCTGACCCGAGATTGGTGACTGGCATTGTGCAGAAGTCACACCGTTAAGTTTTGTCCCGCTGAGGGTCGGCGCATACACAACAGGCTTTGGCCGCACAACCCCGTGGGGGGTTGGGCGATGGGACACACCTGCAGGCCTGCCGGTAAGAACGAGGATATCTATACATTGATTTGATCATGCAGGATTATATTTACATCATATGGTACAAGTTGGTCAGTCGCTTCGACCCTGGTCATGCCCCGAAGCCTCATCATGAACAGAATAGGTAAGTCCATCGGCCATGGCGATCGCGCCTTCCATGTTGCCCTTGTTGTACAAAAACAGCCCCTGTAGAGCTGCTGCGCTCGTGCTCTTCGATCGGTCAGCTTTGTGACCTTGCTCATCCTCGATCAAGCCGAGCTGCTGGAGCCGGTCAAGGAATAATTTTCGGTAGGCGCCATCGGTATCGATTTCTTCATAGAAGCGGTCCCAAAGACGGCCGACTTGGTAGCGCGTCACTTCTCCGAGACGCACCGTCATGTCTACGCGCCCCGGTCGGACCAAGGCCTCGTCCAGGCGTTCGACGTGATTGGTGGTAAGAAATATAATGCGTTCCTCGGCGCTGGCAACGCCATCAAGTGCGTTCAGCAGGCCAGAGAAAGTGACATTCGCCCCGCGATAGCCGTCCGAGTCGGTTTGAACGCGCCGATTAGAAAAAGCGGCATCCACGTCCTCCAGAAGGACAAGGGTTCGATTCGGCACGATGGTCAAGAGATGGTTGAGCCGGTCATCAGTCAAGCCACGTTCACTGAGGTTCAGAATTGCGATATCGTAGTCCAACTCTCCCGCCAGCGCCTGAATAAATGAACTTTTACCCGTACCGGGAGGACCATACAGGAGATATCCTCGCCGGTAGGGAATACCACGATCATGATACCATGCAGAGCTTGAGATGAAATCTTGAACATCATCTACAATACGCTCCGAGACACCCTCAGCAAGCACCACCGATTCCAGAGGTCGCTTACGTCGAGGGTTGCCAAATGGCCTCCATTCCGTTCCCCAACTGTTGTAGATTGTTGTCTTCCCCTCATGTGACTTGGCAGCGTACGCATGAGCTTCTTTAAAGAGATCTTCAAAAATATGTCGTTGAGAGTAGAGAGTAGTCAAGGTAATGGTCTCCCAAGGCTTTCCAGTTTGGATGTCGCGGGATTTGGATTCTCGCACACGGTTCACGAAGACGAACGCGTTTTTATACCGTAGAATATGCTTTCCGGGACCTGGAACCAGCGAGAAATGTGTATGAATAGCACCATTGGAGTGTTCAACTTTCGAAGTCTGGATGGAGAGGTGGCGCATGCCGGGGGTCATTTTGTGAAGGAGACGGTCGACGAAGCCGGTACTGTTTGCAGCTGCGCGGGTGGTGTTGAGCTGCGATTGCTGATAGAGCGTCATCCAGTGAAGAAACCATGGATATGAGTCGTCCTTGATGCTGATCTCCACATCCACTAGCATTCGGCGACGCAGGAGAGCTGCGCCATGGCGGACTCCCCTCTGCGCAAACGTCAAACCTGCACCTAGCGCTCCGAGGCCGAAACCCTGGACGAGAACATCTTCGTCAGCTTTTCAATGTCCTTGCGACACCGAGAGTCATCAATATAGGGCCACCTACAGCCGTGAATAAGGGATTGCTCGTGACTTGCGAAAAGAGGCTGCCATCTCCCTTCGATACCGCTTGCTGCACCGTCGCCTGCCCAGATGGGGATGCCCCTGGCCTCTGCTGCAAAATCAAATCTGTGGCAGACGGATCAGCCGAAGGCACCACATTAGTAGCACCATTTGGCTCCATGCCGGCCTTGTCGAGTTGAAGTTGTGGCCGTTGAAAGGTACAATCGACGATAAGAAACATCATCAGATATCGGAGTTACAACGGGCCGACCGGCGTTGCCCCCCGGTTGCGCAGCGGCAAGTCAGCCATGGAATGATCTACGGATGCCTGGATCGATGCGAGTTTATTCGCCTATCTCGCCGGCCTAAACAAAACATGTCATTGGTGCCCGACAGATCACCGATCATGATTCTGACCATGATTTTGAGCCGGATA